TAGTTTTTATTAAAATAAAATAATATAAAAATAATTTAGAGAGGAAGTATATTTTGGAGTTAAAAAGAAAATACCTAATTATTATTATCCCTTCACTCTTTAAAATTTAATAGGGGTTCCTCAAACTCGTATAACCAAAATAAAATAAAAAGCAAGTGAGGGTATTTTAAATTCAAAACTAGAAATTTGTTGTTTTTAGAATAATTTTTGCTTTTTAAATAATTTAAAATATTTGGTAAATTTAAAATATTTGGTAAGCGGTAATTACAAAAATTTCTATGTACTAATTAATTGAGAACATAAAAATATTTTTTTTAATTTTTAAATTTTCCGCTCTAATTTTCGATAAAATTATTTTTAAATTTTTAATTCTTTTCTCAAATAAAAAGTGACATTCTTGGACTTAAAAAAGCGGTAATTACAAAAATTTCTTTTTTTTCGTACAATTTTTGATGGGAATTTTAGTAAAAATTATTTTAAGTTTTAAATTACATGGTTAAAATTAAAAATGTTTTTTTAGGTTTGGGAAACGGTTTTTGGAAATTTTATGAAGAAAAAATGTGAAGTTAATAGAGAGGATGGGGGAATATTTTTTGTGAAATTTGAATACTGTATATTTGTAATTTCACAAAAAACACATTTAATATTTAATAGTCTTCAAACTTGTAGCTAAAAATAATTTTGAATATTCGTGTATTATTCAAATACACGAATATTTGAATAATACAAAAATCACAATAAAACTATTGTTTATTTTCTTTAATTTTCATAACAATTTTTTGATTTATTTTTTAAAAATTTATTTAAATAAAAATAAAAGACAAATACATACAAAAAAATATTTATAAATTTATGGATATATTCAACCAAACAAACACGGATTTTGTTTGGCCGGCTGAAAATGAGTAAAATATATTTAGTATTTAGTAATATCGTCCTTGGAAGAAGAATAAAAAGAAAATAAAAAAAGAGCCGATAATCTCTAAAATGGCCCTCCTCCTTCCTTTTAAATATTAAAAAAATTATGGGAGGATTTTTGGAAATTAAATATTTTTTATAAATAAATACTTCTTTTTTTCTTTAAATAATTATTGGGAATTAAATAAGAAAGAAAAGAAAATATTTTTGAAATAATATTAGAGAGTTGAGTAAAGGTGATATGTAATAAAAACTTCTCTCTAATAATTTAATAATTAAATAATTCTTTTTAAATTATTTAAATTAATTTTAATTAAAAAAATCTTCTAAATTTTTTCTAATTTATTTTCTTTTTTCCAAAATATTAAAAAGAAAGGAAGTCAAAGCTTTGTGACTGGTGCCATTCTCTCTTATGTATTTCCGGTAAATGCCCTTTTCTTTGAAATAAAAATTTGGCCGCTTTACATCAAAAATTAAAGAATTTAGACATTTTGATGTGTTTTTGTTTGTTGGTTGTTGATATTTAAATAAAAATAAATTTATTTATTTTATTTTTAGGAAAATATATTTAAAAAATTTTTAAAATTTTTGTTATTGATGAAATCTTAGAAATAATTTAAAAGTAAATTGCCCGAATATCAAAAAATAATAGAAAACCCCTTATAAAAATATATTGTTTTAGTTATCCCCAATTCTTCAAAGTACCTGATTCGATGACTTTTAGGGGACACAAACAAGAAGTTTGTACAACAGGGATGGATAAGTTTCAATTTTAAAAAGCAGAAGCGGAAGAATCCATCCCTGATCCATCTCTGATGTACAACCCTATTATTTACCTTAATTTCCTTAATTTTCTAGATTTATTTCCTTCTTCTCATTTCAATATTTTAATTCTTTTTTTAAATTTATTTTCCCGCATTTCCTATGGGAGAAAAAGAAGAATATTTTAGAGTAAGCGGCGCTAGGCATTTCATCATTTTTGTTTTGCCCGCGAGGGGTAATTACCGCATTTTTGGTTATGTACACATCCTGATGAATCTTTAAAATATATAAAATCTGTGTGTGGCTTTAAATGAATAATGAGTATTTTTTTGAATTTTGTTTGGAATAAATAAATGGATTATTTAAATAAAAAAACCTTTTTTTTATTAAATTATTTTAATTAAATATTGTAAGAATAATATAAAGGTTATTAGAAAGTTTAAACGTTGGGCTATTTTATTATTTTGTATTCATTCCCAACTTACAATGAATTCAATAAAAATCATTCAGATGCGCTATCATTTACAGAAATAAATTTCCCATTTAAATTCAACTTTAACCCTCTATGATTTTTCAGTTTTCAAAGTTGATATTCAAAATCCACCTTCGAATTCGTGATCAACACCTCTTATTACCCAATCTACAATGCCACTTTTAGCATTAATTTGGGTGAGATGGTATAACAAAAAAATATCGAAAATATTTATATCGTTGAACAAAAAACCTTTGAAGATGTTTTTGATAAATAAACTAATTTTTGCAAAATATTTTTTATTAAAAACAACAAAAAAAAGTCGTAAACTTATACATAAATTTATTTTTTTGTCGGCATTTTTTAAGATTAAAAATTAAAGAAATTAAAAACAATTAAAAATTACGGCATTTTTTTATTTTAAATTCTTTTTCTTTTTTTTCTAAATTTTTTTATTGTCCCAACAAATGCTTCTCTTTTATTTTTTTATTCGTTCCTTTTTTTCTTCCGGCACTTTTTTGTTGTTGTTGTTAAGTAGGCGTCATTTGTCGCCTCTTTTTTGACATAAATATTTTAGAGAAAAATGTTTTCGGCACTTTTTTATGATCAACTTTGTCCTAGAAAATTTAAAAAAAGAAGGAAAAGATATAGAAATAAAGGGATTAATTAATTAATTAAATAATTAAATTGATCCCTTAATAAATTAGATTTTCGATTTGTAAGAAATTTCGATTTTATTTATAATTTCTGTATATTTATTTAAATATCAGAATTTTGAATTGTCTTAAGAAGGATACATATCTAAATAATTGATAAATTTTAGTAATAAAAATATTCTCATTCCAATTGTAAAAACAGAAAATTTAATAAAGGTAAAGTGTTGTTTCCTTTGAAAAAACTGAAAATAAAAATTTTCAAGGAATTTATTTTTATTTAAATTAATTATTTAAATTAGAAATCAAGTACTCAATATTAAATTAAATTTAATAATTTCTTCTTCAAAAAAATCCAAAAAAACCAGTCTCCATTTTTTCAATTCATTACACCCTAAGGGCGAAAGAACAGCAGGTTATCTTACAAAAATAAAAATTTAAAGGATAAAAGGCCAAAACAGCGACAAATGTTTTTATGCCAACAAAATATATATAAATAATAAATTAATTTTTTCTTTTCTTTTTTTTATTATGCCGGCAAAAAATCAAAAAAATGTATAAATGACGGATATTGTTGAAATAAAAATAAAGGGAGAAGAACATTTAATATTACTATTTAGTTATTTTTGTTGTTAGGAAGGGGAAAAAGAAGATGTATATTTTAATTTTGCCAAAAATGAACAGAAAAACAACAAAAAGTAGCTAATCAAAAATAAAGTAAAGATGGAAAAAGCGGGACTCTCTTTTTTATAAAATTATTTTTTGAATGACATTAAAAGGAATAAATCTTACAATTAGTTTCATAAACATTAATTGATCATCTTATATAAAAATATGTATTTGTTAAACTCTTTTAAATCAAAATAAAATTTATAAGCAAAATCAGAATAAAAAGAATTCTGAATGGAATTTTAATAAAAATTTTACAAAAGAATTTCCTTTTAATTTCCTTCTTTTTATTAAATTTAATTTTTTTTCTTTTTTCTATTTAATTTATTTTTGATGTTTAACTAAAAATTTATATATTTTTATTTTTGTCAAAACAAAAATTTGCCACAAATTAGCTTCCAAAATTTTCAGCATTTCTTTTTATTAGTAAATTGGGTATGACAAGACAGTGAAAACTTAAAAACAAAATATATGTCAAATTATTTAATTTAATGTCCCTTTCCTAATTTTTTATTGTTTTTAGTAATATTAAAAATTGGAAAAATAGTAAAAAAACAAATTTTTGAATATTAATTTGATATTTAATTCAACAATATTTTATTATTAAATTAGGTCATTTTCCCATTTTCCGTTGATTTTTAGCCCATTTTCCGTTGAAATGGGCTAAAGCCCATTTTCCGTTGATTTTAAGCCCGTTTTCCGTTAGCCCATTTTCCGTTGAAGGCCCATTTTCCGTTGATTTTTGGAACTTAAGATCTCAATGAAGAAAGAAGCTACCGACTTCGTTCTTTTTACTTTTCTACACTATTCGTTGGATTCACATAGATGGAGCTAAAACATAGGAAAGCGCCTATGTTAGATAATGAAGAATTTTATCAAAGTCACATATTTTTTATCAAAGTAAATTTTATCAAGTCAAACTCCATTCAAATGTCTCCAAACCTTATACAAAACTAGTGATTTAATTATAGTCACGTTTTATTTTATTTTATCTGAATGTCAAAAGTTATATAAATTGAATTGAATATCTCAGTTTAACCTAGAGTGTTGGTCTTCGAGACGGATCGGACGTATGTGTTCTGTATCGAAAATATATATAATTTAAAATATTTTATAAAATTTAGAAAATAATTTTAGTAAAATGTTTTTTCAGAAAACAAAATTGGGACCGTAGAATAAATTCAAGGGTAAGTTTTGCAGGCAGAGTTCGAAAAAGCCCTGTCCGAAAAAGTAAACTCGCAATCGTATTCCAAGTTTAAAATTTTTAAAAGATTTACATATTCACATTTATTAACAATACAGCAAAACAACAATAAAAACACAATATCACATAGATAAGAGAAGGGAATACCTAATATATTTTATAGTAATAATTAACAATTGTTTATATTTAGAGATATAATGGGAGGAAATATACCTAATTAATTACTCACTACACATTTATTTATCTTTATTTTTATATACTTTTATCAATCCTTTCCTATTCTTCACACAAATATTCTCTTTCACTTCTTTCCGTTTTCTACTTATCCAAGAAAAAAGGCCATCAACGTATCGACAACAACAGAAGCCAGAATATACGAGAAGTGGCTAATACATTTCCATTGATCAAAGCCAATATTCTTTTCCTCTTCAGGAGCGGCGCTTCCATCTCCACTGCAACATCCACCCTTTGGCGGTTGGTCTGGAGGGGTTTTGGCCTTATCTTCTTTTGTTGATGCCTCCTTTTGTTTGCGAAGTTCGTCCGTGTGGGCACAGTGGATATAGTAGATGATCTAAAAGAGAGGAGGTTTTGAAAAGAATTTGGAAAGAGTTGTTGTTACTTGGAAGTGTCCATAGAAGAAGCCAATCTTGACAGCAATTACAATGAACAGTAGAAGGATATTGAAATAGCTAGTCTGTCTGCACACAAACAGAAGAAGCCAACTCCCCACAATCATCAGCACAGCAAAGGCAATGAAGAATTCAACACGACCACCGCGAGTCAACTTCAGCTTGTTATCAATCTGAAAATGAGATTGGAGAGAGCTTTTAAAACTATATTCTTTAAATTCACCAAAAAGGCAATCACGAACGGAGCAAGCAATCTCGGTGCTATCACTGGCAACAAATAACTACACAAACGTCCAAGGCAAAACCCCAAAGCCAGCAAAGCAATGTAGAGACGCGAACGATGTACACGCTCTTTTGGATCAGAAGGGCATTGATTGAGTTTATGCCAAATCCGGGAAAGAAGCGCCCCAATCCCTACAAGCGCATGGAAGATACCAAGCTGTGGAAGCCAATCAAGCTCTGTCCAAAGATTGCCAACAAGAGTTCCGAGAGTTAGAGAGAAGATCATTACTGTCATACCTAAAGAGAAAAGGAATTTGTTTGGTTACTGTTAGCCTCTCAACTTACTGAAATACAGCTCCTGCAACTCAACTCGATCAATTGCATGGCCTTCCTTCATTTCAGACTTGTCCCATAATGCCTCAGTCAACTAAAGAAATATGTAGGTATATTCAAAGACTTCCTCAATACTTTACCATTTTCTGTATCTTCTCACTACCCTCATAGAACTCCTTGATGTCCAAATAGGTTTGCCGAGCCTTCCGTCGTGTCTGTTCGATCGTGTCCAAGATTGCCAACATAGTTGTGCCCAACTGTTCTGTGTAATCAGCGGAAAGCTCCTTCAAGACTATTGGCTGTGCTTCAGCAACGACTATGGCGGTAGTCATTTTTGAAGTGAAGATTTTGCCGTTGTTTAGACTGAAAAATTTATTTTTGTCAAATAAAAACGATAAAGTAACTTACGTTGACAATAATCCGATCTAGAATGAAGGAATCGTGCTAAATTTTATAGGCTTTTATATTTTTAGAGAATTGCCCCCAAAATTAAAATTTAAACTATTACAATGAATTTGAATTATTTAATTGAGCTTGTATTAAATTAAATATTCAGAAATATAAAAATAATTATAACATTGCAAAGCAAAAAATATTTGCAGGAAGTGGGATTCGAACCCACGCGGGCATACGCCCACCAGAATACCCGAACCTGGGCAAGCTTTGCTTGAGTCTGGCGCCTTAGACCACTCGGCCATCCCTGCACACACTAGAAAAGTAAAAAATATGTTTATTGTTTCCTTTTCTTTGCTGAAGAAACGAACAACTGTAGAAACGACTATAATGCACGTAAATAAAGGCTACATATTACAAATTGGAGACAGAAATATTTCTTTTGATCACAGAAAGAACTTTGACAATTTGGGATAATAAATTTAAAAAATCCGTTAAAAGGTTGAGATAAAAATAATATATTTAAAACAACTTTTATTAAAAAGCTTTTATTAATTATTTTTTATTAATTATTAAACTTTTATTAATTTTATTAAAATTTATTCAAAATTTTAAATATTCTTCAACAATTTAAATAATTAAATCCCTTAAATCCCGTAGAAAAATTTTAAAATCCAAAATTTATATCCCCAAAATTTATTTAATTCATTCACTTTTCCCACAAATTCAATAACGATAATGATCAGCCTTGAAAGGTCCACCTTTTGGAATACCCAAATATCTGAGGAAAATAGAATTAATTTTTATTTAAATTTAATTTAATCACTTTGCTTGTTCATCAGTCAATTTAGTTAATTTAACACCAAGCTTAGCTAAATGAAGTCTAGCTACTTCCTCATCAAGTAATTTTGGTAAAACATATAAACCAGTTTTGTAAGCATTTGGAGTATTTGCTTTTGTATATAATTCTAATTTAAAAAAAAAAGAATTTTTTAATAAATTATTTAATAATTTTCAAAGTAATTTAGCTTAAACGAAATTATAGAAGGGAAATTAATTTTTAAATTAAATTAATGTATTCCAATCAAATAAATTAATCAAATAAATTAACCAATTTGTGCAATAACTTGGTTAGTAAAACTAGTAGACATAACAAAAGAAGCATGTCCAGTAGCACATCCCAAATTAACTAATCGCCCTTCTGCCAATAAAATTATATGTTTTCCATTTTTTAAAGTATAACGATCAACTTGTGGTTTAACTTGTTCTTTACTTGCTGCATTTTTTTCTAACCATTGAACATTTATTTCACAATCAAAATGCCCAACCTTTTTTAAATTAAAGATTTAGTATATTTGAATGTATGGTAAAAAGTTGTGGACATTAGTAAATTTTGGAGCTGGTCCTAATATGTAAGACTCAAAAAAACGAAGGCAATTTTAGTTGTCCCTACCAAAAATTTTTAATTCTATTAGTGCAACTAAAACATAATCAACGACTCTTAGACCTAAACACGGGTACACTTCAACATTTAAACCGGCTAAGGTTAAAACAAGGCATTCAAAGAAATTAAGTTTGAAACTACAAATCCAATACGAGGAAATCTATCTAGCAAACAAGATAATATTTTTATTTATTACATACAAAAAAAGACAATTATCACGATTATTGAGAACAATACAAAGGCGAACAAATATCACTATACAATATAATCAACAACAAAATGAAAGTGGCATTATCATCTTTTCTTTTATTCAGCTGGACCAGTCAAACGCCGGGTGAAGGCTGCAGCGTCTCCTCTTTGCCACTCGCCGGACCATCTCTCGCAGCCAATCGTAGTCGAGTTTGTCGACGTAATGCCGTTTTGTTAAGTACGACATGATGTGTCGAAATTCGCTGAACTTGAAAAAGGGAAAAAGAAAATTAGTATTAAGCATTTCTTATAGCACCTCCTGCCCTGGGAAGAGTGTTGACGGATTTGCGAAAACACCTTCTTTCATTTCCCGCACGTTGTTTAGGTTCTCCTCCTCGTACCATGGCAGCTTTTTCTTATTGATCATGTCGGCGAGCATGTAAAGCCAACTCTCACAGTCATCCTTGCGGCCAGACTCCTCGCTTCTATGCATGGCCAGTGGAGCGAACCGAATTGTTCCTTTGAATCTGACCTGGAAAATCATAAAAAGATTATTCAAAAAAGGATTTAACAATCAAAGAATATTGCGAACTAGCCTTGGACCGGGGGATGGCAACCGTCCCATCAGCGCCCACTATCTTCCTGGCGATTCCAAAATCCACCACGTATACCACATTCTGAGAACCAGTTTTGGCCAGCCCCAAAACAAAGTTGGCAGGTTTGATGTCTCGATGAACAAATCCGAGCGCGTGCATGTCCTTGATTGCTTCCAGAGTTTCGAGGGCGCAGTACAGTCCTGTGTTCATACTAAACAGGGAAAGTTTATTAATGACAAACTCACCTATTCTACCTGAAGATTTTGTTAGACTGTCGATACTTGATGTCGGCAAGTGATTCGCCCAGAAGCGACATCACTATGAACATGAACGACCGCACCTCAACGCTCCTGTCGTACAAAATTGGGAAGTGCTTCTGCTGCTCCTTTGACACTCCTTTGGCTGCTTCCAGTACTCGGATCTCCATGACAAGCTTAAAATGGTTGCGTCTCGGATTTCGTCGCTCCTCCTTCATTGCGAACAGGCCCCCTTTCCTCCAGTCCGCCTTGACCTTATACACAGCTCCATATCCGCCGTACGAAATGCTCTCCACGACGGTGTACGAGCGTCCACTTTGACTGGAATTAAAAAATAGTAGGACAAATACTATATTAAGCTTATAAAGAAAAATTTACCAGTTAATCTGCTCGCCTGGATCTCTGCCCGCGAAGGAGTACTGCGACACAAGAGACGAGGCCATGTCGAGTTGAACGGTGGTGCAAAAGCGGCGTTGATGTAGTGAGTTGTCGGCGAACGGTGGTGCAAAAGCGGCGTTGATGCAGTGAGTTGTCGATGAACGGTGGTGCAAAAATGGCGTTGATTTGAAGTTAAATTCATTTTGCTTGGCTTTTATAATAAAATAGTTCCCGTCTCAACAGTCATACCATCTGTATAAAAGCCAAGCAAAATGAATTTAACTTCAAATCAACGCCGTTTTTGCACCACCGTTCATCGACAACTCACTGCATCAACGCCGCTTTTGCACCACCGTTCGCCGACAACTCACTACATCAACGCCGCTTTTGCACCACCGTTCAACTCGACATGGCCTCGTCTCTTGTGTCGCAGTACTCCTTCGCGGGCAGAGATCCAGGCGAGCAGATTAACTGGTAAATTTTTCTTTATAAGCTTAATATAGTATTTGTCCTACTATTTTTTAATTCCAGTCAAAGTGGACGCTCGTACACCGTCGTGGAGAGCATTTCGTACGGCGGATATGGAGCTGTGTATAAGGTCAAGGCGGACTGGAGGAAAGGGGGCCTGTTCGCAATGAAGGAGGAGCGACGAAATCCGAGACGCAACCATTTTAAGCTTGTCATGGAGATCCGAGTACTGGAAGCAGCCAAAGGAGTGTCAAAGGAGCAGCAGAAGCACTTCCCAATTTTGTACGACAGGAGCGTTGAGGTGCGGTCGTTCATGTTCATAGTGATGTCGCTTCTGGGCGAATCACTTGCCGACATCAAGTATCGACAGTCAACAAAATCTTCAGGTAGAATAGGTGAGTTTGTCATTAATAAACTTTCCCTGTTTAGTATGAACACAGGACTGTACTGCGCCCTCGAAACTCTGGAAGCAATCAAGGACATGCACGCGCTCGGATTTGTTCATCGAGACATCAAACCTGCCAACTTTGTTTTGGGGCTGGCCAAAACTGGTTCTCAGAATGTGGTATACGTGGTGGATTTTGGAATCGCCAGGAAGATAGTGGGCGCTGATGGGACGGTTGCCATCCCCCGGTCCAAGGCTAGTTCGCAATATTCTTTGATTGTTAAATCCTTTTTTGAATAATCTTTTTATGATTTTCCAGGTCAGATTCAAAGGAACAATTCGGTTCGCTCCACTGGCCATGCATAGAAGCGAGGAGTCTGGCCGCAAGGATGACTGTGAGAGTTGGCTTTACATGCTCGCCGACATGATCAATAAGAAAAAGCTGCCATGGTACGAGGAGGAGAACCTAAACAACGTGCGGGAAATGAAAGAAGGTGTTTTCGCAAATCCGTCAACACTCTTCCCAGGGCAGGAGGTGCTATAAGAAATGCTTAATACTAATTTTCTTTTTCCCTTTTTCAAGTTCAGCGAATTTCGACACATCATGTCGTACTTAACAAAACGGCATTACGTCGACAAACTCGACTACGATTGGCTGCGAGAGATGGTCCGGCGAGTGGCAAAGAGGAGACGCTGCAGCCTTCACCCGGCGTTTGACTGGTCCAGCTGAATAAAAGAAAAGATGATAATGCCACTTTCATTTTGTTGTTGATTATATTGTATAGTGATATTTGTTCGCCTTTGTATTGTTCTCAATAATCGTGATAATTGTCTTTTTTTGTATGTAATAAATAAAAATATTATCTTGTTTGCTTGATAGATTTCCTCGTAAGTATTAGGATTGCCATTTTAATTCCATCAGTCAAAGATTCACAATTATTAATTTCGAACTAGTGGAATCTATTTAATCAAGATTAAATATAAAAAAGTAATTCTATATATAACCTAAGTCTAAACAAAAGTTGGACATGCTTTTTAGTCTGTATACAAGGGGTGTGCTTATATGTATTAGGAAAAAGGGTCCTTTTGTTTGTGTTTGTTATTTTTTAATTTTTTGTAAAATAACTTTCTCTCTCTCCCTTTACTTACATTACAAATAATAGCATCTTCAGGTAATTTTTCAATATGTTCTCCACGTACAATATCTTTACAGCCAGTTGTTGTTACTATAATCTGTGCTTGTTCAATAACATCTTCTAATGTTGTTACTTGATAACCTTCCATTGCTGCTTGTAAAGCATTTATTGGATCAATTTCTTTTAAATTTTTTTTTGAAATTTAGTAAAACAAAACTAAATTTTACCAGTAATAATTACTCTCGCACCAAAATTACGTAAACCAGCAGCCGAACCTTTCCCAACATCTCCATAACCACAAACAACGGCTACTTTCCCAGCAAGCATTACCTAAAAGAATTAATTATTTTCAAATAAAACAATTTCTCTTTCTACAAACATCAGTTGCCCGTTTAATTCCATCAGGCAAAGATTCACGTATTCCATATAAATTGTCAAATTTAGATTTTGTAACAGAATCATTAACATTTATTGCAGCTACTTTTAATTCCCCGCTTTCCAACATTTTAGCTAAATTATGTACTCCAGTTGTCGTTTCCTCGCTTATTCCAATTATTTTATTTAATAATTCTGGGTATTTGTTATGAACTAAATTTGTTAAATCTCCACCATCATCCAAAATCATATTTAATGGTTGGCCATTTGGAAAGATTATTGTCTAAAAATTAAATTTTAATTCAATTTATTTATTCTCTACCTGTTCAATACACCATTCATATTCTTCCTCAGTTTCACCTTTCCAAGCATATACAGGAATACCTTTAGCAGCAATTGCTGCAGCAGCATGGTCTTGAGTAGAGAAAATATTACAAGAAGACCATTGAACCTATTTTATTTTTAAATAAAAAAAATATTTTCTTTTAACCTCAGCCCCAAGTTCCAACAAAGTTTCAATTAAAACAGCAGTTTGGACAGTCTAAAATTAAATTTTAAATAAAAAAATAATTTTATTTATTTAATCACCATATGTAAACATCCAGCAATACGTGCACCTTTCAACGGCTTTTGAGTGCCATATTTTTCCTTTAAAAAATTAATTTTCACAAAAATTTTCTAAAAATCAAAATTACTCTCATAGCCATAAGTCCAGGCATTTCATTTTCAGCAATAATTATTTCTCTACGTCCAAAATCGGCAAGTGAAATGTCCGCTAAAAATAAAAAATGTTTATTTAAAATAACAAATTTTGAGCAAAAACCTACCAACTTTATAAGGTAATTTTTTGGAAGATTGAGTTGTTGTAACTGTTGTAACAGACATTTTTTAATTAATAAAAAAGGAAAATAGTTTTGAATTCTTTTTTGAAATTCTAAAAATATTCTTTAGAAATATTAACGGATTGAAAACAAAATTTAAAATAAAAAATGCAAGGATTTTTAGAATTAAAAAAATTATAATTAAAAACAATAAACAAAATTATTTTGGCAGTCCCCCAAATAATTTTCTCTTCCAAGAAATTTCTAAAAAAAATTTAGCAAAATAAAAGAATATTAATCTAACGGGATTTTAATTTTTAGATTTAATCTCCAAATTCCGTTAAAAAACTTGAATTTAAAAAAAAAGAATAAGATATGCAAAAAATAAATAAATAAATGTCAAATAACAAATTAAATAACAAAAAAATCTTTCAAAAAAATTCCAAATTTTAATTTTCAGATCATTGATAAAAAAATAAATGGATATGAGGGCCAATTTAAAATTGCAAAAAAATAAAATAAATAACAATTTTTCCCAAAAAAATTCCTTTTAAAAAGCATAACGCGTTCTCAAATCTTCTAATTTCTTTACAACAACCCCAGGCTGTAAACCTAGAGCAGAAGCGATTTCTCTCTGTTTTCCTGTATCCAATGTAGAATATTGCTCACATAAATCGCCATCAACAACAAACTAATATTTAAAAATTAATTTTTAAAAAAATGGGAGGAATGATGAAATTTGGGGGAATAATTAAATAATAAATAAAAAAAATAAAAGGGAAATTCCCCATTCCTCTCTCTCTCTATTTTGTAATTAGAATATTAAAAAAAAATTAATTTTTAAAACGTGTGTCTATAATCGCATGATTTTCTTATCAATCGAAAATAATAAATCAAAAAAAGAGAAAAGTCTTTTTAGTGAAATACTACAAAAAAACAAAACTTAAAAATAAATTCAAAGTCTACAAACTCTTTTTAGAAATTTGTGTATTTAACACAAAATAAACATTTTTTTGTATTCTTAGTTTGTATCCTTTCTAAAAATTTAAGGGGCCTATATTGACTAAAAAAATTAATTTTATTTTTACCTTACACGGAGCATAAAAAGATCGATAAGCCAAATGATCCCGGCCAGAAAGAGGCGGATTCTCAACACGTAAATGCATTTCGAGTGTTTGAAAGAATTCAAATTCCTTTAAAAAATTTTTACATTTAAATTCCAAAATCCCTTCCCCTTCCCCTTCTCCCTCCCTCCCCCTCCCCTTACATCTCTCGAAATAAACGGAACAAGCATTCCAATTGAACCAGAAATTGTTGTATAAATTAAAGAATCATCAGAACCAGGGACAATACTTGTTTTGTGTAATTTAGTTACTAAATCTCCAATATAAAAATGTGCAATTAATTCCAACTTTAAAAAATAAATTTATTTTTAAAAAACTCAAAAAAACTTTTTGAGAAGCTCCATTCATATTCCCTCTATCCCAAAGTGCCCGAACACCTGTAGGGTCTTCCTGAACTTCCTCAACCAAATTTTTTGGTAATCGAAGCTTTAAAAAGAATTAAATTTTTTATTTAATTTATTTTGTAATTACAATAGCTATACTCCCAAAACGATCAGCACAAGCAACTGTATCATAATCTAATAAACATATTGATGTTATATAACGAGGGGTTGTTTCATCACTAAAGATGATTAGTTGATTTTCCTAAAATTTTTTAAATTAATTTTTAATTTAAAAAAGGGGAGTTAAATTAATTTAATCACCAAATAAAAATTTGAAATTTCAAATTTATTTTTCTAATCTTTAATCATTCAATTATTTAAATATATTTTCCAAAAATCAAATTCAATTTTTATTTGCACAACAAAAACCTTTTTTTATTCCTTATTTATTTTCTTCTTTTTTTTATTTCCAAACTTTTTCTTTGTGTTTTATTAAAGCTCAAAAAATAATTTATTCTTGGGAATGTCTATAAATAGAATAAAGAAAAAGAAAATGTTTCAGAAAAAAGTTTTTTAGTTTTTTAAATAGAGTAGGCGCATGCAAATAATAATTAATTTTAAATAAATTTGGCTTTTTCTGCAATTAATATATAAATAAATATTTAACTTAATGACCAGTTTCTTTAAATATTTTATTAAAATATAATTAAATATTTAAAAAATAAAAATATTCTTTAAATAAAAAAGATACAAAGGGATTAATAGAAAAAATTCAAACAATTTATACCCTCCCCATTTCAAGCCGTGAAAGGTCAGGAAATTCTAAGGAAATTCAAAAAAATATTCCTTAAAAAATACATAGATTAATCATTAAATATTCACTACAAAAAAAACGCGAGAATCCAAAGAATTTCTAGAAAGAACCAATTTTCAGTGACTTTAATATTAAATCATTAACATTTTATATGTATTAATGTGAAAGTTTTTAAATATTTTAATATAGCAAAGGAATATAGAAAATACGGTCGTGGAAAAAAGTATGGAAGCGCTAGAAAAAGTTTTTTAAATTCTTAATTTTTTATTCAAAAAATACGTTCTATATACCAATCGAAAGCTCTATTCGTATCTCAGTTGTCATGTTTCTGCATTTTTCATGAAAATGAAAATTGGCCGAGATAATCCGGATCTACCGGATATACCAAATCCCATTTTTTCGGAAAAATTTTTCGGAACAAATTTAACAAACCCATTTGATAAAGCATATTTTTCTGAGTATTTTCCACAAAACCGCTAAGAAATATCTTTTTCCGGAACAGAGATATGATTTTTTGAAAATCGTATTTTTGGTCATTTTTTGCAAAAAATTCGATTTTTAAGGGAAAAATACGATTTTCAAAAAATCATATCTCTGTTCCGGAAAAAGATATTTCTTAGCGGTTTTGTGGAAAATACTCACAAAAATATGCTTTATCAAATGGGTTTGTTAAATTTCTTCCGAAAAATTTTTCCGAAAAAATGGGATTTGGTATATCCGGTAGATCCGGATTATCTCGGCCAATTTTCATTTTCATGAAAAATGCAGAAACATGTCAACTGAGATACGAATAGAGCTTTCGATTGGTATATAGAACGTATTTTTTGAATGAAAAATTAAAAATTAAGAGAAAATTTTCTAGCGCTTCCATACTTTTTTCCACGACTGTATAGTAACATGTACTATTTTACCACTACATACCAGGAATAGGCTGAGTTACTAGAAACCGATCTGTCCTGAACCCAGACTTTTTGACACGGAATCCGATCAAACCCAATTCACACCTAGCTATATTGTGTAATTCCTAGTAAATATTATATCAATTATCATTATATACATATACACTTTTAAAAGTTAAAATTATTCTATATTTATTTTTTAACCAAACATGTATATACTTCCAAACAGAAATAAAAATAATTTTTTTGTAAAATCTCTATAAATCATTAAGATTACTATTTTCCTAATTCCCTTTTCCAAAATAAAAAAAATGTAGAAAAAACTCAATCCAAAAATAGCTATATATCAAAACACTTTAAGGCATTATAAAATTTCAGGCAAGAAAAACAGTAAACAAACACACACATTTACCTCAAACTTTTCTTTCTTTAAATTGCCCTCTAGAAACGAAAATATTTATGGATGAATGATGGATATTTATTTATTTGATGGATCCCTCCAAAAAAATAGCAAAAAGCCTATAAAAACACGCTTAAGCGAACAATTGTCGATAAAAGCCGCAAGGCCGACCTCACTTAAAAAAACTTTGTAAACAAGGCAATTATAATATAGTTAAAAATATTCTTAAACTTTTTTTATTGGTTAAAAAATTTATTTTATCAAAATAAATTTTAAATTCGAAATTCTCTAATATTTTTCTGCAATAATTTTTTCCATAGCCCCAAATACTTAAATAATCCCGAAAAAGTAATTTTATAAAAAATAAGTTCTCAAAATTTTCTTAAAATAGAAAATTTAAAATAAAACCTTCAAAAACAAAAATACCTAAATTAAAACGTCAAACATTAAATTTAAAAATAAATTTATTTTCTAAAAAAATTCCCGAAAAATATTTTTATTAATTCCATTATTTAATCAAATTTCCAAAAAAGAACACAATTAAATAAAAATTTTATTTAAAATTAATTATTTTAAGTTGCAAAATACAATTAAAATCTTGTTTATTTTTAGTTACCTAATTTTTTAATTTCCGCGCATTTATTTTAAGATTTTATTAAATTTCTTTTTCCGCTACATTTTCTTTAGAAATTAGATATTTTTGCTTTATTTAATTTAAATTTAATTTTTTTAATAGAAAAAAGAAATCTCAAAATATAGAAATTAGTATATAAATAAAGAAAGGCAAAAATAGCAAAAATTATCTAAAACAAAAATTTTTTAGATTACTCAACATTTAATTAAAAAAATTCAAAAAAATTTCTTGATATACTAAAGCTAAATATTTATCGAGCAACATTTAGACGGACCTTACTTATGTATATATACATACAATATTAGATCCCTCATTTATTTGATTGTTGCCTAAACAAAATTTCAAACACACTCGATTTAACAACTTTTTCTAGCTTTGAGTATGATTACCAAAAAGTTAGGCCTACCTTCCCAATCCCTTCTCTTTTAAAATCAAAAAGTAAAATGATGTTTTACACAATTTACTATTTTTAACTTACTTTTTCTATTTTATTTTTGTATGGCAACCTTTTATTACTTTTTTATTCCAAACACACACACAAATTATTCTAATTATCCCCAATAAAATAAGGAAAAGAAGAGAGAAAAGTAAATGTGTTAAGAATTTACCGATTTTTTCCAAATTTAGAAACATAAATTTTCAGTCAACCGAAGCAAGGGACAGACAACAAAATTTTAAGAAAATTTCATTTTTGTAATATTTTTAGAACTTTTTCTTGAAATTGAATACTCATTAAAAACAAATTCTTACTAATTTAAATTTTTTAAATTCTATTTAAGTTAAACGACTTGAGACTATTTTAAAGGAAAAACCAATTTATTTACCAAATTTATATTTTAAATATAGATAAGTATAAAACTTATAGTTAATAAATCTACTATTATTTTTCAAAATTATATCCCAAAATTTACTTAAATGCCTAAACAAAGATTTTTTTTTATTTTTACGAGTATTTTTTTTTTAATTTTATTCATTAGGTCCTTTTATTCATTTCCGTTATTTAACAAGTCTCCCCCCCCCTTTCCCCTTCAAAATAGTTTATCCAAGCAGAACGCACACAAATCAAATTTCCGGGAAAAATAACCAAAAAAGTTCATTTTCACTTCTACTATTTACTTTACAGTCCAATTCACAATTTTCAAAAAAACTTTAATTTTAGTAGTAAAAAATATTGTTCCTCAAACTATATTTGCATAAAAATTTGGTGATAATAGAATCTCTTTCCAATTTAAGAGAAAAATTTTTAAAAAACAGAAAGAAAATGGCAAAAAATGCGAATTTAAAAATAAAATAAAGTTTAAAAAATAAAAAAATTTTTTTTAATTAAATGAAGAAAAAAGTGCTATTCTAAAAATATTTTAAATACGCCGAAACAAAAAGACACCCAATATTTAAAATAATAATTTTTATTTAACTGAAAAAGTAAGACATTTAATGCTTTTAAAATATCCAGAATCGTTTCCTTAATTGCAGCAAAAATTTAAATTATGAATAAAAGTTTCCAACCTCCCCCCCCCCTACCTCACTCCCTCCCCTTCTTTCCCAAAAAATCCTTTATAAATTTTTAAAAATTTCTATCAAAAATTCAATCACTTATTTCAATATTAAAATTTTCTCAAAATACAAATTTCAAGAAAAATTGTGTGCGTGAGAGGTGTGGTTAAATGGAGGGAGTGACAGCTGCCAAATTTAGAAATGTTCTAAATTTGGGAAAAATTGTTTTTATAATTTAGAGAAAAGCCATTTTTGTTTTAAATTTGTTTTAAATTACTAAATTTGTAGGTTCATTTTAAAGAAAGAATATCCTTATTTTCTATTTAAGGTAAATTACTTAAACGTTTTTTATAAAAGTTTCGGCATAATTTATATTTAGACTCCCAGTACCCAAACGACTTGGAGTTTCATTAAAATTTTATTCAATTAAAGTCATCCCCCCAATAATAACCTCCAATATTTACCTATATTTAATTTTTAAAAATGCTACAAAATTCACTTCCTTTTTGCCAATGATACTTAAAAATGCATAAACAAACCAAAAGATTTTTTAAGCATTATTTAAAAATGGAAATGTTCTTTGTCCCCAAAGGCGTCATTTTTTAGTCACGCCATTAAAAAGTATTGAAGGAGGGGAGGGAAGGCATAAACCAAAAAAGAAAATGAAAGAAAAACTCATTTTTAGAAAAAAATATTTTAAGAGATTTGAAGTAAAAAAGCTAAAAAATAGTTATGAATGGATTATTTGTTGGCTCAGTCTAATTCCTTTAAATGACTTTATTTGTAATTCCAGTAATTATTTATGTTCGTAAAAAGTTTTTTTGGTTACCAAAATCTTATTCATTTAAATATTTAGTAAAAAAGGAAACATAAAGTTATTAAAATATGAAAAAGAAATCTCTTATTTTTAAAATTCAGAAATCATATACCCTTTGAAGTATTACTTTAATTTATAACAATTCAACTTATATTCAAACTAAAGTAAATAATTGTTTTGATTCTCACTTACATACAACCTTAATATTTTTAGCTATTTCTAAATTACAGTTTTCCAGAAAATCTTTCTCTTTTATAATTCATCTAGTTCCTCCTTCAACCCCCTCCTTCAAAATTTATTAGAAAATATCAGTTTGAACATTTAATTAAAAATATAGTTTCAGATTTTAAATTATCTAATTTTTCCCCCAAATATATTTTTAATTTTCAAAACAATTCCCAAAAAATAAATAATTCTTAACCAATTTCTGGGACAATAAATTTCAAAATAATTTTTGATTAACCATATTTCTTTTATTTAAATAAACTTTTTTTAAACACACCTCACAACAAACAAACACACAGTAGCTATTACCCCAATTCAATTTCTTTTTTTACTCTAAACTCTATTCGGTATAATTTAAAAGGACAGGGAAAATGAATTTTTTCTTTTCTGTTTTAACATCCGCCGTCGGCCAGACGACCAAAACTTTTGTTATAGACCGGAAACCTTTAAAATTGGCACAGGTTCCTGTTATGTACTTTTATTGAATCGAATATTGCTTTTACTTTTTTATTTTACCAGCATTTTTTAAATAAAAATATATTGGCAAATAAAAATTTCTTTTAAATGTTGTGTTGTTGTTCTGTTTTGTTATTTTATATTAAAAGTAGAGGGGGCGGAATAAATTGACTGGCAAGAACCGCGTGGTTGTTATGTGTTCTTTTTCCCAATAATAATATTTAAAAAAACTGGTCGCTAGTGAAATTCTCAGAAAATTACATTTTTTGTTAAACTTGTAGGTGTTTTGTTTTGCTTGTTAAATGTTTTTAAAAGAAATTTTTTTCGAATTTTTCCTTTAAAGAAAAGTTTGTGTACGGGGAAGCGCTTTAATCCGCAATTTATCCTGAGCTTTTGGTGAAATAACCAATTAGGGAATAATTTTTTAAGAACTATTCACACCAAAAAACCTCCCAATTTCTAACAATAATTAAAAAAAGTAAACTTACATTTGATTTGTAACGTAAGAAATGAACAGATTCCTGACTATCTGATACAATAATTCTCGGACCCATTGATTTTATGTCGACAATTTGAACTTGGATTTGCTTAAAAATATAAAGAAATTATTTATTAATTAAAAATTTTTTTTATATTTTCTATAAGCAAATCTGTGTTAATTACATAATTTCCCTAAAAACTAAACATAATAAGTACATACTTAGAATTAAGTAAATTTAGTAATTTATAAAATTATGTATACTTAAGTAATTTCCATTTAATTAAACTCAGTTTAAGCCATTAAGTAATTTATAAACCCAGAAAACAATAATAATTTTTAATTACAAAATAAATAAAGGAAAAAAATAAAATTTATTAATTTCTATACTTAACTAAATAGTAAGTAAATCTAATTCAAATTGTTGTATTTTACATAACTCCCCATTTTCTAATTTATCTAGATCAAAACAAAAAAAAACAATTCACTGTTTTAAGGGTAATTTTTAAACTTCAATATTTGCTTTTAAACTCCCCCAATTATTATCTAAATAATCACACTCCCCCCCCCCTTTACCTATTTTTAAAATCATTCTCTATCGTATTTTAGTCAAACCAACAATATTAAAAAATGCCATTTTTGGTTACAATCCAAATTTAGAAACATCTATATTTGGGATGTTTTCATTTATTAACCAAACAAACAAAACATATAAACAATCTCGGCAAAAAAAATATTTTTAGATTATAATGTAAGATATGGGCGTGGAAAAAAGTGAAAAAATAGCGAATCTGTAAACTAAAAAATGTTGATAATAAAAAGGTTTGAAGGTGGGCAAAAAACAAAGCACAAAATTCATATTGACAATTACAAATTATTTAAAAATAGAATTTCTCAAAAATGGAAATTCTAGAAAAAGTTTTTCTTGAAGAATTAATTTAAAAAAGGCTTTTAAAATATACAAATTCTTAACAATATATTTTACAAATTCCTTTCACTCCACAACTTTAAAATTGGCTCTCGCAAGAGAAATAAAAAAATTCTAAATCCTATTTTTGACATTAAAATTATTATTAACCACACCTTTAAAATTTCCAAGCCTTATAGTAACTTTAAATAAATCTTTCTCACATATAATAATATTAAATTTATTTTTGGCCTATCCATAGTTAATTACCACGAGGAAAAGATAAAACTAAAGAACCAAAAAACTAATTTACTTTTACTACTAACATAAGCATTTAATGGGTTTTTCTGCCATTTCTCGTCCTTAAACTTATTTCTTATTTTAAAAACCTGCGGGAGTTGAAAAATAAATTATAAAAAACATAAATATTATTCTATTTTTTATTTTATTTAAAATTAATTTTTCCATAAAAATTAGTATAAAGAACACACTAAAAATAGACAATTACAACATAAGCATTCTAATTATAAACTATTTTTAATAAACAATCTTAAAACAAAATTTAAACTTTTAATTAAATAAACATTCTCATAAACACTACCAAAAATTAATTTTAAAAAATTAATTTCATGACATCACCTTTTTTTTAAATTATTTTTTTCTCAAATATAAATTTGTTTTTTATTTATTTTTTTACTAAAAATCTTATTATTTATCTCAGCCCTTTTATATTGTTTGCATATTTTTTCTAAAAATTCTAAAGCTCATTACAAACCTTTAACATCATATCTCTTTTCATTTTTTCTTTTCATCCTTTTAAAATAAAAGGCATGAAAGCCTTCAGGATATAAAGGCATGAGGAGGAGGAGGCGCGCGTTTAATTAACACGAGGAAGAAAAATATATGGCCAATATATTTCTTACAAATAATAAAAGGCATATATTTTTTCATTAAATAGTAATGTTTTTAAATAGAAATCTTTTTTTTCAATTAAAGAATTTTCCAGAAAATTTAAAAAAAATAATCAAAAACAAATAAAAACCTTTTAAAACATTACTATTTCCTCCCTCTCATTTCACACTTAAATAATATACTTTTTTCTATCTTTTTTTTCATTCCTTTAATTAATTTTCCATGGCAGTTCTCCCTATTCTTTTAAAATTATTTTTCTAAGAATTTAGAATATAAAAATGGCAAATAAAAATGTGAAATTGAGATTAATTTTTTGGTTAAATTATTATTAAAAATGGATTTTAGAAAAAAGAATTTTAAGTCTAATTATAATAAACCCCCTTCGATTATTTTAATTAAAATCAATATAAAATAAAGTGAAATTTTAAAATTAAAATTATCTTACAAAAAATTCACTTTAAAAAATTTCTTTCTTAGTCATTCCAACATTCCTTCTACAATCAATCCGATAATCCCCCCTTTAGTACTTTTTCCCTTTTAAATTTTAAATTCTCTAATATTCCCCCCGTCTATCTCCAAAATTAAATTTTTTCAAAAATTCATTTTCTTTTAACTAAAAATAAACTTAAGAAATTAAAAAATAAGTTTTGCGTAAAATAATCGTTTAAAGAATTTTATTTGAAATACCTCATTTAACTTTTTTAATTCGTGTTCTAAAAATATTTTTTGTGTATTTTTCTCCTCAAATTTCATTTCAAAAATTTTTTATTTTAAAAATTTAACACCAAAAATAAACACATTATTCTTTTGCTATTTTCATAATATTTTTCAAAAATATTTTCCAAATAAATTCATAACACACGATTAATTAATTACCTATCAAAAATTTTAATATCAAATATTTTTTTTAAAATTATTAAAATTTAAATACCCAAAAACAAACAAAATATTATACTAAAATAGTAGCTCTTTTACTTTTGTTTCAAAGTGACGATAAATGATTACTTAATTGTATGCATGCATTTACATGACGTAAAAAGTAAATAAACAATGATAACCGTTCCATTTTTTCAATTCAAAAATATTTTTGTTTGTTGCCAAAAACGTTCCCTCCCCTCCCCCCCTCTAAATTCCAATTTTTACTTAAAAAGTTTTCCACAATTTTAGAAAATATTGTTTTCTTTTAAAGAACTGAAGCTTCGAAATTAAATTTGTTTTTTTAGATAACCCCAAGAAATTCTTAGAAAAAAATAATCTCGAATATATTTACGCATAATTGTTTTTTCTTTCATGTAAACAAGAAACTTCTCTTTTTCACAATTCATAATAAATAAATTCAGGAGCAATAACAAAACACGAAAAAAAGAGAATAAACAAGACACACAAATTATACATACTTATATGAATAAAAAACGAGTAAGCAATCTAAAAACAGAATTTATATATTTTGTTGTAAATAAAAAAATTGAGGAAGCAAAAAATAAAATTAAAATTCTCCCTTAAAGCTTTTGTAAAAATGCCAAATATTTCCTCCCTCAATTGTCCTCTACAAATTCCCCTTCCTCATATACTTTTACATTCATCCTACATATTTCCACCTTCACATTTTGTCCCATTACTTTTCTTCTTCCCTATATCCCAGCGCGAACTAATTTAATATACTACTAGTCGCGGCAATGCTTTTTAGTTACCACGACGCCCCCACAAAACGCAGCAATAAGAAAATAAAATTCTTCGTCTTCCCTAATTTAACAAAAAGCATTTTTACATGTATTTTATACCAAGTGTAGGTTTCTTTCTTATCATTTCATTCTTATGTTAAAAACATATATATATACTGGAGACCAAAACAAATTTTTAATTAATACCTCAATAATCTTTTAGTCAAGTTTAACCACAAATTTGTCTCAATTTTACTCAAGATTAATTAAAATATTTAATTTAAAAATACAATTTCTAAACAAAAATAGACATTGTCTTATTCCTTTTAAATTTTCAAAATTCCCTTGAGTAAACTAATGACATCTTTTATTTTATCAATTTTGAATTATCTACCTCAGAAAATTTCTAAAAATTTTTAGAAAATTTAAAATAACCTCTTAAAAGTCAAATAATTCTTATTAAAGTTTAGTCCCTCTAAAAAATTATTTTTAATATTTTTTGATTTTAAATTCTATTTTTTTTTAAATGTTCTCTATAAATAACAAAAGTGAAGTAAAATAACAGCCTCTAAAAATTAATTTTAAAAATAAAAAAATATTTACGCCTCAAATTTCATTATTTTTATAAAAATAAATCAACAACCTTCAACTTTTAATGACCTTTAAAAGAAATAAAAAAAAATTTCCTATTATTTTAATACTTAAATAAACACAAATATAAATCTAAAACCTTATCACAATAAACTTTTAAAATTTATTTTAGTAGTTTTTCTTTCCTTTAATTCAATTTAATCCCTTTAATTATTATAAAAATTTGTCTACATATTTTCTTAATTATATTTTAACATATCGATATATTTGTCCATAAATATATATTCATCCCCTTTATCATCCCGGCTGATTTAAGTCTCACCACAAATGAATGACGACGTATTTAACCACGCTCATCCTTCAAAATGTCCCTTTACCCCTATATTGGAAGCAATTTCACTTGTCCTTTTACATCTTTTTCATTTTTTTCTCGCCTTTATCCCCCCCCCTTTCAACACTCAAAAGCTTGTTCTCAGCTTGGTGACAACCGAAAGAGACAGCTGTTTTGATGTAAAAAAGAGGGGAAGAATTTGTTTGTGCCTTTCTGTTCTTCCTTCCGTTTCTTCTTCCTTTTTTCCTTTTCTCTTCCTTAAACAACAAATTTTCTGTACCGAAACAAGTGCCGCTGTTCAAATGAGCATTTTGAAGCCTGTCTATGGATTTTGCTTAGACTAACCTTCTTAGCCATTTTTCTGTCAAAATCCTTAAATTAGAAAGATCCTTAAAATAATCTCTAAAATTATTTAAAAATTTTAAAAAGAAAATATACATATCTCTTTATCTACGTTAAATATACATGCCCATAGTATTAAAAATTTTAAAAAATTATTTCAGGATAAAATTCACTATTGTAATTATGTAAAATATTTTTAATTTTATTGTTAAACTTTAATTTAAATCAAAACAAATTTTAAGTTTATTTTTAGTGTATGTACCTATTCCTTTTTTAAAATTAATTCACCATTAACATGCACTCATAATAAAACTTTTAAGTCTTTTTTTATCCAAAGTAATAAAAATCGATTTAAAACTTGTCAATTTGTTACAGCCCCCCTATGTATTACTATTTTTTTACATTTTTAACTCTCTTAATGGTAGTTAGCTCCAGATGCTTGGTTGCGTGTATGTGTGGCAGCGAGAACGGATTAAGAACAAAAAGAAATATAAAATGCGAGGACAGATTTAGCAACGCATAACGATTCCTCACCTTCCCCCATGTCCCTTAAAGCTGAGGCCGAAATGCCATCCTTACGCTATCAACTAAATAAAAGGACATTTAGATTTGCCCGCTGCCTCTAAATATGTTGACGAGGTGCCAACTAGCTATGAAAATAAAAGGGGAAAAATAAAGCAAAAAGGGAGTGAGTTTTTAAATTGTCTATCTATTGAAAAGAAAACAAGTGGATGAGGATTGTCAACATTTTTTAAAAAAAAGAAGGGGGAAAGAGCTTGAAAACAGCCAGAAACATATTAAAAAATATATGTCCATAACTATATGAAGAACGGCTTTGAGGATTTTTAAACAGACAAAACACAAACAAACACGCGAATTGGCAAAAATCCCGAAAAATAATAGACAATTTTTCATGGAATTGTTGAAAGAGAAAAGCGGAAGTGAAAGGCGGAACAAACATGTTTCTTCCTCAATAGAAAGAAAAAAGTTTTACGCGTTTGAAAATCAATAGCCAAATTTTCATGAAAAAATAAAAAAATAAATATTTACATGTCTGATCCTATTTTAAAAAATATTCTTCTACAAAAATAAATAAAAAAAATTCCCATATTGGGAAAAACCAAAACAATTAAAAATTTGTTTATTTTTAATTAAAGTCCACATTCTTTTTTATCATTTTATATTGCCATAAAAAATGTAAAATTGTCGGCACTACACAAATAGCAATTACTCGTTTCTCTATACTTTTATATATTTAACACGTTCAATTTTTTAAATTAATACCCTTTTACATATTATAATATTAACAGACTTTAATATAAACAAATTTATAATTGAACTCTCAAAAACCATAAAATCTCAAAAATCGTTACAAAGCCCTTTTTAGCATTTATTTTCTATACGCTTTTTTTAATATTTAATTATTTTCATTTAGCATTTAAAGATCTCAATAAATATTTTAATTAAAATGGAGACTAGAAAGATTAAATAATATTTTGACAAAAAATAAGAAAAATAAAAACAACAATTAAAATTACTCAAATTATTAATTTTTACACACAATGAATATCAACAACAACATGAATCTCGTTAGAATACCCTCATCAAGTGAAAATAGAATACCTCAACAATTATTATCCACCCCCTCCAGCACAATATTTGGAGAAATTATTAATAAAAACTCATCACAATTATATTCAGAATTTGACGACGAAGCTATTTGTACATTAAAACAATGGACTTTATTGCCTAATCAACCTGGAGCCCTACGCATTTTTTCATTAATTGCACTTCTAGCAATGATGGTTATTGTGGTAGTTGGGGGAAATGCACTTGTTATAGCAGCAGTGAGTTTTTAAATATAACAAACTTTTGAATAAATTATTAAATAAGTAAAAAAATAATACAAGTAATCCGAATATTTAAAAAAAACTTGAAAAATCACTCATACCCCGAAAAAATTCAAGTTAAAGCAAATATAATAAATTTTTAAAGGTTTTAATGCGTCGCAGATTGAGGACGGCAACTGGACTGCTAATTCTCTCACTAGCCGTCGCAGATATGCTGGTAAAATTATTTAAAAAAATATACTTATGAGAAAAAAAAAGACTCATACCCCGAAAAAATTCAAGTTAAATTGTCAAAAATAATTTTTAAAGGTCGGCCTTGTTGTCCTTCCATTCAGCATCGCAAATGAAGTACTAAACGGCTTTTGGATTTTTGGAGACATTTGGTGTACTGCTTGGCTTACTATTGATATATGGATGTGTACTTCCTCAGTATATAATCTCGTTGCCATTTCTGTTGATCGCTATATTGCCATTATCAAACCGCTCAATTATAACATGTTAATCACCAAATTCCGCGCCCGTTGCATTGTTGCCTTTGTTTGGATTAGCTCATTTATTGTTTGCACACCAAGCTTTTTACTTGCATCTAGTGAACGAAAGCGCTATATTGCTCAGCAAATGGCGGCAGCAGCAACAACGGGGGTTGGAGGGGAAATGGTGCGAAACGCAGAAGAATTTGTTTTGCGTAATCCTGACGCTTGTCGCTGCACTCCTTCAAATTCTGGAATGTATTATATTCTGTTCAGTGCATCTTCAAGTTTTTATATCCCTATGGCAATTGTTATTTTTGTATATGCTCGTATTTATATTGCTGCAATGGCAGCGACAAAATCGCAATATGCTGGTATGGTTCAGGTGAGAAAAGATTTTAATGAAAAGATAAAAAGATTGAAAAGAAAAGCTAAAAAATATTAAATGTTTAGAATTTTTTCAAAAAAAACTTTTTAAAGGTGGCTGAAAACGCAAACAAAAAACCACCCCAAGAAAAACATCAAAAATCAAATAATGAATCAAATGGTGGTATTGAAGGCTCATATCTAAAATTGCCTAAATTATTTGGACTTAGAGCTGCGCATATTCGTAACAGGTAGAATTTTATAAAATATTAAAATGAATTGTAAAACATTAAAAATAAGAAAAATTCAAAATAATTTAAGACAAAGACTAAGCATGGATCCTCTAAGAAGTATACCAATCTCGCTAAACAGCAGTTCGATGCCTACTGTTTATGCTCAAATGAATGGAAGTTGCAATAATCTTGAGTATTACCGAAACAACTCTGAATTGGATAGACGTAGAAGTGAGGAAAGATTACTGATCAAAGAAAGGTAAATAAAAAATCATAAAACCAATTTGTAAAAAAATTATTAAATTGTAGAAATGAAGAGAGATTGAGTCCAGTACGCCTAAGCATTCCTAGTGAAATTGTTTACGAACTAACTCAAGAAAGGTAACTTTAATAACATCAGTAAATATGTATAAATAAAAATTTTTAGACCATCTCTTTGTCCAAAAGCAACAGAGGAAAGTTCAGAATCACATGATTCCTCTTCTGGTGACGAAACAAAATTAAATGCAATTACAAAACCTAATGGAGTATGTTGTCAAGATGTTCAAAATTTAAACCAAACAGCGTTATCAACGCCTAATGGAGAAGAAAATGATGAAAATAACAGCAACAATATTCCAGAAACAAATAACTTAACAACAACGCCCCTTTTACATCAAAACAATACTACACTTACAAATGGGTCACCACCACAACAAGAACAATTAACACAACAAAAAACATGCAATAGCAGTAATTGTAGTAGCAATAGCACAACTAAACGTGGATTAGCTGCATCACTGTTAATGCGTATTTTAGGAAAAGGATTCTGGATGAAGAAGAAACGTGCTGGGGGTACATACGAAAAGCGATTATCTCTGGAAATCAAAGCAGCAAAAACTGTTGCAATTGTAACAGGATGTTTTATTTTCTGTTGGCTAGGGTTTTCTATATATTATGGATTAACTGCGTTTGATGTGCACGTGAATGAAGTAATATGGTCAATATTCTTTTGGTTGGGATACTTAAATTCTGCATTCAATCCGGTTAGTTTTAAAAACAAAAATCTTTTGTAGAACTAAATTTAAATATTGAAAAATTTTCAAATATTCTTAATTCAGGTTATTTACACACTATTCAATCGAGAGTTCCGGACATGTTTCAAACAATTGCTCACTTGCAACAACATGATATTTACATCAAATCGTGATCCAAACAACATGCCTATGGTATTTTTTCATAAATAAAGTCACAAAAATTAAAAGGATTAAATTTTTTAGTGTAACTCATTTAACTCCCAACTTCGTATGTTCAACGACCCAATGATCAAAAGGCAACATCAAAAATGTGGCGAACTATCAGACGCATGAATAGATTTAAGAAAATAAGAACAGTTAATGATAGAAAAACACCTTTGTAAGATAGGAATATCTTAATTTTCTTGCCTTAATTTATTTAGATCAATGTATTTAAATCGCAAATATGTGTGAAAAAGCTTTAAATCATAGCCATTTATTTAGCTGTTAAACTAGTTCTAATAAAAATTTATCCAACTTTTTATATATAAAGCTTAAAAGTCAGGGATGCATTTAGTTTAAAAGGAATATTGTTTAATTCTCTTCCTATTTATCATTTTATGTGATTTTGCCTATTTTTGTCGATAAATTGCTTTTAAAAATAAGTGAAGCTAACCATTTTTAAATAGAGTTGATAGATAATTGAAGTAAAACTTAAAGGAAAATACCTAAACATTTTAAAAGAAAATAAAGAATTAGTAGAAGCAGAAAAAGAATCTCAAATCAAGATTGCGTAGAAAATATTTTTTGGAATATTAAGTGACGAATAAAAAAATAAATCAACGGTAGTTAATACTCGTACCCGTTCCTAGCTTTACCAATAATTTTAATATTATTGCCTTATTGAATGAGGCAGTCTCTCACAACTCAAACTTTTCCCCTTTGATTTGTAATTAACACATATTTGCAACAAATTTTGTATAAGAAAAGATAAAATATTTATAAAAATATAACCAACCCGATTTTCACATTTTGCCAGCAATTTTTTCTTTCCAAAATCGTACATACGAAGTAAATTACCCACTCCAATAAGTGCCATTCCACGGAAATCATGTACTGCATAAACTTCATGTGGTGTTGGTGTTCGATGAATAAATTCAAAGCGCATTCCATTGTTTGTTAAAAGAAAAGTATAGACACAGCCACCTTTTGAACGTTTTGGACGAAGTTCTAATTCGATAGCACAGCCGACAAGTACAAATGTAGTGTCATTTTGTGAACGAAAATTGACTAGTTCGACACTAAATTTTTTTAATATATAAGTAAATAATTGATATATATTTCAAAGTTCTACCAAAATGCAGCTTCTCCCTCGGGCAATTCATATTGACATAGAGTTTGGCCCGTTTTAGGAACCAAAAGGCGAACCGCTGATGCCCATTTCCCTGAAGAAAATTTAAAATTTTTATTTATTTTTGTAATAAAAATATTGTAAAGGCAATTTCAGTACAGCTTCGGTCTCTAATCCTTATCCCCTATTTAAATTTTTTTTATATATTGAAAGATCTAAAGTTAGAAAAGGTTGTACTGAAATCCCCCACCCTTAAAAGATAATGGGAATTAAAACATAATTAACCTGCTTGGGCCCTAGCAGACCCATATATTGATTCATCTGGTTCATAATTCCTTAGAGAATGTGCCATTTCCTCAGCTAAAGCCTTTTCTTCTTGATCTTTTGCCATTTCAATCAAATCCTTTAAAAAAGAATGTAAAAGTTAGAGGTAAATATTTTGTTAATTTACATACATTTGCCATTTCCTCACGTCTTCTACGTTTTCCTTTCTCGGTAAAAGCTGCATGATCTGTTTCAATAATGATCATATTTTGTGACGCTGGATGTACAACTAGTCGACGTGGCGTGTATTTCAGTTTGTGTACAACTTGATTGAAAAGTACCCCAAGCTTTTCTAGTGCCAAAATCCTTTAAAGTAAAATTTTTTAATCAAATCTTTAAGAATATTTTTAATTACCGAAGTGTATTCTCAGAAATTGCAACAATACCCTCAGAGCATTGTTCAGAAGAAAAACTAGCTGCATGCTCAAGTGCACTGTAACTCAATGGTGTCAAATGAAAACGACCTTGATAGTTGTAGAAGAGCCAAGCTCTGCTGGAACAGGCGAAAAGCTAAATATTGCAAAATTTTATTGATTTTATATGGAGAAATCTTACAGCCTCTCGTCTTTGTATCAAAACACGAAATAGCTTCACAGGTCGGGTCCCCAAATAGCGGGTTCGATTATCACTCAAATCACCGGTAACTGAAAAATGAACAAGGTAGATATTTCATACATATTAAATATTGTATTATAATCATTTTTACAATTTTAAGGTATACCTTGATCAAGTGTTGCTCGTAACAAGCAACCATTTTGGAGACCAATATTTAAATGCATGATGCTAGTCGTGCCTGTTTGTTCACTTGATGTTTCCATAACCATAAGTGATTCAGGCTCTGCTGGCAAAGCTTGCATACTTTAATATTATAATTAACAAGAATATACATATTCAAGAATAACCTTAATGGCGCCAAACAATCAGAGGTATCCAGAGAAATGATGCGGACAGTCTTATCAGCTAGTCCAACTGTGAGGAATCGAGAACGAAGCTCTCCTTCAGGTACTTCGCTCATACTCATACATAGAACTTCCGAGGTAAGTTCACGTCGTTCAGAATATTCACGTAGTTGGTTGTTCATGTCAAGTTCAAAATAAACAATTTCCGCACCAGTCAAAGAAATGACAACCTTGATAACAATAAAAATACAGAATAATTATTCTAATTTAAAAAATGTTAAGTGTTCAACTCTCAATAATGAAAGAGTAAACTCAACTAAAAATAAAAAAGTTAGTTATGTCTAAAGCTTAGGTTATCACCACGTAATTATATCATTCAGAAAATATACCTGTCTTCTATTCATCGTGCATTTTTGAATGGGCCTTTTCGGTGGCGCTCTCCATTCGTTTATACGTCTATCAGCCCGAATATGTCGAATGCCTGATGGATAAACTTGAAGAAGTGAATCATCTCCAATTAATGCACAGCCAAGTGTTGGCGTTGTACCGAGAAAACCAGAATCTGTAACTTCTTCAACAGTCTCGCCAATGGAAAGAACAAGAGTAGCATTTGTGAATGAAACAATAATGTGTGCATGAAAAGGATCTATAAAGGAAAATATTTAATTAAAAAAAGAAAAAACAAAGAAACCATCAACATTCTTTTTAACTGTCCAGACAGCTGTAGGATTTCCTGGTAATTCTGAAACTGCCATTTCTGCAACCTCCAACCCATTACGGAGTACTCTCATTGTTGAACGTGGACCACGACCACAAAGTGCATAAATTTGAGGTGCATCTTCATTAGCTAAATCTCCAATCTAAAAAATAATACAAAATTTAACAAAAAAATTTAATAACAAAATTACGTGTGATGTAATCATTGGATTTAAGCTGTCAATTTGATCAACAAGAATTAAATTTTGAAGACCACGAGTATCATAGAAAAATGTTTCCCCTTCATCTAAAGGAATTCTTGATGAAAATTCTGGCTCATCGTCATTGTCACCCAAATGTGCAATTTGGAAAAGTTGACTAAAAAACAAATAATTAAATCTCATTAGAATTATTATAAAAATATTTTTAGGTAAGGTTTTCGACACCCTTACGAGTAAAATTTAAAAAACAAACTGATTTCCAAATTCACTAGCTGTGAATAAAAATCCCGTCTTTAATATACACAACGCATTAGCCACAGGTAATGTATCAAAATATTTAATGCGCATTTCTGTCACAAGATCACCATCAGCTTCTAAAGTTACTTTGAAAACATCACCTTGTTCTGATTGAACAAGGAAAAAGTACATTGATTTTGTCTTGTGTGTAGCAGCACAAACAATCATTATTGGACGTTCACTTTCATCCAAATCATTCTTAAAAGAAATTGAGTAATATTTTTGACATGAAAATGAAATAAACAAGTAAAATTTAAAAAAAGTAATTACTCTTCGCCTAGGAATTGGACATCGAACATCAGGTTGATCGCCTAAGTTTTTGTAGACTAAATAGTTTTCACAGCAAACAATCACTCCGCTTGGTCCATCACTCCCACCAGGAACGCCAATGAGTAAATTTCCCTTTAAACAAGAAATTTAAACTAACAATAAGAGTAAAGTTTCAACAGAATTTTGATTAGTTTTAGACTTGTCGAACTAATCAATTGGCTAACTCATGGAATAAACGGAAATGTACCTGTTCAGTCAAAGGTTCAGCATATTTCCGCACAACATGGTTTAATCCAAGATCCAATTCGTAAAACGTGAGTGTCTGTTTTATATGTTTGTAAGCATCACCTGTAGGATCATGATCACAATCCTTTAAAAAATAGAAATAATCATGGCAGTGTGAAAAAAATGTCATTATTGGGCAAAAAATTTCACTTTGGCTTCTGAAATTCTCAAAATTTTCGCCTGAGGCGCTAAAAATGAATAATTCTGGCTAGTTGGAGTAAAGCAGCTGGGCTATAGCTATTTCTCTCCTTTAGCTAGAGCAAAAGGTTATTCGGCGGCTGGGAGCGAACCAGCATCTTCAGTAGACCGGACTGATGTGTTAGCCATTACACCACGCCGCCTACTGCTCAGCCTTAGGAAATTAATAGCTATATGCTTTACATTGGCCTTCATAGGAAAAACAAAAAACAACCAACAGAAAAATAAAACAACTTCAACTTAAAATAAAAAGATACCTCATAATCAATTTCTAGGCAGGCAAAAGTCGGATTTTCAAAACCAACATCAATGCCAACAATTGAAAAACATATGCTGTAATTTTTGTGTGCTTCAAGTGGTGAGCTGATAGTTAGATTTGCTTGAGCATCTCTGTTTAAAATGTATACCAATTTTTGTCGTTCAATCTAATAAGGAAAAAGGTAAGAAAACCCCCAAAAAAATTTCAATCAGAAAAATAAAAACAAACCGCTCCAATCAAAAGAGCTCTCCCCTTTGGATCAACGGCCAAATACTGACCAGGGACAACACGTCGACAACCAGATTTACCATAAGTTTCTTGATGAACACGTTCAAATGAATGTTTTTGTGAAGAATATTCGAGAATTACAATTCGACCAGAATCTGAAGCAACGGCAATATAATCTGAAAAATTTAATGGAAAAATCGTAGGAAGTGTATCCGAACAGTTTTTAATTAAAGTCTCTATTTTTCCTCAATTAAAAATAAAATTCTTTAATGTTTTAGTAAACCTTTAGAACTTCCGGTAAGACGAAAAGTCAAAAGCGATCTAATTATTCCAAAAGTATCACAACTGCAAATTACGGAAATTTTTCCAGTTTTTGGGTCACAAAATAATAATTGAAGCACTGAGCCTTTTGCAACACAAACTTCCTAAAATATTTTTTTAAAAATTTTCTTTAAAAATAAACCTGTTGTTTTGAATTTCCAGTAAATGAACCGTGAACAGCACAATTGATTGAAGTAATTCCTTGTAATGTTAAATTGTAGAGATACATAATTTTAATTTAAATTAATTATTAAACTATTAAAAGAAAGTAAAATTAGAATGATTCTAATAACATTTAAGCAAAAAATAACTAAAAATGCGAATTTTATTAAAGCTAAAATTTTTAAGAAAATTCTACACTGAAACGTCTCGGCGGGTTAAACTGGAAATCTAACCGTCTCGCAACGAGGAAAAGGGTACGGCCCAAGTAGGCGCGGGCCAAGTAGGCGCGACCGAGTAGGCGCGACCGAGTAGGCGCAGGCTAAGTAGGCGCAAGGCCAAGTAGGCGCACGGCCCAAGTAGGCGCAAGGGCAAATTTCTTAAATTTTACCTAGAATTTTCTTTGTTAATATTCAAATAATTTGTTAATTAGTTAGCTGAATAATCAAGTAACTTTATTTTGACACTGGACTTCTTCCAAAACTGCCCTTCTTATTTGTTAGAGCAAAAAATTTATTAAGTGAAGCCCGGTGATGTTTTTATTTTTTGACAAAATTTAAGAAAAATCTTTTCTTGTAATATTTTTCTCATAAAAGCTCCATACTTAGCTGTCGATAAGTTTTGGATTACTGGCTAAGTTTGTTAATTAGTGAAAGCCATGCTGCTTTGATAATTCCTGTGGCTTACCAATGTTATGAATACTAACTAGTTTTAGTTTAAGGGGGACTAACTAGTTTAAGGGAATGTTATGAATAAACAACCTGTACTAACTAGTTAGCCTTTAGGAACTAACTAGTTTAAGGGAACATGAAGTTTATACAAAGGTATAATTAACAATCAAGATACGACTAAAAACTTCTTCAAGGCGTTTCACAAAAAAGTCCAGCTACAGAGGAGTCTTTTGATGATTAAAAGCTTTTAATGGATTAGAAAATGAATATACACTTTTGAACTGCCTAGTTAATGCGTACAGTACGAACGTATACTACAGGATATCGATATTTAAGGTGTCTTTCTTCTAAAATAGGTACCTTTCTTCTAATTTTTATCAAGAATCTATCTTCTAACTCATTAACAGAAAAATATTTATACTGACTTATTTTTTAATTTGAATATTTTGAGCTAAAAGATTTGCGCCTACTTGGGCCGTGCGCCTACTTGGCCTTGCGCCTACTTGGCCTGCGCCTACTCGGTCGCGCCTACTCGGTCGCGCCTACTTGGCCCGCGCCTACTCGGGCGTGTCCCGAGGAAAAAATTAAATGAAAATTCTAATCACACTCTCTCGCTTTCTACTCTTTTCATTTTCGTCACTTACTCGCCCTCCGGTCGTTTTTGTGCGGGCCACCTAGGCGCAACCATTTAGGAGCAAGTACACTTCTTTTTTTATGGCTTATTAACACATGTAATTAAATATGTAACAAGATTTGTTTTACACCTATTTGTCATTAAATTTTTTTTAATTTTTAAATATTTCTTTTTTAGAATCATTAAAACACTCGATTGACTTCAACATTATAGGTTAATCCTAATCATCTGAAATTATTGTTAAACATTTCTTTGGGAACAAAAACATAAAAAATGGTTTGTGGATTTTATTAAAAATATTTTTTAATGAACAGTAACGAAATAAGGGCACTAATTACTCCGTAATTATTTATAGAGTGTAATTGATATCCTCGACCTTGTCCCTAAATAAAATTAGAATTCCTGCCAACTTCAAATTCTACTTTCAATATTACTTCTCATTTTTAATTTTTTAATAGGATACAATACCATTAACTGCTCGTTTAAAAGAATTTGGAACGTGGACTGAACAAACTAGTTCTTCTGGCAAACGGTTTTTTGTCTCAATTTTTATCCTAATTTTCCCCAAATTTTTTAGTTATTACTACAATAGTGCCACAAATATTTCGCAATGGGAAAAGCCAACTGAATGGAAACATGCAGAGAAATTACGAGCTACTGCTGGGTTGAAAAATGGTAACGGCAATAATGGAAGTCATCACTCTACTTTACAACAAACACCAAAGACAAAACCTCCGATCGAGAATGAAAAAGGTTTTTAAATTTTTCTGATTTTAACTTAAAAATGTTAATCATTTTTCTGAAATGTCTCGAAGTTATGATTGTTAGAGTTGGATTACTTTAATTAATCTGAAAATTAACTAATTTTAAAATGGTTTAAATTTGTGGGTTGATAGTTGCTCGAAAACTCCTTCCTCAATACCAGAAAGTTTTTTAATATTTTAGACTTATTAATTCATTACCTAGGCCGATTCAATTCAGATCTTTGTCTTTTGCAATTAACTATTACATTTTCTAATTCCCAACATCAATTTTATTTTCAAAAAAAATCCAATTTTATTATTTAGTTTCTTCATCATTACCATCTATTCGTATGCCACAACATCAACAACCACAACTTCACAAGCATTCCACACCTACAGGTTCAACATCTACTCCTTCTTCCACTCCTCCAACTTTTCGACCAGGGACGTTACCAAATTTACAACAACCTTTTAAACGAATGCCAGAAAAACAAAATTCTCAACTGTCAAATACACGTTTATTTTTTGGCTTTTTTAATCCCTCAATTAATATTTTTCAGCTTCAACTGTCAAACCACCCCAACAATTGTGTAAAGTAGAAATACCAAAAACTTTAGCTTCCTCTCTCTGTTTTACACCTTCCACTTCCTCAACTTCAACTCCATTACCACTTCGAAATATCCCAACATGTTCATCCTCCGCACCACAAACAGTGACAGTAAATAGTTCTTCAACTCCATCATTTCCTCAGCAACAGCAAAAAAGGCCTCTTGAAAATTTTTCTTCTTCAGCACCAGAAAGTTTTTTTAATATTTTAGATTTTTATTTTTTTTTTAAATTTTAAAGGCTTTTGTGAAGAGAAATACTCCAAATTTTGGAGAGCTGATTTGTCAGGTAGTCGGCGTGCTATGGGCTTTGATTCTTTTGCTTTTGAAATGAGAAAATCTGCGGATAGGCAGGCAAAACAAATGGCCGTTATTTTTGCATTGGTACTAAAACCATGCTGAAAAATTAGATATAGGAAATGTTTGTTAATTCTTCGGTTTATGCAAAAGTTATTTTTTACAAAAGTTATCATAATTTTTCTCAGTTACGTCAGATTTCGTTTATTTTAGTTCCATTCGACTCACATCAGCTCGAGGAGCTAAACCGAAGAATTACCAAGTACTTTCAATAATTAAACATTTTTGTTTAATCTTTTATTTTTACAAATTTTTTAAAATTTAAGGACAAAGATATTCATTCAATAAAAACTCTTGAAAGGACAGCTCTGTTGCGTACTTCATTGCTTAAACAAAGAATTGAAGCAGTTAGACAACGCACCCAAGAATTAGAATCAAAACCACAGTGATACAAGTCCAAAAATTTCTTGCTCATTTTTCTGACAATTTTTGTATTTCCGTCCTTTTACATGGTTTTTAATTATTTTTAATTATTGAATATTTATTTGTAATTTTTTTCTAATATTTAAAACGGAAATACCAAGAGAGAATGATTGGGGGACTTTTTTTTTGTTTTTTAATAAATTTGTTTTCAAAAATTATTAGTTATCCAAGAAAAACCTTAGGGTTAAAAACTGAAAATTAATTCAAATGCCCATTCATTTTCTTATTTTAACATCTAATCCTTTTGTATTTTTTCTTTTCAAATTTTGTATTTATTGTATAAAAAACTTTGAAATTATTTAATTTTTGTTTAAAATCTGTCAGTAATCAAAACAATCTTCTCTTCAAAGAAAGCACGAGTTTATACGTTTATGTAATTTATATAGGCATGAGAACTTTGTAAAACTGGTTGAATATTTCGAATTTTTATAAAATAGTCATTTAATTCTCTTAATATTTTTAACAACAAAATTTTAGAACCTTTCCTTTAAGACTTTTAATTATGGAAGTAACAATTCTTTTCGGCATCTGTCAGTCAAAGCTTTATCAGCCTGAACACGCACAATTTCCTCAACAGATGCTTCCTCCCTGAGCAAACGGAGCTAAAAAATAAAAAAATGTTAAATGAAGACGCCTCCTTCAAATCACTTCAATATCAAAAGTCAAATTTTCAATTTAATTGGATTAATTAAATCAAATTTAAAATCTTTAATTTAAAAAATTTATTTTACATTTGCATATGCTGACATTTCTTCTTTTGAGGTAATAGTTTTGGCACCTTCCTCTTCCTGCTTATTAGCATTGCGATACCTCAGAAGTGTTTCTCTATTTTCATTTATACATCGTTGAAGCAAATCCTCGCGTCTTTTTCTTGTTTCTAGCAACTAATTGGAAAAATTTTTAATTTTTTGATTATAAGACAAGAATGGTCTGGGAAATAAATTGATTTCGAGGAATAAAAAACTGTTTAAAATTTAGAATTTTTTAAAGAAAAATTAAACGGACGAAAGTAAAAGCCGAGAATCTCGATCTAGCCCATTCCTCTTCCCTACATAAAATCGATATTTAACAGAAAAATAAAAGGCCGTCAGAAAACATACTATCCGAAACAGGCCCGAAGCCAGGAAAACTTTTGGGGGAGTCATAATAGGTTCGCAGGCGATTTTTTTGGAAGACGTGGGCTAAAAAATTCAACCTTCCCCAAATTTTTTCCTTTTTCCATTTCGGGAAGAAGGGGGGGGGGAATTCCTCCCCTGGCTACAGGCCTATAAGAAAATCTGATCTGGTCATCTAACGAACATTTTTAAAAATTACCTGTTTGTGAACATTCTCACAAATTTTTCTCTTATCCAATTGACGAGAGAATGACCGAGTTGGCAATTCACAATTAAGTTTGAATATTATTCTGTCTTCTTCTGCTCTAAGTCTGTCAATTAATTTCTAAAAAATTTTTAAAAATTAAAGAACTTTAACTTTAAAAACCTTAAATTCCCCCAAGTCTCGACAAATATATTCACTAGTAGATGATCCAGCGCCAACTCCTTTTGTTATAGGCATTTAAAAATTAAAATAAAAATAAATAAATAATCTAAAAAATTTAAATAAAATTAGAATATTTCTTTTGATTTTTTTAAATTTTTTAAAAAAATAAATGCCAAATATTTATTTTTCAAAATATTTGGTTGCCAAGGAAATAAAGATTTTTATATTAAATAATTATAAAATTGTTGAAAATAAAATTTTAAAATATTTAATAAATTTCAGAATTTTTTTGAAATTTAAATAAAGAAAAAAATAAAAATTAATCACAAAATATGGCATTTATGCCAATCAAAGATGGGGAATTTACAAGTACAATATATGGAATGGTAAAATTTAAAAAAAAATTTAAAAAAATATTTTTAAAGATTCGAGACAATAAATTCACTGATGCAATGCGTGTTTTGCAATATGAAGTTCAAAGAAATCCGGAGGTTTAAAAAAATTTAAGGGATGTTTTTTTGGCTGTAGTGTAGTGTACCGGTGGTAAAAGTTCGGGACGTGACATATGTCATTCGATTCGACTCGACGAGCTGAGTCGAACGGTACCACTCCCCATTTTAGGAAATAATTCTGGACCGAGTTATAGGTCCCGGAATATCGAAAAACCAAAGGGGGGAGTAAGCTCGATTTTGGGGTGAAAAATTCGAATATGCAAATTATACCTCATTCGAAAGAGCTCCTCGAGCTGAGTCGAATGACACCGAAATCAATAAAATCCGACTTGATTTGACAAAATTATGACCGTTTGTTTTAGCTCCTTACCTATGGCATCTGTGGAGATTTTTGCTGCTACGGAGGCCCCAAATACGTCCAGAGCAAGGGAGATAGGAATAGGTTTATGTTACAAGCCCAGACCCAGCGCCCGTAGACTCCCCGCGAGGCGCGTGCCGCAAGACCCCGCGCGAAGCGCGGGGTCTTGCACAAGCGCCTCGCCGACGACCCATAGGTTTATGTTGGTAGTTTTTCTATCGTAACTTTGTCAAAACTTGTGCAATCAAGATGGTTTTGGTGTCATTCGATTCAGCTCGACGAGCTCTCTCGAATGAGCTAACATTTGTAGAATCGAATTTTTGACCCCAAAATCCCCCCTATGGTTTTTGACCATTTCGAGCCCTATATCTCGACTCAAACTTGTTCAATCAAGCTGATTTTGGTGTCATTCGACTCAGCTCGAGGAGCTCTTTCGAATGAGGTATAATTTGCATATTCGAATTTTTCACCCCAAAATCGAGCTTACTCCCCCCTATGGTTTTTCGATTTTCAGGGACCTATAACTCGGTCCAGAATCATTTCCTAAAATAGGGAGTGGTACCGTTCGACTCAGCTCGTCGAGACGAATCGAATGACATATGTCACGTCCCGAACTTTTACCACCGGTACACTACACTATATCCGTTTTTTTTTTTTTAATTTATTGATTACAGTCAAGAGCCGCGCTATCTTTACTTGGTTATTGTTATTATTATATTCAAGGTTTTGTTTGATACTTATAACAGAGATAGAGTTATACAACCCTTAAAAACATTAAAATAAAAATTACTCCAGGGAAAATCAAAATTTAATCAATCCATATTATTTTTTAAAAAATTTTAATTTTAAACAGAATGCCAAATGAAAAAAAAAATTATTTTTTTTTTAATTTCGAATTTAAAAATTTTTTTTGACAATAAAAAAATTTTTAATAGATTATATTATGGCAGCAGAATGTTATGAAAAACTAAGCGAATTATATCCTCAACATACAGATTATCGTCTTTATCATGCTCAGGCTCTTTATAATGTAAAGTAAATAATTTTATTTAATTTTTTTGTTCTTTTAAAGGCTTATATGTTTCCTGAGGCTGTTTCTGTTTTGGCACTTGTAAAATTTATTTTTTTATATTAAAATTCTCTTTTTTTAGATAAATGATCCAAAAATGGAGAAGAAAGTAGTCAAATTGGACGCGGCAATTAAATATCGAGAAGAGGACCTCCAAAATGCTCGAATTCTTGTTGAACAATTTGATAGTGACGATCCTGATATTGAAGTATTTTTTTTATTTATAATTTTTAGTTGTTCTTTTATTTTTTAGGTAAATTTGGCATGTTTGGATTTAAAGGTAATTTTTTAAACATTTTTATAAAATTTTAATTACATTAAATCTCTCTATAATAATATAATGGATAAATTAAAAGATTTGCTTGTTTGAATAATTAAAATTAACTTTATTTTTTATTTTCCTTTCATTTTTCTCATTTTTACAATCACCCCCTCATTTCTTAACACCCAAAACTTTCCAAAAATAATTCTAACTTTTGTAGGAAGGAAAGCCTGCTGAAGCACTTAAACGTTTTATGGTTGCAACTGAACAACAAAATGTTGATGATACTTCTGGATATCAAGTAATTATAATTAGAAAATAATTTTTTTAACTTTTAGAATCATTTAACTTATTCAATTGCTCTTTGCCACTATCAAATGAGAAATTTTCCACAAGCTTTGAGTATGGTAAGTTTCTAAAAATATAGTGAAATTTGTTTTTTTAATGAAAAATTAAAGTTTTTGTCTATCTAAAATCTCAAGAGAGTAGTTGTCTTCAAAAATCATTTTCATTAGAAATGTTTTTTTAATTAAACAGATTTCTGAAATTATTGACAGAGCTGTAAAGGATCATCCTGGTTCTTTTTTAATTTAAATAAAATTTATTTTAAAGAAATTTTCAGAATTGGGAATTGGAATGGCAGCAGAAGAAGCAAATGGAGGGGCACAACTTCGTTCTGTTGGCAACACATTTCAGTTAAATGAAAGTGCTGTTATTGAAGCTTGTAATCTTAAATTTGCGATTGAATATCAAATGAAAAATGGTAAAAGAAAAAATAATTTTTAAGTAAAATTAATTAATATTAAGTGAGAGAAATATGAGAGGGTTTTCTTTCATTTATTAAAAGACTGTTGGTTCTGAATTCAATTTGAGAAGATATAGAGTCTAGCCACGGGAAAATTTTCGGGGAGGCAGCGCCACGGGAGGGCACTCTCAAATTCCCGACTTTCGGGGACGGGGTACAACTCTATTAATTTATCTGTAAGGACATTTTCTCCTAATTTTTAATTTAAAAGCAGTTTAATTATTATTTTTTGTTAATTTTAAGTGGACGCAGCAGCAGAAGCTTTATTAGATATGCCTGCAAGAGCTGAAGAAGAACTTGATCCTGTTACTTTACACAATCAAGTATAAATTAATTTTAAATTTCTACCCCCTAATTATTTATTTTAGGCATTAATTGGTGTAGAAACTAATTTGGCTGACAGTTTTTCTAAACTTCAATATTTGCTTGGCCATAATCCCTTTCCACCTGAAACTTTTGCTAATTTATTGTTGTTATATTGCAAGTAAATTTTAATTTATAAATAATTTGGTTATGCTTAAAAATGCGTAAAATTAATTCTGAACAGAAAGTTTTAACCCTATTTTGTAAATTAGGATTTCTTTCTCGATAAAAAAAGATTTGGAAAATTAGACAAAAATTGAACGAACAATAAAAAGTGACCGTTTAATTCCTCGTTTTTTCTTCCATTCTTTTTGCTTTTTTATATAAAATTTCTTCAGATATGAATATTACGATTTGGCAGCAGATGTACTTGCAGAAAATGGTGAAAATTATTCTTTTTTATAAATTAAAAATTATTAATTTTTTAGCACATCTTACATATAAAATGCTTTCACAAGTATTTTTTGTTTAAAAATTTTTTATGTATTTTTTAAAGTATCAATTTGATTATTTGGATGCTTTAATAACACTTCAAGTAATTTATTTTTAAATTATTTTTTTAAACTTTTTATAGTCTTCTGAATCAGATGCTTATACAAAATTTGATTCTCTTTCAAATTCAAAACTTGTTGAATTACGGAAAAGACATCAACATTTACAGGTATTTTTTTAATATTTATATCCGATAACTCGTTAAAATATTAAGCCAAACGAGAATATTTAGACAGATTTTAAATAAAATAAAATTCTGAAACCTTTAAAGAGTTTTGTCTAAAATGATGCTTTTTTCATATTTTATTTTACTTTTCTAAAGGAAATTCGTGAAAATGATGGAGGAACAAAAACAAATATAGATGTTCGTTCATTACAACAGGCAATAGATAGTGTTGAACAAACAATGGAAGAATTTTTACCCTCACTTTTATCTCAAGCAAAATTACTCTGGGATAAATCACAATGGTCGTTAATTGAAAAACTTTTTAGGCGTTCAGCCGAATTTTGTAGTGGAAATGATATTTGGAAATTGAATTTGGCACATGTTTTGTTTATGCAAGAAAAATTTAAAGAAGCTAGGTAATTAATTTTGGGAGAGGGAGAATGGCTAAAATTGGGGGTAACTTTGATTTCTGTAGGGGGAGGAGGGGGTATATTGGAAACTTTTTAAACCTTAATTTCGTTAAGGGAATTTCTGCCACTTTTTTACTTTTATATAAGTTTGGTAATTAAAAAATACTATGAGGATATTTATAACTTCATCTTTATATATCCAAGTAGTATTTTAAGAAAAAATTTGGGATTGTGAATGGATATTTAGGGAACTTTATTTTTTTCAGTGATTGTTATGCCCCATTGGTACGTGCCAATTTTGATAAGGTAAAAAAAGAAAAATAAAAACAACTAATTTATTTTTACAAAAAAGATGTTGGAAGTTTCTGCAATTGTTTTGGCCAATTTATGTGTTTGTTATATAATGACAAGTAAAGAAATTAATTTTTAAATTTTAATTAAATTAAAAAAAAAAAGATAGTAACGAAGAAGCAGAAGAAATTATGAAAAGAGTTGAAAGAGAAGAAAATGTGAATACTGACAATAAATCCTTTCATCTTTCAATAATTATAAGTTTTTTAATTAAAAATATATTTAAATTTTATTTTTAATTTTATTTTACAATTTAGTTATTGGAACCCTCTACTGTGCTAAAAGCAATTACGAGTTAATAATTAATATTTAATAAAATAATTTTTTTAATTTAAAGATTTGGAATTTCCCGTATTGTTAGAGCATTAGAACCTTGTGAACGAAAATTGGGTGTTGATACTTGGTTTTACAGCAAAAGATGTAAGAAAATTATTTTTTAATTGATATTTAATGAAAAAAAACTTAAATTTAATGAAAAAATGTTTGAAAAAATTATTTTTGAAAAATTTAAATTTTTTTAAAAGTCAAAGAAAATTCTTTTCGTCATTAAAAATAATTATTTTAATTTTTGTATCACCTAAATTTATGGTTCATCATTTCCTAAATAATTTTCAAAATATTTTAATTTAGGTTTAGCATCACTGATGGAAAATATTGCTAAATGTGTTATTGTAATACGCGATGATGGTTTTTTCTATTTTTTAAATTTTTCAAAAAAAAATTTTTTTCAAGTTTTAATCGAATGTCTTCAATTTTTGGAGGCTTGTGAAGGTAAAATAAATAAATATTTTTAATTAAAATATTTTTCTATTTAAAAGCTCATGGACACGAAATACCAACTGAGGCAAATCTTTTTGCTGTCCGGCCTGGAGAAATTGTCAGAATGGTTAGCCATGAAGTAATTTATTTTTTTAAATTTATTTTAAATAACACTTCCCCTATACCCCAAAAATACAAAAAAATGTTTTCTGATCTCCTTTCTCGTAATCCAAAATTTTATTCTCCGTTCAGATTATTCTCTTCTCGGAATCCAAATTCTCCCCATCATTACAAATTTTATTTTTAAAGGCTCGTCTTCTTCGGGCACTTTTACTTCAATTGATGGATTATTGAAGAATAAAACTTTAAAAATAGTCTAAATACCTATTATAATCTTTGTTCATTTACTAACCATTTGATTTCTTTTTTTCTAATTTTAACACTTTTTAAAAAATCCTTTCTTTAATTCATTAATTCACTACCTACCCTATTTTTAGTCTACTTATAACAATAAAATCACTAAAAGAATCTCTTTTAAATAATTTATTTTTTAGTTAAATTTCTAATTTAAAAAACCTCTTTTCTTATTTCAGTATTTATTTTCGGAAGAATTTCGGCCATTTTTAGAACCTCTGTGCTAACAAAAAAAGCGGAAGAATTGAGGTGAATCGACTGATATTTTAAAATAGTGAAAATGAAAGTTAGAGAAAAAAAAGAGAGAAAGAATTAAGTAAAGTTATTCGAGAATATACTCTTGAGCTATAAATATCTTTTTTTACATTTAATGTCCCAAAATTGTTCTATTCTATCGGAAAAAACCAAGAACAAATAAAATTTGAGGTTAAAAAATAATTTAAGAATATTTAAGATCAGAATTTTAAAAAATTAAAAATTTCTTATTTTCTTAAAATCCAAAATTTTTCAGTTTTCGTGTTTTAATTTATTTGGTCGAAAAATTTTAACAAAATCAAAAAATACTGTAATTTACCTAGATGCCTATTTAGTTTCAATTTTCCATCCAGACATTTTTAAATGTTAGATAGTCGTAAAAATTTCAGCAGACTCTCGAACGTTATTTCTTCTATATTATTTTTGTCTTTCCTATATATCAACTAAATATAACAACTCTATCTACATATATCCATTTTCTATTCTCTCTCTCTCCTTTCTACCGTGTTTGTTTGTTATAGCCAGCCGCCACTAGTGTTTCTATTTTTAGACACACCAAACTAACTAACTAACTACCCATTCCCCCATTTCTTCTCCTTTTCCACATTTAATCCACAGCTTCGAAGCATATATTCTCCCTCCTTTATTGAAAAACGTCGTCGTTTTCGTTTGCTTCTTTCATCGGTAAATTCGCCGCTGGCAGCAATACCACCACCACCACCAACCGCTAACTCGCCCTTTTTTAGCTAAAGCAGAAGAAGAAAAACAGATAAAAGTCTAATGATGAAGTAAAGAAAGGCTTGAGAAAAACTCGAAGTTTTTAAATCTCCCTACCCCTCACCCCCCTCCCCCCTCTCTCCATTTATTTTTCACTTTCTCCAAAAACAAGTGTTCGTTTTGTTGGGTTGTCCATGCTTGTGATATTTTTACGTGAAGAAAAAAAGTTTTAACAAAAATATTTACGTTAAAAATTATTATATTTATTTTTAGTTTTACTGCAAACATAAACACAAATTCTCTCTTTCTCTTATTTTTTTTCAACATTTTAAAGCAAATCTTGTTAAAATATTCTACCGATTTTTCATTTTATTTTCAAAAATTTATTTTTTGTTTGTCCATCCTTTAATTGAACTTTAAATTCTTTTAAATATCCTCTTTTTATTATTTTTCTGTTTTTCCTCATTTTTAATCAAAAAAGGTCCTAAATATGTAAATATTTAGAACTAAAAATTTAAAGTAAAACAATGCAACAAACCAGTCTCTCTAAAAATGACATTTTAAATTATTCACATTTTAGTGACGAATAAATTTGTTAAACAACAAATTAGGAGGTATATTATTTTTAGTTTTTTTAAATAAAAATTCCAAACTTTTTTAAAAAATAATTTGCGTAATTAAATAAACTTTTTTATATTTTCTCTTTTCCTTCCCTCCAAAATTTTCTTCTCTTCTTATCATTTAAACAGGAAGTGTTCTTTAAAGGCAAATTAGACACCGATTCGTCAAAAAAACTTTTTCTCTCCCCTTCCCCCAAAAAACTTTTTCTTCTTTTTCTCCCCCCAAAAATTCTTCTTCCCCTCCCCTCCCCCTCTCTCCCCAAAAAAATTTTTTCCTTATTTTCTCTCTCCCCCAAAAATATTTTCTCTACCAACCCCTACCCTCCCCCAAAAAATTTTTTTTTATTTTTATAAAATAATTAAAACTAAAAAAATTGTAAATATTGATTCTTTTACTTTTATTTCTCCTTTATATATTTATTTTAATTCTTTTGCCTTTCAACAGAAAAATGTTTATTTGTTGTATACATTTATATTTATTCTTTTTATTATTGTCCGTTTAAAGTAGAAGAGAAAAAAAAAGATTTTTTAATTGAAAGAAAAATATTTATTTATTATTTCTTCAACAAAAATGGATGAACAAAATCTTCCAACAACTACAACAATTGAAAATAATTCTTCAGCTTCAAGTTCTACAAATGATTCTTCACAATTACAACAGGATCCAGTATTGCCAGTTACTGATGGAGTTCCAATTGATGAACGGTTGGCAATGCTACAGGAGGTTTTTTTTTAAATTAAAATTTTTGTTTATTTTCCTGTCACATTTGTGTCATATTTTTCCTTCAAAAAAATTTATTTCTTTAAGTTTTATCAACGTCGACATGCCGAACTCCTTGCACAATTCCAGCATACCCAAACTTTAGCCCAACAGGATTATCTGCTCAATTTACAGTTGTTGCAGTCTGCACTCCCTGCTGCTGCTGCCATGGTTGTTTTACAGCAACAACAGGTTTTCTGATTTATTTACAAATTTAAAATTTATATTTAAAGCAACAACAAACTCCAGCACTCTTTCAACAACAACAACAATCAAGTACTGATCTGTCCAACGATGAATTGGACGTTAAAACTGATCGACAAAAAATTTGTGCGGCCGCAGCTGCTGCTGTTGTCGCAGCAACACAACAACAACAATCACCAAAAATTCATCCTCAACAACAGCCAACTTCCTGTAATTCTGTCCCGTTGGCAATAAATAAAGAACATGTGAGCACCAACACAGTTGCTGCTACAGCTCGAAATCGTCGAACGTTCAGTGGGTCTGGCCAAACAATTTCTCAACATACAAGAGACCGGTTGAAGTCTATGTATGTATTTTAATGTAAAAATCTGCAAATTTAAATATTTGCGGATAAATCTTGCGGATTTCTCACAAATTAAACTTTTAGGATTGCAATCAAAAAGCAGAGACAGCGATTACATACCTCCAGCTCTACTGGTTCCTCTTCAAATATAGCTGCTGCTGCTACCACCTCTTCTTCCTCTTTTAATGGAGTAGCGCCTAATTGGACGTCTCGAGCAATTGGTGCAACTTCAGAATCAAATTTGCCTAGCGGAAGTGATACAACTTCAATTCCTGTTACACTAGTTAATACTTCACATGTCGATCAAAGGTTTCACTTGTTAAAAAGGAATGTCTAATAGTCTTCTTAAATTCAGATTTTTGCCATATCCACATCCAACTCATCCTTCACGTCCTTCAAATGATTACGCATCTGGGGATTCCTCAGATGTTCCAAATTTCTCTTCTCTTTCTGCTGCAGAATTTCAATTACGAAAAGTGAACAGCGAGCCTAACCTCAAAATGCGCATTAGAGCACGACTTTTGAATAAAGGTTCAAGTCCACATCAGCAAACCACTATTCCTTCTAATGTTCCACCTCCACAAGCTATTGTATTTCCTTCACATAATGCACTACAACAAAGGTTTAAATTTTTGTTTTTTCTTTTTATTTTTTTAATTTCTAGGCCAGATAACGAGTTGAATGGTGATTCTTCTGCTGGCGCTTCTGCTTCAACAAATACCTCTTCTTCAGGTATAGATCCAGCAGCTGCTTCTTTACTTTTGCAACAAGCAGCGGCTTTAGCTGCGGCTGGTGGAGGAGGAAATGTTGCTACGCCAACAACAACCAATGCTCCTCATTCCTTCCATTTAGATGCTGCTTCAAATTTAATGATGGTTCCTTCACCTTCTTTACCAAATTTACCAATTACTGCCTCCTTTGGTGCTGCTGGTCATGGTAAAGGTTAGAAACTTGTTTTTTTTTGAAAGCCAATTTATTATAAAAATTTAGTCGATGCTATTCACAAAACTAGCGTTGAAGAAGGAATGAATTCTAACGGAACTTCTAATCAGCAACAACAGGATATGCTTAATGGACTTGTCTCTCTACAAAATACATTAATGCATCATTTCCTTTCAATGCCCTCTCTTCTAAAAAGCGGAGCTGGAGGTTGTGCTGGTGGAATTACTCCAACAACCAATTCAATATTGATGGAAAATAGTGGAGCTGGAGCTTATGGTTTAGGTGGAGGGGCACATACTCTCTTAGGCACTGGAGATTCTAATGCTTCATCTTCTAGTTCAGGTCTTTAATTTTATTTAAATTTAACTCTAAATTTTTTTAGCATTTAATTCAACACCAATTCAACAACAACAACAGCGCCAAGTTCGCTTTGATAACCGTACTCTAGCTGCGCCTGCACCTCAAATGCCTTCACTTGGAGGATATCCTTCTCTTTTGAAGCAACAATTACGAGATCTGGTACTTCGACGCAAGTCACTTGTCCGCGAAGAACCGGAGGATGATACTCTTATGGACTTTACAAGCAGCCTAGGACCAATAGCGTCACAGAAAGGAGTTAGTGCTGAAACAACTGATGCTAATTCTAATGCTTTGATGAATATAGTTGGCCAAAACCTAAAAACTGGTTTGGTTATTTTCGTCGAATTAAAAATTGTTTAAATTAAAACTTTAGGACTTGCTTATGATCAAGCAATGTATAAGCACCAGTGTCTTTGCGCAGAAAATGGAAATCATGTTGAGGTAATTTTACAAATAAATGAGACTGCTATAATCATTATAAAATCAAAGTTTGTTTGTCTTAAGTAGCTTTAACTTAATCATTTTCGGTATATATTTTTCATTCAATTCCCATAATTAAAGCATGGTGGTCGTGTTCAGTCCATTTGGTCAAGACTGATCGAATCAGGACTTGTATCTGCCTGTGAGAGAGTTAAGTAAGTTTTTTCATTTTAAAAATTTCATTTGTTTCCTTAAAATTTTTTAGTATTCGAAAAGCACCTCTAGAGGTACTTCGTCTTGTTCATTCACCTACTTATGTTACATTCTTTGCGATTTCTCCCACTGCTTGTCTTAAATTGGATCCTGCAGAGTTGCCACTTAAAAGTTTTGTACAGGTAAATATCTTTGCCTATTTTTTTCTCAAAATAATTTATTTAAGTTGCCATGTGGTGGTATTGGCGTAGATTCTGATACTTATTTTAACGATGCCAGTACACAGACCGCTGCAAAAATGGCTGTTGGAGCTCTTATTGAATTATGTTGTCAAGTAATGGAAGGTAAACTTAAAAATGGTTTTGCTTGTATTCGACCTCCTGGTCATCACGCAGAAAAGGAACAGGCAATGGGATTCTGCTTTTTTAATAATGTATGAGATTTTAATTTGATTAATTTCTTAATTTTAATTAAAAAAGGTTGCAATTGCTGCTCGTTACCTCCAACAGCGTTTTAGTAATGGTCCCTCACTTTCTCCTCCGCGTATTGCAATCATTGATTGGGACGTTCACCATGGAAATGGCACACAACTTTGTTTTGAGTCCGATCCAAATTGTTTATATCTGAGTTTGCATCGACATGACAATGGAAATTTCTTTCCTGGTACTTTTTTATAATTATTTTTTAGTTTTTAAAAATTATGTATAGGTACTGGTGCAGTTACAGAAATCGGAATTGGAGCAGGCAAGGGAACTACTGTCAATATTCCATTTAGTGGTGATATTATGGGTGATGCTGAATATCTGTTAGTGATTTTAGATGATTTTAGAATTAATAATTTTATTTAAGTGCTGCTTGGCGTGTACTTGTTCTGCCTCTTTTGGATGCGTTTAAGCCAGAATTTGTTTTAGTATCTGCCGGTTTTGATGCTACAAAAGGTCATGCAGCTGCTCTTGGAGGGTTTGCATATTATAGAAATTTATTCTAAATCTTCTCCCTTTGAATTATAGATACAATTTAACACCAAAATTGTTTGGCTATTTAACTCGTACTTTACGCCAATTTGCCAATGGACGTGTAGTTTTAGCATTAGAGGGTGGTTATGATCTTTCTTCAATCTGTGATGCAGCGGAGGAATGTGTTAAAGTAAAAAATAAATAATTTATTTAAAATCTTAATTTATTTATTTAGGCTCTTTGCTCAACTGAAAGTGCTGCTGCTGATTTTGTAGGCCAATTAAGTAGTGAAACGTTTGAACAAATTCCAAATCAATCAGCACAGGAAACCATTCAAAAAGTAAAAGAAATAAATTAATTTTTTATTTCAAAATTTATTTTAAGGTAATTGCTGTTCATAAAAAGCATTGGCCTTGCCTAACGGGTATTCAAGGCATAAATACATCAGAATTGAGTTGGCAAACAATTAGCCATAGATTTAGTTCTTTAACTATGCACTCCTGATTCACAATTTGATTTAAGTAGGTTGGTAACTTTGTAACTTGAAATTTTTTGTCATTTCGAAGCGGTCACTTGGATTTTATTAAAGCTCTTAAATTACCTTCCATTTTTTAATAATTGTAATTGTCTTTCCACCAACATACCACACTTGTTCTCGATGTGGGAATATTCTTTTAATTTTGTAAGGAACTATGGGTATAAATTTATTTATATTATCTTTTTTAGTATAAATTTATGATCTGACGTTAGGTGTTGTATGTTGGCCTTCCCCACTCAGCCCCCCTTATCTTACTTATACATATTTTTATCTACTAAATATTTTTTAATATATTTTTTAAAACAATTTTTATTATTTTTTAAATCTTTAATTCTTCCTCCCCCTTCACATTCCTTTCTTGTTTTGTTTGTATATTTAGAAATTAATTAGGATATTCTTCCTCAAAATTCTTTTATCAATTAATATCTTTTAGAAAATTCCAAATATTTACACCTCTCTTTTATTATTTAGAATTTATGTAAAATTAATTTTACTAAAAGTTAGTGATTTTTTAAATTTTAATTCACAATTTCAAGTCGCAAAAAATATAATTAATAAAAATAAATATTTTTTAAAGAACCAGCCAGGGTGTTGGGCGAATATAGTTTTTATTAATTGGAATATTATTTAATTCATCCAAATCTTTAATTGTTAATTTTAAATCCAACGAGTCAAAGTTGGAACAAATCCATTCTGGGTTTGATGATTTTGGTACAACTCCAATTCCTTAAAAATAAGATTTAAAATAATTTGTGAAGATTTTCTTTTTTTTCTTTATTTGAGAAGAAAATTAATGAGGTAGAAAAATTTTCTCAGACCTTGTGAAATAGCAAAAGATAACAGCACTTTCTGTAAAAATTATAATTTTCAAAAAATATTTTATTTTAACTTGAGGAGTTGTTTTGTGTTTCTCCGTTATTCTCTTCACCACAGGATCATTTAATAATTCTGGTTGTTGTCTGGCCATTGGAGAAAATGCCTTAAAAATTTTTTCTTTGTAATTATCCTCAAAAAAAACTTGTAAATGAATTCCCTCATTTTTACAAAATTCTCTAATTTCGTTTCTTCGAAAATGAGGATGAAATTCGATTTGATTAACTGCCGGTTTTTTATTTAAATATTTATTCATTTCTTCCAAGTGGCAAACTTCATAATTAGACACCCCAATTGAATGGACTTTTTCTTCTAAAAAATTCTATTTTTTATTTAAGAAAATTCTTTTAGAAAAACCCGAAAGGTTTTCAAGTGCCTGCCAATTTATTTTTCGACTAGCACTATTCCCTTCTTTGTCTTCATTTTTATTTTCATCGGGTTTTGGACAATGAATTAATACCAAATCAATATAACTTTAATTAAAAATATTTTTTAAAATTATGTAAATAGAAAAACTTTGTTTTTAAATTTTCCAATGATTCCTCAATTAATTTTGGCACTTCTTCACTAGCTTTTTCAGCAGGAAAGGGAGAGAATTTGGTTAGAAGAAATACATCTTCACGATTTAATCCATATTTTGGAAGTAATTTCTGAGGAAATAAAAAAGATTTAGTTTTTGTTATTGGCAAGTTAGATGCTAGTAAATAAATGATTTTGACTACAAAAAATATCTAAATCTCAATAATTTTTTCAAAGTTTCCGTGAGAAATCCACAAATTATGAAAAATATTTTTCAATGATTGTTGGGCTTCCTCACTTATTATAAAGAAAAATATTCGATACTTCAAGGCTATTGCCCAGCTGCTTCTCATTTTTATACAATTTTGCAGTATCAAAGAATCTATAGCCACATTTGAGGGCAGCATCCACAGAAGAATCCATTAGTGTTTGGTCAACAATTTTATAAGTACCTAATCCAATTAATGGAATTAGGTGGCCAGAATTTAATAAAACTTTTGGGCCTCCTTCGCCTTTTTGATTTTTTAAAATTTTTGTAGCAGTCATTTTGGACTGTAAATTAAATAATTATTTTAATTAATGGAAGGGCTTTTTAAGAATACAAAAGGGCAACGTAACTAAAAATTGATTTTTGCGGAGAATATTCAAGAAAATATATTAATTTTAATTTATGATTATGTAAGTAAAAGCAACTTGTTTGTAAATGAAATTATGTAAGAATTTAGGTCAATCACTTTAGGAATTTTATTTTTAAAAAAAAAAGAATAAAATGAGCATAGAATTGTTAAGTGAAAATTATTTTAAAAAATAAAGGCAATAAAAGAAAAAGTATTTTGGGTAAAAAAAATTAAAATCACAGGAAAAATATGAGTCTTTTTTAACATAAAAAAGTAATTAATAAATTTAATTTTCTCTTAATTAAATCCTCTCTTTATAATTTAACTTCCTCAACATAATTTGCTGGTAAAAGACCAGTTTTCCCTCCTTGAACCATCAACCGACCTGTCCACCAACCAGATTCATCTTTTTCGATTAATTCAATTAATTGGTCTTTTGTGAAAGAAAGTTCATCGATATCCTGAGCTTCATAAGGATATATAGCACGAAGAACGGGATTTGAAGTTATTGGTTTTACCTTAAAATATAGTGGAAGATAATTAATCAACGTTCTTTACTATTTGATTCGAGACGGGGGTTATTAAAATTATGTGTGGAGTTTAGGCCTTGTCTATTTAAAGTTTGGCAATTAAAACTTGATGTTTTGACAGGCCCATTACAATGGAATATCAATGATAGTTAAGTAATTTTGGGTGCTAAGAACACAAGTTTTTCTCTTTTATTTATTAAACACAACTCATAACTAGAACCAAAGTCCTGACTCTGAAAAACACTTTTGATCAAATTTTATTTGAAATGATCTGAAAGAGAAAATCTTCTTATGATTTGATCATTTTTAAACAAAAAATCTTTCAAATAATTTATCAAAATCATTTCAATCTATATAGAAATACCCCCTCCCCTTCAATAGAAACTTCTAAAAACCACCAAGAAAGAGTGATTTCTATTAAGTACTATTAACTGAAATGCCTCTAAATTTCAATTTAAAACTATTTCTTACCATAGGTTTTGGTTTAAGTGGCGGAGGGGCTGCTGCTTTTTGTTTTATTTGTTGATTTGAAATATTATTTTTGTTAGAAATTAAATTGTGTTGTTTATTTAAATTGTTTATTTGATTAGAAATACCGTTTGATGAAATTTTGTAATTACTTGATGGCTCTTTAAAGAAACTTTTTTTAATTCAATTTATTTAAAAGCTCACTACTATTTGGAGATAATCCATCAATAACCAAAATATTAAGTATTTTTCCATTTGGAACCAAAATAGTTCGTCGACCTTGTTGTTGTGTCTCCTAAAAATAATTAAATTTTCTTTAATTATTTTTTTAAAATTTTATTTTCTAAACTTTTCTTTTCTAAATTCAACAATCCTTTCATTTCCTCCAGTAAATAAAGAAATAGCAGCTTTTGGGAAAGCATTGGGTAACATTGCTGGACGCAATTGTTTTAATTGAATAATAAATTTGTCTGTAATTTGTAATGGAAGAGAAGATTGACGGAAATTTTCTTTTAAACGTTTACTGAAAAAATAAAAATTATTTTTGAATAAATTCAATTTAAATTACTTTAAAGCAGCCAAAAATTCAGTTTTTAAAGGTGTTTCCAAAAGACTTGAATATTCAGAAGTAACAACTAACAATAAAAAATCATCTTGAAATGAACTAACCAAAACAGCATTTAATGAGGCGAAAGGAATTTTTCTAAATTAAAAATTTTTATTTTATTAAGGTTAACCTCCACTATAGTTTACATTTTAATATAAGATTTTTAATTTGACTGGGCAATGACTAGGAGAAAGGATCTGCTAATAGATACTCTCAATAATGGATTACAATTAGGGTTAGGATTTTTAGGTTGCAAGAACTTAAAAATAGGTAACTAAATAAGTTGAAAAAACGCTAAAATAGTAAACATTTTACAAAGTAAACATTTTTTCCTGTCCCGAGAATATATTCTTATAGTTGAGCCTTTAACAATTTCAGTACCAATCGCTTTAGCTCGATGAGATGAATCGTTTAATACTAAATTTGTTAAGTAAAATTCGTAATTTTTGAAGGAAGTTATGCTTGCGTTGTTTGGCCGCGCATTATTTTGGGCGTGTCCCGGCCATAATTATTCTTTCTTTTTTACCTTTTTAGCGATTCTACCATTTTTCCAGCATTTGTTCCTTCCTTTAAAGCCTCCCGGCCAACAAGAAAAATTGCTTTTGTAGTCAATAAAAGGTCTGTCCTTGTTGGCTAAATTAATTTTTAAAAATAAAAAAAATTATTTCAAATATTACTCTAAAACGTCTATCATATTTAGTAACACTTGCAGCAAAGAAAATACGTTCACGTCTTCCCCCAACAATTGCTTGAAGTCCTGGATGATGGTCTAAACCAATATAATCTTTAAAAATTAATTTTTTTAATTTTAATATTTACTTTAAATTACCAGCAACAAAGCGACGTTCCAATGAATGACGATTTCTTTCTTTTAAACCTCGATAAAGTTCACTTGCTTCGTCCTAAATTTAAAAAATATAATTAATTTCTAAACACTAATAAAGCCTCATTTTTACAAAAAAATTAAATTTACTTTTTGCTTCCTCAAATTCCTTTTTGCAGCAAATCTTTTAAATATTCTTTGAATAATTCTAGCAAAAGCATCAAAACGTCTTTCCCTCGCTTCTTCTAAAAGAAATAAAGATTCTGGACTTCTAATAAATATTTTTGTGTTTCCAAGTCGAAACTCTTCAGGGGAAATCTGTGCAGTTTCACAAATAATTTCACAATCATGATGAGGATCTTTACTGTTTTTTAAACGAATTATATAATTTTAAATTTAAAGGAAACTTTTTTAATTTATTTTCACTTCCTTTACAAATTATTGAATATCTCCAAATAAAACGCTCAAAAAGTCGTCGATAGGCAAACCCAGCCCGACGAACGCGAATATTTTCTCGAAGACCAAGATAGCGGACTTGATGCAAAACTCTTAAAAATTAATTAAGATTTGTGATTATATCCAGGAATATTAGAAAATGTTCTTATTGTAAACTCTATACTTTTAAGCCCCAAAACCAAGTTAGATTCCTAAAAGGAACCATACCGTGAGGGCAATTAACGCTCAAAAGAAGTCGAAAACTTTGAAGCCCTATAACCTTCCGATTTGGGGGGTAGGGCCGAAAAAAACTGGCAATAGGAAATCGACCCTTCTCTACACGATGGTATAAATATAATTACGATATTTTTGGTGACCGTTCGATATGGTTCCTTGTTAATAAAATAAAGAAAATTATAAATACTCCTTTCCAAAAATCAAAATTAAAGAAAACCTTTCTTCGTCAAAATCAAGTGCCCGTTTTCTTTCATTTGGTTTAATACAACGAATGTAATGAGGCACACAACACATTAAAGATTCCATTAAATGATTTGCTTGACTCTAAAAAATAAATTTAATAAACTTAAAAATAAATTACTCGAATTTTTGAAGAAGCACTAGTTGGCTTTTTATTGGGATCTGATGGAATACATCCCTCAAATAATTGACGCATAAATGAACTAAAATAAAATATTCTATTAAATTCTAAAATATTTCACAAACTTTTTACTTCCCAACATTAAATGAACCAAATCAAAATGTAAAATATCTCGATTTCTATCACAAAAACCTTCAACTTGATAAAGTACTTCACCGGCATAGTGACGAACTAAAAAGTTATCAGATCCGGGGCGAAAATGTTCGTGTCCAAGTAATTGTTTTGATAATTTGTTTAACATTAAAATGTCAACGCCGTCACTTTGTCCGTGGATTTGGGCACAAACATCGTCGAGAATTGGCATAATACCTTAAAAATTAAAAACTTCTTTTTGTAGCAAAAAATATTTAAAAAACCTGGTGGCCTCTTTGCTTCAATTAAATCACAAACAATTTTGTTATTAAAGAATTCTACAGTTGTCCATTGAATACCTTCAGCCATATATTCCTCTTGTTCTGCTTTTAAAGTTAATTCAATAAAAATCTGTTGGAGTTTTTCATTTACAAAATTAATGCTAAAAATAATTTTAAAAAATATTTAAATAAACAAACCAAAATTGTTCAAATCCATTCCATTCAAAAACTTCAAATCCGTAAATATCCAACACACCAATTGACAGATCTAAAGAATGTCGCCGATCATCCACATTTAATGCTCGATTGACAGAAGTAACTAAATTAATTATTTAAAATTAAATTTTAAAGAAAACCTAAAAATTCAAAAAGTTTTGAGTAAAGAGCTTTTGCCCAAGCATTTCTGGTATATGCTGCCTTAAATGAATTAAAAAAAATAAATTTATATTTTAAATATTTTAACTTGTTCTTTGTTGTGTCTAACCTCCACTTGCTCAATATTTTTACCCCATTTAGATTGGAGTTGACGACGAGTTAAATTCTCCTAAAAATTAATTTTTATAATTTTAAAAATTAAAATTAACTTTAATCGCTTCAGGAGTTATTCCCAAAAGAAATGCAGGAAATTGCAAAACTAAAAAATTTTGTAAAAATATTTTTTAAAACAAAAACATTGTTCATCAGCAATAGTAGCAAATCCATCTCCTTCAGACTCCACAAAATTAATATTTCCAATGTGAAGTGTGGCTGCCACAACAGACAAACATTGACGCTGTATATTTTCGTCTAATCCTATTGCAGTCATTGCATCCTTAAAAATTATTTTATAAAATTTATATAAGGGCAGCAATTTCATAAAAAATAATTGATCAAGATTTTATAAAATTTACTTTAGTTTCAACAAAAGAACATCCATCATTTGTATTTTCAGCTTCATAACAATCAGAACAATTTAAATAATTATAATTTGTTGCTTTAGCCAATCCAAATGCTTTACTCAATTCTTTATCGGCTCCCTCAATTAATTGGTAAAAAATGTGAAAATTTCTTTCTCCTCGTGCTGTTTGAGCAACTCGGGATTTTTCTAGTGAAAATGAAGAAATTCGTCCACCCAAAGGTTCTCCACCAAGACTGAAGACTATTTCAACATATTTACCAAATCTGTGAATGGAAATTAATAAATTGAGGATTTTAAATAATAAAAAGGGAGGATGTGTTATTTATTTAAAAAAATTTTAGACTATCACATGCTTTAATATTTTCTTTAAGTTTCTAAAAAACCTCCAACCTGCTTGAATTCCAATTTCGCATAGTCGCAGCATTTCCAAAAGCTTCTAACAAAGGATTTGTCTTTAAAATAGTCTCTTTTAGGCCCTGTACACGTTGACCACCACCAGAAGAATGAGCTAAGTAAGACATCTAAATTAAAAAATTTTGGTTTATGTAAAAATTTTTTTTTAATTTTACAATATGTTTGGCAGCAACAGTTTTCCCAGCCCCACTTTCGCCTGAAATTATTACACATTGACGTTCACGGTCAATCATGAGGTTGCGAAACATTGAGTCGGCTAATGAAAAAATATGTGGAGGATTTTCATATTGGGCTGCGCCTAAAAAAATTTTAAAAATTAATTTCAAAAGATTTCCAAAGAAAAATTAAATTCCTTTTAAATTTTCTTCGCCTACCCTGATATTGTTCCATTTCCGCTTCTCCAAATTTTTGTACATCAGCAAAAGGATTAACACTAACAAGTACAGGTCCAATATATGTCTTGAAATATAAAAAATAATTATTATTAATTTTGAAAAAAATTCATACGAAAATTAAACGAGCAGCCAGCCTTTTACGTAAATTCTCAACAATAGCATCATCATTTAATTGTCGAAGTAAAACCATATCCTCCACTCCAGCTGCCGCATTTCGTTTTTGCCAGTGGGGAACAGAAGGCTTAAATTTGAGAAAATCTTTATTTAAAAATTAATTTGGGTAAAGAATCTGGAATAAAATTAAAAATAAACATTTTGATAAATGTAATTCACAGATTGACTATAGGTATTCAAGGTCATTTTAACTAAATTTAATAAGCACATATTCAAGAGCAGTTCATTTGATTACCCCAAATACCATATTTATTTCCCAAAATAGGGCTGGCCATTCAATTGGAGAGGCCATTTAATTAGAATAAAAACGGTAACCTATTTCCAGAACCTTCATTAATAAAAAAGGCAAAAATTGTTATATCCTACAATTCTGAAGATTTTAATTGGGATAGATAAAGGTACGAGATTTAATTTTGAACATTAACCACTTGATTACATAATTCCCTTATTAATTTAATGTCGAAGATATTAAAGGAAATACCCAAATCTAAACAGTCACTCATTAATGATTTTTATTTAAAAATAATTAACTCACCATAATTGTAAAAGTTCTGCTTAAAAAAACCAAATTTGTTGCAAAAAATGCCGATTTTTCTTTTAAAAATTTATTTAATCAGATCGAAGCGTTAATTTCCCTTTCAAATATTGTGACGGATGAATGGTTTTGAAAGAATAAAAATGTGAATGAATTGAATGAATCATTTCATTCATTTATTCAAGGTACATTCTTTTGTCAAGTATATACTACATACATACACACATACTCTTTTTCTCATTTTTATCGTTGAAATGTTTTAGACTTTATAAAATTGAAAAGAGATTTAAATGGGGAAACCAATAAATGAATAAGAAAAATTTTCTTATATTAAATCTCAGAAAAACCAAACTTTATTTTTTTGTACAATTTTATTGTGTATCAGACTGTTAGGGCATTGTAAATAGGTTTGGGGCCCGGTCCGAAAGATCGTTCGGGCATTGAATTTTGGCCCGAAAGAGACTCGGTCGGCCGACTCGAAAACCCCAGCCCTAATTGTAAATCAACCCTAATAAACAAAACAACCTAGCAATCTGCCTTATTCCTTAAGAAATCGAGGCTTAATTCAGAGTTAGAGCTCTACTATTAACCCCAAAACAGACATTTTGTCTTTGGGAAACAAATTATTTGAAAATTACTTTTTGTTTTCAATTAAATTCAAATAAAATTTCCCCACAAAATTTAGTAATTTTTTAAAATATTATTTAAAAAAATTTAAATGTTCTCGATAAACATATTAAAATAAAACACAAAAACAAACAAAATAACCATTTAATACGTTAAAGTGTGGTTGGTATCCATAATAGAGATTGAGGGAAGGTGAAAAGTTGATGCATAAATGTGAATTTTTATAACTAAAAATTGCCTAAAAACTGATTTAAAATTCATTATTTATGCAAAAAACATTTATTAAAAGTGATCATCAAAATAGATCACTTTATATATTAAGTGGCACAAAAAATTAAAAAAAATTGTGCATAAGTCTGTTTATGTAGTGGTAACTTCAATTTAGAAAATAACAATGTAAAAACAGAAAAATATATTAAAAAATGAGAATTAAATTTTAAAAATATCGGAAATGTGCAAAATATCTAAAAATAAAAAAAAAACATACCCCCAAATAAACACTCATTTATTACAAAAATATTTTTATAAAAATATTTTTGTAATAAAAAAAATAATTTTAAATTGTTCTTTAAAGAAATCCAAAAAAGTTTTTTCCGAATTAATTAAACTTTTAAAAGAGTGTAGTAATGAGTGTTTTTAGTGTTTTATTGTCCGCCTCGTTAGTCTTCTTATTCTCAAATCTTCAAACTTTAGTTTTAGGCTCACCATCAGCATTTTCTCCAGAAGCCTCTTCGAGCTTACGCTTCTAAAAATTTTTTCATTTAAACCCAAAAATGAAAGAAAAACAAACTCTAGCATTATTATTGTTTTCAGCGGCAACTGCTTCCTTTGGAATATTACCAGCGCCATTTTTCTTCTCTCCATTAGCCGTAGCCATTTTTGCCTTATCAACATAATCCTCTGATTCGTCCTCATCCTGAACAGCCTTCGAAGAATTTAAATAAGCAAGCTCCTCTTCATCGTGACTGTCAAATTCATCCTCATCAGACCCCTCCTCAACACCAATCCCAGCATCCTCAGCTCCTCCAAAGTCATCTGAAAGATCTGCTTCTTCTAAAAAAGGTTTTAAAAAAATAACCAGAAATTTATTTAACAAATTACCATCATTTACATCAAAACCGTCCAAATATCTAATTTGTGGCAACAGAGTGAACACATCCTTTCGGTACTGTGGAAGCTCCTTAAAATTAAAATGTAAACCCTTAAATATTCAAAACAAACCGTTACACTACAATCAAATAAATCTAACGCTGTCAATTCTGTAAGTTCCTTAAGTGGCTCAAGTGTTTTGATTGCCTTAAAAATAAAAATTAAATTATATATACCAAATACGGCTTCAAAAAAATATAAAAATTGACTTCAATTTTGTTAGCACACAAATTTAGATGATAAAGACGCGGACAGTTCTGCGCAAGTTTTTCCAACCCGCCAGTCAATTTATTGTCACTGAGATCGATTGTACGTAGAGCTGGAAGCTAAAATAACAAGAATTTCTTAGGTCAATTAAAAATTATATTCAAAGAAAGAAAAAAACAACAGAATCAAGAAAAACGTTAAGGTTATGGTATAAATGTTGCCTAACATCAAAGGAGCCCTGTCATTAACTAAAAATCAAAGCCCATTTGCCGAAAAGAAAGTATATTACAAAATATTTTTAAAAAAATAATTACCTTAGGCAAACCATCAAGCGAGTTCAGTCCAACATTAATCAAAGAAAGTGTTGTCAATTGTGTAAACTCATCGGTCAAACCGCTAATGCTAGTTGCTTTGCAATTGTCAAGAAGGAGATCCTGGACCTCAGATGGCTTTTTGCCTAAATTAATTAATTTAAAATTTGAAATATTAATTGTAAATACCGTTAAGTTCTTTTTTTATACGCTCATCCATTTCAATTTTTTCGTCTAATAAGAAGTAATTAGAAAAAAATACGAATGTCGGATCTAAAAAAATAAAATATTCAAATGTTATTTTATAAAAAAGTTAATATTTGGATGTAAAATAAGAAGACTATGTAAAAAAAACGAAGCCTTCTTCCGAGGAGTGATGGGCGGGTGTTTTGGTATTTTATACGAAGAGGACTATTAAGAGGGGAGAGTAAATGTAGGAGGAGCAACATTAGCGACTTGGGCAGATGGATTTGGGTCGCAACGAAAGGGTAAGAGTAAAGGGTAGAAAAAATAATAGCAAAAGGCGAAGTAAAAAAGGCGACACTGACGACATGGAAAAAATAGCGGAGAACTGAGAAAAGGAGTTTGTGGGCTAAAAATAAGTGATAAATCTAGTGAAAAAAGTTGCGGATTTAATTTGTTGTTTCTGCAAACATGTTGCGGACAACTTTTTAAGATGTTGAAAATTGATAGTTAGATAATTTTGAAAATTTAATTAAATGTGCTAATTACATAAAGCTAAAAAGATAAGAAAATTTTTGAATTACCAAAAAAACTGATTAATAAACTTAAAAATATTTTAATTTTAACCGTGAAAACAAAAATGAAAGCACATTATTTTCATTGTGAACAACAGAATTGACAATATAGGCAGCTAGCCAGAAGAAAAGGATTGGAGGGGTAAAAGAAGAATCCGCAACTAAATCTTAGCCGGCGTCCATTATGTGAAAAATGCCTAAATCTCTCCCAATAGAACGCTATTTGAGTTTCTATCGCGCCTTCTTTTTTATTGCTCTTATTTTTGTTGTTTCTAGATTTGTCTCTCTTAAAAACATTGAATATTTTCTCATCAATTGCATTATTTTTCTTTTCTCTTTTCTCGCCTGTAAATTTATTTCAAAGTGGTAAATTTTTGAAATATAAATTGAGTGAAAAAATTCAAAATGTCAATAAAAGAAATAGAAATTTTGAGATATTTCTCGTTAGTTACCACTTTGAAATGGGATAATTTTTCATTTTTGGATATTTTATCATTTATTAATGTAGAAAATTCAGTTGAGTCGATTGTTAAGTCCCCATTAATGGGCCCATTGTATATTTACGCCCTTAATTTCTTAATTTTGTTAAGTCCTTTTGACTCAAATGTGCGGACTCAACTGGGTTACCGTTCTAAATCCTACAATCAATAGAATCCTACTGTATATTTTTTGGTTTATCTGATTAAACGTTGCTATTTACCGTTTTTAATTCTTATCCACTTTTAATTCGTCTTATTTCCAGATTTGTACATTACATTGATATTCAACATTTAAGTGTTCAATGAAGACAGAAGTGTCAAGAAGTCGATCACGTAGCCCTGTCCGCGGGAGAAGAAGTGACTCTGTTCCACGTCGCCGCGATCGTGGAGGAGGTATTTATTTGTTAAATTTAGGATTTTTTAGTTACTGAAAGGCTTCGTTGATTTTTTGGAATTAAATTAGTTTTTTGCTTCGATTGACTTAAATTGTTCAATATTTATCGTCTTATGTAGACATTACAAGATGTCGATTCTACATTTTAGGGTTTTGTCGGCATTCTTATAAATTTTAAAAACACTTCTTAGGAGAGTAGTTCGTTTTTCTAGTTTTTTGCTTCAAATAAAGGTCTCATTGTGCAAAGTTTTTTTCAATTTTCCTGCCTTATTATTGGTCACTTAATCTTTCAAATAACACTTTTGTTTATTCTCGAATTTTCATTAAATGATTTCAACGGAATCAGGCGATGATTTTAGATTCCTATGATTTTTTGGGGGTTTCCTTTTGTGTCTTTAGCCTTCGAGGATTTAGTGAATCTGTGGCTGATGCTTCATTCAACAATTAGTTTTTGAATTTCAGAACGCGGAAATAGAATAGATCACAAAAGTGACAAGATGGTTTATTTGTCTAATCTTCCTTGGGAATTGAAATGGATGGAACTGAAGGATATTATTCGAGAGAAAGCCGGCGAGGTGTGTTTTTTAAACCTCATTTTGTAATTCCTGGACATATCTCTTGATATTTAAATATTTTCTGTGAACGGATTTGTTTCATCTAACGATGTTGCACTTTAAATACTTGATTTCAATATTAATTTGCATTTTTTCCATAAATCCAATAAACCCGTTCACAATTATAACTCTGAAATCTATCGTTGAGTCGGATTAAAAAATCAACAAATTGCAGGTAAATTTTGTTGAAATGCTTGAAGACAGAGATGGACGTTCTAAAGGATGTGCTGTAGTTGAATTTAAACATAGGGAAGGGGCAAATAAATGTATTGACAACATGCACCGAACAGAACTTCATGATCGTTTGATTATTGCAAAGGAGATTAGAGTGAATCTTTGTTTAAACTTTTTATTTTCTTGGAAAAAAGTTGAGGGGTTTACCTATTGTTTCACTGGATTTCTGGGTCCTTAAAAGATTATGAAAAATTAGTCTTGACGCTTTTTGTGTCAATTTCCTCATCAGAAATTAAAACTATGTGGCTGTTTCTTGTTAAGAAATGGGTCGAGCTAATTTTTCTTAAGCATCTCTTCAATAGGCGGAATTTTTTCTGAATTTTTTTACAGAATACTTGTTTTTAATTCAGAAAATCAGTTACGGGTTGTCTGAGTTTTACTTTAAAAACTTCTTACTGCTGAGATTTTATAAAAAAATGACAAATAATGTTTTGTTAGGATCCAATTGCTTTCTTCCGCAAAGTAAAAGAAGACACTGGAATTGATTTTCTTGGTGGCGGTGATCGTCCTGAACGTACTCGAGGAGCAGCTTCTGCTTTGAATCGTGATGGCGTCAGCACTAGTTTAAGTATTAACGAAAGCGAAACTTTTGGTTTAAGCCCTTCGTTTTTGCGTCAATTGGGAATTGGAACACCTCTTTGCAATCGAGTTTTTGTCACAAATGTTTGTTTTTCTTTTTTGTGAAAAATAATTCTCTTGAGAGACAGTATTAATCTTGGAATTTTGTTTCCAATTTTTTGTTAATTTTTTTTTCAATATTTTTGTTAATTAAGATTCCCTATAATTGTACTGTCGGCCGTCTTTTTGATATTTGTGCATTAGCTGGAAAAGTAACATGGATGGATCTACAGATGGACAAAGAGGGAAAAACAAAAGGAATGGCTGTTTGTGTGTATTCGCATCCTATAGAAGCTGTTCAGGCTGTCTCGATGTTGAATGGGCAACGACTTTTGGATAGAACTTTGGCTGTTCGGATGGATCGTTATCCGAAGGATATTGAAAGACGCGACCCTGGAGGACTTCCGGTTTGTCATTTGTGTCAGAGCTGTTTCGTAAGATGTTCGGAAATCGAAAAAAACGAAAATCAAAAAATATCTACCCTATCTTCAATTATTATACAGTTTTTTGATTAAATCTTTTTAGTTTGGTCTTCGTGGTGTTGGAATGGGACTTGGTGCGAATGGAGCTCCTCTTACAGACGTTGCCAGTGTTCTTTCAAATATGAATTCTGTCCCAGTTTCCACTCCAATTAATGGAACTGTCGCTCCAGTAGCTACTCCTTTGTTGGCTACAGCTGTACCCGCGCCTTTGAGTTGGGGAGGGATAACTAACCAAGTACCAATACAAACCCTTCAACAAGTAATTCCTCAACAAGAACAACAGATTGGGCATTTCCAGGTGTTTTTAAAATATTTTTTAAGTCAAAAATCTTTTTTAGTCTCCTGCCCAACCTACAACCTTCCAATCAACCTTTTTTGGTACTCAGTCGATAGGGCAGTCACATACCTCTTCTCACAGTCAAAGTATTGGTCAGCCTCGTATAACGCCAGGTATATTATCCCAATTTGGAGGAAGTGGTGGAAGTGGTTCTCAATATTCAACAAAAACATCTCCAAATTTTTCGTCACAACCAATTACTCAACAATCAACTGTTGGGATGAAGGTTCTGTCTAATTTAAAAGTAAATTTATATAAAGGAAAATTTTAGTTTGAGTATGGAAATGGCAGTGGTTTTGGGTCGATGGGTGGTTCGGCTTCTTCGGGTGGTGGAGGAAATTATGAAGTTTCTCGCATTATCCTCATTAAAAATGTAAGTTTTATGTTTATTTAAAACTATTAATTGATTTTTTACTTTAAAAATGAAAACTATCTTTTTTTCCTTTTTCAGTTGCCAGTCGACTATACTTGGCAAATTGTCAGTGATCGCGTTCAGCAATTTGGCGATCTTGAATCTGTCGAAATGATAACACCAGGTGTTGCTAAAGTTCGTTTTGTTCAATTAAAAGATGCTGAAAGAGCTAAGGCTGCATTACAAGGAACAACAGTCGAAGGAAGGATGATTAACATTGAATATTTATGAAAAAGTGTAGAAATTGGAAATTTTTGAAAAATTGTAAGACTATTTCTAATGGAATTGCGAAAAAAATAAATTCCTTTCCCCAATCCTTTTCTAATATTTTTTTCCATTTTTCTATTTAACGTGGAATTTCCATTAATTTCTGATAAATTTAATTTTTTGTTTATTTTAGGAAATTGATAATCTCCTTTATTTTTACATACAAACTTGACAATATCAATTTAAATGTAAAAATCTTTATTTCTTTAAGTAAAAAGCTTAAATTGCAGAAAACATTAAATAGCGAATCGAAAAACATTTAAAATAAATATTGGGTGATAAATGGCAACATTTAAAAATTTGCTAAGGGGATATAGATAAAAGCAAGAAGTGGCAAAATTTTTTACTGGTACTATTTAATTTAGTTTATGGATTTCTAGTCTCTTAGTAAGCCCTTTAACATAAAAAGCAAAACAAATGGGTATCAAACATAGAGAAGTTTTGTGGTATGGAACAATTAAATGTGTAAATATATTGTTTAAAATCACAGAGAAAATATATAATTTACAGATTCAAATAAGTAATTTTCATTTTGAATTCCTGAGCAAAAAAAGACAAAGACGCGACTATATTTAAGTATTTAATGGATGGATTAGAATAGAAATTGTAAGAGATCTTAGAAATTAAGTAAATGTTACTTAAAATCTCTCTCATAAACACTTGGATTTGTTAGAGGAATTTTCTCCTCAAAAATCGATAGAATTTTGGATTTTTCTCTTTGAAGATTAAACAAGATTAATTGTAAACCTCACAGTTAGATCGTTTTTGAGGAAGAAAAATCCAAAAATAAATTCATTTAAAAGAAGTAGGACTTGCACTACTATTATTTGGTTGTTGATTTCCCTGTTGATTATTTTCTGGAATATTTTCTTCTTCCAAAATATCCCTTTCTTCACTTTCATTAATATTTTCACCATTTCCTTCTTGAACAGTTAAAATATTTGGATTAACAGAAATTGATGATTGAGTTGTTTGTTGTTCAGTAATTAAATTGTAATAATTTGGAGGAACTCCTAATGGGGTTGGAACGCAGAGAATTGCCTGTAAAATTAAGAATTCTTTCCTCTTACATTAGTAAAAATATTGATTTTGAGTTTCCTAAATTTTTTAAGTTCCCTAGAAAAGACAAAGACGCAACTAGTCAATGCCAGAAAATTAAAGGCTATAATTTTTAAAAGAATTTTATCAACAGAAAATTCATTTTTATATTTACCTGTTCGTATGGTGGCGGTGGATCCAAAGGTTTATCATTAATAGAATTTGGGTTGTAAAGCATTGGAAAACGTTCCAACCGGAGAACATATTGTTGATCTTCTTGTTGTTGAGCGTTTAAAAGATTTTGCTAAAAATTAAAATAAAAATCAACAAAAAATTTCAAAAAAACCTGTGTATAGAAATTTTGTAAATGTTCTTCATTTTGTTGCCGCCGATTTATATTTAAAAGATTATCATTTGGGCGTCGAGATCGATTTGGGCCATTATGAGGACGTTGGACACCTCTACTATCGCCTAAAGCAGATGGACAATTTTGTTGGTGTTGACGACGTCGTGGTCCTTCAAAATTGATTTTTTTAATTGGCAAAATGAAAAACAAACGTCGTTCGTTCGGACGCGTTCTTTGTGTTGTTACCGGCCGAGAACGACATAATGAGCATAAATCCATACGACAAACAACACAACAAAATATAACAAGAGCTATAAAAAGAAGAGGTATTCCAATTGCAACAAGCCAAGAAGAAGTGTAATACTAGAATAAGAAAGTCTTTTGTAGAGAAAATTAAAAAAAAACCTGACAAAAAGTCCCACTATACCAACCATCCGCACATTGACAATTTCCATCACCTAATAGTCTCCCACCATTTTGACAATTAACTTGTTCACAATGCCGACCAGTTATGTAAATTGGATGTGTACATTTACAAATTTCTTCTTCTGTTTGAATACCACCAAAACCTGTAGTTTTTTCTTTTATTCGTTTACCTCCATTTGCACAAACTGAAAATTTAAAATTTAAATAAAAAGCAATGAAAAGAAAATGGACAAAACGGAGCATCACAAATAACTTATATTTAACCCATTTTATTTTGGAATTACTCTAAAATTAAAAAAAACCAACCAATTTGTTCACATAACTGCCCCTCAAAATATTGTGGACAAGTACAGCTTAAACTTCCAATTCCTCTATAACCACCTAAAATTTAAAAAAAATTATAAAAAAATAATTTTCCATACCATTTAAACAATCAGGTGAAAATCCCATCATTCTTTTCATATCCTCCCACATTGTGGAAAGACGTGTGCTGAAGCCTAAAAGAGGAATTATTAAAACTGAGAATATTTTTAAAAAATAATTATTGACAAAAGGAAGAAAGAGGAATCGCTATATTCGTTATAGGGTTTGATAAGTATTTGATAATATACAAATAACAAAAAATAGATAAAAATATATAAGAGTGCCGATGAAGGAGAGATGTCAATGACAAACAAAAGTTTTTATCTTGATCAGAAACAATCAGCTGTGTAGAAGTTGATGTTTTTAATTAACAAAAACATGCAAATAATGAATGGATAAAGGCAACGTAATTTCTAAAAATTAAAAACGGAGTGCTTAGAAAGTGCAAACAATTTAAAATAAAAGGAATAATTAGAAAAAAGGAATAATTAGAAAAAAGAAAAATTATTTAAATATGGAAATTTCTCTTTGGACAAAGTTCATTCAGGTTGACCTAATCAAATAAATGCTACAAACATTTACCAACCAAAAGAATTGCTTTCCCCCAATTTAAATTTAAAAAATTACCTAAACTTTTTCCTTCCTTCTTTTTCCCATCTTCAGACTTTCTTTTAGGTTCAGTATGACGACTATTGCTACTAGATTCACGAGAAGAAGAGGAGGAGGTTGTTGTTGTTCCTTTCTTTTCTTTTCGACGAGAAGATTCTTCTTTATTTGTACCTTCATTTAAATTTAAAATATCTTCCTCTTTATTTTCAATAATTTTTAAATTTGTAATTGGTGAAATAGTTGAAGTAGTAACAAGACTATCAGTAGAAGAAATTTTTTGGTCGACTTCTTTCTCTTTTTCTATAAAAAAAGTTTTTTAAAAATTATTTTTAATTATCAAAACCTTGAAGGGAAACAAAATTTTCATTTTCTTCTTCGTTAAATCCTCTCAATCGATTTTTTTCTTTAGGAGAAATGTAAGGATCGAGAATAATAGACATTGTGCCAAGTAAAAAAGATTCTCTAAAAAATTATTAGAAAAATTCAATTAAATATTTTCGTTTAATTATTCAAAAATTTTAAAATATGTAAATTAATGATAATTAAAAATTTAAAGAAAAATTCAAATAAAAAATTAAAAACTTGTCAAAATAGATAACGATAAATGTAAAATACAGTAGTCGACAAAAAGATAGGGACAAACACAAGTGTAATGGAAATCACCTATTTTCTCGGTTAAAAATCAATTTTAGGAAAACTTTTTTATTTGATTAAATACTCCATTTAATTCTCTATTTAATAAGTAGAAAATTTGCCTGGTTAAAATTTTATAAAATCCAAACATTATTAAAAAACAAAAGATATGCTATTTTAAGCGCGACAAAAAGATAGGGACAAGTCTTGTAACAAAGTTTTCATAAAAGCAAAAAATCTACAAAAATTTGTGGAAGCATATTGATCGATACTAAGAAGAAATAAAAAAGAACTAGGTCCATATCTCATTTCAATATCGAGATCTCGGAACCCTAAAAACACGGGTAAAACAGGGGTTTTCAACTTCAAAAAATATTTTCGACCCCTTATGGATTTTCTAAAATTTTTATTTTGAGCCCATTCGATAGCCCTTGAAATTTGCTATAAACTAGCCAAATTTCATTCTTCAAAAAAATTTCACTCCCGAGATAAAGGACGACGATTCACCAAAATGCCGTTTAAGAAGCAATTTATGGGGCGTTTGCTGTTTTTTGTGACGTTAGCCTCTACAGCTAACGAAATGTTTTTTTCTCAAAAATGAAATTTGGCTAGTTTATAGCAAATTTCAAGGGCTATCGAATGGGCTTAAAATAAAAATTTTAGAAAATCCATAAGGGGTCGAAAATATTTTTTGAAGTTGAAAACCCCTGTTTTACGTTGATTTTCGGGGTATTGAGATCTCGACAATAAAACGAGATATGGGCCTAGTTCTTTTTTATTTTATCTTAGTATCGATCAGTATGTTCGCACGAATTTTTATAAATTTTTTGGTTGAGTGAATAATTAGTTACAAGACTTGTCCCTATCTTTTTGTCGGGCTGAAATTTGCATAACTTTTTTAGTTAAATTATTTCAGTATTTCAAAAAATAATAATCCGGTAGATCTTATACTCATTAAATAGAGCATTAAATGGAGTATTTAATTAAACAAAAAAATTTTTCCTGAAATCGATTTTTAGTTGAGATAATAGGCGATTTTCGTTTCACATGCGTTTGTCCCTATCTTTTTGTCGACTACTGTAAATAGAAGAAAAATTCGCGCATTTAATGAATACCCCCTTCCTTACCCTCCTTCCCTCCCCCTCTCAATTATTTTACATTTTTTATCGCATTTTTTGTGTGTGTGCAGTCACAGACCACACCAATGAAGGTTCGGTCAATAAATAAAAGTGTCAGCGCCCACAGCCGGTAAGCATTGGATGAAGGCTATAAGCAAATAAACGAAAAAATACTACCTACACTAACAAAAAAAAAGACCAGAAAATAAACGCGCATCAAGAACCAACAAAAATAAAAAGAAAAATTAATGTACTTTTGCAATTTTTGAGAAAAAAAAGGACGATAAAAATTGACATAAAACGGGTTGGTAAAATCGGATTTGTTAAAGACCACAAACAATTAAGAGAGAAGTTATGGAAATAAAGAAAAGAAGAAATAGTTAGGCGTAGATTATGAATTTCGACAAAATGAAAGTTTTTGGGATTTTTTGTCATTTAAATATATTTTGATAAAATAATGCCAAAATGGCTGATTTTACATAAATCAAAAATTAGTAAATTTATTTTTGTACCAAGTAAATTGCTAAACAAATAAAAAGTACAACAATTTAATTTTTAGATTTTTGTATGTTTGCCCTTTTAAATAAAAATTAAATTTTGATTTTTGGACTTTAATCTCGAATTTAGAAAATGAAAAAATTAAAAATAAATTTAAAAGTGTAAATTAAACAAAAATTAAAAGATTTATTTATTTTGATTTTAAATAATGAAAATTATTTAGCATTGAAGAGTGTTGCTTTTAAATAAATAAATGTTGACAAATGTTGTTTTGTGTGCTTTTCTCGATATAAATAATTAGTTAAAATCAATAAAGTTAAAAAATTTTATTTGTTAAACAATAATAATTTTTGGATAAAAATATTGGAAATTATTGACATTTAAATAATGGACTTATTTTGCTACATAAATATTTTGCTTATATTCTGACTAAAAATTTCACCCAAATTACTCCATATTCTATTAAATATACAGCTTAATCTAATTTGGAAAAAAACTCAAACTTTTGTAGCACTTTAAAAATATAGTTGGATGGAGTAAAAACATAATCTGTCCCTATATGTGAGGGGACATAATGGAATGATATTTGGAGTAGAGGCCGGACTGAGAGGAGATCTCGGATCTCGTACGACACTCCCAGTCCGGTCTCTAATTTGCAATAAACAGAAAAATAGATATATAAATATAAATAAATAAATACACTATTACAATTTTATTTTTTAACCCTACATAACATTTATTTACGAAATCCAACGGCTTTTTTGTTAAATTTATTTTTTGAGCTAAACATGCTACATACAAGTAGTATTTTCTTTTATTTTAGTTTTTGTCAATAAACAATTCTGAAAATAAAAAAAGGGGGATTTTGTGAAAAAAAAACGGAAAAAGAAAAAATTGTTTATTGGGGTAATTTTTAGAACGAGATTTTGTTTAGTTAATAATAAATTTGCTTGAAAATTTTAACAAAAATAAGTTTAACTAGAATATAAGAACTAATTATTAAAACTAAGGTTATTGTTATCGAACTTCAAAATTATTAAATGAAAATTAAAAAAAAAATTCTGGACGTTAAAGAAATTTGAAGAAATTTTCAAGAATTTAAGTATCGACTGTGTCAATTTTGAGGCTCTCGCCAGTTTGGAAATTATAAAAAAATAAACTGGAATTTTTGAGAATATATTTATGTAGTTGTGGATGGATGACTAATAAAAATTATATAAAAAATTCTTTTCTCTCCAAAAAACAGCAGTTTTTAAAATAAATACTGAGAAGAGAGGAAGGAGAACTTTAAGTATAAATCAATTCTTTTTTTTTTAAATGTTTAATAAAATAAAGGGAAAAATATATTTTTTGTTTGTTTTAGAATTAAATTTTTTTTAATTTTAGCGAAAGAAAATATAAAATCAGCGCTTAATAATAATTAAAATAAAATTTATTTTTAATTTAAAAATGTTTTTTAGAAGTCATTAAATCCCTCCAAAAAATATAAAATTCCTTCCAAAACCGAAACTAAAAATTCAAAATACTGAAATAATTGGGGTTGTTTTATATTTTGTTTTGAAAGGAGTTGGGGGTTAGGTGGATTGTTTGGAAGGGATGACAAATTGGATAGATATTTCTGATTGAAAAATTTGTTTAAAATAACTAACACAATCTAAAATAACCCAATCTTTAATAAAATACCCCCCCCCTTTCCGCTCTTAGAAAAACAATAAAAATATCATTTTTAATTTATACCTACAAGTTTTGTTTTAAACTTAAAAGAATTCTTTAAACTTTAACTTCAAAACTAAAATAACTATAAAATTTTTACTAGGTCTGTTTCTCTTTTTAAAATATTCTCTTCTTTTTTCAAGTTTTGAATTGTTTTTCATTCACAAATTTTTTCCTTCTTCCTTAAAATTAATTAAAAATAATTTTATTTTATTTATTCAAAAGTTTCAATTAAAGTGCAGACGTGGATATTAACAATTTCAAAAAAAGCAACTTAATTCTTGAAAATTCTCTCGGCACCAGTGATGCAAAAGTTCCAGAACTGGAACAGAAGAAATCCAAAAAACAGTTCCAGAACTGGAACCGGTTCCAGAGAAGTTTTGGAACTTTTGCATCACTACTCGGCACACCTTATTTCAGTCTAAACTACTCCCTCCTCCCCACTAACCTCCATTGCTAATTGGATAAGAGAAGAAATATTGAAAAGTGCTTCATTAATTATATAAATCATCTTAATTATTTTTTCTTCTTTATGTTTATATTTTGTTAATTCGTTAGATAAAGCCTATAAAAAATATTTTTATTAAAAGTTGGATAGGGATTTGATTATCCCTAAATTGTTTTAATTAAAGATTTAGCAAGGAGGATATTTATATTTTTTAAATAATTTTTTCTTTTTTTTTCCATTATTATTGCAATATTTATAACAAAAAAATATTTCTACCAAATCAATCACAACTGGCTTATTTTTATAATTTTCGATTTTGCCTTGAATTTTTTTAAATTTATCATTTAAATGCTTAAGTGCCTCCAAATATTTATTATTTTGTTCTAGAATTGTGTAATTTGCTGTATATCCCTCGTAGGGTGGTTTGATTAAATTTAATAAATCTATAAATATATTTTTAAATATATTTGTATTAGAACTTTAAAAAGTATTTTCACAGAAAGAGCAGAAAAAATATTTTTAATAATTTGTTTGGGTTTTAATAACAAAAATATTATTTTTTTTTAAATTAAATGTTTTTGTTAGTGTATAACCGGCAAAAAATTTCAAATTATTTTTCATTGAAAAATTAAAAATATTACGGAAATCTGTATTGTTGTTTGTATTCACAATTTTCATTAATTGTTCTTTTACTATATCATCTACTTTCTTTGAAGCAACGATTTGGTGATTAGGTGGAGAAGGAGGAGAAGGAGATTTTTGCTTAAAAAATTTATTTTTTAATAATTTAAATAAATAAACTAAAGATTTTGAAGAGCTTCCTCCTCCGTGCCCATGATACATTCCAAACACAAACGAAAATTTAATAAAAATAATTAATAAATTAAAATTTTGCATTTTTTTGTTTTTAAAAATTAATTAATTAATTTTATTTAATAAAAAATATTTATTTTACAAAAATCCCCTCTCCCCTCCCCTCATTTCAATAATTAAATGCTTAATTTAAAAGAATCTTCCGACTAAAACAACATTCAAAGGGAAACAAAATCGTTTATTCCTTCATGTTTTAAGATAATAATGCCGGTCTCTGTGACAGATAACAATGCTTTTTATTACCATGTTAGAGCTTATAGTAAAACTTATTTAGGGCTTAAGTATTTGGCCAAAAATTTATTTTTATATTTTTGTATGCCTTATAAAAAATAAATATGTTTAGCTAATGAGTAACTACACTCTCCCTCTCCCTCTCTCTATTAGACTTTCTAAATGCTGTCTAAGCCCTCATTATTCTTCTTATCACGAGATTTTGTAAAAAATCTATAAGAAATCAAAAATCTATAAAGAAATAATTGATTTTCAAAAATTTATTTAATAAAACAAAAATAAATTTTAAAAATTTAAAACATTTATTTACATACATAAATATAAAATTTAAATAAAAATAATTTTTAAAAATAACTTTAACATTGAAAAGAATTTTTATCTATTAAAATTAAAAAAAAATATTTAAAGAAAATTAAAAATTTTTGTAGACAGAACTTTGTTTGGGAAATAAAATTTTCAAAAAAAAATTTAAAGAGAAGAGAGTGGCATGCTGGTATGGCTCGAGATTTTTTTAAAGAATTAAAAATTAAATAAAAATTTGATTTTCTTAAGAATTTCACCGCCTTCACTCTTTTTAACTCTCACGAGATTTAAAAAAAATTTTTAAAGAATTAAAAATTAAAAAAAATTGATTTTCTAATTAAAAAAAATTAATAAAATAAATAAAATAAATTAACTTAATTAAAATTAAAAATATGTATTTATTTATTTAAATATAAAATTTAAATAAAAATAGCCAAACTTATAAAAAGAAAAAAATACAAAAAAATTTTTATGAAAAATAAAAGTAATTTTATTTTATTTTAAATATACTCCATGTAGAAGTCTGTAAATTGTTTGTGGATTTACTTTGAACTCTAAAAAATTTTTTCTAATAAAATAAAAATTATTGCCAAATAATTTGAAAGTTTATTCGGAATTTTTTCTTTCAAAATAAATTTACTGTAAGCTCCCGCGTAAGATTAGTTAACCATTTTTGAGAGACTACCGAATTTTCTGATTAAGCGTCTCTTAATTTTATAACTACAAGGAAATAAAATTCTGATTATTATAGTTTAACTGTGGATAATCAGTCTAAAATGGCCTAAGGGGATATACTAGAAATAGGCGGTATTCTAAAAATGAAGTAGGGGTATCTGGTAGATTCACCAAGTTCTCTTATTCGAGCTTTCTTCTCAGTGTTTTGGGGGGGGGGGGGGGTTACCGCTTATTCCAAAAAGTCGATCAGATAACAAGCTGATTATCCGCACCTTCTGTCTCTGGGTTTTCTGCGTAGACACGAAAAGGAATATTTAATAATCTGAAGCATATACATATTTAACTATTTAATTCCTAAAGCTATAAAGGATAACACATAAATCTTGAAAAAAATTTTTATCCAGAAAAAAATTAAAAGAATATTTAAAAATAATAAAAGTTCGGAAAGGAAAATTTTCAAAAAATATATTTAGAGATTACGGCCTAGAAAGATTTTTTAAAAATTATATATCTGAAAATAATTAATTTTTGATAAAATTCCTTTCTAAAGCTAAAATTAAAAACCAAAAAATCAAATTTTAAAATCGGAGTAGTCTAAAACTGAGGGTAAAAGTGTTAATAATCAATCATGAATACTTTAAATAAATAATTGAAAATAAATAAATTTAAAAAAAATTGGGGATGTTTTGCCGTTTGTTTGGTAACTGGACGGGGGTTTTGGATGGAATGGACATTTATGATCAGAAAAAACACCTTTTAAACTGAAAATAAAAACACCACCGAAACAACCCAATCCAAAAAAATCCCCCCCCCCCTCCTCCCCTTTTACTAAAAACCCCAAAAATGATAAAAATACTTAAAAGTTTTGTTTTAAAATTAATAAAAATACCAAAAAAAATTTTTTTAAATCCCAAAATTTTTAAAAGTTTTCTCTCTTTCTTGAATAAAATTTAAACTTCTTCCTTTAAATTTTGAATAAAAATTATTCTTCATTGAAAAGGTATTCCTTTATTAAAATAAAAAATATGTATATATTTTTATTAAATCTAAAATTTCGATTGTGGGGTGGGCACTCTGGTAGCAATGGGAGACCCAAAAATTAACAAAAATAATGCATGCCCCTTATCCACCTTGCCCGAGACCTGCATTCGAGTGACCAAAACTAGAAACCAAAATTTTTCCCATTGTCGGCGCTACCCTTCTCGTTTTTTCTGTACAGACCCAAAGGAATAAAATATTTATATAAATTTAGGGGTAATAAATAAAAGAAATTTTTATTCCAAAAATTTCTTTCTACCTTTTGAATGAAAAAATTTTGAGACAACATCATGAATTTCCCAGAGGGCTTCCTTTATTACATTCTCCATTCTAGTTAATATATCTTTTTCATGTTTATTATTTGTCAAATCGCTAGATAAAGTCTATAAAAAATATTTTAATTAAAAATTGAAGTTTAAATTATTTTGGTTAAAAATCAAAGTCGGATTTTCTTTTTTTTCTTCCCTAATTAAAATTTTCACAAAAACAAAAATATTTTTACCAAGGTAGGTTCAACTGGCTCATTTTCAAGATTATTGATATTTTGTTGAATTTCGGTTAATTTTTCATTTAAATGATCACGTGCCGCCAAATATTTTTTATTTTGATAGTCAATTGTGAAATTCGAAATATTTTCTCTAGGCGGTTGGATAATATTTAATAATTCTAAATATATTTTTTAAATATATTTATCGTTAAAAAGTAAAATTCCGCATTTATTTAAAATGAGTGAATTTTCACAGAAAGGGGGTAAAAAATGAAAGATTGCTTTTAGAGACTTACAAAATAAAAAAATTTTTTTTAATTTTTAAAAATTAAATATATGTATAGATGCTAGTTTGACACTGTCATCTATACATATACCTATAAATGTTTGTTTGGTCCCTAATTAACAATAATTGTTTTCTAAAAAATATCATGCTATTTTTTCCGCATCGTAGTTTTTGTAACTAAAAAATTCAAAAATTTTCAAAAATTATTTTCTATATTTTTGTTCAAAATTTAAATTAAAATATTACCAGCATCAACATTCTTTGTAATTTCCTTTAATTGTGTTGACACCCTTTTATCCAAATTTTTTATAGGACGTATTGCATGAACGATTGGGTTATCAGGTAAAGACGGAGGAAAATTCTAAAAAAGTTTATGTATTTATTTTCTAATTTAAATAAATATGTAACAGACTAAATGTGCCGAAGAGCTTCCTTCTACTTGTTGAGGGGGGTGTCTAGGGCGCATTCCAAACACAAACGAGAATTTAATAAAAATAATTAATAAATTTAAATTTTGCATTTTCTTTTTGTTTTTAAAAATTCTTAAAAAAATTTTTTTTAATATGTATTATTACCCCCTCCCATTAATTAAATTTTTATTTATAAAAAGAATTTTCTGTTTAAAATAAATTAGAAAAGGCGGAGGGATACTTTCTTCTAAAATAACTTCTAAAATAAATATATTTTTCGAAAAACCCTCCCGTATAAAAACTTTTATTTTAAATAAAAATAATTAATTTTTATTAAAAATTTTTATATTTTAAATTAAAAAAAATTAATTTAAAAATCATAAACCAACCACCCCAACCCCCTTACCACCCCAAACCTGTTAGAATAAGTTTAGTTTAGAATGAGTTGTTTAACCCAATGAATGAGTTTAGCTTAATTTGCCCTCCATTTTAAAGACTTTTTCAGAAGTCGACGCCTCCTCCATTCACTCATGACCTTATAAAAAATTCTTTTCTTCGACTTTAAATTTTACTTCCTTTTTCTACTTCCTCTTTCTACTTCCTTCTTTACTTCCTCTTTCTACTTCCTTTTCTTATGTCTTTCTACTCCCTCTATAAAAATTTTTTATCGAGTTCCCCTCACGAGTTTTTTTCTAAAAATTAAAAAAAAAATTTTTAAAAGGATAATTGATTTTTTAAAATTTATTAAAAAAAATTTTGCAGAAAATTTAAATATAATAAATTTTAAAAATTAAATTACTCTAAAATTAAAATAAAATTCTTTAATTAAATAATAATTTTTGTTAAATAATTTGAAATTCAAAATAAATTTATTATAAGCTTCCGCGTAGGGTTAAGCATTTTTGAGAGAAATGGGGATAACTTTAAACTACCGACTTTTTTTAAATTAAGCGTCTCTTAAATTTTATAACATTTAGGAAATTTAAACTAAAATTCTGATTTTTACCTATCCAAGTATTCGAAATTATTTTGTTTGTAGAATTTTAGAAATTAGAATTTTATTTAAATTAGAAATTTAAATTAAAATTAGATTAAAAAATTAAAAATAAAATTTGAATTAAAATAATTAAAATTAGAAATTCAAATGTTCTATTCGTTTGTTCTCTATTTTTCTTTTACATTATTTAATCTTGGATGATATTCCAAAAAAGGGTTCTTGGTTACCAGCTTTGGGTAACTAGCGAGTTCTGGGTCAATTTTTTGGGATAAAGATCTCCCAACACGGTGCTCTATTATCCGAGTAAGAAGTTTAATCGAAAAAGCCGGTAGAAAGACTTAGGGCTATAAATATTCGAAAAACGAATTGCCGGATTAACCAGAGACGGTAATTTAGAGGAATAGTTGAGGGTAAACTAACGGATATAGTGCTTACAAAATGTGCTTACTCCCCCCTATGGTTTGTCGCTTTTCGGGGACCTATATCTCGGTCCACAGGCATCTTCTGAAAAAAGAGAGAATAATATTCTTTAATGAAATAGAAAAATAAAAAAAATTAATTAAAATACCTAGTAATTAAAAACTAACCAATAACCTTTATTTTTGAATGAAGGTTTTGCTTGCAGGTTTTATTTACCCAAGTAACTAACCCAAAACTCAATGTTAATGCGACTCACATTGAAAAATTTAAATTAAAATTTTTTAAATTAATTTAAAAATTTATTATTTATTTAAATATATAAAAATTTAAAGAAAAAAAAATGGCAGAAATTAAAAGAAAGAGGCACACAAAAAAGGGTAAAGGAATTTATACATAAATATATATCACAATTTATTATTTTAAATGTACTCCGTGTAGTACAATATCACCTTCAATTGAAAGTCGGTCAATTGTTTGTGGATTTATTCTAAAATTTAAAAAATAAATTAAAAATAATTAGACCCTTTTAAGAAATATTTTTGGGGCCAAAAAGATTTAATCGAGTATATGATATTAGTGATGTTCGGGTATCCCGTTTCCCGGGTTTTTTCTTCTCCAGAACATCACTAGTATGTACATATAACCAATTATTGAGGGTATCTCTTTTATCTTTCCTCACAAAGTGACCTACCAAATATTTAAAAACATATTTTTATTTTAAATATATTTTTAGCAGATTCAGAATGAAATATTTATTTTTATTATTTAACTTTTAAAGTCAAAACTTTTTATACGAAAAAGGGAAAAATATTGCCTTATAAAGAAGAGAGATTGAGATATGGAGATTGAGAAATATATTTTATTTAAAAAATTTTTTCCTTAAAATTTCTAAATTAATTTACCTATGTTCATATTTTCCCAATAAACAATCATCAATATAAATTACAAATTTTTTATCTTCACAATAAATTAATAAATCAAAAGCTTTTTTTCTTCTAAAAGGGAATTCTTCTAATTGAAATATTGTTGGTGGTGACTCTCCAATTAATAAATTTTTATTCTTTTGTTCTCCTTCTCCCCCTCCTTCTTCTGTTGTTTGTGTTGTTGTTTGTGTATCACAAATCATTTTCTTTTAAAAAATTATTATTTTATTTATTTAAAAATTGTGAAGAAAAAGCTTAAAATTATTATAAATAAAGAAATTATTTTCTGAAAAGACTTTTCTATTTTTAATTAATTAACACTCAATTGGTGAGGAGATATATCGGGATTGAAGTGAGTATTTATGTTGGTTTTTAAACATAAAAACTCTTTTTATCAATAGGATAATGTAATATCCAAGACCCAGTGGACGTAGGTATATCCGCCCTGATATATCTGGCTACACAACAGTTCCTCATTTACTAAGACGTATTTACTTTCTTAAATTAACATTTTTTAAATCTTATTGTATTTGATTTTTTTGTCTGTTACCTCTCCATAGGTAATCCCTGTGGATCTAGAACTTTTATTTTATTGTCTCAAATTTTATTTATTTGTGTTCAATAAAGAAAAAAATTATTATTACCTTAGAAAATCCAAATTTTGTAGTCATTCTAAATGCTTTATTAACACCAGAAACTAAAAAAATATTTTTTTCAAAAAATATTTCTTTTAAATTTCCTTACATAAAATTAATTGAAAGTGTTTAGCTCTTTTTTTAATTAATCCAGAAATATATAGACGCCTTCCAGGATAGAAATTTCCGGGTATATCAGCAGCATAGGGAACTATATATTCTCTCCCTTCCCACGATACCTTTTTAATTTTTAAATTAAAAAAATATTTTTTTTTCTTTAAAAAATTTACAGAATATAATTCAACACAACCATCAACATATAAATGGGAAATATTTGTTAAAGGGACATAATGCCCAAAACGAGCACATAATTTGTGATCAACAAATACCTTTAAAGTTTTTTTAAAATCTATTTTAATTCAAAAGAAACCTCAAATTCATCTTCATGACATCTTATTCGGATGTCAAATTCGTCTCCTAAAAATTTTAATTAAATTAATTTTAAAGTGTAATTAAATGTTTGTCTCTTTCAGGCTTTTCTCAATTTACAAAAATTGAGAGAAAATATTTAAAAATAATTTTAGAATTTTTTTTGTTTTAAAAATTAATTAAACACAATTTTGTAACTTGTTTCAGTTAATTTTCTTTAATTAATTCCCTTTCCCCCTACCATTTTTCCATTTATGTTTAACAAATCCTTCACTTCCCCATTCCCCATTAATACAAGCATTTAAACGAATTCTTTTCTTTTTTAATTCAATTTTCATACAAAGTAAACGATCATCTAAAACACGAGTTTCTTCATCCAATATTACTCTACAAAAAACATTTTTCTTCTTTTAAATCTCAAAATTACCTAGATCCGCTAGTTAAATTAATAACAAATTCCTCATTTGCTTTAAAATTAAATTTATTTTTAAAATTTATTTTTTTCTCTTACAAATAATAACTCCTCTAACAATTAAAGATTGTCCACTTTCTAATTGATTCCCTTCCAATTTTGACAAATATGGGACAGGCTTTAAATAAAAATTAAAAATTAAATTAAATTTAAATTAATTTAAAAAATACAAAAGAATTATTCCTTCCAGTTATTGAATCTTTCTTTGTTAATTTTTTCCTTCTAAGGCCAAAAAGTTTACGAAGAAAAGAGGCCATTTTAAATATTTTCTCTTTAAAAATCTTAATTAAAAATTAATTAATATTTATTTATTTTTAAGCAATCAAATTTAAATTACACAAAAGAAAAATAAAATAAATATTTTAAAAAAATTATTTATTTATTTTTTTGGTCTTTTTACTTGCCGATAATCTTGTAATTAGAATAACTAAAGATTGGATTGTGATTGAAGAACGAGAATTGAGAATATATCTCGAAGAATCTCAATTCTCGATAACTGAGATTTTTGTTCGAAAGCTCGTTCCGGTCTTTCTATTTTTAAATACATTTTTCTAAATTTTTGAAACGTTTTGATGTTGTAAAAAAGAAAGAAAGTTTGTTATTTTTGGAAGAATACATATTTAATTACATAAATTAAATTAAATTAAAAATATATCTTCTATTTTTTAATTTAAACTAATTCCAATAAAATCAAATAAATATTTAATGATCAATGATTAATAAACGTTTAAATTAGAACACAAAAAATTAATCTGAGAAATTATTTAAAATAAATAAATGAATATATTTATTGTAGGCTTTTTAGTAATGGATATGACAGAATATTATAATTTTGGATCAAAAACTTGTCAGTTAATAAATATTTTTAAATTTTAAAGAGGATCAGGAAATTAAAATATAATATTTATTTTTCTAGTATTTTACAAAAATAAATAATATATTCAAAACAAATAAATATATTTAATAACAAACCAAAATAACAAGAACAAACAAAGAATAAAAACTCGTTTTTATGTATTTATTGTTGACATAAAAAATATATTTTTGGACTAAAATTTTTTTGAAAAGTATTTTTAATATTTTGATTTAATCAAAAATTGCTATAAAATAATTAAATTAAATAATTAGTTGAAGTGTTTGGATGTTGGAAGGAAGGTATTTATTAGAAGGAGTAATTAATTGAGAAAGAGGGGATTTTTGAAAGAATTAAAAAGTGAATAAAGGTTGTTATGAGTTGTGAGTTGGAACTAGGTTTTTGTTTTGATCTAATGTTTTTTGTTCAAAATAATTTTTTTAATTTAAAATAAATATTTAATTAAAATAATTTTGTGTGCATAATCAATAAGGCTGTGATTTATAGGCAAATGCCTATTTTTTCTGCAAGCTTGGGATGATGTAATATGTTCAAAAAACGTGTTTTTAGCTTGGTCCGAAGAGTCTAGCATGACTTTTAATATGCCTATTTTTGCCTATTTTGGACTTTTTGAGCCTTTTTGCCTATTTTGAAATTTTTGGTACTATTTTTGCCTATTTTAGCGATTTTTCCTAACTTTTGCCTAAAAATAAGTGAAAAATCTAAAAAAATCAGCCCGGATTTAAAAAATTAGTGCCCATTCCCATTTTTAACTTATAATTCGATGAAATAAGTATTTTTACTCTGTGGACATTTTGAGATGAGACGTTTTGGTGTTGGGACATTTTGGGATGGGACGTTTTAAGGGCTGGGCAAGATGTCACTTTTGTCAATTATCGACATTTTTAAACAGTTTTTTACAAAAAATGACTCAAAATGACAAATAAATGGCAAAAGAGTTTAATAATTACAGTAGTGGACATAAAGATAGGGACAAGAGTAATTTAAATGAAAATTAACTATTTCTCAGTCGAAAAATACGATCTATATATCAATCGAAAGCTCTATTCGTATCTCAGTTGACATGTTTCTGCATTTTTCATGAAAATGAAAATCGGCCGAGATAATCCGGATCTACCGGATATACCAAATCCCATAGCCTCGGAAATAATTTTCGGAAAAAATTTAACAAACCCATTTGATAAAGCATATTTTTGTGAGTATTTTCTACAAAACCGCTTAAAAATATCTCTTTCCGGGACGGAGATATGATTTTTTGAAAATGGCATTTTTAGCCTATTTTTGCAAAAAATTCAATTTTTAAGGGAAAAATGCCATTTTCAAAAAATCATATCTCCGTCCCGGAAAAAGATATTTCTAAGCGGTTTTGTGGAAAATACTCACAAAAATATGCTTTATCAAATGGGTTTGTTAATTTTTTTCCGAAAATTTTTTCCGAGGCTATGGGATTTGGTATATCCGGTAGATCCGGATTATCTCGGCCGATTTTCATTTTCATGAAAAATGCAGAAACATGTCAACTGAGATACGAATAGAGCTTTCGATTGATATATAGATCGTATTTTTCGACTGAGAAATAGTTAATTTTCATTTAAATTACTCTTGTCCCTATCTTTATGTCGATGACTGTAGCTTATAATTCAAAAATAACGAATAAATGGGTATTTTCTTGTTTTGTTTTATTTTTATAGGCCTGATAACCTTTTTTACATGCCTATTTTTGTGCCTTTTTTGGCTTTTTGGTGCCTATTTTAGGCGCCTATTTCACTGATTTTACTTGCCTAACTATCACAGCTTTAATAATCAATAATTAATTTAAAAAATTAAAAGAGAAATTAAAAAAAAATAAAGTTTCGATCATTTATTTTTAAATAAAAATATGTATTTCTAAATTTTCACCCATTAATTAATTTATTTATTTATTTATTACACTCTTTATAAAAGGTAAAAAGAAATGTGAACAATTTTAAAAAAATTCCCGGGTGTTTATTATACCCACACAAATAAAAATTATTTTTTAAAACACTTTACTCTTTCTCTCTCTCATTTAAAAACTTCCAATCCAAACCCATTTTTAGAAAATAAATAAAAAAAAGAAAGAATTGTTAAAATATAATAAAGCAATCAGAAAAAGAAAAAAAATATTTAATTAATATAAAACGCCCGACAAATTCCTAGCCGTTAATGGTGCAAAAAAAAGAAAAAAATTAAAAGTTTAGAGAAATTATTTGAAAATATTAGAATAAAGTTGAAAATTAAACTTCCGATATTTTTAAATATTAAAATCAGAATTATTCTTCTTCAGTTGCCCCGTAAATAATTGGAAATTTTAGAGTTACACAGGAAGTACCGGTTCCGGTCAAAATTCCAGTCCTGTGAAACACCAGAATTTTTTCTTTAAAATATTCCTCTTCCAAAGAAAGATTTTACTCCAAATATATAAAATTATTACATAAAAAGTTAACCGGGAGATCCCGACATATAGAAGACCGAAGATTTCCATAAGAAATAAGCGATGGTATTTTAAAAGTTTTTGAAAACAAAAAAAGAAATTATTTTTTAAAACAATTTTATATTTTAATTTAAAAATTTAAAAAGTCGATAGATATTTATCAGATGATGAATGTCATATGGAAATTACACATGTGATAGTCTGACATGTTATATCATATGTATTGAATTTACTAGACACATGAATGCCCTTTTACCAACTGTCCAATAATTGAGAATTTCTAAATTTAGAATTATATGTATGTAGAGACTTTAAGAGAGAGAGAAAGATAATAAATAAAATTTAGATAGAAGTTTTTAAAGATTTTTTTGAAGAAGTTTTTGAAGATCTCCATAGAATTTTTTAAGATTTCAAGAGAGAAAGACATAGTAGAATTAGTAAACTTGAGAAGAAACTTTACCAGAATTCCAACTTTCAAAAAAATATTTTTTTCTAATTTTCGACATTTTTGCTCAAAATAGCCATTCCTTTTTGTGTAAAAAAGGATAAATTCTGATTTCTTATCCATTTAAAAATCCAAAAATTTTATTATTCGAAGCTAAAAAGGGAGGAATTCCCCAATCCCAAATCCTTTCCGTTCCTACCACGATATTTAAGGAAAAATTGGAGGAATTTGCAACACAATACTACATATTTAAAATATATAATCTACTACATATAAAATTTTTTAACTTTTTATTCAAAAATAATTTTTAATTGTTAAAATTTTTTTTATTTTAGAAAATTTTAATTTTTATTCCAGCTTCCCACAAGAGTTAGAGAGAGATTCTAGACTGTTAGAGTCCATAGTCAATAATTTAAAAATTCAATTTTAAGTAAAGCAATATTATAAGTGCCCCTCATTGTCTGGCTATTCGATTGAATTTGGCCAATGAGGAGGGCACACGTTACTTGAGAGCCCTCCCCTCCCCATAACGCCCCATTTCAATTTAATGTCTAGGGCAAATCCATTTAAACAGCAGAAAATTCAAATAAATCCACATTTGAAGAATAACTTTGAATTCTTAAAAGTCAGGGGGAATTCTATAACCGGGAGCGGGTCAAGATACCGTTGCCTGATAATAAAGGGGAATTTTACAACCGGGAGGAGGCCAAGATAACGTTGCCCCAGGTACTAATTAATAAACTCTCAAAAGAAAGATTTTTTTACCAAAAAACAATATGTAACACAAAAGGCGCATTAAATATGTATGTAAATTCAATCTCAGGGATTATTTCCTTTAAGGGAAAAACAAAAATACCTATATTAATTTAAAATTTATTTTAGAAAAAAGTTAAGAAAAAATATATTTAAAATTATAAAGATATTGCCTCAAAAAATGTGGCAATTCTTGATTTTTAAAGTTATTTTAATTGTGTTTGCCTCGTATTTTGTTAACTCGGCAATGCAAGAAAAAAAGAATGAAGAAGTTAAAGAAGTTACCCTTACTATTAAAGAAAGCGATAAAAAAAGTAAGTTGTAGATATGTCGGGGATCGCGACGACCCGATTCACGATTCCCGAAAATCGGGAATTTGATTTTCTCTCGGCGCGATCCCTGACATACCGTATAACCTGTATTAATTGCCCTCACTCAAATAATTACCCCACTTCCATTAATTACCCCATCCAGCAATGGATTGAAACAATAATTACCCCCAAACAAATTCCCTAAAACACGTTCAAATTTCAAACCTCGTGTTCCCTCAATTAATTGCTCCCTCCAACGGAAGGTCGAAAGAATAATTACCCAGGGTAGTTATTAAAGGATATTCGGTATGTATTTATTTAATATTATTCTAGTATTTTTAATATAGAATTCTCCAAAACTTTATTAAACGTTGGTGATAGGATTGCCATTTTGGGTGAATTTTGGAAAAAAATTCCAATTGATTTGAAGAAAAATCTCGAAAAAAAGTTTAGGTAAAGATTCGAGATCAGTAATCTTTAAAAAATCTTGCAAGATTATCGTCTTGTGCTGATAATAGTAGATTTTTATTAAAATACCTAAATAATTATTTTAACAGAAATTGAGAAATTGACAGGAACTGAGAACGGATTAAATAAAAAATTGCTTCCTTTATTAATATTCAATTTCGAAAAAGATAGAAAAAGACAAATTGAGGAAGTTTTGGCAAAAATAAAATTGAACAATCCAATGCTCATAAAAAGTTATGAGATTATTAAATATGTTCAAAATAAATTTCAAACAACAGAAATGATTGATAATTACATGGTTATACTTTTAATTAGAGAATGACCGAGATAATTTGACCGGAAGTTAATTTCCGGAGCCATAACCAGAGCCTAATATATGTATTTCTTTCATTTATTTAATTTTTTATAGGACCTCAAAGCTAATTTTGAAAAGTTGAAGGAACTTGAATTTAAGGAAATTTTGGATATCTGTCTAGAAAAAAAGGAAAAATTTAGAAAAAACCAGGCAATTACTAAATTTTTGGAAGAAGCTTGCAATAAGTTAAACGGAACTTTAGAGAAATTTGATATTAAACCTTTGAATGTTAAAGAGAACAAAGACGAGATGAAAAAGATTGATCAATTTTTCTCAGAAAATGCAAAAAAAGCTGTCGAGAAAAAGTATAATTGGAAAATAATACAAAATATTTCAAATATTTTCAACAATCTTGCAAAAAAGAATGAGGAAAGTGACCTAGAAGAACCATTACTCGGTCATAAAAAAGAAGATTAATTTGTTGGAGATGAAAATGGACCCCAATTGGAAATAAAAAAAACGCAAGCGGTCTACCACCAAATCGCCCTTGTTTCAGAATAGTACCTAAAATGTATATACTATGAAATTTTTGGATTTTTTGATTTTATTTAACTTTACCCACTCTACGATATTACTGATTTACAAGTCTAATCCACTCCCCCCCCCCCATATCAAATGTGAATTACAGTCAAAGCTCGATACTAGAAAGGTCCAAAACTCTTAGCTTTCGGTTTCGGTCTCTCGGTCAAGTATTGGCCTCGACTTTTTGAGTTATTAGAAAATTTACCCTTATTTGTTAGTAGATAAATGTCAAAAGCTTTCGGCGGCACAAAGGGTAATTTTTTGAATCCTGAATTCTCTGAATTCAATATCTATAAGATATCTTAGATATTCCTCTCCTAGAGGGGGGCTGTTTTGGGGAAGGTATTTTAGGGAAGGTATTTTTGTTTTGGGGAAGGTATTTTTTACTGAGGGAAGGTATTTTAGAGGTATGGCAGTTATGACTAAAGAATACCGGTACTCAACTTAAACACTATGTGGTTATTTTAGTACCTATTTATGTCGTATATCTGGATTGTCTAAGAGCTTTGACTTTTAAATTTTAACTTTGAAAACACTTCATATGTTGAAAAGTGCTCTTTATTTTTTGAAAGTCATTTTAAGTTAATTTTTAATTTTTTTTTTTTTGATTTGTAAAACTTTTTTGACTAAAAACTTCATCTATGTAAATATGTATATATAGTTAAAACTAGAGCCCGGACGATACCGTACTTATTAGTGTTAGGCATTTGCGATTTTTCGAGATCGAGATTATCAAAAAATCTCGATTTTTTCAAAAATTGATCGAGACGAGATCGAGATCGATAATCTCGAAAAAAATCTCGCGATATCTCGAAAAATATCGTCGATATATCGTCTCGTGACGAACACTAGTACTTATTCCGTAGCGTTAGACGGTACGGCTGATACATATAATACCGATTGATAAAATTTTGGCTCTTGTCCAGTTCATGCGTCCCATGAAAATTTATGCGTCCAATGAAGATTTATGAGTCCCATAAAAATTTTTGCGTCCCATAAAAATTTATGAGTCCCAAAAATAATTCATGCGTCCCATAATAATTTATGCGTCCCAAAAATAATTTATGCGTCCCATAAAAATTTATGCGTCCCATGAAATAAATTGAAAATTTTTTTGTTAATCAATAATACTGTTCTTTGTTAATCAAATACGGTATTTCTTAAAATAATACTCCACCCTGAATTAGTACTCCCCTCTTAAATAATACTCCTCTTTGGAGGAGGGCTGAAAAATAGTACTCCCCCTTGAATTAGTACTCCCACTAAAATAGACTCCCCCTAAAATATTTTCCCCTATATTTGGAAAAATAATAAGAGATTCATTGAATTATTTTATTTATTCTAAGTAGCGTTGTCGGGTTCCTTGATTCTTCGATAAACAAAACCGAACAGCTTTTGGTTAACCGAAATTTTAACCTAAAATTTTTCGAGGATTAAAGAGATAATCCGATTGATTGGTGGGGCAAATGTGGATTTTAGGGATAAAAGGATCGATATCGGATGATAAAATGGGTTCTGGATTGATCAAGTGGGATTTAAAAGATGTTATTGGATTAAGGTTTGATAAAGGAATTTGAGGGAATAATGAATATTTATCATATGTGAATATTTTTTCAATTCAGTTCATGGGACGCATAAATAATTTTTGGGACGTTTAAATTTTTATGGGACGCATAAATTAATTTTGGGACGCATAAATTTTTATGGGACGCATAAATTAATTTTGGGACGCATAAATTTTTATGGGACTCATAAATTCTCTTGGGACGCATAAATCTTCATGGGACGCATGAACTGGACAAGAGCCAAAATTTTTAGGTTGATAGGTATTTATCGGTATTTTTCAGCATTACGGTATAGAATGGTAGATTTGGTACAAAATCCCGGGCTCTAGTTGAAGCTTGTTTACATAACTCAAGATTGTAAAATTCGCAGAAAATTATTTGCTTTGATTATTTAAAGTGTTCATATGTATAAATCTTGCGTAGTAAACATTTTGGTTCCGTGACTTTTGCGCCGAGAACATTTGCGCCGCGACTCTTGCGCCGCGACTTTTGCGCCGCGACTTATGCGCCGAGCGACTTTTGCGCCGGGGAACCTTTGCGCCGCGACTTTTGCGCCGGGCGACTTTTGCGCCGCCACTATCATTAAAAATATATGAATAACTACAGCCGGACCTCACTATAGTAGGGTTGTCGGATAGTTGAAATCTTCTGATATCCGGATCCGACAATCCTAGACTATAATGCACCCTCTTGGGGCTGAAAATCATGCCGGAATAGGTTGCAGATCCAAATATCCTGATCCGAAAAAGTCAGCACATCAGAAATCATTTGGGATATCGGATCCGGGGATTTCCAAGGCACCTAAAGTGAGGTACGATTGTAGTTATTATTTTATTTTTTTAAAATAATGGCGGCGCAAATGTCGCGACGCATAAGTCGCCCGGCGCAAGAGTCGCGGCGCAAAAGTCGCGGCGCAAAAGTCGCCCGGCGCAAAAGTCGCGGCGCATAAGTCGCGGCGCAAATGTTCTCGGCGCAAAAGTCGTGATACCAACATTTTTATATTCTGATCTATATTAGGTATAATAATTCACAAAAAAAATAAGAATAAAATTATTGGGAAAAGCAGAGGTAGCGACAAAATAACTAAATAATTTGCCAAACAAAGTCGAAAATGATAGCGAAAAAAGGCTGCCGAACTGAGGAATTTTCGATTAATCCGAAACAAAGAATCTTTTTTAATGACAACCAACTTTTAAAAACAATTAATTAAAAAAATATTTTTTCACTTAAAAAAGCGATTTGTGCAAATCAAATAGCAATTAACCGATCACCTACATTTTTTCTTGTTCCGTCGCTGCCCTTTTCTCTTTCTCCATTTCCGTAAAAAGTGCAAACAATAAAAAGAAAGGTAATAAATAGAATGAAAAAAAAGTAATTTAAAAAAAAGTAAATTTGCGCACATTCCTTTCCTTTTTACATTCGTGGAAATTTTTTTTGATTAAATAATTATTTAAATGATTTGGAAGGAAAAAATATTTAAAAAAAAAATATTTAATTATTATAAGGAAAATTGTGGAGGGAGTTTATTGTAAATTATTACCTAATAAAGGAATTTAAAAGTAAAAGAGGTCCTTACATAAATTAAATATTTATTTATTTATTACAAAACTAGTTTCCACACACACGCGAGTGATTAATAAATGGAACTTATTAAAATGACAGAAAATAGTTTAAAACAAAATTACCAGACATAAAAAGGAGGGAAAGGCAAAACAAAAGGTTACCAACAAAGCTGGCCGCAAGTACAAAATTGCGGCTTGTTCCAACAAAATTTAATTTAAAAGTGATTGGAATTTTATTAATTTTAATTAGTTTTTTTTGGATTTGAAAAAAGAGGAGAGAAATGAATTGGGAATTTTTATCAATTTTTACATGTAACAAAATAATGAGTCAGAAAGACATAAAAATCAAACCCTCCCTTAATATTTAACTAGCTATAAATTAAAAACGATTTTATACCCACAAAAACATATTTTTCCTAAAAATATTAAAAATGCGCAGCAAAGCAAATATATTTATTATATATTTTAAAGCTAACATAAACATTAAATATCTAGGTGTATTATTTATGCAAATAATTGTAAAGAGAGAGAGATCTAAACTAAAGCTAACACAAAAGCAAAAATCGATCAACAAATTTTTGTAAATTAAATTTATATTAAAAATAATTTTTTAAAATTATTAAAGAAATATACAAAAATTTTGGATTTAATTACAAAATAAAATTAGAGATTGAACATAAATGGCATCCGAAAATTTCACCAGAATTAAAAAGTAAAAAAGCGGATTTCCAAAAAAAAAAGTCCCAAAAACAAACATCCCCAGACTTATTAAATAAAAAAATATGCTAAATAAACGATGGAATAAATAAAAAAATTTTATTTCAATCTCTAAAATATAATTTATTTATTTACAAAATTTATATTAATTTTTTAAATTCCTCTATAAAATTACCCGTTCTCATTCAAAAATTTTTTCAGACAATTTTTGGTGATTTTTCTTCTTCATTAAGGTGCAAGTCTTGACATTTTCCATTTATTAAATTCTTTAGCACAATTTTGAGTATTTTCATTATTTATTTTCATCAATTCATAAACTATACGGTCATGAACTCTATTCCCCTGGCCTTGCCAAAATTCAAAATAATTTGGTTTAAGTGAATAACCAAGCCTTAAAAATTAATTTTTTTATTTAATTTTTTAAAAATTAAATTTACCAATCAGTCGGTCTTGTTATAGCCCCCTCTCCTTCTTTTTTTAAAAGTAATTCTAATTTGTATTGTTTTTCCTCCAAATACTTGAAAAAATATTTTTTTTAAATATTTAATATTTTAGACAATTTTAAATTTAGTTTTTTTTTGGAACAGATTTTATTGAAGTTTGGAATGAGTTATAAAAAGTAATATAGAAATTAGTTTCGAATTTAGGATATGGGGTGGGAAATTCTATTTATTGGAGTGAAATAAGGCTTAAATAAAAGTTGGTATATCTAATATTTTTGGAAGAATTTTTTCTTATTTTTCTTTCCCCTTCCCATTAAACAAAAATTTAAGAAAATTAAAACCTCTCTGTTTGGAATAGTATAACTTTGTTCACTCAATTTAGAACCTATTCTAGAACCAATAGGTCTCTGTATCCAATATTCATTAGCAATTTTAGAATCCAAAATATTCACAATTCCTTCAATTCGAATCTAAATTAAATTTAAAATTAATTTGAATTCCAAAAATAAAACCTGTCTGTCAACTTTTGGCCAATAAAAAAGCATTGAAGCATTCTTATTTAATGCCAATTCACAACCTTTTTTACTCAAAGAATGTGTAAAAAATACAAAACCTTCATCAGCATTGTATCCCTTTAAAAGTAACATTCTACAACTTGGTTTACAATCAGAGCTGAAAAAAGAAAAATAAAAGTTTAATTAATTAAAAAGTAAAATTAAAGAAAGAAATGGGCTCTGTTTTTAAAAGTCAGACCTCGTATACACCCTTGGAACTGAAAAAATTGTGTCCAATTGTAAGATAAGGATCGAGTGTACCAATTATTGACACTTATTAGGTAGCTCCATCCTTTGTGCCAAAACAAATTTTAAATTTAAAAAATCATTTTAAAGGGGAATAAAGGGGGTTTAGGTTTATTTCTTTAATTTTAAAATATTTTTTAAATTACAAAAAAATAACCTAACAGTAGAGAGAGCAAAAGCATTAACCTCGTTATGAGTCAAATCTTCAATTTCACAAATATTTCTAAACCAAACATCAAATTGATCAAATGGACATTTCTTCATATTAGATTCAAGTAGAAAAGGTTCATCAGCTTTCTTTTCATAACATTTTCGAAGAGCTTAAAATTTGAGGAAAAGTTAGAAAATTGCCTTTAAAGACAAATTAAATTTCTCAAATTTTATAAATATCAGAAATTAAATTCAAAAAAACCCCTTACATTTTGTATTTAAAATAATTTTTTGTTTCGAATCAGAATTATCAAATCCTCCTTTAAATCTTCCATCCATTTGTAAATAATCTTCTTCATTTAATGAACGTTGTTTCACAATTTTATTCATTTTTGTAACTGTTCCCATATATTGATTATTCTTTTGAATTTTATTAAAAATATAAGGAGTAAATAAAATCTTTGCATTTGGATAAGACATTCCTTTAATTTTCTTTTTTGTTGTAAAAATAAAAAAAGGCCACTTGAAGTTATGGGAAAAAAAAGGAAATTATTTAATAATTTATTTTCCTTTCTTTTTATTTGTAAAAAGAATGACTGAAATTGAAGTGTATGTGTGTAAGTGTGTGACAAAAAAAATTAGAAGAAAAATGATAAATTTAAAAGGATTAAATATATTTAATGTTTGTGCAGATATTTGTCCTAGAGAATGATGTAACCCATGACGTTATAAAATACATTAGTTAAAAAATACAAATAAAATTAAATAAAAAATAGGTAAGTAGAGTAAAACTAATAAATTTTTAGTAACAGCAAAGGGGCAAGAAAATTTATAAATTAGAAAATTTTTTAAATCATATATAAGCTGATGATTTTTTTCCACTAGAAAGTCGAATAAATTTCTGGATCAAAAATAAAATTAAATGAATTGAGTTTAAAAATCTAATATAACATTTTGAATCAAAGAAAATCAAAAAAAGTCGCGATCAGTTGATTCAGTCGTCCTAAATTGTAAAAAGAATAAAATTAATCAAGTATTTAATAATTGATTTTAAATTTTAATGACTAAAACCATTTTTTAGTATACTTGACTAAAACTGGACTTTAGTTTCCACAGACTAAATGTCCCGAACCTTGAGCAGGTTATTTAAGCTCAAGGATTTTTAAAATGTATGAACTTGCAATCAAATCCAGAAATTTTTTAAAAATATAAAAAAACCTTGTAAACCCCAAAAGAGTTGCTGTATTTTGTAAACCTCTTCCAATATTTCCACGAACAACGGCAGAAGCATCTTCTGTAGAAGTATTCATAAGATTTTGAAGATTCAAGTCTGGGCGCGAATCTGACGGCAAAAGATTATTTAAAGGAGTACTTCCTCCAACATGTTGCATATTTAATTGAAAATCATTCTGAAAAAAAGTTTAAAAAATATTTTTAATTCAAAACCGTTTGTTGAGTTGCATTATAAGTATTATTAAATTGTGACATTTGTACTCTTTCTCCTCCACCTAAAAATGAAAGTCCAGAAGTTGTATATCTCGAGTCCATCGCATTTTGGATCGCTGAAAAAAGAAAGATTTTTTAATTTTTTGAAAATGTCTTTAATAGATAGAAAAATGAATGTAACTCTAGAACAAAGCTAATACTTGTTCGGCCTTCCAGATAGTTCTCAATAAGTATCTACAGCAGAGAAAATATTAAATAGGCTCCGACTGATCTAAAATTTCGAACAGCAGACCCGATTCTCTTAACAAAAAAGTTAAACAAACCCATTCGTTTATAACTCATTCTCTGTTGACTGCTAGCTGATTGACGCACTTGATTTAAATGACGAAGTTCCTTCTCGCGTTCAGAGATCCTTTAAATGAGATACTTTAAAAGAAAAATTAAAGTAACCTTTTTCGCAATTCTGTAATTGTTCGCTTTGTATTTTCTAATTCAGACTTGTATTCATCACCTTCTCTCACCAACAATTTTATTCGCCCTTCTCTTTCATCCAATTCTTTTAATATTTTTTTGAGATGCAAGGTACTCTTTTGATTCTAAAAATTTTTTTGTTTAAAAATAAATTTAAAAAATACTCGTTCTTGAAGACATTTAAACAATCTCTGATGATGCATAGATTGAAATTCAATAATTGTCTTTGCTCTTTTGAGTGAATCTCCAACAAATGAAGTTGGTGGTTTAAACATTTCAAGCAAATCTTTTCGCATAGAGCGATTAATTTGTATAAGTTGGACTTGCTTATTACAAACAAAGCATTGCTGAAAGTTGACAGAGGTCGTATTTGCATCTTAAAAAAATAAGATTTCTATATTTTTTTACTTTTCTTAACTTTAAAAAATTTCTAAAGTAAAAAAGAGGTTTGAAAACTGATACGCCCAATCGCATTAAAATAACCGTTTGGCGCGTCATACAAGAAATTAAACTAATTTTTGAACAATCACGTATCCCAAAAAGCAAGCTTAAAAAAGTAAAAAGGTCACAATCCGTAGCCAAAATAATAATCAAATTTCATTATTGACTCGAGAAGCACATTTTCGCTTATCTTTTTTAATTCAGACCTGATAAATTACAACCATTTATTTCAGCATCAATACAATTTTTACAAAAAATGTGACCACAAGAACTCATCCAAAACGATAAATTGTTCTTTGACGGCTGAACTAAACATTTATTACCTCAAAAATAAATCAAATTAGAAGAATGAATGTAACAATAACTCACAATGAACCCAATTTTGCATACTCGTGTGCATATTAGAAAATAATTTATAGAAATTTTTAGATGGGAAAAAATCTAAAATTGGGAGTGAAAAAAATAAAAATGGTTAAAAAACAAATTAAAGTAAAGAGAAAGCTGACGAGAATTTATTTAAAAAACACAATTAGAAAATTGGTGTTGTGTATTTTTTATATTTTTAAATACGCCAAATACCGTTAACACTATTTCTCAGTTTTTCTGCTTTCTTTCTCACAAAACGAACTTTTTTCACGGTAGTTTCAGTGCCAAAAATAATAACCGTTTGAGTGACAAATTCAACGCAGAATGAGTGTCAATGATGAGAACTCTTTCTGAACTCTCACAAAAATTAAATTAAAATCACTTTATGCATTATATTTTTTGACTCCGACAATTGAAAAGTTTTTATTATGTCTCAATACTCATTTTATCCTCACAAATGAGTCAATTTTAGCGCCGCAAGAGAAAACTTTAAGGATTTTAGAAGGCCGTAAGAGAAAAATGACATTTTATTCTAAAAACTACAAGAAAATACATATAAAAATCCTCATAATCTTCAAATAACTCCTTAAAGTGAATTTCGTGCCTCCTTAAAAAATTTCTTTATGAGAATAGTAAGTTCTACATACCCAGATTTAGGGGTCATTCATACAGTACAGGACCATAGGAAATTTCATTTATTCCGACCATTTTAGTACTCGCTAAAGGAAAAGGGGGAGGAGGGGGGGGGGGGTACGAAATTCAATTTTATTGAGAAATTACTAGTGAGAGACTACTAATTGAACCATCATAACTACTAATAGAATAATCAGAATCTGTCATAACAGAACTATCAGTACTAATGGAATCATCAGTATCCATCTTAAAAGAACCATCAGAATCAACATAAAATTCCTTCGGCGCAGAATGTTCGGTAATATTATAAACAAATGGTTTAGCCTTCAAATCATTTCCAAAGTTGGCTACAATAGAACAACGTTTTAGATGGGCAAAAATTTCATAATTGTCACAATCATCGTGTTTCAATAATAAAGATTTACCTAAATATATTTAAATTAAAAGTTTCCAAACTTTTATTTACCAATTAATTTTCCATTTTGAGTAAAGAAAGCATATGGTAATTCATTCATTTTAGATGGATATACCAATCCAAAACCAAAAATATCCCCATCATTCCAAAAAAATGTTGTTGGAAGTTTAAATTTGATATTTTTATTTTTAGATTTATAACCAATAAAGGCTTCATCAATATCCAATTTAATTCCACTATATCCATTACTAAGACCAATAACCATATAGTTTTCACCACTTTTCACACCCTCAATTTTACATTTAATTTCAAAATAAAAAAGAGAATAATTTATGCAATCGTTTTTTGGTTTAATAAATTTGTTTTCAGCGGTAATACCAGCAGCCTTATTTTCACCTAAAATATTTAATACATACAAGACATAATATACCGTAAATACTGAAATAATTTCCCTCTCTCAAATAATTACACCCTCCCTATTAATTACCCCCACCAGCGAGAGGTTGAAACAATAATTACCCTGGTTTACTTTAGCAAATACGGTACAATTAAATTTGTACTAACCTTCCCCAACACAATTAATATATTTAATCGTTGCATCATCAATTATATTAATAAATCCATTTCCTTCATTACAATCACCAGTAGGCTCGAATGTATTTATACAAACATCATCACAACATTCGTGTGTAATTTTGCTCCATTTATTTTTAATTTGAACAAAATTCTTCAGAAATTTTCAAACATTTAAAATATATTATTTATTTCAACTAACCACAACACTTAAATTATTTTTTTGTTCCATTTTAAATGTTAATTCAACAATTTTTTGATTTAAAAGAGAAATTTCATTGCCATATTTGTTTTCAAATTTAATTTCCAAATGATTAATAATTTCTTTATTCTAAATTTAAATTACTAATTTAAAATAATTAAAACTAATTATATTTACATTTTCTTTAATTTTCTCATCAATTATTTGTTTTAAATTTTTAATTTCGTTTTCATGGGGAGTTTCCTAGAAGTGATAATTTTTTAATTAATTTAAATTAATAACTTTGTTAAAATCAGAATTTGAAGATCCTTCTTCAGCCATTTTTTGGAATTAAATTCAAGAAAAATATCAGAAAAATCTTTGATAAATTAATTATAAAATGAAAATTTTCTTAAAATATAAAATAAGAAATTATATATCTAAAATTATAAAAATAATTTTTTTTTGGGTTGAAACTGAATCCAAAACAAAATAGCCTAATTTTGGATTTTTTTCTTTTTCAATAAAGAAAAATAATATTAAATTTGAACTTAAAATCAAATAAAATTTTCGATTTAAATAATATAAATTTAATTTATTAAAAACAAAATAATGTGAATATTTACATTAATTTAGCATATAAATAGCTAGATGGAATGGAGGGAGGGACATGTGATTAAAATTTTGTTGAACAAATGAGAAAAAAAGATTTATTTTTATGACAAAATGTTTTGGGGGAATATTTTGAATTAAGGAATATTTTGTAAAGGAATTTTTTTAAATTATTAAAGATAATATGTATGAATGTTAATCTGCAACTCACATAACTTCTACAGATGTTCGTCAAGTGAGTACAGGGGGGGGGGGGATGGCGGAGGCACTTCCAAACTTCAAATTTTCAAAAATTGTGAATTTTAGAGAATTTATCTCAATTAGAGAAATTTAATTATCAATCTCCTCGCTTCGTTAATTTCATCGTTTAATCATTATTTTAAAAAATAACGAACGCATCACAGACGAAACTGATCTCTTACGAAAGTACAGGATACGTAAAAGGCGTACCACAGGCGCCGAAACATCTTAACCCTGCCTAACAGTGCCGCGCAGAACGATACCGCGACGGATCGGGAAAAGGTCGATTCAGAAGCCATGAACAACAATTCTTCTTCAAACAATAATAATTCACCATCAACAACAGCTATAGCCTATGCAGTTGCTGCAGCTGGGATTCCTCTAAATTCAAGGAATTCCTCCTCTTTCAATTCTTTAACAGACCAACAACAACAACATTCTTCTAATTTTTATTCGAATAAAACATGCCATTCTGAGCAACAAAGCGGCGGTATATGTATTTTCGAAAACATAAATTTTGAAAAACAGTATTACAGAAAAAATTCACCCGTTATGAATCCCAAGAAATTCTTAATTTATGGGACTTCTATTACCAGAATATCAGTCCAAGATCATCTTTATACACCAATTAAGAAGACCAAACGATAAAAAAAGCCAAAACTATAAAGAAAATTTGGGGGCGTGCTGAGACTCAAATGTCCAAAAACCTAAAGGTTTAGGCTTCAAAAGGTTTAGGCTAAAATCTACCAGGTAACGAAAGAGTCTGAAAATATGGCATCAAAACGAAAGTTTTTGGGATATAACTTTTTTGTTTTTAAATCAATCCAAATAATTTTTGCTTTAATTAAAAGCTCTGGATGTGCTGGTTATTTTTTCATAGAAATTGTTTAGTTTTACCGTCTTTCAAAAAAGTTAGGAGCCGTTAACTGCGAATAATCGTGATTTAACATACTTAGGCGGGTGTAACTTTCTAAGAAATCATCGGATCCTTTCATAAAGTTAATAAAAAGAATAAAAACAAACATAGATTCTAATTGATAAAGAAAATTTCTGGAAATGATCGAAATAAAAAAAGTTATGGCATAGCAAAAGGCGTTTTGATGCTAAGTCGCCGAGACTCTATTGACAAGCAAGCCTAAAGGTTTAGGTTTGTGCTGAGACTGAAAATAAATGTAAAGACAAAAGAGTCCTGCTATAAAAATATAAATGCCAATAATTGACAGCAATTTAAAAGAGCACAATATTTCTTTGTTAGAGAAAACAGAGAAAAATGAGAAAGTTTTTGGGAAACACTGAAACAAAATCTTTTGTTTTTCTAATATCGATCTGAATTTTTTTAATAAATTACATTATTTTTTTTAAAAGCTTTTTATTTTGATAAATAATATTTAAAAATAATCACAAAATTTAATATTTTAATTTTCAAAATCTTAAAACATTTTTTAAGTAATTTAAGAGAAAAATGGCTCGTCGTGAACGTAACCGTATGGATGAACTTTCTGGTGCTGAGTATGTTTATTTTTTTATTTTAATTTAAATATTTCTCTTTTTTAAAGATATTTGGCGAGTATTTATGGGACAGAAAAAGACAAAGTATTTTTAATTTACACAAATTTAAATTTAAGTTTATTTGACCAAAGTTTAGGATGTAGAATACAGAATTATTTTTTAAATTTTTATTTTTAAATCCAAAACTATTTTAGGTTAATTGTTCATTCTATTTTAAAATTGGCGCTTGCCGTCATGGTGAAAAGTGTTCCCGGACTCATAATATTCCTTCATTTTCGCAAACTGTGCTTTTAAAGGTTCGTTTTAATTTTCATTTATCTTTATCGAAATAATCAAATGATTTGGATTTTTTGTGCACTTTTTAATCATGTAATTTGAATCATGAATTCGCTTTATTGCACCGTCAATTTTTTCATGTCCAAACATAATTTCTGATTCATAATTTCCGAACCTGTTTTTAATGCCTTCAATTTAATTTTTCCGATTCCGGGGTTACCGGAATCAGTGCACATCGCTAGAAAACTTTCGCTGTTCTTGTCTCTTATTCTTTTAAGATTTGGGACTACAATATTTTTTTATTTTTTTAGAATATGTATCACAGTCCAATAATTAATACACAATTAGCAGAAGCATATTCGAAGGTTTAAATTTTATTTGAGAATGTTTGAACAATTTATTTTAATTTTAAGCTTCATTCAGCAAATGCTTTAATGCTAAAATCTGGGGAAGAAGCTGAAATTGAGCAGCGTTATTTTGAAGAATTTTTTGAAGAAGTATTTACTGAACTTGATTCAAAATATGGAAGGATTGAAGAAATGAATATTTGCGACAATATTGGTATTTCTTTAAAATTTTTTAAAAATTATATTTTTTTCATTTTAAGGTGAACATATGATTGGGAATGTATGTTAAAAATGTTTAAAAGGAAAGAACACAAATTAAGGTTTATGTTAAATTCTATGATGAAGAGGATGCTGAAGCTTGTGTTAAGGGACTTGAGAATCGTTGGTTTAATGGTGAACCTATTTATGCGGAACTGTCACCTGTGACTGATTTTCGGGAGGCTTGCTGTCGACAGGTTGTTAATTTTATTTTAAATTTGTTAAGGATTGGGAAGCAGTTAAACGTAGATTCATTTTATTTTTGGGTTGTCAAAGAATTTTTTAATGCAGAATTCGCTAAATTGATTGTGTTTATTTTCTCTAAATTTAACGATCCAAGATTTTTTACTTCAAAGTACCGAAAATTTATAATTGTATTCAATATTAACCTTATATATTTTGCATTCAAGGGAGGGAGATTTACAATAAAAACAAAGTTTTCCTTTCAATAAAATTTTAAATTAAATTCCAGGTTTGTTCCTTTGTTTTTTGGGGGAAATTTTGCTAGAACGATTAAAAACGTTGCATTTTCTCATTTTGGCAGTATGAACTGGGTGATTGCAGCAAGGGAGCCTTCTGCAATTTTATGCATTTAAAACCTATTTCGCGTGAACTTCGCCGCCGTTTATATGGTTCTCGAGCTAGAACGCCTGATCGTTTTGGGAAAACACAGCCACGCAGAGGTTAAGATTACTTTAAATATAGAGGAGATTTACCGGATGCGATTTTTAGTAAAATTCCAACAATAAGCCATTTTCTATTTTGATTATTTTTGGTAGTTAGAATATATACTCAAAATTCGATAAAATTTACCCTAAACCCCAAGAATGTAAACAAAGGTAGGACACACTTTAGGATTAATTTTTAAGATTTCATTTCTAATATATTCTCAACGTCCGACAACTTTAGTTTATCTCAGTTTTCCTTTCAAAATTCCTCTTTAAACCTTTTACATCTAAAATATTCCAGATCGTGAATGGGAACATGATGATCGAACTGAAAGAGACGGAGGAAGCAATAGACGTCGTTCCCGAAGTCCGAGAGCAAGAAGACATTGACAAGGATTATACACGCCATTCCGTTAAAATAAATGAAATAATTCTCTACTTTAAAAACAGCAAAAAATTGAAGGATGGTTAAATATTGGTGTTTTCTTTAGTTTATTTTTTATATAAATTTTTTTGAAGATGCGTTTATCAAATCTTTTCTTTTTGCTGATAAAAATACAATCTAAAAGATAGTAAAATTTTTATTCTATTATAGGAAATATATATCTGGTTTTTAATGAAAATTCATTTTTTTGTCAGTGGAGAATTGAAAGTTAAAATATTTAAGTTACTTATAAAGGCAACTATAGTCTATTCGAAATTAAAATACAAACAATAGTAAGTTGAGGAATTAGAAGAAAATAATTGATTATACATTTTTTGTTCATCAACGGGTAGAGAATAACTAGCAGAACATGTCTTTTCAGGTCCTAAGGATAGAAAATAAGTCTGTCTCCCTTACAACAAAATCTACTAATTTGTAAATTAGAGCAAGAAATTGCACAAAATTATAAATTCAAAGGGATAATTTAAATTAAGTATTCGCCGCAATTCTTTCTTTTTTATTTCTGTTCACGAGTTGGTGTTGTTGTTCTTTGCAATCTGAGCCTAAAAAGGAATATTTTAATTCAAAAAATATTCCTTCTTTTTACTTTTTCTGTCGAATCCGTTCACATTTTTCACACGGAATGTCCAATTCTGGATCATAAGACGAAGAAGATAAACGTTTTGAAGCCATTCGGTGACATTTTTGTGACTAAGTGAACCACAACTGTCACATCTTTTTTTCAAATTTTTTTAATTAAAAATTAATTAATTAAAAACCTATAACAACGTTCCAATTGAAAAGGAAAAAGTAAATCTTTTGGGTCCATACAAATTTGACAGAAAAATGCTTGTTGACGACAATGCTTAAAATTAAAAAGAAAAAACAATTTTAAATTCTTCAAACAAAATTTATTTTTACCTCACAACTTTCAATATGAGCTGCACCCATTTTTGCCAACGGTTCAAGAAATTCTATCAAATTTTTATTTGCAATACGTTCAAAGTCGACGAGCGAATAAATATCTATACATTCAAGTGAACGGAAACGTTTTGGTACAGATGTGAACATTGTCCTAAGACTAAATGTAAAAAAGAATTGATAAATATTTAAAATTTATCAATGAAATTTTTAGTAATGATTAATAATATTTTAAGAGAATAAGGGAAACATACTTATTGTTAGATTTGTAGTTCCCTTTTTTACCGTAGAGGGCTATATTCAAGGTTATTTCTACTACTATAATTCTAAAATAATATTCCAAAATTATTTTTAACTAATTCTAAAATAATTTTTAAAAATTATTTTTCAACATACATTCCATTTTCAGTAAGTAATTCCCCAGCAATTTTACACATTTGAACAAAAGGCCACATATGAGCTACTTTAACTCTTAACTTTCGAAAACGTTTCAAATTTTTAACATTTCTATATAATTGTGGATTTATTAGGCGAACATTAAAAACTGGTTGGTCTTCATTTTCTGTAATAAAACTAAAGGCAATGTCACAAACTGGATAAAATTTTAAATTCCAATCAGAAAGAATTCGTGCTGGTAAACGACTCTAAAATATTAAAGAGAAATAAATTGAAAAGTAGAAGGGAAATAAAAAAACCTTTGAACCCTGATGACAACAAGGACAAAATAATTTTGAATAATAATGACAGAATTGTGCTTGTCTTGTATTTAATTTATCAAATTTGTGTCCACAACCAGCACAACGATGTTTTTGTAATGCCAATTGAGTTAAAAAACTTTAAACGAATTTTCTTTATTTAAAATCAACAACTTACTCATTCGGCTTTACAATGTCAAAAATAAATTTTTTTCTAGGTGGCCGCCAACTTTTATGTAAACTACTTCCATTTAATATTTTTATATTTGAAGGAGGTGGGGCATCAGTAATCCGTCTCATAATTTCAGCAAGTTTTGTTGACTAGAAAAATTTTTTCAATTTTTAAAAAAATATTTAAACAAACATTTTGGAGAGTAACCGAGTCAGTTAATGCAACAATTAAATCCTTCAAATTATTTGCATTAATTTTGGGCGATAGAGAAAGATTTTGCTCTTCTTTTGAATAATCTCTTTCTTCTATTTCATCACATTTTTGTTGTCTCGTCGAATTCGAAGATTTTGGTGAATGGGAAATATAGGAAGTTGAAGGTTGTCCCAAATTGTTTGTGTTATCAAAAAGTGATAATTCTATATCTCTAAAATTAATTACGTATTTTTGTTTGAGTTAATTAAAATATTAAAGTGAAAAACTGAAATTTGATATTATATTTAGTCATTAAGTTTCAAATATGCATGTTAAAAAAATGGGTAAATCCGAGTTTGTCCGAGTTTTATGCAGAAAATACTAATGTTATACATATATCAAATCAACGTTTTCAATTCTTTTTTTAATTAACAGTTTCAGTAGGAAAAAAACCTTGAAGTTCCAGGCTTCTGTGAACATTCTTCTTGTGAATTTTCAAAATAAAAAAAGGAACGGCCCTCCTCAAGTTTATAATCAAAAGAGGATTTCGAACCAGTTTCTGATTTATTTGAAATAGAATTACTCCTCAGAATATTAAATTGTTTGAGATATAAACAGGGATCTACTTCCTCATCAAAATCAATATTTGCAGTCATTTCTTTCCATTGAAGTTCTTCCATAGATTCAATTAGATAATCGCTAAGTTGAAGACAAACTTTCTTTAAAAAATATTTTTTCCTTAAATTTACAAAAAAATTAGAAACTTGTTCATCAATTGGTTGTCTTTCCACACTCTTTTCAACCCCGCTTCCAGCAGAGATTGCCGATTCATTTGAAATCAGAGACAAATTATCCCAAACCAAATTATCAGATGTTGCATCAAATATTTTGGGTTGGACTTCAGGGCTTAGATCTTCAGCCAGTAAAAAGGAATTAGAACGAGTTGATTGAGTGATTGTGTTTTCCTTTAAAAAATTTTTTGTTAAAAAAATTATTTAAAAATATTACTTTAATAAATGCAATATCAGACGAAATAAAAATTGGAAAGGCCGGTGTGACAGATAAACTCAAGCGATTATTTGTATGCCGAGAAGAAGAGCTTTGATGTCCATGACTTGAAAACATACAGAAATATTTTTTAAATTTTAGTAATTATTTCATCTAAAAAATTCATTTAAATATCTATAAATTAATAACAAAAATATGAATCATTAGGAATAAAAATTTAGTGTGATTCATTTATTAAATATAACTAAAATCAGTAGAATAATGGGATGGGACGGAAGCGATTTTATTATTCAATTCTTTTAGGAATTTAGGTCAGTTTTTGATTTTTAGTGTGAACAAATTTTAACAAAAAAGAGGACGGTTAAGGACGATTCAGTATCGCCGATTCAGTCTCGCCGATTCAGTATCGCCGATTCAGTCTACGCCGGAGCAGTTCAACTGAGTCCGCACGATTGAGTCCCCACGATTGAGTCCGCACGATTGAGTCCCCACGATTGAGTCCGCACGATTGAGTCCCCACGATTGAGTCCCGGCACAATTGAGTCCCCACGATTGAGTCCGCACGATTGAGTCCCCGTTGTATATACCTCAATTGAGTCCCCGTTAAAAATTCCCGGTAGGGGACACTTGTGTACCGCCGTTTGTGTACCGCCGGTTGTGTACCCACCCAAAGGGGGACGTTTGTGTACCCGCATTATTTTCCTAGATTTTTTTATTGTTTTTTTTTTATTTTTTTGTTTTTCTTTTGGGGTTTGCAACTAATTTTGTTAATTAGTTGACCGAGCATCCACTCAAGTCCATCCGAGCACTGAATTTTCTCAATGAGGACGAGAGGGAGGACGAGAATCTTGTGTAGGTAAAAGTTTAATTTTTATTTTTTAATTTTAGATTTTATATTTCAGGTTGGTCTAACTTTGCTCATCACGTGACGGACTTCATCCCACGGCTGCAACGATGGGAAATTTGAAAAGGTTTGGAATTTTTATTTTGTTTTTCGTTTTTATTTTTAAAATTTTTTAGTTGATTTTCGTCAGTTTCTGACTGGCGATTTTCAAGTTCACAGTTTCTGAAGGAACGAAGGTGGTGAACTTAGGAGAACAAAAAACGAAAGAAAGGCCCTTCTTTGGCACAATAATTGAAGCTAGACTTTGGTTTTTTTAATTTTTTTGATAAAATTTTTAAAAAATATTTTTTTATTTTTTTTTCACATTTTGATTTTCTCCCGTATCCAGGTAAATTCTGCCGGAGTCCGGAAATTAGGAAGGAGTTTTTACTTTCGTAATTTAGATAGTTTCCCCTACCCTCCATAGTAGCACAAAAAGTTTTTCCAGCGAAGATTCTGTTGGTCAAAATTTGTTCAGAATCATTCAATCAATTTGATTTTGGTCTTATTCAACTCATCTCGTCGATCCCTTTCGAATGAGCTGTCATTCAAAAAATCTCCCGATATCCCCGCTTAAATCTACTTATATCCCTTGATATTCACCAATATCCATCTTGATACCTCGATGTCGCATACAAGTCCCCTGATATTAACATTAATCCCTCCAAATCCCCAAATATCCCTCTTAATCTTTTTTAATATAATTATTTTAATATAATTAAATCTAGGGGACTCAATTGAGGTATATACAACGGGGACTCAATCGTGCGGACTCAATCGTGGGGACTCAATCGTGCCGGGACTCAATCGTGGGGACTCAATCGTGCGGACTCAATCGTGGGGACTCAATCGTGCGGACTCAATTGAGGTGTACCGAGTCTACGCCGATTCAGTATCCGCCGATTCAGTATTCGCCGATTCAGTATAGCCGATTCAGTATACGTGGAAAAGGGGACGATTCAGTATACGTAGAATAAAATACCCTAAAAATAGAAATTTTTGGAAAGGAACTGATTTATTTTTTCGTTTTAAGCATTTTCTTTGTTCTTTAGGTGGTCTACCATAACAATTAGCAATAACCAACAACAATTATTAACGAAAAAAATAATTTTTATGGAAAATTTAGAATTTTTTTTAATTTTTTAAAATTTTTAAATTTCTTCAATTTTCTTAATATCTCAAGACGGCGAGAATTCTACAGTGAATGGCGAGGTTTCTACTACAGACACATGGTTTATTTTTTAGTTTTTTGGCTTTTTGAAATTTTTTTTATTTTCCCCATTATGTACAAGGGGGAGCTATAGCCCCAGAAGCTCCCTGGCCTTTATCCCTACGAATTTTTGCGGGCTTTTTGCGGAGATTTCTTACTTCCTAATTCTACTCCCCATTCCATTTTTTATTTTTAAAATTTTTTTAATTTAAGACAATCCGGTCCTGGACTTGTTCTTATTTGTGTCGAGCAGCTTGCTGTTGAGGTGGTTGCCTGGTCCTCTTTAGGGCAACAAATCTAATGAGTGAAATGTAGACCTTGTTCTTATTTATTTTTTGATAAATTTTTGTTTATTTGACTCATTTTTAAAAAAATTTTTGTTCCCCGAAGAAAAAAAGTCGAGACCAAAACCTCACCCTAAGCCAGAAAAAGCCTAAGAGAAGCCTAGAATTAAGCTTTAAAGATGTTCTATAGATCGTAGAAAGTAAGAAACACGAAAAAAATCTACAAGAAAAAAGATTTTCTAGCCCAAAAATATACGTATACTGAATCGTCCCCTTTTCCACGTATACTGAATCGGCTATACTGAATCGGCGAATACTGAATCGGCGGATACTGAATCGGCGTAGACTGAATCGGCGATACTGAATCGGCGAGACTGAATCGGCGATACTGAATCGTCCCCTACCCAAAAGAGGAAGAGGGGGACACCTAAGTCCCGTAATTTCGGTTTTCAGTCCTAGCTCAATTTTTTAAAGGTTAACTTTTACTATATGGATCGAACTGATCTGATCTCTCGGGACCTTTGATTTTATAAAAATTATTCAGATCGGTCAAGAATCAAAAAAGTTATGGCCATATACTGAATCCGGGGATACTGAATCGTCCTTTTCCGGTGTAAATTTTTTAATCACTATACCAACAAAAAATAATTTTAGCGTTCGTTTAAATTTTCATTTTATGCAAAGATATTATCAGATGTTTCTTTGACAAGCACATTTTTAAAAGTGGTTTCATTTTATTTGTTTTTCTTTTTCTTTTACAAATTATGCCCCAAATATTTTTAAATAAAATTTTTGCTTTTTCAGCTTTAGCTAGTAATTACTAACTAGCTAGTACATAATTATATTAGACAAAATAGTTTCCTAGAAAAAATGGTTCAGTGCTCAAGCAGCAAAATGAATGCATCAAAGCTTGTCAATTCCTTGCTTGGATTAAGTCATGTTCGAATTCAGAATGTTGAGACAGTTACAAAGAAACTTCAATTAATGGCACAAGCGAGCAGCAACAGACTTATGGTTATTTTTTGTGTAATTATCTATCCAATCTTCGTTTAATTTAGACAATCTCTGATTTTGACTATACTCTTTCTCGATACCACAATAATGGACAAAAATGTGTTACAACACATGGGTTACTTGAATATGTTGCTGCCGAAATCAATCCTGATTTTCAAAGACGTATTTGTGAGTTGCGTGATAAATATGTTGTGATTGAATACTGTCCTCAGACGTTGATGGAAGATAAAATTCCTATCATGGAGCAATGGTGGAGAGAGTCACATGGATTGATTGAACAGGTTTTTCTTCGAAAATAAATATTTGGGACCTCTCTTCAGAAGCGGAGGTCATTAGTAGGTTTTTTCGGTTCCTGGAAATTCTTCGGATATCCGAAACCGAACCGAAGAACTGAACCGAAAAAAGGTTTGGTTTGCTCAAGAACCAACAACCCTAATCATTAGAATACTTTTTCTTTCCCTCTCTATTTAAATCTATGTATTATTAATTGCATCTTTTTTAAAAAGTTTTTACCTAAGTATTAACTTAAGTATCTATTAAATTTGTATTATATTTTGTTTTTTTAGTACAGACCGAAGAAATCAAAATTACGTGATGCTGTGAAGCGTTCGCAGAGTCTTCTTTTAAGGCTTGTTTTTTAATAATATTATCAAAGTAATTTTCGTTTACGACTTGTCAGAAAAAAATTTTTTCGATAAGCGGTCTACCGTCAAAAATTTTTAATTTAAAAGATTTTATATTTTTGAAGAGATGGCTGTGCTGATTTTCTTTTAACTCTTCATCAAGCAAAAGTTCCAGTTGTATTATTTAGTGCTGGAATAGGGCAAATAATTGAATTTGTTTTGGAGCATCAATGTGATGAACGTCAAATGGACGAAGCTTTTCGTCTCAGAGATGTTCATATAATCTCTAATTTTATGCATTTTTCATTAGAACAAGAAGAAGAAGAGGCAGAATGTGTTGGATTTGTTGAACCTTTAATTCATACTTTTAACAAAAATTCGTCAGTAATATCACAAGAAGCCCCGTTTTTTAAAAGTATTGCTGAAAGAACTTCTGTGTTATTACTTGGAGATAGTTTGGGAGGTTGTTTTTGTAAATAATTAAAGTTTGTCTTATTTTTTTTCATTTTTAGATGTTCATATGGATGTTGGTGTTTGTCAGGAATTAATTGTTCTCAAAATTGGCTTTGTAATTTTTTTATCTATATTTTAAATTTTTAATGAATTACCAACTTGTGTTGGCGGATCCGGATCCAAAAAATTTAAATATCCGAAAATTTATATACGGATATCCGGGGATTTTCCATGATTCTCAGCTTTTATTACTAACACGTGGAGCCATAATATTTGAATTATTAATTTTTCAAATTAATTCCCGCTCTCTTTAAGTGCTATACCCCTAAAAACTTTCGATAAACCTTTTTATATTAGCCTAAAAAAATTTTATTTTCAGCTTAATTTCAACTTTGATAGCCTTATGGAACGTTATATGGAAGAATATGATATTGTTTTGGTTGATGATCAAACAATGGAAATCCCTTCAAAAATATTTTGTTATATTCATAATGAGGGTGAACAGGTTGATAATGGTATTATTGATGGATTTTCTGTTGATATGGAGAAAACAATTGAGAAGGTTAAATAAATTGAAGAAATTTATATATAATATTAGAGATAATTAACTATAAATTGAGAAGAAGAAAAGAAAATAATTATTAAAATTTTTAACAAAAATATATTATTGTGCTTTTTGTTTTTTTAAAAACGCCTTTTTCGATGTGAAAATTTTTTTATAAAAAAGTAAATTTATGAACAAGGATGATTATAATTTTTAGTCTTATAGTAGATAAAACAGTCGTATGTATCTTCTGAATATTTATGTAATTTATAGTTTTCCCTTACCTCTGGATTTTGAATTTTACCCGTATCCGAATTTTACCCGTAATTTTACACAACCTGGAATACGACACTTAATCGAGACCATTTAGTCGCAGAAAACCTAAAAATGAAACCTAAACAATTAGTCACTCTCCTTCATAAATTGGACAGTTTTCGTGATCCCAAGCTTGATCTTGAGCAATATGCTACGCCACCAGATATTGCAGGTATGTAGCAGGGATGTCACGGGTTACCCGAAACCCGAAACCCGGCCTTTTTTTCGACCCGATACCCGAAACCCGATCCGAGAAATTTTCTAAAACCCGACCCGAAACCCGACCCGAGAATTTTTATTTTTCAAAACCCGACCCGAAACCCGACCCGAGTTTTCTCAAAATTTTCGCCCTCGTCGGAGAAAAAGGGAAGATTTTTAGCTTAATGATCTTCCAAAATTCTAAAAATTTTCGCCTGCGGCGCTGAAAAAGGGAAGATACCCGGGCTTTTTTTCGACCCGAAACCCGAAACCCGATCCGAAAAAAATTTTGAAAACCCGATCCGAAACCCGACCCGACTTTTTGCTCAACCCGAAACCCGAAACCCGATCCGAGAAAAATTTTGGAAACCCGATCCGAAACCCGACCCGACATTTTTCTCAACCCGTGACATCCCTGGTATGTAGAATTAAGTTATTTATTTAGTGTTAGAAAACTAGTTATAATTCTAAATTTTTCAGTATCATTAATTCAGCACATTAATTACGACATTGAGAACTTGAATAATTGTTTTGTAGCGGATCTGGGCTGTGGGACAGGTACATTTAGTCTAATAATTTTAGAGTAATTTATTTTTGAAGGTACTCTGCTAGTTGGTATGCTGCTTGCTGGAGCCAGGTACACAAGATTTTCAGAATACAAGAAAAATTTTAATTAAAAAATTCACAGATTTGTTGTCGGTATTGATATCGATCAGGATTCGTTAGAAATATGCCGAAGTAATATAACAACTTTTACATCGTCTGAAATGTGTTACGACTTAATTCAAATGAATTTGAGGATTGGGCAAATTCCAGAAAAGCTTCATGGCATCTTTGATTTGGTTATAACAAATCCACCTTTTGGCACCAAGAAAGGGACTGAAGGTATTGACAAAAAATTCTGACGTTTTTTATTCACCAAATCTTTAAAGGGGCAGATGTTGATTTCGTCAATGCCGCATTGTTGTTAGCAAAGCCTAGAGGAGGTCGTGTTTATTCTCTACATAAATCATCTACGCGCAAATTTTTAGAAAAGAGATTTTGTAGAGGTGGGTTAATAAAGATTCATTTTATAAATTTCAATAAATACCTAATAGTTTAAGCTGAAAAGGAAAACGGTGAATTTTTACGAGTGGAGCGTGTAGCAGAAATGCGTTGGAACTTGGATCAAAGTTACCGCTTTCATAAAAAACAGAGTGTAGATATTGCTGTAGATCTGTTTATGTTTGAGCGGAATAGAGTAGACCATGGATGAGTGAAAGACATCAAAATTAAAAAAAATTATTTTTAATTTGTAGCAGATACATATGTAAATATTTACATTTTGTTACGCTTATAAATCACACTTATTGTTAGTTTGATTATCTCTAGAGCCTGGAATTTTGTATTTATTCCGTACCGACCGGAATACTGAATAATACCCTTTGAATCAACAATTTGCCGCACCCCATACTTATCATGAATCTTTTAGTACGGTACCTTCCGGGCTCTAGTTACCTCTGCCTATATCCAATTGAGTATTCATACATAAATTAGAATCTATTTGAGTTGATATGGTACTTATTAATATTGCCAGACTAGAGAGTTGTTGTCGCATCTTTCCATTCTTCAAGTGCATACTCCTCTACCCTCCTCCAGTAATCCATTTGTTGCATTCGCATCTCTCGTACATGCGCAAATAACTTTGTATCCAATTTCTCCATACTTATAATGAATCTTGATTCGTATTTCCAAAAGTTTTTAGCTTGGCTACCGCTTTTCGCACAATTGATCGTTGTCATTTCACTTGCAAGTTTGGCGTTGTCCAAGTTAAACGGTGAGAACCACCCACCCCATTTCGTGGAGTTTTGCCATCTTTAATATAACACAAGGGGCTGAATATTAGAAAAAAATTGCCACGTACTTTCTTTTGAAGCCATGGAGGAAAAAGTCACGCTTCTCGTTCCACTCGCTTCCAGAAAGCCAAATATCACGCGCCCAGTACTGCCTAAAGTCTGTCAATAAGAGAAGACTTGTGGATATTCCTTCCTTTTCTTCTAAAAACAAATTCCGTTTTCCTAATGCACTTCTTGCACAGTCGGTAAAAAGCCGAAGACCATCATCATCTCTTGAACGCTGCCAAAGTTTCATGCAGAGGAAACGTCGTGAAGAGCAGCCATCACCACAGAAGCGATCCAAGAAAACGGCCCAAAAATATTAAATTTTGATTAGGTATGTTGTTATCTCTAGATAAGGTGAATGTGAAAGCCACTTACATGGATTGCGCCATTATCTGTTCCATGCCAACTCCATGGTAATTTGTAAAAGTAATCGGCCCAGAAATGTAAGAAATTGATGGTTGCTTTTGTATTTCTATAAATTTGGATTTTATTCCCAAATTAATAAACCCACTGTAATGAACAGTAAAACTACAGATGTCACAAGTATTCATAATCAGTTAAAGTTTTAACCTTAACATCAATCTCTCCTTATTAAACTAAACCTAATGACTATATTCCAAAGTCATTTTTATTAAAAGGCTAATGAGACCTGGCGATATAGCTGCCAGCACAAAATTCACCATTAAATATTCGCTCGTAGAAGACAAGATCAGGAAGCGATTGTATTTTTCCATCTCTCATCGTATTTTGTGGCAGATATTCCTCCACCATACGTGATGGATTTACAACTCCAATGTCAGCATCAAGAAATAATACCCATTCTACATTTGCAGAGTTGTCACTGAGGAAATGGGCGAGCGCACAATGTCGCCGAAACATAAACTGCGCTATTTAAGTAAATTTATTTGACTAACATTATTTTTAATTTAACTATTTTTCTCATAAAACTCACATCACTTTGAGGACATAGAGCAGAAAGCGTAGAATTACTTGAAAAGTCCAAAATAACAAGTGGATAGCGTTTAGCTGCACAATAGCAGCGCAAAGTGCTATGTGCAATTTCGTACTCAGTAATTAAGTCGCTTAAAAACATTTGTATAGCGTTATGAAATTATAAATAATTTCAAAATACCTCGCTGACTTGACGACAACAAAAATTACGATACGAGCATTACCTACTTGTTAAAAATTTATAGACTTCAATATTGTAATTAACCTTTAATATTAGTAGAATGTATCTCACTAACATTGTGTTGCCCTAATCCTCGAAGAACAACATAAATTAAAAGACTTAATGTTAGAAGGAGAAGGAACTATTAAGTAAAATTGAAAAAAAATTTTGACGAAATATTCGAGTTTTTAAGAAACTCACCAAAGCTTTTCTTCGCAGTATACAACAGAAACATTTCCACATGTTTATACTCACTTTTTTGAAAAGCAAAAATGTTTTTACTCCCTCAAGAGGTATTTTAAGTCCATATTAAGCGTTGCTAACTCTTGATACCTAGCGACAATAAATAATTAAAATATAACGAAAAGAGCTATAAAAGCTAAAAAAAATTTGAGGGTAATAATAATTTTATTGGGATTGGTTAAGTAAATTAAATATTTCAAAAGAGTAAAAACGAACGTACAAATGATAAGAAAAAAATACAAAAAATAGACAATATTTTTTAAAAATGAGTAGTGGGCCAAGAGTAAAAAAACCAGAGAAATGAGCAAAGAATCGATAATGGCAGAGGATGCGATTAAAATTTGGCCATAATAAATTTTTAAAATCAAATATAGTGCACTATACTGATGTGCAAAAGTTTATCTACACCGATAAAAAAATTTTTTTAAACGTTATGTTTCGGGAAAAATGCGTTTAAAAATATGATTCATAAGTATTAAGTGAAATGTGCTATTTCTATTAAACTTGAGTTTAAAAATAATCACCATGATGCCTCAGAATTTCCAAGCAAAACTAAACCCGAGACTACCTCCCAACTCGGGACGTGCCACCTAGTTAAGCTAAACTAAAGCAGACTTCATCAACTGCCTCAAGGTATGAGTCTTTTGAAGGTATGAGTCTTTGAACCTGAGTCTTTTGTTAAGTACACACAATTAAGTGTGTTAATATATTCCACGGCAGTTTTTTACTATAATTCGATGTTTAACAAAAATTAAAAATTATTTTGAAAAATATTTATAAATGAATGGAGAACAAATTGAATAAAATGTTACTAAAGTAATTATGAGGGATAACTGTAAACTTTAACTTAAAAATAAAATTTGAACAATTTCCTTCTCTCCATTTATATTTTTAAAATAAAATTGTGGAATTACAAAAAAATATTTATTATTTGGAGGTTTTGAAAATAAAGTTAAGGAGGTTTTTTTGAATAATTTTTGCAAGTGAATGCCTTATTTTAAAATGAAAATATATGTTGAGGTAATAATTTTGGATTGGTCCCTGAGAAATACAAAAAACGTTAAATTATTATGTTAATATTGGAGAATACTTGAGTTTAGACTGGAAAATATTTTTTTCACATGGGTGTTCAAAATTGTGTGATTCAATAAGCAAAACAAATTTTTAAGCTCAAGTATTCCCAAGAAAAATTTTCAGAATTTCATCCCCTAAAATATTTTTTTCGTCTTCTAACTCTCAATAGAAGGCCCAGGTCTTCCTCTCCCACCACCACCACCAGCTGTTGATGGTTGCATTCCTTGTCCTGTACGTTTTGGACAGTCAGCAATTAAATGCTTATTTGAGAAACAAATATAGCAAACTTTAACATTATCTTGCATTCTTTTACATTTTGCTGCTTTGTGATGGCCAAATTGACCACATTTGTAGCACCTTATATTTGAAATATTAAATATTTAGAATATTTTCCTTAATCCGAGCTATCAGTCTCACTTATTCTATTTTAAGGCTTATATCATCCACCCTCTCCTAGCTCTTTTTCCCCTCTTCAATTTTCCTCAAAATCCCTTTCCCCAACTTATCCCCATTCTCTTTTCCATTAAAAATTTACCTAATTTCCTTTTCTTTCCTCTTCCCTAAAGGATGAATTCGATGTCCACGTATCGCCACTCCATTCAATCCCGTAACATTTTCAGCCTCCAATCCACGTTTACCCAAACGAACATTAAATTCTACAGCTTCACCTTCATCGAGTGAACGAAAGCCGGGCATTTGCAATGAAGATTGATGAACAAAAATATCATCTCCTTTAATTTCTCAAATTTTTCTTTTCTCAATTTCTAACTACCATGTTCTTTAGCCTCCTCAAAGTCGGGCAAAATAAATCCAAATCCCTTTGTTACATTAAACCATTTACATATCCCTGTCCATTTCTGTCCAATATAACCATTATAACGAACAAAATCTTCTTCTGTAGGTTCTTTACGTTCAGCTAAAGCTTGCTTTTCTTTTTCCTCCTCTCCCAATTTTGGCAGAGCTGAGGCTAATTCACTTGTATCCATTGCTTGTTCTGATTCCTTTTCTTTTATTTCTTCTTTTGGAGGAGTATTTCCCGATGGTGATTTGCTGGACATTGAGAAGAAAGTTTTTGATGTTACTGAAAGTTATATGAAAGAATACTCTTTTGTGAAATAAAAAAAGGAATGATTTGAGGGGTTGATTCTTGATAATTCGAAAAATATTCAAAATCATTTTGGATAAAATATTCTTTGAGTAGATTCTCAGAATTGACCACCCCACATCAAAATTTCAATTTAACCCCTTAGCTCCCTCCCCCCCTCCCTACCTTCTCCCACCCTCCCAATTTCAAAAATTTCTGATATCAATACAATTCTGATATTTTATTTTCAAATTTAAAACTTGCCTTTTCTTCTCCGCGTGAAGCGCAATTATTTGTGAACACAACGTTATAATAGATAAAATATTCTCTCTTTTCCCCTAAAAACCTATTATTTTTTTAGAGAAACGTTTTTTTGATGGATGAATGGGCCAATATAAATAGTATGTTTATAAAAAAAGAGGAGTTACTTGCAACAAAGAGGGAGGAGGAAGGGTCATAAGATAAAAATAGGAGTAAATATTTAAGTATAGACTGTGGAGACGTAAAAAAAGCAACAACTACTTTCTCAACCCGATAAAAAAGAAAGGAAAAAAAATTAATTAAAAGAAAATGTTTAATTTTTAGATAGACTGCGCGGATATATTTTGTGGAATTAGAAGTATCTTGAACTTTGAGAAAAATTAAGATTAAAATTGAGGATTTTTTGGTGGACTAACTAAAAATATATTTTAGTAGTTTTGACCAGAAAAAGGCCACAATTATAATAATGGTCAGTATTTGCGGTAGAATGAATGGAAATGTTTTCACAATGATGATTCTTTTCTTTCAACTATTCTTCCCCTTTTAAATTCTCTGAAAACTGGGTGGGCTTGTTTAAATAAACAAACAATTTTTGAATATATTTACATTTCTAACTAAACTGGTTTGTATGAAATTATACATAGATCATTGGAAATCTAACAATCCAAAAATATTTGGAAATATATACAAAACTTGGTCGAGTTTGAATTATTAAATTTTGATTTTATCAGAATCTACAGAAAAAGTAATTGATATTAAATTGTGAGCTTTATCTTTAATTTAATGTCTCTCAATTTTAATTTACAAGCATTCGAGTGCCAGTTTCAAATACAAAATAAATAATTTTACAAAAAATTCCTAATAATGACCTCTTTCTAAATTGTGAGAAAGGACCACGAAAAGTGGAAATAAAAGTGCAAAACAGAAAAAAAGAAGAATAACGGAAAGAGTCGATAGATGAATAAATGGGTGGATGGAGGATATATTCTTCATCTTCTCTGAACCACCTGTCCTCGATGGACAGTTGGCGTTCTTCTTCTTTTTCCATTTTTTCTGGGGTTTCTCTCATTATTTTGGGGGTGGTCCTTCTCTTTCTCATTCACAAGAATTTCCTCTCCAAAAATATACACAAACAGGTTATATATTTATTAATAACTAAAAAAAGAAAAGAAAAAATTGGCAATCACCCAAAAATATTTTTTAGTGTTGCTATTTTTAAATAAAAAAAAATTAATGGATTTTGTTAGAGGAAAAAAGGACTTTATTAATACACCGAAAAGTAAAAAGAGGGAAAAAAATTAATTTTGTGACAGAAAATTTGAAAAATAAATTGAATTTTAAATATTTCTAATTTCCATAAAGTACAGCATTAATTTCCCCCATTATATAAACCTCTCGTCCATTATATTTACTTGAAATATCTGCTTCTAACTTTAAAAAATTATTTTAAATAATTTTTACAAAAATTTTTCTTACATTTTCTTGTAAAGCCTTAGCTGCTTCAATAATTTCTTGTAAAAGAATATTTACTTTTTGACTTTCTTCAAAATATTGTTTTTGTTTTTCTATTGATAATTGTTGTAATTGACGATATTTTAATTCAAGACGCATTTTCTGTCCAATTTTTGAACAAATTTCGTTTACAAAACTGAAAAATAATAAAAAAAAATTAGAAGGGAAGGATTCCTAATTCTTTAAAATTTGTAAATTCGTTTTAAAAATTTAATAAAAATTAATGGAATATTGATCAAAAATTAGCAAAAAATTCGAGAAAAATTAATTTCTCTTTTAGAAATAATTTTCACAATTTCAAACAAAAATTTTCAAAAAATTCTAGCCTTAACCAAAATATTTTATAATTTCATTTATTAAAAAAACCAACTTTTTCGAAGTTCTCAATCTAAGTAACTGTAATCGTTGTGTATCCCCCAATTCATTAAATATATTTTGTAAATTTAATAACCAACATTTTAATTCGGGTAAATTAATTAATTCCGTCAATTTATTAATTTCTTTTTGTGCAATTCCTGACAAATAAATTTGTGCATTTCCGTCAATTGCACATTCATCTTTAATTCGAAAATGTAAAAATCCTGTAAGAATTGATATTTCATCCAAAAATATTCCACAAGTTAAAGGATGTTCTAATATAGGTAAAGCTTCTTCTCCTTTAGCTGTCACAATTGTTGAATCAGTATTATCTGTAAAAATTAAAGGAAATTATTTTAAAATATTAAAGAAAAAGTAAAAGAAACTAAAAATTATAATAAGGAAATCTAATAAATGTCAAAAAAGATAGGTGAATTCGGCGCGAACCTCCATAGGAAATTAAAGAAGGCTAACTTTATAAAAAATTGAAGTAAAATTAAGCAAAAAGATTTTGAAATAAATATAAACTTAATTAATTAAAAATACCCAACCATTATTTATATTTGTAACATCAATTCCATCTGAAGATATAATTTGTATACTTTCATCAGAATCCCCATTTGTACAAAAATCAATTTCAGCAATATCAACATCATCTCCAAAATCTATTTCATCACTCTAAATTTCTTTTAGAAATTATTAAATTTTAATTAAATTTTTTGGTTTTATCCTTGCCATCTAACAGAAAATATTTTTATTAAACAATCTAAAGCAGGCCAAATCGAATTATATTTTTCAAAAATTTCCCTTTAAAGGAATGAATTACAGTTGATTGTGAGATGGATCCACTTTTCTATCCTTATTGTTTTCTGACCATTATGAGTCTTTTGTGAAAGATTATATAGGTAAACTTTAGGGAAATTTAAAAACTAAAATTTAACTTCTATTCTTTTATGTGTTTTTATCTTAAATTAATCTCTTAAAAACCTCGTCTTTTGTTTCAACATTCTGTAATATTTCAACAAGCGCTGGAGGTAATAAAACATCAGGTTTCTTTCCATATTTCCATTCATATACACTAATATCGCTAACAGGACGATTTAAATCTTTTGTTAAAAGTCCAAGTAAAGGGAACAAATCATCTGTTTCTTGACTAAAAAATTAATTAAATATTTTTTAAAAAATTTAAAGGAAAACCCAATTTGTTGAGAAAAACAGCAAAAATAATCCAAAGCTTTTTTTATCTCTTCAATTTTTAAAATTTCTGCTTTTGGGAGAGACTCAGCAATTAACATTAAATTATAATGTAAATTTTCGAATTGTTGTTTTTGATGATTAATAATATTTTTATTTAAACCCCATTTGGCCAATTCTTGGTGAAAAAGTCGATTACTTTCAATTGCTAATTTAGAATAGTCATTCTGCTTACGTTCAGCTTCCTTTTAAAAATTAATTTGAAAAAACAGAAAAAAGAAATTTTTATTAAAAAATTTAACCAATTCCCATTAAACCCACTGAAAATAAATTTTAATGACATTTCATCCCAAATAGAAGCCCCCTTTTTTTTAATTAAAATACCTTAATTCCACTTTCTATTTTAGTTATTTGCTTTCGAAGTGATGGAACCTAAATATAAATAATTTTATTTGTCAACTTCAAAAAAACCTCATATTGAACATAACGCTGTAAAAAATTGGCAGCTTCTCCCAAATAAACATTCTCATTTTCATAAAGAGAAATAATTTCCTTTAAAAGAATTTTAATTTCCAACAAAAAACCCCCAAAAACAAACCTTCCAATCCTTAATTCTTTGTGAAGAATAAAATCCAAAAATATTTTTTGTATCCTTTTCTGTCTCATAAAGAATTTTTAAAATTTCTTTACAATGAAAATAATTAATAACTAAAAAATATTATTTTAAAAAAATTAAAATTAAAAAAAACCAACATTGTCCTCCATTTAATATTTTAATTATTTGTTCATTTTCAGGCATATCTTTAATTGCATTACTTATTTTCTGTCTAATTTCATCAAAATTTGATTGCCAATTTTTGGAACAATGACGACGAGAAATTAACCAATCTAATAAACAATTAAATTTTAAAGACAACAAATTTAAACCTAAAAGTTTATTGCTGTGGATATCAATTGGCAAATTATCCATTGATATTTGTTAATATTTTAATTAAATTTTGTTGAGTCTTTAACTGTTTTGAAAAAAATTAAACCTTCGCAGGCAAAAATTTTTTTCTAGTTTGGGATGGGAACGTCCCACATTAGTCCCTGCCGTTTCAGTTCCCATCTATATTTGGGGTCATTTCAGTCCCCATGTGAAAAAATTAATTGCCCCGTGTCCCACTCCCATTTTATAAAAAATTTTCAGGCTTAGAAATTTTTTGGAAATTTTGGGGAATTTTTAGGGTCTATAAATTTAAGTAAATTCATACGTAAATCAGAAAAAATATATAAAGTACATAGATACACACGTATGTAGAAGACACATAAATATATACTGTTTTGTCTGCTAAACTTTTATAAAAAAATTTATTCAGAAACAACAAATTTCAAAAAATATGATTTTCCTTGTCATAAATCAAATAAACGTTAAACATTTTAAATTCCTTATTTCTTCCTCAAAATATTCATATTTCAAATCAATCAACTTCAGAATCTTCATAAAATTCTTTAATCACAAAATTTTTCGTAATATCATAACAGAAAGGTTTAGTTTCCAAATTATTTCCAAAATTTGCTTCCGCAGAACAACACCTTGAACAAACATATGGTTTAAAAGGGTCAAAATTATCTCTCAATAAAATCGCTTTACCTTAAAAATTAAAAGATAATAATAATCTTGTTTAAAATTTTACTAACCAATTTGATTTCCATTTTGAGTAAAGAAAATATATGGAAACTTTTCAGATTTATTCTTTGGTGGATAAACTAATCCACAACCAAATATATCTCCATCGATCCAAGAAAACTCTTCAATTTTAAATACTTCACATCTTTCATTTTCAATTACTCCATCCCCTGGACGCAAACTAATTGGACCCGAAATACCATTTTTAAGACCAATATTTAACCAGGTATTATAGCCATTTTTCTCTCCTTCTATTTTAACTTTAACTTCAAAATAAAACAAAGAATAGTTATTGCATTCTTCTTCTGGTTTAATAAAATTATTTTGAGTACAAACATCGACGTACTTATTAAAACCTAAAAATATTAAAATAATGTTAAGGATTCCAAACTTTTGGGAAAAAGGAATAGGAATGCGCAATCCCTGATAAATACATAAAATAATAGATTATTTGTGTAGCAACCAGGAATCGGTCAAAATCAAAATTTAATAGGAATTTTGTCACATTTTGATGCGTAATACACCTAATCAATACACAAAAAAACAATAACGGTTACCTAAATAAAAGCTAACGCCAATCTTCAAGCACTCAAAAAACCAAGGACCTTTATGTAAAGCAACAGGCTAGTTAGGTGTAGAAACGAGCTGTTTCGATACAAAAAATCTCTAAAAATCGGGAATCAAAAAGGTTTGAAATATCGAACCAGCTCTGTGTTCATTTTTGCTACAGATAAAAAATTAATTAATTTACCTTTATTCTCACAATTAATATATTTAATATTCTCATCATCAATTAACTTAACAAATCCATTTCCTTTAATACATTTTGTATTTGTCATTTCATCCAAACATCTATTAGCACAACAACTAGTATCAACAACTCCATACCATTTATTTTCAATTTGCACAAAACACTAAAATATATACCTATATTTAGATTTAAATAAACTAACCGCTCGTTTACAATTTTTACTTAAACGTTCCAATTTATTTTTTAATTCTCCCATATTTTTCTCATACGAAGCATTAATCTTTAATTTATAATTTTAAACTTTTTAAAACCAAAAATGGTTAATTATTTAAGTAATTAGCAGAGGGGCTCGCCTTTAGGGCGAGGAGCCCTTTTGAATGAGCTATCATTTGTATATTCGAATTTTTAGCCCAAAAATAGTTTTTAACTACTTCGAGCCCAACATTTCGGCCGTTTTTTCCACGAACTAATTTTGGTGTCATTCGATTCAGATCGACGAGTTCTTTCGAATGACACATAAGTGTTTATTTAAAAAAACGTTTGATTTTTTAAAAAGCCTACTAAAATAAAATTAAAAATTTTCAGAAAAGGTCTACCAAAATTTAAAAATTAATAAAATCCACTTTTTACCTCATTCATTTGTTCTTGAAGTTTAACATTCTTCTCCTTCTCTTCATTAAATTCAATTAAAAGATTGTTAAGCTTTGTTTGAATATCAATATCATTATTATCCACTAAATCAAAATCAGAATTTGTTGAACTTTCAGACATTTTGCAAAAAAATAAAATCTAAAATTAAATAAAAATTAAATTTTGTATATTGTTTGTTAGGTTGGGGTTTGATGAAAAAGCCTGAAATTTATCTAAGAATTCCTTACAACTACTCTCATATAGTTTTTAAGTCAATGATAAATTAAAAATGAATGTAATTATGTAGACAATAATGTAATAGAATGAGATCGGTGAAATCAGTTTAAATCCGATCTCTTTTTTTCTACTTTTAAATCTCTACTTTTAAATCTCCATTTCAGTTAGGTTAATCATGCCTAATTGACCATTGTAATTATTAATTTTAAACTAAAAAATTGTTTTGAAAACTAAACAAATTTTGGCAAAGATCCTGATCGAAAATAAATTCAACTACCTAATTCTGAAAAAATTTGAACTTATACAGAACGGGTACAGCCCAAAACAACGCAGACCAAAACTATGCGACCGAAACTACGCAGGCCGAAGCCAAAACCTATAATATTTATATCAAAAATCACGATTGCGCGCACTTATCTAGATGTAACTTTTTGTAGGATGATCTGATCAAGAATCACTCGGCGAAATAATCCTCATATCCAGGACTCTCGAATTTAAAAGATTTATTTTAATTGGCCGAAAACCCAAAAAGTTAGGTATGTTACAAAATATGGCTCCGGGACTCAACCGGCGGGACTCAATGATCCCCTTTGAAAAAAATTTCGTTTCGTCAACAAATTTTTTGTCACCGAACTTTACGTCACAATTTTATTATTTCGCACCTTGATCTTTCTTTAATATTTTAAGAAATCTGACTTCAACGACAAATCAATCATCATTAATGAATATTTTTACTTAATATTTTAATATCTATTAATTCTCTACTTTTTGTTATTTTAAATGGATTGGACTGAAAAAGCTTCTACATCGGAGGTTAAATTAATTTTTTTTGTTTTTTAAATTCGATTTTAGGCATTTTCTGTTGCAGATCTTGTCCAACAAACTGCTTCTCAATTCGTTTTTGAAAATGTTTTGCCCGGTTTTGTATATTATAATGATTATAGTGCTTATTACAATCACGATAGCGGGTATTTTTATTATCCGGTTTGTTTAAAATTTTTTTTTAATTTTTTTGAACTAGTTGTTGATAATGGGTCTAGAATAGAAAAATTTATTTTGTGAGGAGATTAGTCAAAAATGTGGATAAATATTTTTCTAATATTTAATTAGGAATCTTCATTATATTTTCATCCTTCTACACAATTGTATTATTATTACAATGAACAAACTAAAGCTTATGAAGTTTATGAAAATAACGATGAAAATAAATGGACTAAAAAGAAATATAAAAAAAGAGCAACAAATTTATTTGGCGAAAATTTTGTTTTGGTTTGTTTTTAAATTTTTTAAGGAAAAAATTTCTTTCTAAAGGATGCAAAATTGGAAGATATTTTAGTGACAGAATTGATTTTTGATTTGGTTGATAAATGTTCTTTTCTTGCTGGGGATTATTCAATTAAAGAAACTAAGAAAAGGAAAATGTTTGATGAAGAAATTTTTGATGAATATAAAGTAGTAAATTTTGAAGAAAAATAAATTTATTTTTTAACTTTTAAGGTTTGTACAAAGCAGACTTATTTTGATCCAACTTTGTCTAGCGATGATGAATTGGATGAAAATACGTGTATTTCTTTTGATAGTGAATTGAATAGGAGAATAGATGAAGGTTAGTTTTGATATTTTTTGGAACTTAGTTCTCCTCGGCCAGATATTCTGATGGACATAACTGATAATAAAAATTTCTTTGTCAGGAAAAAGACCATTTTTGTCTTTATTTCCATTAGTAATACTAATTTTTCTTTTATCGCTTTTCTGAACATTCTTTACTCATTTAGGTTTAAGTATACGCTCTAAACAGGTCCCCATCGCTTTACATCCTCCTTTCCAAAGAAATTTTTAATTTATCCATTTTCTAACTTTAATATATTTATTTAAGAACAAATTGCCTGTAATGCTCCATGTATTCGTTTATTAGAATTTCCTTCAAATAATTTGCATATTATAACAATTTTGGGTGCTTCTATTGGCTTTGGACTAAATGCTGATATTAAATTACTAAATTCTCAACAATTTTTTAATAAAGAAATTTTATTTTATATAAATTATTTTGAAGAAGGAAATAATGGAATTTATAAATTAAAATTGGAAATTGACGATATTATTTTAAAATTAAATGAAAAACAAATTAAGGTTTGGGGAGGTTTTTTTAATTTATTAATATTTTTTTATTTTTTAAAGTTAAATAAAGAATATATTATTTGTCACGGTGATCAACTTCAAATAGATAATTCTCATTCTTTACATATACACATTCATCGTGGATTAAATACCTGTCAGGGGTGTGAGCCTGGAATTTTAATTTCTTCAAATAAAAGGTTTTTAATAGAAAATTTAATTTCTAAATTTACGTGATGAGTTGGAGTATTTGTAGTTATGGTCACTTCAATCCTATTTAAGGATTCTTGGGTAGCTTAACTTCCTAGAGACCAGACCCGTAGCCAGGGTGGGGGTAGGGGGAATTACCCTTCCTCCGAAATGGGGAAAAGGGAAAAATTTAGGGAAGGGATTAGGCAAAAAAGTGAATTTTTTTGGCCTACGGCCTTCTAAAATTCTCAAAATTTTCGCCTACGGCGCTAAAAATCAAAATTAAAAAATCAAAAAAATTTTCTCCCCTTGGCCTCCCCTGAAAAAATCCTGGTTTCGGGCTCTAACACACTTTAATATTTACAAATCATTTGGCCGACAATACCCGCTAAACCTCGGTCCACGTCCTAGTAAGATGGTTGTTGTGTTATTTTAGAATTGCCAAAATTATCTTCATTTCTTTTTTAGTTCAGAACAAATAAATACCAAAAAATATTCAAAAAATGTAGAACGTCATCGTCAAATAAAATTACTTAAACAACAATATGGACTATTAGACAAAGATCAAGAAGAAGAAGATTTGCAAAATAATAAAGAAAAATATTTGGATAGAGCTAAACAAAGAAGAAAATTAAATTTATTAGAAAATGATAAGAAAGAAATAAATAAAGCTGGGGGAATATATGTTGGGTGTAAAGCTGCACCTGTTCCTGGTTTGGATTATTTATTAAATTAAAAATAAATTTTAAAAAAATATCTAGAAATATTTTTAAAAATATTTTAATTTTTAACCTTCCTTCCGTCTTCCAACTGGGGTATAAAAATATTACTCACCTTTTAATTAAACAGACAAAAAACTGATGAAAATTTATAGTCGAACCTCACTATGTATAGACCTACACTTTTAAGATAAGCTATATTTAAATAGAAAATATCCTTATGTTAGGCAGCTCTCCATTCATCATAGCCAACTTAAATTGAGATTTATTTAGTATTTATAGTGAGATCCAACTGTTGTGGATTTTGACTGAAAATACGTCTAAACTTATTTTTATATCCCTTTTTAAATTTCTAGGATGTTCAACAGATTCAGTTAATTTTCATTCCACAGTTTCAAGAAAGGAAGAAATTTCTGAAAATAATAAAGGATTTAAATTGTTAAAAGGAATAGGTTGGAGTGAGGGACAAGGACTTGGAAAGGCAAATCAAGGAATGAAAGGACCGGTAGGAAATAATTTAGCAAAAATATTTTTTAATATTTATATTTTTAAAAAAAGATTGAAACAATAATTAAAAATAATCGGGCAGGATTGGGAATGTTTGTAAAAACAAAAGAAAATGTAAGGGAAAATTCTGCAAATGATAAATTGGTAATTTTGGAGAAAGTACGTCAACGATATGAACAAATTGATAATAAAAAATGAAATTAAATTGACTAAATAAAATTGTATAAAACTTTTTTTTTCATCATTTTTTTGATAAATAAATTATAAAATTAATACATGTATTTCAAAATTATAACCTTCCATTTCAAGAGCATCTTTTAATAGAACGTCACTTACAATTCCTTGTAAAGAATGTAAGGAAGGCTTGCCGAAGTTTAGCAAATTTTTTAAATTTTCTGATTTTTTAAATCGAGAACCGATCTGAAGAATCGGTGTCAGGATTTTGGAAATTTATCTAAAGTTATGTGAAGTTAGATTTTCGGGTTCCTACTTGATTGCTTATTTAGTTAAAAAAATTTGTAAAAAAAATTTAGGACGTAGCTGCATCATCGACTCTGAAAGGCTCACAAACGGAGCTTGTTTTTTAGCCTCCAACCTCCACTGCGTTATAGCCCACGCACCTCCATTGCACATTAAAATTAAACCAATTTCTCATTTAACTTAATGTGCTACCTCCTGGGCACAACCCCAAAAGGGGTTGCAATGATTTTATTTGTTTATATTTATTTATTTGGGTTGTTTTATTTGTTTTTAGCCCCGCCGTGAAGACAGCCAAAGTCTCTGCAAGTGCTACACACACTACCACGTCCAACGATTGGAGTGATAAACGAAATAAATATATAGAATGCTTCCTTTTTTAAAAGTAATTTTCGATGGGTTGCAAACATTAAATATGTAATATGACGACTTTTTATTTCCACACTACTATATGAAATGAAATGTTTTGTATAAATAATATGAACTGTTATTTTTAAAAGAAAGTCGTATTTTTTCAAATAAATTTTAAAAATTTGATTGTCTGCGTAAGCTTTTATTTTTAAATAAAATTTGATTAAAAATTTAATTTTAATATAGGTCAAAACTTTAGTAAGGATTGGTAAAAACTTTTTGAATGTAAACAAGGCTCTTATTAAATATTAAAAAAGATTTTTTTAATTTATAAAAAGTAACATTTTAATAAAGTTTTATAAAAGAAAAAAATTTAAAAAAATTTCTTTACGACAATTTAATTTTTAATTTAATTTTAAAATTCTTTTGTTTCTCCATTGTCACTTTCTACAACACAAGAAGGTGGAGAAGAGTTGGTGTTAATAGGAGAACGAATTGAATGTGTAGAACGTAGATGATTACTTAAATTTTTTTAAATAATTAATAATTTTATATTAAAAATTCAAGTTTAGGGGTTATTTAACTACAATCATAAAAATATATGCACATTTATTTGCCTTATTTCCTATTAACCAATTTTTAACTTTAAAAGAGATATTATTCTTTAGAGTTGTCGGTTCCTGGAAAATTTTCAGACATCAGAAACCTAACCGAAAAATCCTCGGTGTTTCCAGAACCGACAACTGTACTACTCTTCTTTATTTAATTTAAAGAAATTAATTCTTTTTTTTTCTTTCAATTTTAGAATAAACTGAAATATTTCTATTATTTTACATATTTTTAACAAAAAAGAAATTAAAAGACAAACCAAAGTCCTTTTAAATTAAAAGATTTATATCCACAAGAAACACAAATTAAAGGTAAATTTTGTTTCTGTTGTTGTTGTATTAAATTATTTTTTGAAATTAAATCTTTTTCTTCACTATTATTTGTTGTTTTTGTTGTTGTTAATTGTTGTTGTGTATCCACAGAAGAAATTATTTTTCTGTTTCGACTAAATATTTTATAAAAAATATATAATTTTAAAATCTTTTTTGAAAAATTATTTAGGTATTGCTTTACTACTTCAAAACTTTATTAAAACAATTTATTGGTTGAGTGAACAATTTATTGGTTGAGTGAACAATTTATTGGTCTATAACCTTTAAAAAACAAAGAAACGATTTGTAATTAATCTCGAATTAATTAACAAACAATAATTAAAGTTCCCCCTCTCTTTAATTAAATTTTTGCCTGCGAGCATAGGGATGAGCATAACCAATTCCCCTCGTCTTTTTTCTACCTTCCCCTTTGTCAAAAGTATCCAAACCCCCAATTTTACATTTCCCCAGACTTTTTTAAAATTAATTTAGTAGAAAAATACCAATAATATTTTCGATGTCCTTCCAACGTTTCTAATGCCAAAAACGACACATCCCCACATACTAAAAAAATTTGAATTAACAAACAAAATTTTTTTTAATTTTCTTACAATCACAGGGAAATCTCTTTTGTGGCGATGTTTTTATTTTTGTTTTATCATTATTGACATTTTTAATTGTATATTCATAATTCACATTTTGATAATTATTTGGATTAATTTTGGAAGTATTGGGTGACGAAAGGGAGGGGGAATTTGTTGGTTTGTGGTTATTCTGTAAAAATAATTTAATTAATTAAATTATAATATTTTTTAAATGAAAGGAAGAGATTGTGTTTAACTCGTTTTAGATAAATTAAAGGCAATCTTCTTATTCAAAAAATATCAGAATAGGAAGTTTTATTAATTTTGAATTAAAAATGAAGTTGAAGGTCTTATATAAAAATGTTATTTAAAACAATAAGATTTAGAGAAGAATTTAATTTTAGTGTGAAGAACAACAACCCTATACCAAATTTAATATACCATATTTTTTAAATTAATTCTTCATCCCAAAAATTATTTTAAATATATAATTGGAATTAATTGAGAAAATGTTAAAATTAATTAAAATTAATTTCTTTCCAAAATCTTCCAGCTATTATTTAAAAAAGCGCCTGGTCAATAACAGTAAACAATGGATAACTTTCAGAGACCTCAAATCAACACTACAGGAGCCTTTTAATTTTTCCGTATTACACACAAAATAAAAACTAACAAAAATAATTAATTCTTTTTTTGATTTTTTTGTTGTAATTTCTTCCTTTTTATTTAAATCTTTAAAAGATTGTTGAAGTAATATTGTTGTTGTAGATGCTCTTTTTCTTAAATATTGTTTTTGTTGTTTATTGGTAGATAGTGATAAATCTAAAGGTTCAATTCCAGAATTGTTTATTGAAGAATTGTTGTTGTTAAAAGTTGAAGGAGAAGTTGAGGAGGGGGAGGAGGTTATTAAATAATTAGTGTTCTCTTCTGTTTGGCAACTTTAAAAGAAAATAAAAAAAATATTTTTATGTGCTAAATATTCTTCAAAATAGAGAATGGAATTTTGTTACGTGCCGTATTCCGTACAGTAATATATCGAGAAATGCTGGAAAATGCCGTCGATAGTAAGGTACTGTCAGAGTTTTACTCTAAACTAGAGTGCGACCTTTCGGGCCGGGGAAAAATTTTACGGGGAACCGCAGGGACCCTGCTCCGAGGAATGGGGGTCGAACCCTACTCTAAACCTAAATAGAGGAAATATTTTTTCCAAACCCCCTAAAAAATGTAAAAATTCGATTCTTTATTACCGACATAATTTAAAAAAATATTTTCTCTTGAGAGAATTTTTTATGATAATTAAATTAACCTTTTATAATTAAACTTTTAATTAAATAAAAAACATTTCCTTCCTTTCCTTACCTAACATCAATAAAATTATTTATTTTTTGTTCTTTTATTTGTTGTTTATTAATTATTTTATTAATAGCAATAGGTAAATGACACAATAAATTTTGTTTTTGATTACAACAATTTTTAAATAAAATTTTTGAAGAAATTTTTGATTCCAAAATTATTGGGTTTATAGGGAAATTATTTAAAATATTTGAATGGACAGCTATTGGAAGTATTGTTTGTGGTGCCCCTAATAACTGAAAATTAAAAATAATTAAAGAGAATATAATCTTCTTTTAATTAATTTATACTTGAATATGTTTTTCATCTGGCAATGAATGACAGCCAACAGGTAAAAGAATTATATTATTTGGTGAATGAAAATTTTGTATTGAATCTTCAACTGTTAAAATTATATTGTTTTTATATTTAGTCTGAGGGAAATATAGAGGAAAAGGAACTATTTAGGGGTACAAAAATAAAAATTAAAAATTGTAAAAAAGTATCTTTTAAATATCACAAATGAGGATATATTTTAATTTTAGTTAAACAAGGGGGAGTCAAAAAGTATGTCAAATCAGGTTAAGCACATCTTTAGGGAATTTTAATTTAATTGTTTTTAGGAGGAGAGCTGAATACCCCTCATTTTTAAATAATCTTTTTCAGCTTAAAAGATAGCGGGGGTATCTAAATATTACCTTTAGTATTGTTGTTAGTAAATAAAGAATTATTATTATTAAATTCATTATTATTTATTTGTTGTCCATTATTAGGTAATTTAAAAGAATTTTTAAAATTATTTTGTTGTTGCTGGAAATGTTTAATTAATAAAGAATTTAATAAATTTAAATTTAATTGTTCTTCAATTGGACTTGGTGTTGGGGGAAGTAAAGGAATATTTGTTGAATTTAAATGAAAAATATATGGAGAAGGTGGTGGGGGTGGAAGGAAAATTAAATTGGATGGTTGTTGATTAGTGGGGGAAGTAGAAGACATTCTCTGAAATTTAAATAAGAAAGTTAAACATTTTTAATAAATTAAATTTAGAGGGAGAGTCAAAAAGTAAGTCAAATCAGGATATCTTTAAGGAATGAATGAATCGACGTTTAAGGGGGATAAGTGAGTGTGTGTATCATGTCAAAAGCATTTAAACTTTTTTGGAGGAAATAAACAAAAAGAAAAATTTTCTGCAGAAAATTTTTTTAATCAATTTTTTTAATCAAAATAAATATTTAATTGCAAGTTTTGCAATATTTAATATTAAAATTTAATATTTAAAATATCAAAATTTAATCCAGTTTTGCTTCAATTAAGAAAAAAACTGAACGAAATTATTTATTTAAATAATCAACAAATACACAAATTAATTCTCTTATCATTTAACTTTTAAATTCTCGGCAATCCTTTCTTGACGAAGAAATTTACAAAAAAATCTTTGACGACACCTTAAAATTTTCTTTTTATCAGTTTTCTAAAAATATATTTAAATAAATAATTTCTCTTTTATCAATTCCTTATCACCAAAAATATTCCAAAATTTTTGTTTAGAATGTCCTCTAAATGTTTATATATTTAATTGGCCAGTTTTGTTGTTATCTGTGGTTGATTAAAATGAAAAAAAAAAGAATTTTCTTATTTAGTTTCAATGGCCAAAGAAACACCCAAAATTTGTAAAAAAAAGTTATTGTGTCATTTTGATAAGAAAGGAAAATAATTTTTTATAATTACGCTAAATAAATATTTTTTTAATTAAAAATGACATGCTTAACTAATTAATTAATTAATAAAAGAGTGGAAAAAGTATTTTTAATTATTCACTTTGATATAGTGGGAAATGATTAAAGTATTTAGTGTTTAATTATATTAAAAAATAAAAATTTAAACGGATACCCAAAAGAATATCCCCAAATATACCCAAATATTTTTTTTAAACCAGGGCTGGAGAAAAATAAATAAATATATGGATATTTAAATAAACCAGGGCTGGAGAATTTTGAATTTTAAAAAACAGATGCGGTTTAAAATAAAAAAAGCGGCAGACGTGGAGGCGGGAGGGTCAAAAAGGTGGAATTCGATGGAAGACGGAAGTCGGAAGCTGAAGAAAATCCAGCCATGGTGGATCCCCAAATATTCAATTCAATTCAATTCAATTTATACGTAAAAACGTGACATTCAGATAAAAATAAAATGAAATGTAAATATAATTTAAATCAAAAGTTTTGTATAAGGTCTGGAGACAATAGAGTGGAATTTGACTTTGATAAAATATTGTTTAGGTTAATATTGTTTAGGAGCTTTGGAAACAATTCGATTGACGATTTTTGTAATTCTATTGGAAGTTTTTTGTAAATGTTTGGTATGTCTATAAAAAATGAATTTTTCCGAATGGTGCTTGAACAAAAGGGTATAAATAAATTATGCGGATTACCTCTGGTAGTGGTGGGTAGGATGCTATATGTATTATCGTGTTTTAGATTAATTTTACCTAAAATAATATTATGGAAAAGGATGAGATTTGATTTTAAACGTCTATGCGATAGAGATTCAAGTTTGAATATGTCAAGGAGTTCTTTATAATTAGGTAATATTGGGCTGTTATTGTGTTTCATAGAGCGTAAGTATATTATTTTTAAGAATTTATGTTGCACATTTTCTAAAGCGTTTATGTCTTTATTTAAATAAGGGTTAATTATAGGAGATCCAAATTCGAGGATAGGTAAGACATATATTTTGAATAGAGTAATTAGGAATTGAGTATTGTTAGTTTTAAGAGATCTTATAAGAGTATAATAAATTCTAGTTGCTTTATTTGTTGTGATTTTAATGTGAGAATCCCATTTTAAGTTGGATGTAAAATAAATGCCAAGATCGCGAATAGGTTCGTTGGGTGGAATGGTTGGTATATTAATGTTTTGTAGAGAATATTGGTGGAAGGGATTTTTAGTCCCTATGTGAAATGAACTGCATTTGCTGACAGCGATTTTAAGGCCATTTATTTCGCAGTATTTTGAGAATGTTTGGATAAATGTTTGGAGTGGAGAGTAGTGATTTTTGTTTAGGAAGTCAAAGCAGGTATAGGCCTTTAAATCGTCAGCAAATAGTTTTGGAGTAACTTTGTCTGTTTTACAAAAATCAATTATATCCGAAATATATGAGATGAATAAGATTGGGCCTAGGATGGACCCTTGAGGGAAAATATTAGATAAATAAATAGTAGATTCACGTTGAGAGGCAAAATATATATATTTATAATATTTGTTACAAAAAAGATATAAAAAGGAGATAAAAGTATGTGAACGGAATTAACTCAAAGATTGCCTGGACAGATTAAAATAAATAAATTAAAGAGTTATTTAAAAAAATAATATACAAAAAATATTTAATAAATTTTATTGGGATTTGGGAAAAGTCCGCACCTCCTCAAGTGGGATTTTCTCACATTTCCGGATGAGTGATTGTCGGAGAGAGTACAAACTTTCGAACGGTCCTTGGAATAAAATCCGGAGAGTTTATATAGACGAACAGTCCTAACGAAAAAGGAATGGAATTGAGCGAGCTTTTGTGTTACATGCTACAAAAATTTTTTTAATACTTTAAGAAATTTTTTTCCGTAAAAGTTTAGATAAAAAAGAAGATTTTTTCAATTTCTAGCAGAATATAATAACAAACATAAATGTCAACAGAAAAATTTCAAAAAATTTCACAAAGCAAAATTTCAGAATTCAAAAACTAAAAATAACATTTAAACTTTTTATCATCTCTAACCATGAGACGGCTTTGGTTGTGTTTACAATTATTTATAGTTTACAACCCATCGAAAATTTATATTAACAAATACAAGCATTCTATATAAACTTGGATTTAACAGCCGTTTCTTATTGGACACGGCGGTGCATGGGAGCATTTGCAGAGACTTTGGCTGTCTCACGGCGGGACTATAATCACAACAACAACAGCAACAACAACAACAAAATAAAACAATTCATTTACAACCTTTTATGGTTGTGCCCTGGAGAAATTAGCACATTCGAGTTAAATGAGAAATTGGTTTAATTTAAATGTTGCTAGTGGAGGTGCGTGGGCTAAAACGCAGAGGAGGTTGGAGGAATAAAAATAAATCCTGCTTGTGAGCCCTTTCAGAGTCGATGATGCAGCCGGGTCCTAAAATTTTTTGCCAATCAAAGAAGAATCTCCTTAAACTTTTTGTTTCAAAACTTGAAAATCGAGAATATATTTACATACTATAATCGAAATCAGATAATTTGTTTATATAAAAAGGAAATACTGACGATTGAAGTTTAATTACAAAAGGTTAGAGAATTTAATTAAAGCCTAATAAAATTCAAAATTTCTTTTGCAAAATTTACACAAACTCAAAAAGCCCTATAAAAATTTGTCAATGCTAAAAATAAGAGTATAAAATCGAGACTAGCAAAGTAGAGAGAGAAAAATAAATAAGAGAGGTAAAAGGGGGAATAACAAGAAAAAAGAGAAAAACAAATAAACAAACACAAAATAATCTAAACACTTTATTTATAGTACAACCCATCGAAAAAAATAGAAAATAATTTCCTCTCATTATATATTGAAAACCTTTTCAAAGCAGGTATGGATGTGGTGTGCTTTCAGTAGGCACATGTGGAGGCTGAGGCCGGCTCTCAGCGGGACAGCCGATGCTGAAGGCTTTAACCAAAATAACAATTAACGCTCAAAGCAGAAGCAAAACCAATCAAACCAAACAAATAAAACACTAAACACAAAACAAACAAATACCAATCGTGCCCTGGAGTATAACGCATGCCTTAATGGGTAATGTGTTTGAGTGGAGGTTGCGCGGGGCCTAAATACGCGCAGTGGAGGAAGGAGGCAATAGTCCCGCTTGTGTAGTTGATTCACAGTCGTTGATGCAGCCACATCCGCAAATTTTTTTTAAATCTGCTCCGTTTTGGAAGATGGTTGGATGAGTGGTTTTTATGATAATGGAAAAGGCCGAGTTCGACTTGCCAAGTAGAAAAGGATGAGTTTTCCTTATAAAATTTTTTGCAAAATTTATAGAAGCCCTAAAATAGGGCAGGTTACTAAAGCAGCTTCGACTTTAAAAAAATAATAAAATTTATTAAACAAATTTATAAAATTTGTATAATTTTTTTAAAGTTAAATATATTTTTAAATAAAATTGTTTCTCCAAAATGATAACCTTCAATAATTTAAATAACCTCAAAATTGTTTAATTCTCAACAGTATTTGTAAACATTTCAGCCATCGCGCGTGTAGCCGCCCCGGCAAACATCATTCCTAGCATCATCTTCCCCATAGTATCTTAAAAAATTTTTTAAATATTTTTTAGTTATTTGTAAACTTTTTATTGGAAAGGAAAACTTTAAAAAAATCTAAAAAATTACCAATATCAGAATCGTCAGAATCAGATGTACTACTATCAGAATCAGCTTCATCATTAGAATCTTCATAAAATTCATCAAGCACAGAATTCTTTGAAATATCAAAAAGAAAAGGTTTAATCTCCAAATTATTTCCAAAATTTGTTTCGACAGAACAACGACCCAAAAGAAGAGACGGCACAGATTCATCATTCTTTCGACCTTTCATTAATATTCCTTTACCTTTAAAAAATAATTATTTTTCTCTTAATAAATTTCCAAACCAATTTCTTTTCCATTTTGAGTAAAGAAAACAAAAGGGAATTTGTTCTTTCTATTAATTGGTGGATATACTACTCCACATCCAAAAACATCCCCATCATTCCAACAAAAAGTTTCTGGAAGATTAATTCCCTTCTTTTTATTTTTTTGTTTGTAAACAATAGAAGCCGCCAATTTGTTTCTAATTGGCTTTCCGATACACAACAAAACATCATTTCCACAATTTTTAATTCCAACACACAAAATATTTTTATTTTCTTCTTCTTCAATTTTACCTTTAACTTCATAATAAAATAAAGAATAATTGTCTTTTTCTTTTGGATTTTTAAATTCATTTTCGGCAGAAACAACAACAGATTTATCTTCCCCTAAATAAAATAAATTTAAAATTAAGGTTCTACTTGACTTTATGAGTCCAATCAAAAAATAACTGAATTTTTCTTGGTGTTGTAAAGTTGGGGTATGGTTCCAATTTTATCTTCAACCTACGCCTACTGACATGAGTCTGGGACCATTCCTTACCCCTTCCCTCGAACTTCTGAAAGTTATGGCCAATTTATAAAAATTTCAGAAAAATGATTTTAACTTCTATAATTTTCGAGGTATAGGATAAGTAACGGCCCTAGACTCAGTGGGCGTAGGTCCCGAACATGAAGAAATGTTTTGGAACCATACCCAATTTGGCAATACCAAGAAAAATTCAATTATTTTTTGATTGGACTCATAAAGTCATGCAGAACCAAAATTAAATTCTTTCTTCAAAAAAACAAACCTTTCCCCAAAATATATTTAATATTTCCATCTCCAATTAAATTAACAAATTTATTTTCTTCAATGCAAATTCCAACAGGCACACTGTTTATACAGTAAGGTGCAAAAGTTTATGCGGCGGCACATTGCAGGCAGATAAATCGATATATCCCTGGAAGAAAAGGGACCCAAATTAAATTGATTATATTTTAATTAAGTATAGGTCATCTGTTTATAATATCCATAAAAAATTTTTTTAATACTCATGTCATTCAAAATTTATTCACGTAATAACTTATTTACCTCCCATTTTGGGGGAGCAAAAGTTTATGCGGCACATATAAAAAAATTTTTTTTGGTTCTAAAACAAAACGAAAAAAATTACAAAAATTTTTATAAACATTTTCATTGATATTGAATGGAGAAAGAGCAAAAACGAAGTCCATATTCGCTTTATACATTGAGATCTCAAATCTCAAAAATCAACGGGAAATGAGGTTACAGTACTTCGAAAAATACTTTAGCTCCCTAGGGCCTGTATCAAAAATTCTTTTTGGGCTCATTAGAAAGCCCATAAAATTTGCTACAAACTACACTTGGTTTCATATGTGTGAAAAATTTCAGCTTCGAGATAAGGTCGCTTGAATTCACAATGTTGTCAAAATCACTCGAAATACCCTATAAAATGCTCATTTTTATTTCCTCGGTAATTAATGTCACCCTACCTCGGAGTGTAAATTTTCCAAGCATAGGAGACCAACCGTATTTTGTAGTAAATTTTATGGGCTTTCAAATGAGCCTAAAACAAAAATTTTAAAAAATTCATAAGGGGTCGAAAATATTTTTTCAATTACTATACCCCGATTGTACGTTGATTTTTATGATTTTGGATCTTGATTAAAAAATTATTTATCGGATTTATTCTTTTTGTATTTTCATTCAATATCAATAAAAATGCTTTTAAAAAATTTTTAAACTTTTTTCGACTTGTTTTTGAACCAAAAAATTTTTTTCCTTTAAAACGCATAAACTTTTGCTCCACCAAAATTTGAGGTAGATAGGTTTTGAGCTTATAATTTTTGAATAAAATGTATATTGGAAATTTTTTTTATAAATTTTAGTAATACAATACCTACCCTTAATTAATATATAATTGATTTAATTTAGGTCCCTTTTCTCCCAGAGATATATCGATTTTATGCTTGCAATGTGCCGCCGCATAAACTTTTGCACCTTACTGTATCGGCATTTTCACAACTATTAGACGTTAAACTCCATTTATTTTTAACTTGAACAAAATTCTAAAGAAAAAAATTATTTTTTAAAATTTATTTAAATCTTTAACTAACCATTCCTAAATTGCCAAAGTTTTTAATTCCAGACGTCGATTCCCCAATTTTCTCATCAATTAATTGTTCAAAATATTCTTTTAAATTTTTAATTTCATTTTTTTGTTCAGACTTGACTTTTTGAATTTCCTGAAAATAATTTAAAAATTAATTTTTTGAAAGAACTTGTAAATTTAAAATAATAGGAAAGAAAGAAATTTTTGGGTTTAAATCCAAATTTCAAAGAATAATTAATTACTCCCCCCTCGTCCCTACCTCATTCATTTTCTTCTCAAAAATTTCCATTTCCTTCTTATTTTTACTTTCAATTAATTTCTTCTCTTTTTCATTCTTTTCTTTTTCCTCATTAAATTCAATTTCAAAATTATCAAGTTTTGTTTGAAGATTCTTCACAATTTCCCCCTCACTTTCCTTAATTAAAATATAATTTATTTTTAATTATTTTTTAAATTTACATTTAGGCCCAAATCAGAACTTGATGATCCTTTTTCAGTCATTATATGTAAATAAATATTTAAATTTCTCAAAAAATACAGTAGTCGACAAAAAGATAGGGACAAACGCAAGCAAAATGAAAATCACCTATTTTCTCGATTAAAAATCGATTTTAGGAAAAATTTTTTGATTGATTAAATACTAGATTTAATGCTCTATTTAATGAGTAGAAAATTTGCCTGTTTAATTTTTTATAAAATTCAACCCTTATTGAAAAACTAAAGGTATGCTATTTTAAGCGCGACAAAAAGATAGGGACAAGTCTTGTAACTAAGTTCTCATAGAAGCGAAAAATCTAAAAAATTTATTGTAAGCATATTGATCGATAATAAGAAGAAATAAAAGAGAACTAGGTCCATATCTCATTTCGTTGTTGAGATCTAGATACCCCAAAAATCAACGTAAAATACGGTTTTTCGACTTCAAAAATTTTTTCAGACCCCTTATTGATTGTTTTAAATTTTTATTTTAGGCTTATTCGATAGATCTTTAATTGTGTTATAAACGTGACAAATTTCATTTTTCAAAAAAATTTCACTCCCGAGATAAAGGACGACGATTCTTCAAAACGCCATTTTTGTGGGAATTTATGGGGTGTTTGTTGCTTTTTGTAACATTCGCCTCTGCAACTAACGAAGTATTTTTTTCTGAAAAATGAAATTTGGCTAGTTTATAGCAAATTTCAAGAGCTATCGAATAGGCTCAAAATAAAAATTTTAAAAAATCCATAAGGGGTCGAAAATATTTTTTGAAGTTGCTTACCCCTGTTTTACGTTGATTTTTGGGGTATCGAGATCTCGACAATGAAATGAGATACGGGCCTAGTTACTTTTTATTTTATCTTAGTATCGATCATTATGTTTGCACGAATTTTTGTAAATTTATTGGTTGAGTGACTACTTAGTTACAAGACTTGTCCCTATCTTTTTGTCGGGCTAAAATTTGCAGTACTTTCTTATTTAAATTATTTCAGTATATCAAAAAATAGTAATCCGCCAGATCTTATACTTATTAAATAGAGCATTAAATGGCGTATTTAATCATACAAAAAATTTTTCCTGAAATCGATTTTTAGCTGAGAAAATAGGTGATTTTCATTTTACATGCGTTTGTCCCTATCTTTTTGTCGACTACTGTATATCTAAAAATTTATTTAAAACAATTAAAATTAACAAATTAAATCCAAACATTTTTGGGAAATTTTGGCTTTTTGGCGTTTAATTAAAAACTTTTGGGTAAATTTCAAAATGGTAACACCCCAAAAAATGTTAAAAATACCAACTCCCTACGTAAAAATTAACTTTGTTTGTGGATTTCCATTTGTTTATTTAATCAAATCCGGATTTTGTATATCCGACTCGTTCCATTTTTTTTAATAAAAATTTTAAAAATTCTTTTTATTTTTTTATTCCGTTCAATTTATTATTTCTTTATTTGCATGCTTTTTCTCTTTTATTTTTCATTCAATAATATTTTTGCCAAAACATTTAGCTTATTTTATGTTCTTTTGAGTCTCTTTAACTACTTTCATTTTTAAAGAACAGCTGACTTTTAAATATATTTATTGTTCTTTTCCTTTATGTCTTCCTTTAAAATTTGTTGTCGTCTTTTGGCCATAAAAAGTGAACTTTTAAGGGGTTGGTAGAGACTTTGAAAGAAGGAAAAGTTTTTAATTTAAATAAAAAATTGTTTTTTCTTTCTCTTTATAAATTGAAGAAACACCTCTTATCGAGTAATGGTATATCCAAAGGGGTGTTTATATCCAAATATTCCTGGATATCCTTTGGTGTGAATTTAAAAATATTAATTTTACATACCTTATTTCCTCTAACTGGAGCATTCTATTTTTAAATGTTCTCTAAAGAGGGTACTTTATTAGAGAGAGGGGAATTCAACTGGAGGGGATTATTGTATTAGAGAAGGAATACGGTAGTTTAAATCTTTTAAAAAACCAATTTAAGACTCTAATATATCCCCTCTTCTAATCCAACTGAACCAACAAGGCGCTAATGAAGCCAGCTTATTTTAACGTTGTAAAACATTTTTCTTTTTTTTTTTTATTTTCTGGCAGCAAATTGACAAAATATTATCGAACAAAAAATATTTAAAAGAATGTGAATTATTTTGATAAAAAATTGAAAATTCTTTTTTTATCAAATATTCTCTGGATTATTTAAAGTAATTTATATATGTTAATAAAAAAGAGGAAAGAAATTAATTTTAACAACTAAAAACGACAAAAATTTATTTTTTAAAAATAAATTTTTCTTAAAAACTTATGACAACAAGAAGTAGCAGTTTGGGAATTAAAGATGTTGAATTACTTGGAGGTGACCAAACAATTGGAGATGAGGAGGTGCTTTTATTTTTTTGAAAAGAATTTTTTGTTAAAAACATGCTGGGAATACTTTTTTTATTTTTGAGATAAAAGTTTAAATATTCAAAAAATAAATTTCCCACTAACAATTTGTACGGCCTTTTCGGCGCTGAGCGTTAAGTCGCGCCCTTTTAATTTTCATATTGTTTTGAACTTGGAACTGTGGGATTAAAAAAATATTATTAACTACTCTCGGAATTTTATTTCTTAAATTGTATTCGAAGCCCAACTAAAATCCTCCATTTCACAGAAAATTAATCATTTATGCTGTTAACTGTCCAAAAACGAGATTATTTTATAAATCCGCGCCGTAACCGCTCTGCGTCCAAATATCCCAATCTCTTTTCAACTTTTTTTCTCAAAGGCCACCAACTGCGATTATTTATTTATTAAAAATAAAAATATTTTCTATCAATAATTTTTTGTCTCTTTTTTTCATTCTTTTATCAATTCTCTAATATTCATAAAAAATGTCCCTTTAATATTTTATTGATGGCCTGTGATTTAATATTTTTTTGAAGAAGAAAAGTGTTCTTTTTCTCTCCCCCTAATTTGCTTACTTCTTTTAAAGGAAGGAAAAGAAAATCTTTTTATTTTATTTTTTTATTTGTATAAGCTTAAATAAATAAATAAAATATTTCTTTGATATTTTTTACTTCCTTTTTTAATTTTATTTTAAATATTTTTTATAAAAATTTCATTTTTTTAAACTAAAAAATTGCTTGTTTGTTGCTATTCTTTAATTATTTTACAATTCTATAATTTTACACTGAGACATTCCCTTAAAATATTTTTTTAGTTTAATTAAAGTAGGAATAATCCTATAAGTTAGAAAAATTTTGAAATTTCTAACATCTAGCCCCAAGAAGAAAATCTAAAAATGTTCTTTTTTGATAATTTTTGAAAAATAGGGCCCCATTCTGAATTAGAGCCCCGCGGGGCTATTACATGAAATACTGTAAATTTTTTTTTATTTCCCTTCTACTAACAAATAAATAAAGTTTTTTATTCAAAATTCACACAGTGATTGTTTTTCATATTTTTTGTCTCAATTTTTTTAAATCTTTTTTTAATTCTTCACTAAATAGTTCCCCCTCCCTCATTCATTCTTCTCTCTTTTTAAAAATTTTTTCTTCCTTTTTCTCTCAAAAAAAAATTTTTTTTGTCAATCTCCCTTCCCCTTTTTTTAAAAATGAAAATACAAAAATTAAATTCATCACCAACATCTCAATTATTATTATTTTCCTTAAAGGATTCTTCAATCGGCGGTCATCAAGAACGTAATTGGCGGGGAATTATTACAGCATTATTAGTTATTGCAATTATGTGTTCATTAATTGCTTTGGCTGTTCTTGTTCTTTCGCCTCGTATGTTTTTTTAATTTTTTGTAGAAAGGTGGAGGGGGAAGGTGTTTGGAAAATTTATAGAAATGAGAGAATAAAGACTACAGTTTTTAGGGGTGTAAAAGCCTTGGCTGAAGCCCTGTAAAAGGAAGGGGAAAATGTTTCTCCCTCGGAAATTCCTCTCTAATATCAATCATTTAAAAAGTTTCTAGATTTAATTTTTAAGCTTTAATCGACGCAGACCAACCCCAACAGAGAATTTCATTATCAGACGTTCTCTCGCTTCGATTTCTTAGTTTTGTTGAATCTCTTGAATGGATTGACAGCAAAAGATTGTTAGTTAAATATACAGAAGGAATTAAAATATTGGAATTAATTGATGAAGAAACAACAAAATGGGAATGGAAAAATTTAGAAGGAGATTTGGTCGGTAAGAGAAAATGGAAGCAAAAAAATAATAATTTTAAAAAATTGGGAAGGGACTAATAAATTAATGTGAGGGTTTTAAGGCAGTACATAGAAAACAATCTATTATTGTCTTTGTGGTGTAATGGTTTAGGTGTTATCTTGCCCAATTAATCTCTGTATGGTTCGAGTCCTTTGGAGTTATTTATTTTCTTGTTATTTCTTTTTGGTGTTAAAATGCCAAAAAGTCTTTCAAAGCTTAAAATTCCTCTTGAAAATTTTTTTTAATTTTTATTTTTTTTTAAGTTTCGCTATGGAAAGCCCAATTCTGTTGACGTGTCGTCGGATGCTCGGTATTTAATTTTTCATTATTATATCGGTAAACGTTCTTCTAAAACCAGCACTTTTCGAGTTTATGACACAAAAACTGAGTAAGTTTGATAATTTATTTAATTTTATAATTTTTAATTTTAAGGACTTTCGAAAATGTTGGACCAGAAAAGAGTGGAGACGAAAATGTTAAAGTTGTGGCTTGGAATCCAAAGGGAAATGATTTTGTTTGTTTTTTCTTTTTTTAATTTTTGGAGGCTTAAAATCTAAAAATTTAAATATTTTTGCAAAATGTAGCCAATACTATTTTAGTAACCTTTACTCTTATACTCACTTCTTCTAAAAGACCCACAAATTTTTTATTTTCATCCTTTATCAGGCTTATGTCTACAACAATAATGTCTTCTATCAATCTGACCCTCTGACTCTTAAAAGTCAACAAATTACTAATGACTCTTCTGAAGATATTTTGAATGGAGTAGCTGATTGGTTATATGAAGAAGAAATTTTACAAACTTCCCAAGCTTTGTGGTGGTCAAAAGATGGGAAATTCTTGGCATTTTTAACAATTGACAATAGAGAAGTGCCTCATGTGCCTATTATGCATTTTGCACGTAAATAGTTTTTTTAATTTAAAAGGGGGTTTAGTAAATTTTTTTATTGTTAGATCATCAATATCCAAAAGTTGCAAAACAGCCTTATCCTAAAGTTGACGAAAAACATTTACCTCAAATTTGGTTGAGTATTTGGAACAAAGAGGATGGGACATTGAAGAAAATAAATGTTGAAGGAATTCCTGAAAGGTGAGGGAAATTTTATAGTTAAATGGTGGTGGGTTTTTTTGAAAAATTTTTTTGGTTATAGTAATTATAAATTATTAATTTTTAACATTTCTTTTCAGTTCCCGTATTTATTTATTTTCTGCTCAATGGGTTGAATTATATGGACAACAAATTTTAATTGCTGTTTGGGCAAATAGATATCAAAATCAAGTTTGTTTATTTTATTTTTAATTTTTTTTATTTTCCTTTATTTTTTTAAAGATAATTTTCTCTTTATGTTCATTTAATTCATCAAAATGTTTACCTAATTTAATCCAAAAATTCACTTTTGACAATTTAAATTATGGAAAGATTCCTTCATTTAATGGCCCAGAAGCTTCTCAAAATTTAAAAATTGACACAAATTCAAATTTAATTTTAAATCTTTGGGCAGAGCCAGAAGACAGTAAAGTACGTTTTTATTCATCGGATGCTTTCTATACTTTATTGCCACATCGAAGACCTTCAAATAATGGAGAAAATGTTTATACTCATTTGGTTAGTTATTTTGGAAAAATTTTAAAAATTATTTTAGGCATGTATTAACGTTTCTCATGGATTGGAACGTGGTCGTGAAAGTAAGAAAGAATTTTTTTAAATTAGGAAACTCCATTGTAATGTAATATTCCATTGTACTAGAATTGGTGGATTTTGAGAAAAAAGTCCGGATATCCGGGGGTTTCCTACGATACGCCAGTCCTAATCAAAGCCGATAACTCAGAAAATGGTTTTCTTCAGAATTACAAATTCTTTTACATAAAACCCTTCATTTCTTTTAATCAAATAATTTACAGCTTTTCTTCCATCTGGAAATTTTGATGTTGAAAAGATTAATTTTTTGAGCCATGAACGTCAAAAAATGTTTTTTTTTAATTTTTTTAATTTTAAAATTTATATTTTTTAGTTATTTTACTGCAGCAGCACCATTGCCTTCACAAAGACATCTTTATGTAATTCCTTCATTTCCTGTATGTTTTTTCAAATTTTCTCTCAAAAATTTAATTATTTTAAAGGATTCCCATTCAATCGACCCAATATGCTTAACTTGTAATATTTCAATTAATTGTACTTTCCATGAAAGCCATTTCTCTCCAATTAAAAAGAATAACAACAATTTCTCTACACAATTTGTTTCTTTAAATTGTAAAGGCCCTGGACCTCCCCATTTTTTAATTGCAAAATTGAATTCTGATGGAAATAAATTGGAAAAAGGTAAATTTGATTTTAAATTAAATTTTCTGTTTTATAACCCTCTTTTTAAATTTAAAGAAATTTTATTAAAAAATTAATTTCCTCTCACATACAACTTGGAAATTTAAAAAGGAATAGGATTTACATTGACTCTTTACGGAATTGACTTTTTTGTTTATATATTTCAAACAAATTTTAAAAATATTTACAAAATACGAAAAAATTAACATATAACCCAAAAAAGATTTTTAATGTAAGGGAAAGGAATGGTTATTTTAGCGAAATTATTTTTTATTTTGTAGGATTTTAATATTTTTTTTTATTAATTTTAGTATTAGACTTTGGCCGAAATGAAGCACTTGAACAAGCATTACATGCATATAGACTTCCAAGTGTCCACTTTACTAATATTAAATTAAAGAATGGAATTGGTTTGTTTGTTTATTTTTGTTGTTTAAAAATATTTTTTAGAATCACTTGTAAAGATTTTGGTTCCTTATGGTGTTTCTTTGGAGGAGAAAAGACCAGAAAAGAGATTTCCTGTTTTAATTGATGTTTGTTTTTAAAAATATTTTTTATTTATTCTTAAAAATAGGTTTATGCTGGACCGGGAACACAAAAAGTTACCGAGGAATGGCTTTCTGCAAATATGTTTGATGTATTTTTTGCTTCTTCTTTGGTTAGTATTTAACTATATGTATTTGATAAATTCTTTATAAGTAGAGATGCTCAAATAGGTTTAAGAGCTGTGAGATGTTGTAGGCACAGCACTACTTTTTTGTTATCCAATTTTCGATAGGTTTTTCTTTAAGTTATTTTATATCAAACTTTTCTAAAAATTCACTTTAGCCTTCTTCACAGATACTTTTTCTCGACAGATATAATTTTTCATCCTAACAATAAGTATTTATCTATACAATCCAATGTTTAAGCCAGGGCTGGAGAAGTTTGAATTTTAGAAGGCGGAAGCTGAAGAGCAAAAAATGACGGAATTCGGCGGAAGTGGAAGAAAATCTCGCCCTGGTTTAAACCTTCCTTTTCTATGTTTCATTTACCTAAAAATTTCCAATTAATTCGAAAAATATTTTTTTTACTTTTTAGGATTACGTGGTTGTATTTATTGATGGACGTGGCTCTGGGCATCAAGGCTGGAGAATGAAGCAGCCTCTTTATGGAAATTTTGGAACTGTTGAAATTGACGATCAAATTGACACAATGAGGTTTTTAATTTTTGAAATTTTATTTTTTAAAAGACTTTTTCTTTAAAGAGAATTGCTTAGACTTTATCCAATTTTGGATTCTAAACGTGTTGGAATTTGGGGATGGGTATTTTTAAGAATATTATAATTTTAAAATATTTTTATTTTTAAGTCTTATGGAGGTTTTGCTGCTGCCCGAGCTGTTCAACGAGATCATTCTTCAAATAGAACATTTCAATGTGCGGCTAGTGTTGCTCCTGTTTCGAATTTTAGATATTATGGTTATCTTTGTTTAATTAAATATAAATTTATTTTTAAAGATGCGACATACGCAGAAAGATATATGGGAGAAGTTGGTGCTGATGCTTATGAAAGGACAGATTTGACACAGGTTAAATTAAATATAAAAATGAGTGAAGTGGGGAGATTTTGGAAGTATTTTTGAGTAAATTCTGTGAATAATTTTAAATAATTTTGCTAACAAAGTTTTCTCTTTATAAAAAATTTTGGAGGGGGAAGTTGGATATTTTTATTTTTAAGTCTTATGGAGGGAAATTTATTTGATAGCAACAAAAAGAATTAGAATTAGGTTTACTTTGTCACATCGTGGGCTATTTTTTATATTGTTAAATTTTAATTTTTGAATGCTCAAAATGAGTCAATTTATTTGTAATATTTTTTTATTAAGGATGTAAGGCCATTCCACAATGTTTCATTTATGCTTGCTCATGGTTCTGCTGATGGTGAGTAATTTTTTTTAAATTTTTATTTAATATTATTTCACAGATAATGTTCACTATCAAAACACGGCAGAATTTGTGAGGGCTTTAACTGAAGAAAATGTTCAATTTGAATTGATGGTTAAAAAATAATTTTTTGTTAAAATTTTTTATAGAAATTATTTTAAGGTATATACAGATGATTCTCATAATTTAAGTACAGTCCGGTGGCATTTATATACAATGATTGTGCAATTTTTGAAAAAATGCTTTAATGGAAGTAAAATTTGAATTGTTTTTTTGGGAAATTTTTTAAAAAGAAAAAAGATATAAATTTTTATTTTTTTGGCAAGTAAATTTACTAAAATAATTATTTTTAATAGAGGATTTTCTTAATTTGTATTTTCCTTTTTCAATTATGTATTTACTTGCCAGACTTATTTGACTCCTACCTATTTTAATTAATGTGCTAATGACAGTTTTTGGACATGATCGGTATTTTTTTAATTTTAATTCATCTCCAAAAACTGTCTAGTACGATCTCTCTTATTTTCCAAGCTTTTGTTAATTTTTAGGATCTTTTAGAGAAAATATATTTTTATGTATATGTATGAGACCTTTCTTTTGACTTTGCATTTGTTGACTTAAAAAAATACATTTATTTTTTAAATAAAGAATTAATTCTAATTTAAAAATTGTTTTAACAGATTTGATTATTTATTTATTTAAAAAAGATCATTTAATGAGGACAATTAACTTTTAGGAGGAAAATTAAAAAACAACAATATATTTGAGGACTAGGTCTTTGTCATTTTTCCTAAATTTTAATAAAGCACACAAAAAACTAAAAAAAGGGAGAGAGGTGTATTCACTCGAAAAAATAGGAGAGAGGTGGGAAGGAAGAATTTAAAAAAGGCGAAAATATAAAAAAAGGATTTAAACTATTATCCAGTTTATTTTGAATTTTTAGAGAAATTTTAAAGTCTCTTTAAAGAGATTTTTTGTCTTCAAAAACTGGATAAAACAATTAAAGAGTATCTAAAGCATTAAAAGAAAACAAATTATAAATATATAAACAGAGTTGTAATTTTTTGTTTAAAACATTTCTTCGATTAATTATAAAAAAAAATCTTTTTTGGAAATTAAAAATTTTGGACTTATGTTTGATCCGTGAAATATGAGTCGAAAAAAACTTTCTGTTTGTAAACAGAATGGCCCACAAAAATGAAATATTTTCTGTTTATCCCCATTAATTCCCACTTTCATATCCAATTATTATTTTCAGTTTTCCTATTCCTTACCTTTCCTAAAAATATTTTAATTAGCTCAATTCCCCAAAATTACAACTCTATTATATATTTTATAATTTTTTGTCGTTGATTATTATATAATGCCTTATTAAAAAATTAATTTTTAAAAATTATTTCTTTTTTTTCAACTAACTTCTCTCTCTCTGGGTCCTTTTTACCTCTTCTTTTATTTTTAAAGTCAATCCATATTAACTATTCTTGCACAAATATCTGCAGTAAAAGATTGACAAGTTCCTTTACCTCCCAAATCCCCAGTTTTTTGATTTCCCGTTGCAATTGCATCAAAACAAGCCTAAAAATATTTAAAATTTTTAAAAAATTTAGAAAACCTTTTCAATTTTATTTGCATATGATTCCAAACCCATATAACGAAGCATCATTATACCCGAAAGAAGTAATGCTGTCGGATTCGCTTTGTTTTTACCGGCAATGTCTGGTGCTGTTCCGTGAACACCTTTTAAAGAAAAGTTAATTTTAAATTTAGAGGAAATGTAAAAAGAATTTATTTTAAAAGAATTCCTCTTCCAGAGTAAAATTTTATAGAAAGAAGGAATTAAAAATATCCTTTACATAAAAATAATTTCAATTCAAATATGAACAATACGGACTGAATTTTAGTAAAGAATCTGTTACATCTTTAAGGAAAGTAGAAATAAAAAAAATCCAAAAACAAAAATTCCCATTTTTATTCACAAAAAATAACAACAAACTTTCAAAAACAGCAACATTTTCACCAATATTACCAGAAGGAGTAACTCCAAGCCCTCCAATTAAACCAGCACATAAATCAGAAAGAATATCGCCATAAAGGTTTGGCATTACCTTTAAAATTAAAAAAAATTAGATTTAAATAAAAAATTTAAACAAACCAAAACATCGTATTGATTTGGATTTTGTACCATATTTAGACAAACTGTATCCAAATAAGCCTCTTTAAACTTAAAAAATTATTTTATCCAGAATTGTCAAAAATTAAAAAAAACCTGAATGTCTGGAAAGTCTTTAGATGCCTCTCTACACATTTTCAAAAATAAACCATCCGACATTCTTTAATAATTTTATTTAAAATAATAATTAAAAAAAAAGATAACCTCATAATATTAGCTTTATGCACAGCAGTAACCAATTTTCGTCCATTATTTCGAGCATATTCAAAAGAAAAACGAGCAATTCGGCGAGAAGCTTCTTCTGTTATTAATTTAATGCATTGAATAATTGAACCAGGAATTATCTAAATTTGATAACATTTTTAAAAAATTTAGAATTGAAAAATTAAATTGTAAAAGATCGGCAATGCCAATTTAGATAATTTGAACTCTATGAACTCAATTTACATTTATTTCCTATTTGCCTGGAGAATCTGCTATAAACATGGAGACAAACAAGTATTAGCACGGAATAAATACCCGAAGATTAATTACTTTAATTGATTTATTGCCAAATGTAGAACAAGGGAAAGTACGAAATAATGAAAATGAGACTCATAAAATTCAAAAATTCCTAATATATTTTATTTCGCACACTACATTCTATTGAAGGCAAAAGGGAATTTGACGAAACGTGAGTATGGCCTATGTATGGCTTATAAAAAACAAATAAAACGTTAATTCAGGAAAAATAATTTAAAAAATTTCTAGAAAAAACCTCGTGTTCTATTCCAGAATATTCTCCTTCAGTATTTTCACGAATTGTAACAACATCAACATTATCATACAAAGTTTTATGACCTTGTAAAGAACGACATGGACGAACATTTGCAAATAAATTGAATTCACTAAAGTTAAAACTAAAAACAAAATTCAAAATAAAAACCGTCGAACAGCCAAATTCAAAGATCGATGCCCTTTTCCAATTGGAGTTTCTAAAGGACCTTTCAATCCAACTTTGTTTACATGCATTAATTCAATGCATTTGGATGGAATTGAATAAACCCCGTCTTTGCCACGTACAGGAGTTACATCAACTGGATCCTGAAAATTAAGAAAAAGATTAACAACAGTTGAAAATCTAAAGAAGGGATTTAGTAAGTATTGACTCTGGCAAAAACACAAAAACTTTTTTAAATAAAAAATACCCATTCAATTGGAGTTTTAGCTGCGGCAAAAATTTGTTGAACAGCAGCAGAAATTTCCGGCCCGATTCCATCCCCTGGAATTAAAGTAACACGACGAATTTCCTGTTGACGGGAAGATGAAGTTGCAAAACTTTTGCGTGCATTTTGTAGAAGTGGACGGTAATTAAATAATTTGCTGAATTGCATCTTTTTTTAATATAAAACCCTAAAAAAATTTTTTATCAAAAAATTAAAAATAGAAACCAGACAAATAAATAAAAAAAAATCTTCAAAAAATTGGACAAATTTAATTTTTGTTAAAATTGGCAAATCGTAATAAAACATACAAAAATTTTCATTATATCTAAACGTAAAGAAATGTCATTTAATCTACTAGGGCAAAAATCCCCATTTGATCTAATGATAACTTTAATCATTAATCGTTGATTGATATTTTTTGTTTTAGGTGGCTTGAATTGCATACGTGTTCAATTAAAAGAAATATTATAATTTTTATTAAAAATTTAATTTTTAATTATTTTCAGGTTGGGCAAAAATGTTTAAGGAGGTTATTATAAATTTAAAGTACCCTTCTCAATTAGTCTTGTTGGCATAAATAGACTAATAAATAATTTTTTTACTAAATAATTTTAGATTTAATTTCTTTTCCAGAATTATCCTTATTTCAAAAAGAAATGTCTTCTTCTTCTTATATATTATTTGATAACAGCAGTGGAAGTTCTAATTCTTTACATGAAAGTGTTGAACTTCGATCGAGATCTAAAAATCAACATTCTTCAAATACAGCAACAGATCCTTGGCGTCAAGAATCTCCACATTCAAATGGTTCTTCTCGTCTTCAATTATTAGAACATAATGTTAAAAATGGAGAAAGTTTAATGCAAATATCTTTACTTTATTCTGTTCCGGTTTGTTTTTAAATTATTGGAAGGGTTTTGAAATTACCGTATTTATTCTAATAAAACGACATTCTAGAAGAGGGTTGAAAATTAAGACGACATGTCGTTATATTAGAATAAATACGTTACATTTATTTTTAATTATTTTTGGAATAGCAAAAATAATTTTATTTTTCTAATGGTAAATGTCTGAAAAATAATTTTTCTATTCCTTTTTTAGATTTTTCCTTGAACTCGTTATCAAAAATGCTTGTAAATAATAAGTTAAAAATATTCTCCAATTCTGAAAATATTTTCCAATTCTTTATTTTTAATTTTCTAAGATTTTCCCTTTTCCGTTTAAAAATTCTTTTTAATTTATTTTTAAGGTATCAGAAATTAAACGTGTAAATAATATAGTTGCTGATCAAGAAATATATGCATTTCCAGTAATTAAAGTTCCCTTAAGCCGAACATATTTATTAAAAAGACAATTAATCGAGCAACAACAAAGTAACCAATTAATTGAAATTGAAGGGGAAAAACAAAATATTTCTTCAGAAATTGGAAATGGACAAATTTTGAATTTAAATTTACAAAATGAAAATTTAATGGTTTTTTTAAATAAATTAATTTTTACTTTAATTTAACAAAAAGCCGAAATTCTTTTTAAATTATTTTTCTTTTTTCATTTTTTAAAGGACTCTATTCCACTTAAATCTTCACAAAATTCTTTAAATGGATCAGAAAATAGCCAAAATTCACCAAAATATGCCCGCCAAACAATTGAAGGAATTTTAGACGAAGCTGATAAAACAGTTGCAGCTATTAGACAAAATTTGCCTTCTCCCTCACTTGAAGGGGGACAATTCCATTTTGTTGATGCTGGAGTTCCTGATAATTCTTCAAGTAATTTTTAAAAAATTTTTCTTGGGGAATGGGGTAGAATAAGAGATGAAAATATGTGTTCTTTTTCATACGGGAATGATTTTTTCGTATCTCTTTCAAAATTGAAATAAAACATTTCCTAACTTTTAAAAATAACACAATGATTTTTTGAGTTTTGTTGGTTTTTTCTCTCAAAAAAATATTTTTTTTAATTTAATTAAAATTAAGATATGTGGATAATATTAATAATTGTAATTGTTATTTTTGTATTACTTCCATTGGGACTAACTTTACTTGAAGAAGCTGGGGAATTAGGTGAAGAACGTCAATAATTGAGTATATTTTTTAATTTTTATTTTCTGTTATTTTTAAATAATTCCCCCTCTTTTTTTTTAGATTTTTTATTTAATTTTATTTAAAAATTAAAAAAATATCCTTTAAACCAAAGTTGAAGCCAAATTTTTAGAAGAATTATTTTTATAGGAAATTTATTTTTCTTTTGGCATCAACTTCGCTATATTCTCAATTAAATTCTAAATTGTTATTTAAATATAAAAATATATTTTTTAATTTTTTTCTATAAAATTACAAGTCCCCAAAATAATCTACAATTTCCTTTTTTTTTGTCATTTAAATTTTAAAGGAAAAAAATAAATTTTAAAAAATATTACCATAAAAGGAAAAGCAAAGAGAGAGAGACAATTTTTATCAAAAAGCAAGTAAATAATATACGGAAAACAAAATAGTAATTTTGTGGCTATTTTTTATTTTTTTAAATAAGCAGAGGATATTTTTTTGTTTAATTTCCTTCCCTTTAAAAATGGGTAAAAAATTAGAAAATAAAGATAATTTTAAAAAGTCAATCAATCAATTTACTTCCCTTCATTTAATCCACCATTTTTCTCTTCAGCCATTTTCATACTAGCAGCCATAATCAAAGTATCCAAAGAATTTGGGGAAGTCGAATTTAAACCTGTCTGGTGCTTGGCCCTTTAAAAAATAAATTTTAAGAGATTGTTTAAAAATTGTAAAAATATTTTACTTCTGATTCTACTTTACGAAAATTAGCTTAATTTGAGGATACCCCCCCCTCCCCTACTTTCTTGAATTCTAATAAATTTATTTAAAAAATTAAAATACTTTTCACGTCGCTCCTCATAAATACGTCTCGCGTCCATCATAGAAATATCTTGCATCTATAAAATTCAAATAATTCTACAAAATTTAAATTTAAAAAACCTTCGAAAGAGCATAAGTACACAATTCCGGCAAAACATATTTAGCAATATAAAATTGTTCGCGGAAGTGACTCATTGGAGTAATATTTCCCATTTTCTGAAAATTATATTTTTAAAAATTAATATAAGGATTTAAACTTACAATCCACTTTTCAACTTCAGTAATTAATTTCTCAGTTTCTTTAAAAGTAAGTAATCCACCTAAAAATGAAACATTAGAAAATTCTTACGAAAAGATTATATATAAATAATTTTAACTAAAAAATATATTCATAAAACTTTTTAAAACTAAAAAAAAATTATTTAAAAATTCCAAACCACTTCTAAAGTCCAACTGCAAAAATTCAGAACTCAACATTTCCTTGAACCAAGTCTCATCACATTCTACCCAAATTTGACGCATATGTTCATGTGCATCCTCAGAAGAAGCCAAATCAAATAATGAAGGCTTTCCAGCTAAAAATAATTTTTTTAAACTTCAAACAATTAAAAAAAATAACCAAAATTCGTTCCAATTAAATGCTTCTGTGGTGATATAGATTTACTTTGTTGCGGTTCAAAATCCATAGGTTCAGACTCGTTTGGAAATGTTGGCGGCAAATCATTATTATTCTTAACAGGACTTCGACTATTCATGTGATGACCATTGTGTGGCTTTTTTGTAATCTGTTTGTAAGTAGTAATAGTTGATGATGATGAAGTACCTCCAATACTCTCACGATTTGCTAGTGTCTCCTAAATTGATTAAAATTTTAATTTAAAAAGTCCGCAAAATAACCTTTTTAGGGAATAATTCCAATTGTTGCTGCTTCTCCTCTTCAGTTAACGATGACTCGTGTTCGTCATTATTAATTGATTTTGCCTTCTTTTCTGGTGGAGGTTGATATGGAGAAATAACTTCAGCAGAAGAAGTTGAAGAAAGTCGAAAACGTTTGTCAGTAATGAAAGTTTTATTCTTTGGAGTAACAGCTATTGGAGGAGTCATTGTAGTTGTTGTAGTATCGTCAATATTACGCGAATTTGATAATTCTTCGTCATGCTTTGAAATAATCTGAAAATTAAAACTTAAAAGTAGAGGGAGAAGCGGAAGAATAGTCCAAATAAAAATTAAGCTTTAATTAGATCCCAGAGGAAAATTACCGATAGATAAATATATAAATACCTCTTCCTTCAATTCTTTAGCTCGAGGTGCCATTTTCTGTGCAGGTTTCTTCTTCGGAATTGATTTTGGAGTTTTCAAAGAACTAGTTGATTGCGCACTAACAATAGGAGTATCTTTAACATCAGAAGGTGTTGGCAAAGTTTTAAGAAAATGTTCATTTTGAGAAGAAATTCCAAGATGTTTACTAGCACTAGCAGCTTCATGAGTTGCATTACGAACCTTTAAGAAATATGAGAGTTGAATAGAGCTTAGAAGCCAAAAGAAATCATCATTAACCTTAACATATTGAAGAGCATCGCGTAAAGCCTCCATAAGCATATCAGATCCAACACCCTCATTAATCGACTGTTCAATGTGCGGAAGAGGAAAATGGACAATACTCGCCTTCTTGCCTGCCAAAATATCAGAAGATGGATCCCGCGGGAACAAAGTATAACGAATATCATCAGCATCTGGACCAGGCTCATCAACATAAGAATGAAACTAAACAGATGGAAATGATAAATTACTAAAAAAATAAACAAACAATTCCAGGCCACATTCCAATAGACGTATCAACAATTATTGGATCACCAGGAATAAACTGAACTTCTGGAGGTTCAACCTCAGGTTGTTGTTGATGAGCGGATGCGACAGTACGAGGTGCCTTGTATTGTTTAGGAGTGTTTTTTGGTAAAGCCCCAGATTTGCGCATAACACCATCCGAAGTATTTAAAGATTTTTTAGTAGAAGACTTTGGTTTCTAAATATTGTTAAGAAACAAAATTTTAGAGGCTAAAATAAATGTTTGCAGAACATGTCCGCAAAAATATCCTTCAAAAACGAATTAGTAATTGCAAAGAATCCGGACAACAGCCTTAAAAGCAGATTATCGAGATTCTGAAATTTTTCCAATCAATTGATTGATTGACTGTGTGTAGTCGGGATTCAAGTGTGTCCTCGGATTCTTCACAATTGCCACAAAATTGACCTGAACAGGAATACCCATCTCCTCCATCATTCGATCATTTTCTTCCAAAATTTCTTCAATGCTAGTTCCTTGTAAGATCCTCACTGCTTGATCATACGAATATTCCAATTCTTGAGAAGCATTGTCCGGCAAAGAATCTTCGAGCTAGATAAAGAACAAATCTAGAGAAATATTTTAATAAAACAAACCTTAAAAGGGCGAACCCTGCTCAAATCAGCCTTGAAAATCGCGCTAATAGATTTACGGTTAAGTGGAAACCAAATATGAGAAATCTTCCTCTCCTTTGGATAATAAGCATTAACCTAAAGATTAAAAATAGTAAAATTCTTTGACTAAAATAAACAAACCCGAGCAGGATAGAATTCTTTCCCTCGATAAAGAACCCAAACAATATCGCCTTTCTTGTAAGCAATGGCTGAAAATAAATAAATTTAACGATAAAACAGAAAATACTAATGATTAAATTATCACAAATTCTATCACAATCAACCTTAGCCCTATTAACTTAACAATTCTTCAGAAAGAATCTCGGTTGATTTTTAAGCTTAAATAAAAATCTAAAACCTTGAGGCGAATCCTTTGGAGTTTGATTCATATTTTGTAGTTAAAAAATCAAATATTTTAATAAAAGCTAAACTTCTATAAAAAATTAATTAGAAAATTAAATAACAAAAATTAAGGCACAAAAACGATAAAATCAATAAATGAGGTAATTGGAGTTTTAAAGAAAACAATAAACACTTATCTTTCAACTATAAAGATTTATGCACTTGTATTGCTTGGATGGTCATTTAAGCGGACAGTTACATAAAAGTCGTCGTCTCGTTACTAGCATGTTATTGTTGCAAAAATTTCCACCCAAACAACCTTTGATTTTCTAATGGTATGTTTCCCTACTGGTATGTTTTCGTTTATTATGAAAGTTTTTCTCGAAATTTAACGACTGATTTTATTACACCAATTTTAATTAACGAATTATTCTGAAATATAAAAAACACCGAAAAAACACCCGCAAATATATTGTCCGCAAAAACCCCAAAACAAGTGCTAAATTCTAAAAAACCTGTATTGTTATAACACGGTTGTACTATACTAGGCTAACTACACAAGGTCGAAATTCAACAAATGAAGCAAAGAAAGTCTTCTGTTACAGAAATCTCTAAATTCGCTTCGAAATACAAATTTTTAAAATTCAAATCAATATAGGGCAAAAGATGAAAAATAAATTAAGAATTTATAAACTTTGATAAAATTAAAGCATTAAATGATTGGAAGGCAAGACCAATACATTTCCATATTTAAAATCTTCTAATATTAAATAAAATCTGTTAAACCTGAATATTTACTAAAAACAAGTTTCCAAACAATTGAGTTTTTGTGTTCATTGTCAGTGCTCAAATAGCCTCTAGAAATCAATTTAAAAAATAAGAAAAGCAAATGGCAAAAAAAAGTATAAAAATTAAAGTTTACCGAATATCAGTAAATGAATTGAATTTAATAAAATAAAACGTTTATCGATCTAGAAATTTAAATACAAAAATTTATTTATCTGACACTTATTGCGCACACTTATTTGCGGACAAACAATTTTTGTTCTACTTCTCCACCTGTCAATTACCGTAGAAAAATACAGCAAGCCACGCCAACTATGAAAAAGAGTTAAAGTACATATAGGTGGAAAAGCAGACGAGGAAATGTTTTCTGCTTAAATTAATATTAGTCTGCAAAAGTGTGGCAAAATAAAGATGTAATTAAAATTAGTAAATTTAAATATGAATTAATCAAAAATATTTAGAGGTAATAGTGAAAGAACAGAGAAGTGATTTCATTAATTTCTCTTTTAATTTTAGAAAAACCTTTAACAGAAATTTCTCCTCAAAAAACATTTTTTGTTAAATCTCTGTCCTTAACTAATATAAATTATAAAAAAATATATTCTTGTTACTAAAGTATGAGCAAAAAAATATAGAATTTCTAATAAGGCAATTTTAGTTGAAATTTTTTAGTGAGGTTAAACAGGTGATTTTTTGGTATTAAACTAAATTTATTGTATAAATCTGAAGCTATATTTTTTAAAGTTATTTTTAATTTGTGGTCAAATATCCCCTATAATTATTTATTGATCGAGTTCATAGTTTCAGTCTAATAGAAATGGATGAAAGCTTCTCAAATCAAAAAAGGTTTCACGAGGCTCCCAAACTTAAATTTTAAAAGAATTTTGGAAAAGACACTCTCAAATATATTTTCTAGATTTATTTTTACATTTACCCGAATGTTTCTCTAATAGATATTAACTAACTCTAAAAATACTAATTTTATCACCTAAAATTGTATAAAATATAAAAACGTCCTTTGTAGTAATTGAAGATGGCACACACACAAACATACAAAATCTGATTTTCTAATGCCTTTCCATTGATTAAAAAAATTTTTTTTTCAATTAATCACTCGAGAAGTCCACCACCGCTTTAAAGGAATACTTAATAAATCATAAGTTGTAAAACTGATGCCAACTGCTATAGGACCTTTTATCTAAAAATATTCGTATAAAAAGAAAATAAAAAATATTATGATAAGGACACTTTATTGAAGATTTTTGATCCGGAAATGAATTTTTATATATGCCCAAATTTATTTTTATATTTTACCCAATTCATGCTAATTCCTTTGTAAAGTCCTCTAAACAATCCTTCAAAAATCCAAATTTCAACAAGTACACGAATTACATTTTTGTTTGGACCAATTTTTCCTGTTTGCATTCTTCTCCTTATTATATCGAGTGGATAAGAAGAAAATTGTCCTGTAAATTAATTTAAATGGAAAATAATTAGAAGGAAAAGGGCTAATAATTTTTGAAGATTTTTAAGAAAATTATAAGGAATTAAATTCAAATATTAATACTTCTATCAATTAAGTTGTTGATTAATTCATTATTTACAAAAAATATTTTTTAATAATTTTTAAAAAGAAACCTATTGTACCCGCGACAGCACCACAACTCATACGCAATAAAGGATGCATTGGTTTATCACCAAATTCTTCTAAATTTTGAATAAAATTTAATAAAGAAAATTTTTTATACTTTTGTAAATAAGTTTGAGCGTCTCGTAAGTAAAAAACGAAAGACCCGCATAAGGCACTACACCCAAAAGAGTCGGGTAAAGGCCTCTATAGAAAGTTAAAAATCCGTGTGTTTTACATTCCTTGATAAAAACAGCCCTTAAATTTTCATATTCTTGTTTTGTTGAGACAGAAAGACGAGCCTTTTAAATTTTGAAAGTTAAAAAAAATAATTTTAAAAAATACTTTGGCAGTATCTAATGGATATGTAAAAATAACAGCAGTAACGCCTGCAAGTGTGCCAGCCAAAAATCGTCGATAGGGTGTTGAACTATGAAAAATAATGATTTAGTTATTATTTAAAATAAGAAAAAAGAAGGTAAAGAAAATTGTTAGTTCGTCCTGAGGAGTTCTGTATTTTTTACTTTTAATAGTCAGAAATGTTTTCCCGTTGACATTTTTTATATTCAAAAGAATACCCTTCAATATCAACTTTCAATAATTTCTTGTATTCTTCATGGGCCGCAAATTGTATAGCTGCATAAGGTACAACTCTTGCCAAAGAAGCAGAATTTCCACGATAAAGAGCAAAGAATCCACTTTCTCTATAAGTATGTCTAACAAATTTAAGGGCCGATTTAAAAGAATAACGTCTCGAGGAATTGACTAAAAAATGAAAAAAATTTTTAAAAATCTTTTAAAATAACCTTGAAAGTTTATTTTTGTTCTGTCTAATGGAGCTATTGCAGTTTTGGCGATAGCTCCAGCTATTGCCCCAGAAGCTAATGAAGGGAAAAATGTAGCAAAAGAGCGAGGTATTGAAGACTAAAAAGAAATTTGAAATTTAAAAAATAAAAGAAAAACCTTTTTAGTTTCATCATTGCTCATTTTAAAGGTTATTTACAGAGAGAGAATATATTCTAAAGATTAATAGAAATAAAATTAAAGATGAATATAGGTAAATTGAATTAATAAAAATTTCAAGAAGTAAAGTTTAGTTTCTGGAAAATTAACCAAAAAATTAAATAATTAACAACTAGGTATTTTAAAAACCACAGTTAAATACAAAAAGTTAATGAAAATTTTAACGGAGCAGTTCAACTGAGTCCGCACGATTGAGTCCCCACGATTGAGTCCGCACGATTGAGTCCCCACGATTGAGTCCCGGCACAATTGAGTCCCCACGATTGAGTCCGCACGATTGAGCCCCCCTTGTATATACCTCAATTGAGTCCCCGTGGATTTAATAAGTTTAAAATTTCCATATCCGGCATGCGGGATTATTTCAAAATTTCTATTTTTTAAAGTATAAATGCCGGGCAGACCACCTGAGCACCCCTGCTGCACCCCAAATACCCTGCGTAGCATCACAAAAAAGTTTTCCATCGAAGATTCAGTTGATCATAATTCTGTTCAATATCGTCCAATCGAGCTGATTTTGGTATCATTCAACTCAGCTCGTCGAGTCCTTTCGAATTAGCTATTTTGTGTTTATTCGAATTTTTCAACCCAAAAAAACCCCCATGGATTTGACCATTTCGAGCCCCATATCTCGGCGAGAACTTGTTCAACCATGTTGATTTTGGTGTCATTCGACTCAGCTCATTCGAATGAGCTGTCATTCAAAAAATCTCTCGATATCCCTCCTTTTCCCCAAATCCACCGATATCCCCCTTAATCGCTTAAATCTACTTATATCCCTCCATATCCACCGATATCCAACTTGATCCCTCGATGTCGAATACAAGTCCACTGATGTTCACTTTAATCTCTAAAAATCCCCCGATATCCCTCTTAATCCTTTTTAATATAATTAAATCCACGGGGACTCAATTGAGGTATATACAAGGGGGACTCAATCGTGCGGACTCAATCGTGCCGGGACTCAATTGTGCCGGGACTCAATCGTGGGGACTCAATCGTGCGGACTCAATCGTGGGGACTCAATCGTGCGGACTCAATTGAGGTGTACCGAAATTTTAATACAAAAATTCCGATCAGTTTATTTCAAATCCCACGAGGAAGTCCAAAAAGCAAATAAAATTTTAAGGAAAGAGTATATAAAAAGAAGAGTGACAATTAGAGAAAGAGATGAGGAAATAAATAGTAAAGAGATGGAATTAAAGTATAAAATAAATAGTATATAAATTCTGAAAATAGAAGAACAGAGAAATAATTTTTAAATTTTCTTCTTTTTGGCATTAAATTTATTTTTGGCTTAATGAGTTTTTCTGGGCAATTTTAATTTAAAAGAACGACATTTTTAATTTTCGACCTTCATTTGCTTGGGAACTTTCTAGATTTTTTATCTTCTTTTTTGCATTTAGTTTTTTAAATAAAAGATTGATTTTTAAGATTTTTAACAAAAATGTCTACTGAAAATAAAGCTAAACTTTACAAAAATGCTGGAAAACCTGATGTAAATTAATTTTTAAAATTAAATCAAAATAAACTTTTTCAGGATTTGCGTCGTCGTCGAACTGAAACTTCGGTTGAACTTCGCAAACAGAAGGGAGATGATGCGATGATGAAACGTCGAAATTTAACTGTAGACCTTAATGAGTCATACAATTCTGCGTCTGATACTGAAGAACAACCAAAAGACAAACAAGTTCAACAGTCACCTGAACGGAAACTGATGACAATTGAGGAAGCTGCTTCAATTCTTCAAGCTCAGCCAACGATTGAACAAATTCGAGATGCCTTTGAAGCGGTCCGCAGAACACTTTCTCGTTCAGCAGACCCACCTATAGACCATATTATTCAGTCTGGCTTTCCTCTGGCTTTGGTTCAAGCTTTGTCTGTTCAGGTTTGCTTATTGCTTTTATGTATTTAAATATTTTTTTAGGATGAAAAAGTCCAATTTGAAGCAGCCTGGGCTATTACTAACATTGTTTCTGGTAACTCTCGTCAGACGGCTGCGATGGTGGATGCTGGAGTAATTACTCCACTTCTTCATATTATTTCAATCTCATCATTAAAGCTAGCGGAACAGGTGATTGATTTTTTGGTTCAATTTCGGTCATTTTTCGTTACTTTTACTAAACTTTATTTCTGGTAAAGTTCAGAAAACTCCCCATAAATTTGTTAGGAAACATGTATTTTTAATCAATTTAACAGGTTTTATGGGCTATTGCAAATATTGCTGGTGACAGTGTTCGAATGCGAGATGCTCTATTTTCTCAAGGGATTGTTCCAATTCTTGTTGAATTGACAAAGAAAGTTACTCCTGACTTTGACCCTCCTTTTGCTCGTATTCTTGCTTGGACTATTTCAAATTTGTGTCGTTATAAGAAGCCGCCGACTCCTTTTGAAATTTTGAAACAATTTGCACCTTCAATCTCTATTTTGCTTAAACACAATGTATTTTTAAATGAAAAATTTTTTAATTTAAAAATTTTAGGATCTTCAAGCACAAAGTGACGGTAAGTCTGGCCAAGTTGTGTTTGGGCTATTTTCTTTCAAAAAATCTTTTATTTGTTTATAATTATTTTTTTAAAGCTTGTTGGGCTCTTTCATATTTAACTGATGGAACTGACGAGAACATTCAACTAGCAAACAAAGAGAATGTTATGCCTTTGCTAATCGACTTTATCAACTCTGGCCAGAATTCGCTTGTTTCGCCTGCTCTTCGTACTGCAGGAAATTTCGCTACTGGAAGCGATGAATTGACTTCTGTTTGTTTTTGTTTAAATTTGTTGAAAAATATTTTAATTAGGTTGTTATCAATAGTGGAATTCTTACGAATGCAGCACCTCGTTTGTTAAATTCTGAGAATACTGGATTTGCTAAAGAATGTTGTTGGCTTCTTTCAAACATATTGGCTGGAAATGCGGAACAAATACAGGCATTTTTAGATTTTTATTTTTCGTGTTTTAGTTTCTCCGGGAATTTGAACATCCCTCCATCTCTCTCTAATATTCCATAAATATTCTTTTAATTTTTTCTATATTCAGGAGGTTATTGACGCCAAATTACTCCCTATAATATTTCGAATTCTTGAACATGGTGAACACAAACTTCAATGCGAGGCTGGATGGGCAGTTGCAAATTTAGCTCATGGGGGTGCAGTCAATCAAATTTTGGCGATTTTGCGTGTTAAAGGTTCTATTGAAGCAATTTGTAGCAATTTGGCGGTTAAAAACAATGAATTGGTGGCTAATATGTTGGAGGCATTATTTAGTATTTTGAATACTGTTGCTTCAAAGTTAGTTATTTGGTATATTTTAACAAAGAAATATTTGGAATTTCAGTGATCCTGACCGTCTTTCAAAGATTTGTGAACGCGTTGAGGAATGCGGGGGTTTAGACAAAATCGAAAAACTTCAAGAACACGAATCTGAGCAAATCTATCTAATTTCTTATAAAATTATTGAGGAATTCTTTTCTGATGAAGAAGATAGTGAACTTGCTATTGGAATGGAAGAACAACAGCCACAACAGGGGGGACATTTTAATTTTTAAAATTTTTGATAGTAAAATGTGATTGTTGATGAAAATGAGTGAATGTGATTAAATATTTTTCGGAAACAGCTAATTAATTTTAAAAGTTAAATAATTTAAAAGAATTTTTTTTTTGTAAAATTTCAAAAAATATTTTTTCACATTCCTTGCAAATGTTTTGCTTTTTTTTGGGCTTTTTATTGATTATTATGTAAAATCAATTGGCTGGGCAATGCTTTATTGATTAAAATACTTATTTGTCAATTTTATAAGTTTATCACATTTATCAGAAATTCTAATTTAAATGCCTTTGCCAAATGAGTTTTTTTAACGTTTTGCTGATTACTTTGACAAATTTTCTCAATTAAAAATAAATTTGTTTGAAATTTTTTCTTTTGAATTTTTGGTCGATTAAATTTTGTTTGATTACTCACTTTTGGAGTTAACTACATAAGTGAATAGCCGATTTTCCCTTTTTTATCTATTTTTGTGACGCGTCACTTTCAATGAAAAAATAATCGGGAAATTTTTACTCTTTATTTGAAAATTATTTTTGTTTGCAATCATGTGTTAATTCTAGAATTTGGTCGATATTGAATGTTTTTTCAACATTTTTTGGAATATTATCATTAAATTTTTAAAATTTTAATTCCTCTTTTTTAAAGGTTTACTATATATTTCCTAATATTATGTACATATCAAAATCAAATTTTGATGATGGAATAGAATGAAAAAAAGAATTTATTTATTAATTTTCCCTTTATTTTTATTTTCTTTTTTATTCTTTTTAGAAGGTTTTTTTAAATAATTTTTAAAATAAATTTTATTAATTTTAGATGGCGACGAAAAAACATTTAGAATCAGACTATCTCCAACAGGTCGAATATTTTGTACAGAAAAACTAGGATGTTCCTATCCAAAGGCGAAAAGTTTGAATTTTGTAATTGTTGGAGATATTGGAGGTTTTTTTAAATTTTTTTAAAGAAATAGAATAACTGGGAAATTTAATTTTAGTTTTATAAAAAATTTTCGGATTTGAGTTGCTATAAAGGAAAAGTTGGAATTACTAGGGTAAATAGATTTTAAAATGTCCTGATGGTTTTTAATGCTTTTCTATTAAAAAAAATTTTTTTCGGGAAATTTTTAGACTGAATAATAAATACAAATTTTTTGTTCCAAAAATATCATTGTTTATTTTATTCAAAAAATTTTTTTATCTAGGTTTACCAATTTACCCATACTATTCTTATGCTCAAAAAAGAGTAACAGAAGCAATATCCAATGTAGTTTTAGAACAAGGAGAGCCTCTTAATTTTGTAATTAATGTTGGAGATAATTTTTATTTTAATGGAGTTTCTGATATTTTTGATTCTCGATTTGAAGATTCTTTTGAACAAGTTTATGATGACGAGAATCTTTTAGTTCCTTGGTATACAATTGCTGGAAATCATGGTTTTTGTTTAAATTTAGAATAATTAAAATTAATTTTCAGATCATTTGGGAAATATTTCTGCACAACTTGCCCATACAAATTTTAGCTCTAAATGGTAATTATTTAATTTTTTAAATAACAGAAATAATTCTTTTTTCTAAAAAAGGACATTTCCTCATCTTTTTTATAAAATTCGAATTATTTTTGATTTTCAAAATTTAACTGAATCTCCCTCAAAGCCAGTAATTTTTGAGATTTTAATGATTGATACAATTGTTCTTTGTGGAAATACTGAAGATATTCAAGGAAAGAGTTTATTTAGTTGGATGTTTTCAAAGAAAAGAGAACCTAATGGACCAGAACCGAAATATGAGAAATTAGCTAAAAAACAGTGGAAATGGATTGAAAAACAATTGGAGAATTCAAAGTTTGTTTTTATTTTTGGGAAGGAATAAAATTAAAAATTTTAAATTATTTGGACAATATTTGGGGAAGAATAATATTTTATGTATAAATATTAGCATAAATAGGGAGCTAAAAAATTTTAAAATTTATACAAAAACAATAAATATGAGTAATTTGAAGAAAACAAAACATTGAGTAACATGGAGAAAACAATAATGTCTCCCTAACAAAAGAATTCCTAACCTTTTGCAAAATTGTTACAAAATTTTTAAAAAATTTAAGGCCAAAACCTTTTTTAATTTTAAAAATTAATTTCAGTGCAGATTATTTATTTGTTGCCGGTCATTACCCAATATATTCAACTTGTGAACATGGTGGATTTAAATGTCTTCAACAATTAGATATTCTTTTATATAAATTTGGAGTTAATGCCTATTTTTGTGGTCATGACCATAATTTACAGCATATAAAAATTGAAAAAGAAAATTTGGATAAAAATCATATTGAAGAGGAGGAAGAAAAGACTTTTGTAAATTATATTGTTTCTGGGGCAGCTTCAAGATCTGATAGAAGTGCTAAACATTTAAATGATATTTCTGAAGATTCTTTACTTTTTAGGTATTTTTTTAAAATTTTTCTTAAAATGGATGATTCCTCTTTATATATTTTTCTGTACTAGCTACTAGAGATTTGAAATGCCTGGGCCTATTCCTGGGTTATGGGTTTGATTTATTGAGATCATGGGCCTGTAGTCAGGAAAAACTCGGGCAAAGAAAAACCCAGGAAGTCAAAAAATGTCTTGGCCTGGACTCTGATTGTGATTACAGGAAAAACCCAGGCCGATCTTTAATAGCCACATTCTTTCTTAAGAAAAATTAATTTAAATTTAAAGATATCCAACTGGTTGGAATCCATTTTCTCAAATTGGATTTTCTAATGGTGGTTTTGTGCAAGTACGTGTGGAACGAAACCAAAGTGAAGTAAACTTTTTTGATGGAAAAAGTAGAAAAAGATATTCTTTCCAAATTGGACCAAGGAAAAAAAGAAAATAATTATTTGTATATATTTTTGATTTCTAAAATTAAAATGTCTTAAATATTTTCATATAAAAGTATTACTTAAATTAGGGAGAGTCTAGTTTGTAAGTAAAATTAATTTTTAATTTTCTGACAATACCATCCTCTCGCATCTAATAACACAAAATAAATTATATTTCCCAGAACTATGCCTAGATATTTTTCAAATCCCAAAATGTTTAATATTTTAACATTTGGTCAAAAAGCCCCATTTAGGAGGCAGCCCTAGAAGCCTCCCTTTGCTATTCTAATTATTTTTTTAGTTTAAAAAATTCCCCTTAAAATAAAAAACTTCTCTTAAAATGCTTTAAAGCAAAGAAAAATAAATAAACAAAAAAATAAATGAGGGGGAAATTGACCAACACAACAATTTCAAATAAAACAAAAAAATACTTTTAATGTTATCAAAGATTTTATATTTCTTGTTCACTTCTCCAAAAATATTTTTATGGAGGATTGTAGAGAAAATTGAAACTGAAAAAAAATTTTAATTTTATTAAATATTCTCACTATTTACCGGCTCAGATTTTGTGGAAGACTCGCAATTAAAGGCCCATATCCATTTGAATTATCAAACAATTCGAAGAGTGGAGCAGCCACCAATTTGAAGTTTTTTGGTACAGCAAAATATGCTTAAAAATATAATTATTTTAGTATTTTTCGAAGAGTTTGTTACTCAAAAATTTTGATAATTTTTTCTAGAGACCAGTAATCTTCACTACACGCTCATTTCCAACCACCTACACCAATAGAAAACTCGCTAATTAAAAATAAAAACCTTTATCCGGAAGTTGAACCAAAAAAAGTTTTGTTTGTTCCTTTGGTTTTGTAACGTGTGCAGGAATATATGGATACTTTAAAAATAAATAATTTTTTTGAAAATTAATTTACTCGAGGTGGATCAAAATTTGGACGCCACCAATTAGCTATTGTATCTTCAACAATCCATTGACTTTTTGGAGTATCTTCTTTTCCAAGAGTCTAAAAAATAATTAAAATTTATTTGTATATAGTGCAGTACACCGGAGGCAAAATTTCGATACAAAACGCATAACAATCGACCCCCGACAATCGAAAAACCACAAGGGAGTATTATAAAATCAGGCACTTTGCATGGAGTTTTTCGACACGAGTCTCGATAGGAGTCAACGGTTGCTGGGTTCTACACCAATAAAATAAACCTATTCCTATATTTGCGGCCATAGGCATATCTGGCTTCCTCCGCAGCAGAAAAAACCACTAATAGACCATAGGTAGGAGCTAAACAAACATAGGTAGGAACTTTCTCCAATCAAGTCGGATTTCGTTGAGCTTGGTGTTATTCGATCAGCTCGTCGAGACGAATCAAATGGTGTGTTTTGTATCGAAATTTTACCTCCAATATACTGGACTACAGCTCCAATCTTTTATTTTTGTCTTCCATACCAAAAAGGAACGTTTAAGAAAAATGACTAATTAATTTATGTAAAATTAAAAAAACAAACTAACATCACTCAGAATTCTCTTCAATCCATCCACTTCATTTTCAGTTGCACCTAATTCACCGCCAGGCCTTTAAAAAACAAAAATTTTTCCTATTAAAAAAAACAAACAATTTGAAAAAAGTAGAGCCAATTTGTAAAAGCAAAACATGAGGCAAAGAATGTTCGTGAACTAACAAAACAGCTTCAACAGAACGTCTCATACCAACTTTATCGTATTCTTCACGCATTCTTTGAAAACGAGCTTGAACAGAATGATCTTTTTCTGATTGGGCATCTTTTGTACCAAAAGTGTAATTTGTTAATGGATACCTTGAAAAATAAATTTTAAGAAAATTCAAGGAAATTTATAGGAGACCTTTGAAGATATTTTGTTAAAAAATCTACAAAAGTTTATCGACAATTACTTTTGCATTCTAGATTATATGATTAAATTAGACAGACTAACACCTTCCCCTCTTATAATAATATAATTTAAAATTTTTAAGGATTGAAAAACTATGGAAAAAATTTGTTTGATTTTGCGGACTTTTAATGCTTAATAAAAACAAATTTCATTTTTTGACAATTCCTTATATCCGTATAAAAATTAAAAAAAACAAACAAATTAATAGTTCTATTTAGATTGCTATAATTCCTTGTTGGATATTGAGGTCCATTATTTGTAAATGAATTGCTACTGCTAACATTGACCGGCCATCCAGTAGTCATCGTCATAGATAAATAAATTTGAGAATTTTATTCTGAAAAAAATCTTAAAAAATATGTATTTCAATCTTTAAATAAAAAATTTATGGTAGCAATTGACTATGGAGATTTCGTCAATGGAACTTTTGCCAAAAAAAGTTTTTGGAAACTTTTGTGGAAACGACGTTTGAGGATACTAAATAAAAAAATAAAAAAAATATTAGCAATAATTAGAGGTCGGCACGGGACCCCGTGTGGGATTTAAACTCCAGTAAAACAAATTTATTCAAAAACAACAAATTAAAAAAATGATTTTCCTTGTCATAAATCAATTAAACTTTAAGCATTTTAAATTCCTTATACCTTCCTCAAAATATTCATATTTAAATTCAATCAACATCAGAGTCTTCATAAAATTCTTTAATCACAAAATGTTTTGTAATGTCATAACAAAAAGGCTTAGCTTCCAAATCATTACCAAAATTTGCTTCTACAGAGCAACATCTAGTCCAGACATTCGGTTCATAAGTGTCAAAATTTTCTTTCAACAAAATTGCTTTCCCTTAAAAATTAAAAAAGATTTTCTTTTTAAAAAATTTTTCCAAACCAATTTGTTTCCCATTTTGGGTAAAGAAAATATACGGCAACTTTTCACACTTATTAGTTGGTGGATAAACTAATCCACATCCAAAAATATCCTCATCTTTCCAACAAAAATTATCAAGTCGAAATACTTCCTCTTCTTCATTTTCAATTACTCCATCCTCTGCAACCAAACTAATCGAATCCTCATTATCATTTTCAAGACTAATACTTAACCAATTGTTGTAACCATTAATCTTTCCTTCTTTTTTACCTTTAATTTCAAAATAGAAGAAAGAATAATTGGTGCAGTCCTCTTCCGGTTTATCAAAATTATTTTCAGCAAAAACACACGCGTATTTATTACGACCTAAAAATATTAAATAAAAGTAGCAGCAACTAGAGATTAGTCAGAATCAAAATTTTATCAAATAACTTTCTCAATCCCCTCCTATCCCTAATTTTTATTTTCCCCATTTCAGGAGGGGAGAGGGGGTAAATCCTAAAGTCCCCGCCGCCAAAGCATACACCACAACTGCCAAATACAACCCAGCTCGATACTTGTGTGGTTTACACCCCATAAACCCCGCTCCTTTTTCTTCTCTCTAAAAAAACGTGGCCACTATTCTTGTTTCTCTCTAACTAGTAAAAAATAGTCTAAATAGTCTCAGTAAAGGAACAGAAAAGAAAAAGGGGTGGGGTTTATGGGGCGTAAACTACACAAGAACCCCCAGCTCTTCCACTCTCCATTTCGGGTGGGGGAGAGTAAACCCTGAAGAACTACACTACCTTTAGACATGAAACGCTGCTTTAAAATAATGTATTTACCTTTCCCCTCACAATTAATATATTTAATGTTCTCATCGTCAAGCAATTTCACAAATCCATTTCCCTTAACACATTTGGTATTTTCTGTGTCTATCTCCTCCAAACATTTATTAGCACAACAATCATCAGTAGCCTCAACCCATTCATTCTTAATTTGCACAAAACACTAAAATATTGGTACTTATCCTTTAAAATTCATTTATTTTATTTCCCTTCTCTCATTTTCTTATTTAAGTCGAAAATGCTCATTTTGATTAACTCTATGGCGATAAGCTTTACGTGTTAGAGGTCTGATGTGCATAGGAGTTACCATAAAAAACACACCATATGTCCAAATATATGTCCAAATTGATGAAGCGGATGACCCATGACAGAGTTGGTCAAAATTGACAATTTTGACTTTTAAGAAAATGAGAGAAGGAAAATAAAAGAATTTACGGTCTAAAATATTTATATAAAACATTTAAATTTAAATAAACTAACCGCACGTTTACAATTTTTAGTTAAATGTTCAAATTTAATTGCCAATTCTCCCATCCTTCCATTCATCTTTATTTTAATTTAAATTTTAAAATGGTGGTTAAGTATTTGTGGTTTGTTGTGGAAAGAGCTTATTTGCCAGAAAGATTTTTTTTGAACAATTCAATTTATTGTGAAAAAGAGGATTTTTAAAAGGTTTAATCAGAAAACTTAATAACCACTTAACCACCCCCTCCCCCCTTTTTCCTCACATCATTCATTTGTTTCTCAAGAAAATTATTTTTCTCTTCAAGTTTAACATTCTTCTCCTTTTCTTCATTAAATTCAATTAAAAGATTGTCAAGCTTTGTTTGAATATCAAAATCATTTTTATCAACAATTTGCTGAAAGAATTAATTTAAATTAATTTTAGTTATTACCACTAAATCAAAATCAGAATTTGTAGAACCTTCAGACATTTTGTAAAATTAAAATCTAAAATTTAATAAAAATTAAATTAGTTGTGATGTAATTAAGGAAAGTTCAAAACAGGCAATGATTTTTTTACTGTTAGGTAGGGATTTGATGAAAAAGTCTGACACAAGCTTTATCTGATAACAGAAAAAGAGCACAATACAACAATGCCTTCAAAATCGAGTTTAAAACTGATCTCTTTTTGGTTTCGGACTTTTAAATTTCGGTTTCAGAGTTACAAAATTTCATTTTTGGGCAGAACGCCAAGCAACCAAGCAAAATAAATGAAATTTTATCCAAAATGGCCGCTCTGTCTAATTTCAATTCCAGGCATTTCCGGCTCTTGTCCAGTTCATGCGTCCCATGAAAATTTATGCGTCCCATTTTCAGCGCCGCAGACGAAAATTATGAGAATTTTAGAAGGGTATACTGCTCGAATAGGCGCAGAGACAAATAGGGGCGGGACATTTGGGCGCCCTAAGTTATTTTTAATAAAGCAAAAAATTTGTTGTAATTTTATTGTTTCCAGATTTTCGAAAAATCTTGATGGTTTCCGAAAGAATTGTATCCGGAAAAATTGCTCCGGAAATATAGTTTCGGCTCTGATTTTTATTCTAATTTTTATTCTTCACGAATGACAGATTTTAAATTCTTAAATTTATTTTTTGAATATTTAAACTTGAAAAAAACATTAAAAATCTTATTTTTGTTTTATTTTTTCAACTCAAAAGTAAAAGATCCGTATTGGATCCCCTTTACATTAATGAAAATCAGAATATTTTTTAAACAAGTATAAAATTATAGTGACCAGAATTTAAAACAAATTTTAGTCTTAATTAAATGTTTATTTTTAATTCGAATAAGTCAGTTAAACAAAAAACATTAATCATCATTGTGGGTGTATTCTTAAGCGATTAAAAACAGCTTCTCTGTACGGCTTATTAGTTATTATACAAACAATTGGGTTAAAAACAGGCGTAAAATGAGTGAAGATTGCAAGAACTATATAAATTATATTCATATTAGTTTCTCTAGATGAATTATTTGTATTGTTAATAAATGTAAAACTCATTGTTAATAAAACAAAAAATTGATTTATAGAGGGAATAATTGTCTAAAATTAAATTAAAATTAAATTAAAAATCAAATTAAGTACCAGAATTATCAAAGTTTTTGTCAATTGCTTAACTAATATCTTGAGATTTTGATTAAATCCAGTATGTTGATTAACAAAATAAACCATTTTAAATCCACAAATGAAAATTATAAAATATGGAATTATTGCAATTAGACTCATAATTAATAAGGGGAAATTTTGCTACAAAAAATAGAATAAATTTATTGAAATATTTTAATTTTAATACCAATTTCATAAGAACATAAGGAAATATTTTGTTCAAATATTCTTCATCAAACAATTTAATACCTCCATCAATATATTCAATAGCGTAAAAAATAACAATCAGATTATATAACAAACCAGCAAATAAAACAGTCGAAAACATATACAAAAAATATGTTCGGTAGTTAATTTTCATGTTTCTGTCAATTTATTATAACTTTTTTGAGAACAACATTTTTTTAAATTAATTCAAATTATTAAAATAAAATTCTGATTAAATTAAATACTGTATTTACCCGATTAATTCCCTTAGGGAATTATTTTTTCAACCCATCCGTGGCATGGGGAATTATTCAAGGGAGGGGAATTAATCGAGTAAATATGGTATTTACGTTTTACCTGTTCAGAATTAAATATCTAAAGACGAATTGGGCACATAATCCATACATATTTAAATTGACAAAAAACATTTGGATATATAAAAAAGATAGACAAATGATCTTGTTGAAATTATTTTTCATAAATTCAAAGAAAATGCCATTAGTAAAAATAAAGACCAAATTTTCTTCGACGTCGTTTAAATAAAACTTAAATTTTAAAATTATTTCTGATTTTTATTAAAATCCATCAGGAATGGGTATTTAAAAATTCGGAAGGTATGAAAGCCCATCCCCATTATTTGAAGTTAGAAGAAAAAATGATTTTATTAAAATTACTCATATTTAGTAATTATGTTTTTAAATTAATTTTGGTTCTTTAAAAGGTTTACCATTTGTGCAAACATTTGAACAGTCAACATTAAAATATCCAAAACACAATTTTGTATCAAAATTCTGCTGTGTGTTTTCATTTCTTCCGGTGTTTTAAAAATAATTAAAATAATCAGAATAATGTTTAGAGGATAACCAAGTAAAAAGCTTCCCCAATAATCAAATTCAAATAAAATATCAATTAAATTAAACATTTTATATTTATTCTAATTAAGAAAAAATTTTTTTCAAATGATTAAAATAAAGTATATTAATTGAAAATTTTTTTTATTAAAAAGTTTCACACACTAATAACTTTTAAAAATATAAAAAAAGTATTCTTGAGAAAATCATGTTTACATTTTTATTATAACAATTTTTTAAAAAATTTCACAAAAATGTAGCTAACTTACTGATACCACGTACACGCACTTAATTCATTACATAATAGTTTATAAAATTTAATAAAAGCTTAAAAATGTAATAAAAACTTAATTTATTAAAATAAAACAGTAATTATTATAGCTGTGGAAAGTCTTGCCCCAAGATGCTAAGAAGAAATTTCGAATGTTTTTATCAAAATTTTGCCTATTAAACACTAGAAATATTAAAAGTAAAAATTTACAAAAATAATTTAAAACTATAAATACTAGAAAATTGCTGACTGCGTCATCTCTTCTACGGAAACGGGTAAAATTATTCGAAAATCAAGCAAGTTAAGGAAAGTCTATAATGCATAAATCTTTAGATTGCATTAATCTTTTTTTCATTTTTTTCTGTCTTGGTCGATGGGTGAAGTCATGGTAACATGAGTCGATTAAAAATCAACTTAATTATAATAAACTTAAACTCTTATAAATACTATACAAATTTCAATTTAAACTTTTAAAATATCTTTATTAAATTTTATTTAAAAGATTTTCCCTTCATTTTTACTTTTTTTTTAATTTATTTTTTTAAAATTATTTATTTTCGCCTCATTTTATCTCTATAAAAATCACATTTATTTATTAACTATCCGGATCAGTTTTACACACTCTCCTCATTTATGCTTTATTATATTTAGCTATAAAAAAGAAAAAAATACTTAACGAACTGGAATTTATTTTAAAAAATGGACGAAGAACGGCGTTTTAATGAAAAATTATGAAAGAAAAAAAAGTGATTTAATCTTGACAATATTTTTAAGCACGAGTTCATTTTATAGAGGGGGAAAACAGACAAAATATAATTTATTTTATAATATTTTTGATTAAAATATAAATAAATATTTATTTAAATTAAAAAAACTTGTTTATACGAATTATTTTTAAAACTTTTAATCAATGCTGTTTTGAAAAATTTAATATTTACAAATTGGTAAGTTGGTAATAGTGAAGATTATTGGTCCCTAGAAACAATAAAGGGGTGCTCGTTCAATATTTTTGAGGTATGCCAGCAAGTATCTGTGCTATGTCCGAGTGGTGCTTGATTTGTATACGTTCAGATTAATCTTAGGATTCTAATTTAGAATTTTTACTTCAAATCGAATTGGTCGAATTGGAGTCCGGGATCCAAAATAGACGAAATTCGAACATATTCGGATTAAGCACATTTTATTAATCCTGGCAAACATCAGAAATATCGAAAGAGCACTTTGTGCTTATTTTTTTTAGGGACCAGTAATCTTCATTATCACCGGCAAGCAATAGTTGTTCTATAAACAGTTTGATCAATTAACACCTCAATTAGTTGATCATCTATAGGCACTGTCCTCTTTTTTCCATTCAATTTTTCTAGTCCCAAGAGTTAAGCAAAACTTTAAGAGAAAATTTCAGTGAAGGTAATTTTTACATTGATCTATTTACTAAATGATCTGAAAAAATTAAAGAAAAGAATAACAACAAACAAAAACAATTAAATAATGTATTTATTAAATATTAGCCATTCTTCTTCAATTTTTCTACTTCTTTTATTTATTTTAATATGTTATCCATTAAATACAATTCAAAAAAGATTTTTAGAAGAAACAATTACAGCTCCAACAAAATTATTGTCGAATGAACAAGAAGAAACTAAAACTGTGGTAGTTTTGGGGGGTGATAGTAGTGAAGAAGAAGGAGAAGATCAACAACCAAAATGGCAATTTGAAGAAGAAAATGAGCAAATTAAAGAATATAATAATCCGATTAAAGTGAATAGCGTATAACCTGTATTAATTGCCCTCCCTCAAATAATTACCCCACTTTCATTAATTACCCCCATCCAGCGATAGATTGAAACAATAATTGCTCCTATCAAATGTCCTAAAACACGTTCAAATTTTAAACCTCCTATAATTACTAGTGATGTTCGAGAGTCAAAAAATCCCGAGAGTCGAGAGTCGAGACCGAGACCGAGAATCAACCCCGAGACCGAGACCAAAACGAGAGTCGAGAGTCGAGACCGAGAGTCGAGACCGAGAGATTAAGAGGGATATCACTTGATGTCCTTCCTAATCCACAAAAATCCCTTAATATACCTCAAAATCCCCATAATCGCTTGAATCCCCAAGTCCACAATATATATTCACTGATATTCACATTAATCTCTTGAAATCCACTTATATCCCTCCATATCCCTACAAATCCAACATATCTTCTTGATCCATCGATGCACGCATCCCTTGATATTAAATTTAATCCTTCAGAATCCACAGTATCTAATGTACCACAAACCACAAAATCTAATCCTTTTTAATCTTATTAAATTAAAATTTTTGCTGCATTTTTGGCGCCGCAGGCGAAAATTTTGAGAATTTTGGAGCTCAAGAAGCCAGATTTCTTCCATTTTTTAGCGCCGCAGGCGAAAATTTTGAGAATTTTGGAGACTTTTCCTTAAAAAATTTAATATCAAAGTACGCAAGGTCCGAGTAAAGTTCAAAAAATTTCCGTCATTAGGGGTGTAAATTTTGTCTCGTTTTCCGAGACCAAAACACCGAGACCGAGACCGAGACCGAGAGCTCAAAAAACCCGAGAAATTTCTCGACTCGAGAGTCGAGACCGAGAGTCTCGAACATCACTAATAATTACCCTCCCTCGATTAACTACTCCCTACAGCGGAAGGTCGAAACAATAATTACCCATGGTAGTTAATAAAAGTTTTACGGCATTTATATTTAAAATAATTGATGAATAATGGAAAGGAGGGGTATATTTGAAGTTTGAGAGAGACTGTTTGTTATTTATCTAGTCTTTATTTTGAATTTTGATCGGCTTCGGCAATAATTTTTTTGAAAATTAATACAGGGGTATCGATACATTCCTCTTCTTAAACAAAGGATGTGATAAAAAATTTTGATAAAAATTATTTTAGTTATTACCAACACTTCTCAAAACTTCGAAGGAAAAAGAAAAACAAAATGAACAAATGGACCATTTCTCTGCTCGATGGGCTGCTGATTTTGTGCCACATGGAATGCTTGAAGGAAATGTTAGAAAATAATAACAAAAATTGTTTAATTTAAAATTTAAGGCAAATGAAGCGGCTGCAGGTCCAGAACCTCCTCCTACACAAGAACAGTCAGAGATACCAGCGAGACTGTTTTCTGCAAATCGTTATGAGGCTCCAGGCAAAATTTTAAATAAAGAAAAAATAAAAAGTATTATTATCCTGTTATCTGCCCGTATTTTTATTTTCCTTTTTTTCACAACCAATTTCCTCCTAATTTGGACATAATGGGAAGCCCTTCTTCCATCCTCAAGTTCACTTCATTTTCCTTTGGCATAATTAAATGCAAGAAAATAAAGGATATCGATGGATAATATCGATGGATTTGACATTTTTATTTCCAGCCATTCCGCACTTAAATACAAATCAAGAAGTTTATGCCCCTTCACAATACCAACAACCGCAACCTCAACAACAACAAATATATTCACAGCAATATCCAGCAGAACATTTAATACCCCCAGAACAACAACAACAACAATATACTCCCCCACCAATCCCTCAATTATCTTTTCGTTCACCCAATGGCCAGTATTCTCCGATTTGGGCTCCAGCAGGCGTTGCTTTTGCAGTACCTGCCCCAGCACCGGCAAATGCGGGTTATGCTTACTATGCTCCAAACACTCCTAGCAATAATTTGTATGTATAATTAACTTAATAAATCTTTAATTAAAAATCTCTATATTACGTATCCCATTTAAAGCGACAAAGTTCATTATATAGAGGTTTAATAAAAATATAATAAATTTATAAATTTTTGTAGCCAACAAGGAAACGGTTATGACAATACATACAATCAACAACAACCTAGAAAACCTCCTGTTTTACTTGTTGGCAACTTCCCACCTTCAGCAACTGTTAGACCTACAATTAATCCTTTTCTGGTAAAATTTTGAAAAATTAACTAATTTAAACAAGTAATTCTAGCGGTTTTACACAATAATTAAATTTTTGAATTTTACTAAAAAAGGGGGGACCTCCCAATATCCCTTTTTCGATTTAAAATTAAATTTAGTTTCACCAAACACAAAGTCCAGCAATTACACGATATTCACCACCATTTGGTGTTCCACAACAATTTTACAACACACCACCTCCACCTGCTTATCAGCCCTATGGGCAACAAGAACAATATGGACAACGTATGAAATAGAAGATTAAAAAATAAAAAATATTTTTTAAATAAATTTTTGACTGTTTTTAAAGTTAAAAATTAAAAAAAATTTAAATTAATTTAGAATCGCCCCGACCGTCTCCTCCAATTAATAGACAACCTGGTTATGAACAAGGAATACCACCAGAAATACCTGGAAGACAACAACCTGGTGAATATGAAGTACCCGAAATATCTCAACCGCGATTGCCAGGAAGGATTCCTGGACAAGTTCCCGGGAGATTTCCTGGAAGACCAGAAGTACCACATGAAGAAATAACTAGTGGATATGAAGTGCCTGAGGTTCCAGGTGTCACAGGAACGACTGAACAAGTGCCTGGAAGAGTTCCAGAAGTTCCTGGATTCTCAACTCCGTCTGCTACAGCTTTTACACATGGAGCAACATCACCGCCGCCTGGAGTTACTCCGCCACCAGTGCCGACTACAGGATTAACTCTTCCGCCTGGTGCTACATTACCGCCTGGAGTTTCATTTCCACCTGGAGCTACACTACCACCTGGCGTCTCTTTTCCGCCTGGCGTCACGCTACCACCAGGAGTCAGGTTTCCACCTGGATTCACTCATCCACATGGTGAAACGCTACCGCCTGGAGCAACATTGCCACCTGGAGTCTCATTTCCACCTGGAGCTACACTACCACCTGGTGTTTCTCTACCGCCCGGAGTAACATTGCCATCTGGTGTTACGTTACCTTCTGAAATTACGCCTCCTCATGGAATTACTCTTCCGCCTGGAGCAACACTTCCACCAGGAGTCTCTTTCCCTCCTGGAGCTACTCTTCCTCCTGGAGTCTCACTTCCGCCTGGCGTCACGTTACCACCAGGAGTTTCATTTCCGCCTGGATTTACAAAACCACGAGGTGCTACATTGCCTCCTGGAGCAACATTACCACCAGGAGTCTCCTTCCCTCCTGGCGCAACACTACCACCTGGCGTCTCTTTTCCGCCTGGTTTAACGCTTCCACCTGGAGTTACATTACCACATGAATTTACAACGCCTTCTGGTTTAACACTTCCACCTGGAGCAACACTTCCGCCTGGCGTCTCTCTTCCTCCGGGAGTCACTCTGCCTCCCGGTGTTTCATTTCCTCCTGGATTCTCAAAGCCGCATGGTGCTACACTTCCGCCCGGAGCAACGCTTCCACCAGGAGTGACTTTTCCACCTGGAGCAACATTACCGCCTGGCGTTTCTCTTCCACCTGGAGCTACTCTACCGCCTGGTGTTACAATCCCATCACAGTTTACTCAGCCACCTGGTCTAACTCTTCCACCTGGAGCAACACTACCACCTGGAATAACATTTCCGCATGGAGCAACATTACCGCCTGGAGTATCACTTCCGCCCGGCGTAACTCTACCGCCAGGAGTTACATTGCCACCTGGATTTACGCTACCACCTGGACCTTCCACGCTACCACCCGGAGCAACACTACCACCAGGAGTGACTTTTCCACCTGGAGCAACATTACCGCCTGGCGTTTCTCTTCCACCTGGAGCTACTCTACCGCCTGGTGTTACACTCCCATCACAGTTTACTCAGCCACCTGGTTTAACTCTTCCACCTGGAGCAACATTACCACCCGGAATAACATTTCCGCATGGAGCAACATTACCGCCTGGAGTATCACTTCCGCCCGGCGTAACTCTACCGCCAGGAGTTTCATTGCCACCTGGATTTACGCTACCACCTGGACCTTCCACGCTACCACCCGGAGCAACACTACCACCAGGAGTGACGTTTCCACCTGGAGCAACATTGCCGCCTGGCGTTTCTCTTCCCCCTGGAGCTACTTTGCCTCCAGGTGTTACTGTGCCACCACAATACACACCGCCACCTGGTTTAACACTTCCACCTGGAGCAACACTACCACCCGGAATAACATTTCCGCCTGGAGCAACATTACCGCCTGGAGTATCACTTCCACCCGGCGTAACTCTACCACCAGGAGTTTCTTTTCCGCCTGGATATACGCAACCACCTGGTGCAACACTTCCGCCCGGAGCCACTTTACCTCCAGGTGTCTTGTATCCACCTGGAGCAACATTGCCGCCTGGCGTTTCTCTTCCTCCTGGAGTTACTCTACCACCGGGTGTTACTGTACCACCGCAATATACGCCGCCTCCCGGAGCGTCTCTTCCGCCGGAAGCAACCTTTCCGCCTAGTGCTACACAGCCACCTGGAGTCACATTGCCAACGGAGATAACGTTCCCATCCAAAGCTACTTTTCCGACTGGTGTCACCTTTCAACCAGGAGTAACACCGCCGACAGGTTTATATTTGTCTTCAAAAATCTAATCTAATTTTATTTTCCTTCAGGCATTTCTCTTCCACCTGAATTCACTCCTCCAGCTGTACCTTCGCCTTCTCCACCACCTAATGTACCACACATTCCAATTTCTCCAAGATTCCCTGGAACACCGCCTCCAGAACGTTAGATTTTATTATTTTTTTTAACTATATTCAATCAATCCAGGTGGTCTAACTCCACCTCCTAGTTTTACGGCGACTCCAACACTTCTTCAGACTCCTTTTGTACCAGGTCAGGTACCATCAGCACCTACTGGACGTCCACCTACTGAAAGAAGTAGATTAACCTTTACCCAATTTTATCTTAATTAATTTTAAGTCCCTCCGCCTGGACGATTTGTTCCTGGACCAACTCCAACTCCTCGTTTTCCCACACTTTTACCAACAACAGGGCCTATTAGGCCGGAATTTACTACTCGTGGACTTGTTCCTGGCTTAACTCCGCCAGGAGGTTTAACAACAATTACCCCGCCTGTTACTCCAGAGATACCTTCAGGGCCGACAATTCCTTTAATACCTTCTGCGCCTCCTCAACCAACAACGGCACCACCTAAAAAACAAATTCAGAATAGAGTTGTTGGTATGTTATTATTATTAGTTAAATTACTTAGTTTTCTGTTTAAGGCAAAGCTAAAGTAATTTGTAAAGAGACTGGTGTTGATTTTGGTGTTAAAACTATTTTCCCATTTACTGGACAAATATTTGCTTATGATAGGAAGAGAATTCCAAAGTTTAAATATTTTAAAATTTAAATAATTTTTTTTTTAAATTTAAAGTTGTGTGCACACTTTCCACGAATCTTTAAATATAAATATATCGTAAATTATTTAAAAATATTTTATAAAAATAATTCTTTTTTTTTTTGTAAGTTTTTCTTTCGCTGAATGTGGAATTAGTAACAATAAACAACCAGAAAATCAAACAAGTCCAATGGAATTATTTCATTTACAAATTGTTGTAAGGGAGAGAATAATATTTTAAATTAAAAGAAAATAAGAATTTTCTTCAATTCTTTAGGTAATGTTTGAACAACCAAACGGTACTTCCACTGTTCAATCTTATTTTGCTCAATGTGGGCAAAGCAAAGTTAATTACGAGAAAAGGCCTTCAATACCTACACTCATTGAAGAGGCGTTAGAAGAGGTGTTTTAAACTTTAATTTGTTAATATTCCCCACCCCCCTATCCTGCCAGTCATTTCATTTTACAATATTTATTTTGGTCACTCTCTTGCTAAATCTTTCAATTTTTAGTTACGAATTATTCCAACAGAACTTTTACAAAAAGCTCCACTTCCAATACCAACTATGCGAATACTTACAGATGTTGAACATCACAAACAAGGGGATGGTATAGATGTAACTGATGTACAAATGGGGCAACCTTTAAGGATTGAAGTTTCTTTACAACCAGAAACTGGTTAATTTCTTATATTCGGAAAAATAAATTTTAATTAAAATTAAAAAAATTTCTCTTTTTAAAAAGATGCTTTTGGATTTTTGGTTCGAGATTGTGTTGTACGTAATTCAATAACTGGAGCTGAACATGAAGTTATTGATCATAAAGGGTAAATAGTAGATTTAAAATAAATTTTAAATTATTTTTATTTTTTAGCTGTTCAACAGATTTAAATATTTTTGGTCATCCTCATTATGATACTTATGTTTATATTTTTTATTTTAATTTAAAAAATAATTTTTTCTAGCATGACATTGCTCGTATCCATTGGCACGCATTTAAATTACCTGATCAAACAAAACTTTCTTTGAGTTGTAGAATTCATATTTGTACTGATTTGAAAGATCCAAAGACTGGAAAGAGTTCCTGCGGGGATATACCTACTGTGAATAATTTTAATTTTTAAATTAATTAACTTGGTTAGATATTTGACACAAAACAACAATCAAAAGGATTCTCTAATTCACTTAGAAAATTTTTCTACCCAAGAGTTTATCTACATATTTTAATAAGAGAAAATAGTAGAGACCGAGACCGCAATCTTATTTCGAAACCTCAGTTGTAGAGATTGAAATTTTTTGAGATATTAAACTTAGCTTTCAATTAACCTTTAAAATATTTAATTAAGTCTTCAAACAAAAAATATAATTTAAAAAATAATTTCAATTTTTCAGCCTCCATTCTGCCCAGATTTAATAACTTCACAGCCAGATTCTGTTTTAGCCGATTTACCTTCCTCATTCAAACAAAGGCGTCGACGTGTTCACCGTCGACATTTATTAATTCAAAAAGAAGAAAAAAATATTTTGGGAATGACAGAAATTAATGTTAAAGTTAATTTTTGTGTTTTTGAGAAGAATATAACAACAACAACAGCAAATAGTACATGTAAAATAAATTCTTCTCAAAGAGAAGGAAAAGAAGAAAATCAAACAATTATAAAAACTCTTCCAGAAAACCAAATAAAAAATGGTAAAAATAAAATATAAATAATTTTTAAAAATTAAAATTTGAATTAAAAAATTTGATAATTAAATAGTGTAGGATGTCCTATGTAGTGTTCAGCAAATGGATTTTTTTGGTACCGGTACCGGGAGTACCGAAAATTCTAAAATTTGTTCGGTACGGTTCCGGTTCCGGGAGTACCGGAAAATACCGACTCGGTATTTTAGAGAGTACCGCGGGAGTAACGAACCGTGCCGAACACTAGTCCTGTGTCCACGAGAGGTTTATTGGACATAATTAACTTTAAACAAATCCCCCTTCTATTCTTTAAAAATTAATATAAGTAATTGATGTGTGATTTTTCAAGATTTTTTGAATCATTAATCAAATAACAAAAAAATATTTTTTTGTATCTGGTGTTAAAGAAAGATTCAAAAACAAAAATTTCAACACAAAAATTATTTAGTAATTTATTTAAAAAATTAAAAAAATTAATAAAATTTTAAAAACAGTTGTTATTCCTTCTTGTACTTCTCTATCTACAAAAGGCCCAATAGCTGGAATAACTTCACTTTGCCTTGGCCTTTTATTTTCATCTTTATTATTAAATATTTTGTGTAGAATGATGATTAGTTATAATAATAAAAAATAATTTTTTTTGAAAATTTTGAATTAATTAGTAATTTATTTTTAAAAAATTGTCTCAATATTTATCCAAGCATACTTCCCACGCCCCCATTAGAAGGTGAAATTTTGTTACGAATAATTTTAAATATATTTTTTGTATCATTTCTAACTGTTTTGTTTAATAATAAATAAATAACTGGTGGAGCTCCTTTAAAAAATTAATTTTAAAATTTTAATATAATTTTCTCCATTTTCCGCTTAAACATTTTTTTGTTTATTTATTGTCTAAAATTACCGTGAACGTGTATCCTTAAAATAAAAATTATTTTTGAATTTATTTTTAATTTTACCAAGAAAAGTGTCCTACCATTTGAAGATTAAATCTATTATCTGGATTTTTATCAACATAGGAACTAATAATTCCGCAAGTTGAATTAAGCATTGAAATGATAAATACTTGAATAAAAACCTTTAAAAGAAATACTAAATTATAATTATTTTAACACCTATTAGGCAATTAATCGGGTATGGATTCCGCTTCATAATTATAAACTCCCTAAATTAAAATATTTGAAGTCTAAATGTTCATAAAAATCTGAGAACGAACTATTAATAACTAACAAAAGTATAGAAAAAACGAAAGTCGAAAACAATCTTTGCCACGAAAATCTCAGACATCCGTTTTCAACGTAACGTTCTTGCCATTTGTCGAATATAAATGAGAAATTTTACACAAATAAACTAAGTAGTCGAAAATATTTATCAACCTTCGTTTTCGATTGAAATCGAAGGTTTGAGATCTGATGAAGATATGTAGCAGAGATCGCGCCGACTTAAAATCAGATTCCCGATTTTCGGGAATCTTGAATTCCCGATTTTCGTGAATTCACAAGCCAAAAATCGTCGGGAATTCATGATTTTCGGGAATCGTGAATCGGGTCGCGCGATCCCTGATACGTAGGCTTCTCTTTTTTCTGTTTTGGGTGTATAGAAGATTTTGGAGAATTTTAGTCTTAAAAACAATCAGATCGACCTCAAAAACTGATAAAAAAATTTTTGAGTGAATCTTTAATTATGAAGTAAACAGATACATACTAAAATATGTATAATTTTTGTATTTTAATTTTATTTTAAATACTACATAAAAACTCTAACCATTATTTCTTCTTTTGTAATTTTATTAGACAATCCTCGAAATTTGAAAATTAAACAAAATGAAAATAAAATATAAATTATTGGAGAGCCTATAGCCAATATATAATTATGTAAAGTTATTTCTATTAAATCTTGTTCAAACTTAAAAATAAATTACTAAATTTATTTAATTTAAAATTCTTACAAATTCAATTCTGGAAGGTTTATATCCATTTAATGGATCATATGCAAATACAAAATTTATTCCATTAAAAATAACCGCGTGTCTAAACAATAACCAATAAAATCCATATAAACTACAAAAAATAAGCCAAAAATAAACACGATTATTGTGAAAAAGTTTTTTTGAAATATTTGGAAAAGCAATTTCTAAACAACGATTTATTCCCAAAATCTAAAAAAAAATAAAAATAAATTTGTTTATTTTTAATTTTAGTAAAGGGAAGAAAAGTTTAGTGGAGAGTCTAACAAAAAATACCACATAAAATACAATCATGATCAAAAAGTTTCCTAAAATTGAAAATTTAAAATAACCAAATCTGCAGAGCATTCAGGAGCCCAAAATACTGAAAAACAAAATTCTTTTAATTTTTTAAAGTAAATAAAATATTAAGTATTCATTAGAGCCCTGGAGGCCGTATTTATCGGTATTCTGTACTGTAACCGGTACGGCACAAAATTCAGAACTTTAGTGATTACTAGGGCGTGTCAAAACATGCAAATGCATATTTTGCATGCAAATGCAAATATGCATTTGCATTTTGCATATTTTTACCTAATTTTGTGAAACGCTTAAAAATGGTGTTTTTACATCGGTACGAACATTAGGGACCGAGTTCCTATAGCATATTTTTGCATATTTCGGTACTTTCGTGCATATTTGCATATCGATGCATATTTTGGGAAATTTTGCATATTTTTACCTAATTTTGTGCATATTTTGGCATTTTTTGAGAAATTTTAGTTTTCCGTGCATATTTTGACACGCCCTAGTGATTACTATTTCATTTCTGGTTTTACAATATTTAATTCAAAACCTACAAAAAATGTTACAACCAACAAAATAAGTTAAAAAAGGTGAAGAACAATAAACAACCCCATTTAAACTAAAAATTCCAGCTGCAAAAGTTGGCACCCAAAGTAGACAAATATCCATTATTGAAAGATAAATTAAAAGTATATAACAAGGATTTTTTGCTTTATTTTTCCAAAAAGAGTAAATACAAGGAAAATATAAAGGCTTAAAAATTAAATTTAAAAAATTTAAATAAATTTAAATAGTACATAATATATAAATCCAAGCAATATACAAATAATAGCAGTTATTGGATATCTTCTTTTTTCAATTGGAATATCATCAACATTAATTCCTGTACAGTTATAAATTTTATCAAAATTTTCACGATTCCATAAAATAAATTCCATTTTACTTCTAAACTTTTGTTTGTTTGAATTGTTAGCGATTAATTAACAAAGAAGATGATAATTAAATATAAGAAGGAAATTGGTGATTTGTTTAAAAGTTTAAATTTTTAAATTAAAACAATTAAATTCTAAAAGAAGACGAAATTATAATTTATATGAATAAGAACTTTTTTAGAATAAATATTTAAATTTAGGTGACAAAAGCATATTAAGACCCCCAAAGATTTCGATGCATGGCTTGCAGAGCTTTGACTACTTCACAAAAATGTGGAGGCCGAACTACCATTCAACAAATTCAAGATAGCCGCTCACTTTATTATCCTTGTGATCATTCTGAATAAAAATTTAACCCTTTATTGATGAAGGAAGTAGTTCTGCCCATTTTTAATATTTTGAAAAAGGAAAAAAGGAGGGGGGGGGGGGTATACGAAATTCAATTTTACCCAAAAAATTTTGTTTTCGTTAATTAAATAATTTTAGATAAATTTCTTAATTAATTTTTTTAGCTTTTATTTGCTAAATTATAAAATATTTTTCTACTTTCTATATCTCGAAATGATTAATCTTTTTAGCTTTTACTTATGCATGTAATATTAAATAAAATTATTAAGTAAAAATTAAAATATTAATTGAAAAATAATAAAAAGTAATTTAAACAATTAAAAGAAATTTTTTCATTTAATACATGTTTATACTAATTTTTAAATGTTTTTATTTGTATTTTAATGTGATATTTTGAATAAAATTTTTTAAATATTAAGTATGTACTTTTAGAGGTGCTACAAAATATTAAAAGTAAACATGTTTTTTGTATCATGTTGACGTTATAAAATGTAAAATTCCTTCACACGCTATTCACATACATGTATAGTCGATTAATAATTTTGTAAAGAAAAAAGGAGGTGTACTTTTAATTAAAACAAAATTAAAATATTTAAAATTTGTTAAATTATTAAAAATTTAATTTAAATAATTATTTTTATTTAAAAAATAATTAAATAAAATTTTGGTGTTGAAATAAAGTTTTAAGGAAGTTTAATGCATTTAAGTAATTTTGATTAATTTATAAAAATATTTTTATAATTTTTGAAAATACATTTGTTTTTAATAAAGAAAAAGAATTTTAGTTTAATTTTTAAAGTCTTCAAATGTCGAACTTCAAAAGTCGTGTAGCCGTTTATTAAATCATAAAATTACCCTCCCAACATTAAATATTTAAAATATTCCCTCAAAAAATATTCTCAGAAATAAAAAAATAATTCTTTTAATAAATCTATTAAAAACTCGTATTTCCCTCCCATTTTTAAATATATAAAATAGAATATTTATTTAAATAAATATTTTATTTTAAATTATTTTTAGAATTTTATTTTTAGATTTTTTTTTAAAATTAATTTAATTCTGCAATGACTGAGATGGACTCTTCACTTAAAGAATTTGAATTAATTGTAAATTAATTAATAAATCTATTTTTAAAATAAATAATTTTCAGGAAAGCAACAATACTGCAAACATTGAAGATAATTTAGATCTTCAAATTGAGTTTAATGAATTGAAAAATAAATATATTTTGCTTGAAGAGAAACACAAGAATTTTGAAGAAAAAATAAATATTGTAGGTTTTTAAATGGCCAAAACAATCTAAAAATTCTATTTTACTTTTTTATTAATTTTAAGGCATTAGAAAAATGAAAGCTGGTTGTTTTTACAGACTATAGGGTGTCGAAAATATTTTCTAAAGACAATTACCCCGGTTTTCAGTTGATTTTCGGGTCTTCATATCTCGATGATAGAACGATAGAACTTCGTTTTCACTAAATATTTTTAACGGAATTTTTGTGGATTTTTGATCGAAAAATAAACATTTTATGAGGTGCCCTTATGTTAGTGTTACTCAAAATTTTTTGAACTTTTTAATAATAAATTCGTCCCATCTTTTGCATACTATACCAGAATAATGTATTTAATAACATATCCAAAAATTAGACCAATTTATAAAGAACTCCCCGAGATATGACTCAAAATATTGGTGAGAAAAAAATATATGTCCGCAAAAACTGGTCGGGGATAACTCACAAATACCTTAATTTTTTGATTTTTATTTAATAACAATCATAACCCTTTATAAACGTCCTCAAATGCCAAAAGAATTGGGAGCAAAATGAAAATATAACGGGGCTTAATTTTTAATCTTTTTTAGAAGATTACTTCACTTGAGGAAAAGTTTGGTGAATTAACAGAAAAATTGGAAAAAGTAAATAAAGTGGTTAGTTTTTAAAGGAGAAATTTATTTACTGAATTTATTTTTCTTTTAAAGTGTTTTGTTAATTTTGGAAATAAATGGAAACAAATAGAATTTAAATTTTCTCATTTTTGTTGTGAGAATAAATGTATCAATACAGACAGCCCTATAGGTGTTTGTATTAATGGAAATGGATTTGTTAATTTGATTAATTGGGAAACGATTAAATATATTGAAGGGAATAAAGGTTATCTCGAAAATAAAAAAATTATTATTTTTTATCCTTTAGTTAATAAACCAGGACTTGTTTATGCCGAAAATTCATTTAAAATTCCAAAAGAATATTGTATCAATTATTCTCTATTTTATTTTGAAATTAAATGTAAAATTGAAGGAGAAGAAAATTTAATGCATATTGGGCTAATTAATAGTGAAAATGATTGTGTTAGATATTTTGCTGAAGAGCCTAAAATAATTAATGATTTAAATGAAAAATTTAAACTTTCAACATTTTCTTGGAATGATGGGGATATTTTTGGTATTGGAGTAGTTTATCCACCGACAACTAGAATGAATGAATTACCTTTTGTTTTCTTTACTCAAAATGGGAAACAAATTGGTTAGTGAAAATTTGTTAATAAAAAATATTTTTTTATTTTTTAAAGGTAAAGCTGTTTTGTTGAAGGAAAATTATGATTATTTAATTCCTTATGTTGTGCTAAAAAATTGTTCTGTAGAAGCCAATTTTGGAGATAATTTGGAAACTAAACCTTTTTGTTATGAAATTTCAAAGAATTTTGTGTTTAAGGAATTTTATTGAGATTGAGATTGAATGGCTGTTAATTTTAAATTTGTTGGAAAGAAGAAATTTTTGTTGAATAAACATTACTCGATATTTGTTTTTTTTCGATTAATTCATAAAAATGATGCTGGCTTTCTAAATAATTTTATTTAATTTTTTTGAATAGGAATAACTTTTTCCCGAAGTAATTTTTGGGTAATAGTTTGGCTGACCGTCCCTTTTTTCATGTTTCCCTGATCATTTTGATCTTTTGCTTGACATATATATGTATATCATTCGAAAGAACTATCCGAGCTGCGGCAAATGATATCAAGATAAATTTGATGATTCTGAACCAAATTAAGACGCTAAATCTTCGTTGGAAATTTAATTTAAATCAAATTACGCTGAGTTTAGTTTCAAATGTTTTTTATACAAAATGTTTTACTATTTGTATTTTTACATGTCTGTTAATTTACCATTGAATAGATTTTTAAAAATATATTCACCAAATTAATTTCTTTTTTCCCCAATATTAAATAATTTCCATTTAGCATTCCAGAATCATTTGCTTAACTTCTTCGGGTCCCAACAAAATATCACCCATAGCAATAGGAAACAACATCCATCAGAATCAACAGTTCCAAACAAAGTATTACTCTTAACACTCGTTTATCTCTAGCTTCGGGAGGGACAATTAATTGGCTATCTGTCTGAAATTTCTAATTACTTATTTAAATATTTATTTTTAATTTATATTTATTTATTTTCAAAAGCAACACTCAAGAATTTTTTTAAGAATTTTTAATTGTCACACACACGTTTATTTGTTTATTTAATTCTCAAATTCCCTAAAGTCAACCAATTTCTATTTTCATCATTTAATATTTTATTTTGATTTTATCTCTTGTCAAAAATCATACTTTATTTCAAAGGAATAGGAAATTTAAAAATAAAAATAAATTGCGCATTTAAAATTTTGTATTTAGTCAGGGAAATGATGAAAAGATGAGAACGATAAACGTTTTATTAAATTCTTTTCGATTTCCTCAATCTTTTTTTATGAAAATGATCCTAATTTATGCGTTATAGAAAAGGCCATCTGGAACACGTGGAGATAGATGAGATACACACACAAGATATCCTGTTGGTTCGAGAATGTGGAAGGCAGGATCTCTGATAATTATGTAAACATCCTTGCTTTATTTATTTCATTTTCCACAGTATTCTTCCTTTCCTTACCCATTTTTCTTTTACTTTTTTTTCATGTTTTCTCTTTCAAATAATTTACTAATCCCCCCAATACATATCATCTACCCAAAAAGAATTATTTAGTCATTTTGGCCTTTTCTTTTAATTTTTTAAAATTACATAAAGTCTCCCGCAGTGAATTTGTCGGCAATTTTGATGTAAAAAATAAATAGATATATGTATTTTTGGTTGGTTTTACAAGAATTGAGTAAATGAAGAAGTGGCTTATTTTAATTTTATTTTAGAAAAATTTAAAGAGATTTATTATTTTTTGTTGAAAAGTTTTTTATTTAGTATTTACATAATTTGGTATTTTTGAATAGTTAAATTGTCGAATTTGCATTTTTCTCGATCAGACAGGATTTCATACCAGTATATCCGACAGAAAATAAATTCTTAGTTTTGGGAATCAGGTCGGCTAGACCCCTGTTACCTATCATTTGAAAAAGTCAATCACGCTCAGTAATTTAATACCAAAATTGTTCTCTCGAGTTATATCCCCTGTTTATGAGGATAAAAAACTAACCTTAAGAACTAATTGTAAGAGCATTTTCTAAAAATAAATTCAGTTTGGATTAACAAATTTAATTTAGGGGCTTCGAATATTTAATTAAATTAATTAATTTTGTCAAACACTTCATTTTCCTTTAGCGGCCTTTTTTTGTTTCTTCTCCCGTTCATTTAAACTGTCATCCATTTTCTTTTCTCTCAGTTTGAAATCTTTTCCCCAATGGAATCATTCTCGCCCCTATAAAGTAGCGCCAAAAAGGATTATGTAATTGGCCCCAAAAATTGAATAAAAAATAATTTTTTGTTTTTAGCTTTTTAGCTTTTCTTTTTTCCTCTTCATTTTCTTTTTTTTTCTGTCCTTTTTTGGTTTGTTTTCTTTTTTGTAGGCCGCGCACATTTGCATATAATAATAAATTCGTTAAAATAAAGAGCATATTAATGTTTTGAATTAAATAAAGATTTTTATCTTTTTTAAAAGAAATGGAGATTTCAAAAATTATTTTAAAAAATTTTTTATTTTACATAAGTATGCTAACAGAGATAGTTTATTTTAAAGTTCGGATCCGGACAGGATCCAGCATTTTTCAAATTCCGAACTTTAGTTTATTCAATTAATATTTATTTAAATATTTACTAGAAAAGAGCTAAAATCATTTTTTCAACCGCAAGTTCAACATAATAAAATAAATAATTTATGAACATTTTTGTTTTAAAAATAAATTTTGGGGTTTTAATTTACTAAGTATTTATTGTGTTCATTTTGTGACTACTATATTTATTGAGATTTAAATAAATTAAATTAAAAATTATTTATTCTTATTCCTTATTATTTTTATAATTTAACTACTAATTGACTTCTTTAATATTATCAAATTACTAGTTTTGTTTTAAATATTTTTGGAAAAGAAAAATAAATAAATAGTAGCATTTTTAATTGCGCAATATTTAAATATGTTTAGTTGTGTGAATGAATGAATGGTCCTCCTTCTCTTATTTTTTCTTCCAGACAATTAAAAAAATGAAAATAATTTTAATTAATTTATATTAGATTTTTTTTCAATATATATATTTTTTCCCCTTTATTTAAATTTCAATAAATATTTTTATTTGTTTTTGAGTACTTATTTTATGGGGGGAAAGTTATTTTCTAAAAGAAAAGTTTTGGAAAAAAAATTTTAAATTGGCCCAGCTGTGTTTTGAAGAATGAAGGAAATATATTTAAGTATATTTAAATGATTCTTTTATTTAATGGAATGTTTTTTAATGGAAAATAAAAATATCTAAAAACTCTTGACATCCACAAGAAAAAGGGGTTTTTCAAGTTCATTCCATTATAATGAAGAGATTGGGGAAGATAACTAAATGTTATTTAATTTAAAAAACGAGTATTTCAACTATGCGTGATCAGTTCGTGAAGAAAAATAAAAAATAAATTTTTAAAAATCTGTAAAAGAAATTTTCAACAAAAATTTCTCACACAACCTTAAATTTAAGACTCAAAAATATTTTATATATCTATTTTTCTTTTATTTAAAATAAATTTTTTAAAAATATAAAAATTTTTTTCAACAATTTATTAATAAGATTAACCAAAATAAAGGATTTATGGAAAAGATTAATCGTCGGTAAGAGAAAAAATCCTTCTAAAAATTGGAACAACATTCTCTCTTCGAGAAATATATATTTTTTACAAACCCCCTACAACAACCTTTTTTTATTTTTTTTTCTTGGCCATGAGCGCGAGAATTGGGAAATGTTGGAGGAAAGGAAAGAGGGAAAGGAGAAGGAAGGGGAAAAGAGAGAAAATTGCGCAACTGATGGCCGGCCGTAGATGGTCATTCCCCTCAATTTAAAGAAGAGGGAAGAAGGAAAGGAGGGAAGAGGAAAAACAAAAAAAGACACCTGCCCTCTTCTCTCCTATTTTTCAGCTTTTCATCCATCTGCCTTTTCCTACAGTTTTTTCTGACCCATTTATTCGCGCCTGGATTTTTTAAAATTAAATGATAAAATAAAGTAAGGTAAATACTGATTATTAAAATAAAAGTGCACAATCCTTTTCCTCAATATATGTGATACATATAAAAAATCAAATTGGAACTTTTTTGGATAACCTCGAAAGGTTGTTTTTACATAATTTCTTTGCTAAGCACTTTAATTTGAGGTAAACTATTGTTAAAGAAAATTATCTAAAAATAATAATTATTATCCAAAAACACCAGAAAATAATCACCAAAAAATTATGTATTTTTTGCGAATATTTCCCCCTTTCATTTATTCTGTAAAAACGTCTTTACAACAACCACAAAAATATACTTTACACAATTTAAGAGGGTTCTGTTGGCTCATTGGCCTCTTATAATTTATCCCCCTCCTTCCCTCCTTCATTTTTTCTTCTCCATCTTCTCACTTACAAATCCCTCCTTCACCTACCACAACAACAAATGTTTGGCTCTCGACCTAATTTTTTATTGTTAAAAAATGAAAAATTTGTTTTTATGGAATTTTGAAGGAATTTTTAACAAAATAATTTTAAATGGATGGAGAAATTTATATTTAAAAATAATTTTCTATCTGCAATTTTGAATGATTAGAATATACATATATTTTATAGATTTTTTTAAATTTAATTTTAAAAAGAGTTATTTAAAAGTTTTTAAATAAAATAGAAAATGATTATAAATATTAGGTGGGTGGTTGGATATATAGGTAGATATAATATGATTTTTAATTATTAAATAAGTTTTTAATATTTCCATCTATTATTATTTTTAAGAATTTTCAAAAAATATTTTATTTTAAAAAGACTTTAATTAGCTAGTATTTTTTAAATTTTTATTTGTGTTCAAAAATAGCTCTTTTTAAATATCTGTAATTAATTTTACAGATATTTTTGTAGAATTAATTACTTTTAAATAAAAAGTAGTTTAGCACTTTTTTTAGAACTTTGCATATTTTATAAATACTTTTAATAAAATAATTGCTCTATTAAATTTAGAAATAAATATATAAAAAGTAAAAACGGAAGAGAGATAATTTTAAAAAATAGGTAAATGTTCAAAAATTCTTTTTTTTTAATAATTAGCATTGTAGTGACGAAAATATAAAGTAATGATTTAAATAACTTAAAGTTTTGATTTCATTTTCAAAATTGCCATCTCATGGATTTTCACAATCATCATCTCATGGAAAAAATTATTATTTAAAAGCCCTTGTCAAATAAATTTTAAAAATTTTAAAGTATATAAATATTAGCTAACTATTTTTAAAATAATTTTATAATAACAAATTGAAATTTTTAGTAAAAGAAAAAATGAGGAACAGAAGTGTAGAATGAGAGTTTTTACAGTATTTGTTGTGCCTCCTCTCTCGCTCCTTCACAGACCACGCCCATCTTCTTCAACAATCACCATCTCATGGAAAAAGCAAACATTTTCAACATTTCAAATTCAACCGGTCACAAAGGTCAGAAAATTATTTAATAAAAAATTTTTTGTTTTATTTTTTAAATAAAATATCAAAATAAGTATATCCCTAATTTAATTTGCTACTTTTTTTATATCTTTTCTACTCTAAATTTAAAATAGTAGTTAAAATTTATTAATGTAAAAAGTTAGGATAATATGTAGATATTTGTGTTTACCTTCTCCAAACTTTGTTTGAATATATCTAGTCTAGTTTAACATAACTGGCAACATATATTCTCAATTATTCCCTATAACTGACAATTATTTTTATTTATTCCTCGAGCTTCGAAAAATACTACAAAGCTTCCACTAGAACCCCCTTCCACAGGTATATCAGTTAAAACAACAGTGGCTTTAAAAGAAGTGAAATTTAACATATCTTTTACAGATTACAATAGATAACAATGAATTATCATTTTAATAATTCTCCCCTACCATCACCGTCAACATCAACCTCCTCATCACAAATAATTAATTCAAATAATATTTTAAAATATTTTAAACAAAATAATTATTTAATTAATTATTTATCTCAACAAGCATTATCCCCTCAAACAATTATTTATCAGCAACAAAATAATCAACAATTAATTTTGTTATTGTTACTTCAACAACAAAAATTAATTAAAGAACAAGGTTAGAATTTGTGTAGGGGGAGGTGGGAGGGGGGCTGATTGAGAGAACCGATCAAATTTTGTCGATAAAACTCAAAAAACCTGAACGATTAGCCTAAATGGAATAAATAAATATTTTTAAATAATTGTAAAGTATGTAAGCATAAGCAACACCCAGTAGAAACTAAATTTAAAAAACTTAAATTAAATAGTATCTAAGTAATATCGGAGATATTTAATAGCGAGGAATGAATTTATTTAAATTACAAATATTTTAATATTTATTATTTCTGCCTCTCTCCTTCATAAACAAAATATTTTTTATTAAAAAAATAATAATTTGAAATTTTTTAAATTATTTTTTTATAAGTTCAAAAAGAAAAGAAACTTAAAATAAAATAATAAGGATGTAAAAGTTTATAGGAATACTTTAGCACGCAAATATTTAAAAGAAAATAAAAAAAAATTTTAGAAAATTAAAATATGTAATTAAAAATATTTTAGTAAATGGACAATTAGCACAACAACAAAAAATGTTAATTTTAAATAATAATTGGCCTCGATTAACTTTTCCATCTACTCAAGGGTTTGGAATTTCTAAATAAATATTAAATTACAGTTTAAAAAATATTTTTAATTTCCAAAAATCTTTTAAGACAAATTAATTTCAAATATTTAGAATATCAACACCTCCTTGTAGTACCAGCAACAATATTTTCTTTTCACCAATAAAAACAACAAAATTTTCCACTTCTACAACAATACAACAAACATTCTCTCCTCCCCAACTTGAAAAGAAACGAAATAAAGTTTTAGTAAAACAAAATATTAAAAGAGAATTTACAATTGATGGACTTCTTTTAAAAGAAGTTGAAGATAAAAAAATAAAAAAAGAAGAAAATGTTGGTGTTGTTGATTATTTTATGGAAGAAGGGCAACTTAGTCTGACAGATGGACGTAGAAATGTTGGAATTAAAGGAGGAGGAGGGAGAAAGAGGAAAGGAAGTAGTAATGAGGATTTTGAGGTAAATTAACCTTCCCCTTTCCCCTATACGAGAAGAGGAAGGAGGGGCTAAAAAGTTGGGTAAACTAAAAATTAGGGGAGGAAAGGTGAGGAAAGAACACTTACTAAATTTTGTTTTCTCCGTTTTATAAACATCACCATAATCCAACTTTTATTTTAAATTATTTAAAAAACCCCAATTTATTTAAAGTATTCTCCACCACTACCAAAATCTTCTCCCCTTCTTTTACAACAACAAAAACTTTCCCCATCAAAACATGTTTGCACAGAATGCGGTAAAAGTTATGCTACAAGTTCAAATCTTTCTCGACATAAACAAACACACAGACCTATTGATAGTCCACACGCTAGAAGGGTATTTAAATAAATAAAAATAATATTTTAAAGATATGTAGAATTCAAAGTTGGGGATATCTGGGAATGTAGAAAACAATTTGGAGTTAGAAATTTAAAATAGAAAAAGTTGCAGGGAATTTGAAATAAGGGGTTGAAATAATTAAGGGTTTGAGAAAAATGAGGGATTGAAGTGTTTGTGAGGAACTAAATAAAAAATTTTGAATGTCAATTAAAATATTTTTGAACTTGGAACTCAGAAGTTTTTTTTAGAAATATCTCCGAAATTAAAGCGAAGAAATCAGAATTCAGCCTCCATCTAGTTTAGATTGATTAACAATGAGAAGGAAATAAAATAGAGAATCTATTCGAAAAAATTAATTTTCTAGTTATTTTAGTGCCCTTATTGTGAAAAACCTTATGTTTCAATGCCAGCATTTGCAATGCATATATTAACACACAAAGCTAAACATAAATGTCCAATTTGCGGAAAACTTTTTTCTCGTCCATGGCTACTTAAAGGACATTTACGTAGTCATACTGGACAGGTACATATGTAACTACCGTATATGCTCTAATAATTACCCTGGGTAATTATTATTTCAACCTCTTGCTGGAGGGAGTAATTAATAGAGCGGGGGCAATTATTTGAGAGAGGGTAATTAATAGAACATATACGGTATTTTTAAATAAAATTATATTTTTTAAAAGAAACCTTTTGGTTGTGGAAATTGTGGAAAAGCATTTTCTGACAGATCTAACCTTCGAGCACATTTAAATACACATAATGGTAATTAGATTTGGAAATTTTTAAATAAAATATTTTTCTAATAAAAAGCTGAAAAACGTTGGAGTTGTGCTCATTGTGGGCGTGGATTTGTATTAAAAAGTTATTTAAATAAACATCTCGAACAACAACATGGAGATTCTAATTTAGTTAATAATGAAGAAGAAGAGAAGGAAATTGGAAATAATTAGTAAATATTTCTTTTAATTAACAATAATTCTTTAACAATAACACCAACAAGTAAATAAGAATTTCCTTCTTTTTGGGAAAATGAATTAAAATATGAATGAGCATTCTTTTATTATACCTATTTTTAAAAAATTGAAACATAATTCCAAAAAGGGGGAGAGGGGATATTAATCAAATCTAAAGAAAAATAAATGCTTATTGTAAGGAGAGAAATTTTTCCTTTATTTGACGTTCAATCTACAAAAGCTTTAGAAATTTTAACCTCAAACTTGTAATCGTATTTAATTTTTCTAATAAATATAAAAAAATATTTTAAAAGCCACATGTTTATTCCTTCTCACCCGATTTAATGTTAAAATTAGTGATGCTCGAGATTTCAATTTCGGTTTTTTAGTCTCGTAAAAAGAGAAAAATTTATTCTCCTAATGAGGGAAATTTTTGGGGTTCTCGAGTCTCGATAAATTTTCATTTTCGAGCATCGCTAGTTAAAATTCTGTCCCTATAACTATTAATATAAAAAAGAAAAACATCCCCCAATTCACATTCCTCAATTTGTATTTTAAAAAATATTTTGTATTAAATTTCTTTTTCCTCTTGTCAATTAAAAAATAATAAAATTAAAATAATTTTATTCAACAAAAATAAATATAATTAATTTTGTTTTTTTAAATTATGAATTTAGAGAAAATATTTGGATATGTTTTTAATTAATTGAATTAATTATCTTTGTATTTATATATTTGGTTAACACATTTGGTATTTTTAAATGCACAAAAAGGCAAAATAAAATAATTATTGAAGAGCACTTTTTAAATAAAAAATCTCTAATTTTATCTTTGTTATGAAAAAAGTAATGATTATTGGGTTTTAATTGAGAAGTACAAAAATGGAGTTCTTTAGGTGCTACGAGCTCTTTAGTTAAACAAACCAACGCTGAAATTCTCGTAAATTAAGTAAAATAATTTTCTAGTTTTAAATAAACTCAAAATTTAATTAAAAAGATAAAATAAGAGATTTTAAATTAACCATTAAATTCTTTAAAAATTCAGAAAAATATAAATTATTTAATGGTCAATTAATTAATAAAAATTGTGAAATAATTTTAAAAAATTGTTTTATTAATATATATAACATATTATGCTTATCTTATGCAAAATAATAATTAAAAGATTAGAATTTTTAGTAATTAATCTGTTTAGAGGGAGAGACATTGCAACTAAAAATTAATTTAGAGCTTTAACTTTCCTTAAAAATTCGAAATTTTATAAATAAAATTAATTAAATTTCAGAATTTTTGATTAACTATTTCAAAACTTATTTTTAAGAAATACAAAAATCTTCAAAAAAATCTGAGATTTCTAGTAGAAATAACTGAAAAGATAATAGCTGTACAGAATTTTTTTTTAATTTTTATTTAATTATTAAACTGTGTTCCTAATTTACATTTCAAACATTTTTTAAAAAAAATTCTAATCTTTTAAAAATTAATAGAATATCACAGAAATCGACCAAAATATTGTGGTGATTTTTTGTTTAGTGGTAAGAGAGTGGTGGTAAATAAAAAGAAAATTAAAAATAAATTAATTACTGGTTAGAAAAATGGTAGTGAAGAAATAATTGAAAAGATGAAAAGATGGATTTGATTAAATATTTCTACATATTTAAACATAATTCTCCATCATATCTTTTCTTAATGTGTGTGTGGTTATTACAAATAAAGTCAGAGACCTCTATTTTATTCTGATTTTTCTAAAAGAAATTCTGATTTAAATTTAAATGTCTACTTTTTGTTTGAATTTATTTGTTTAAAATAATTCTGGTTCTACTTTTAAAAACAGAACACAATTTATCTTTTTGCAAAAAATAAAAAGCCCTTTGGTAAAAAATAGAGGCCATACAAATTTAATAAATAAAAAATGATTAGAATAAATTATTGACATAAGAGCGTCAAATAAATAATATCAGAATTTTCATAAAAAAACTTTATTATTCACTCAAAATAGGGGTCATTAAAAAACATTCAAAGTCACTCTCCTAATTAAAAATTATTCTCAAAATAAAATCTAAACTTCCGTAGCCGTTCCATTTCCAATTTGATAAGGATTTTGAATATTTATATCATTTATATATGCATTATTATTACCTCCATTTTGTTGTTGTTGAAGTGTTAAAAGTGAAAGTAAAGGAGGGGCAGCAGCAAAAATACCTCCTCCCCCTCCCCCACCTCTACCTCCCCCTCCACCACAATTAGCTGTTGAAGAATGTAGAAAATGTCCATTAAATAAAGGAGTAGAACCATTTGTTGTTACTATTGTTGATGTTAAACAATTATTGCGAAGCCATAATTCTTGTGGATGTGAAGGGGGAGGAGGGAAACCGCCAAATTGGGCAGCGACTTCTGGTGAGTAGAGATGGGTAAGTGGAAGAGACTAAAAAATAAAATTCTGATTTTAATTAATATGTATTTTTTGTATTAATTCTAATTTAAATTCCTAATAATTTAATGAAAATTTTTAAAATATTAAAATTAAAGCACATTTTATTAAAATACAAATACATGAGTATTTCCTGTATTATAGCCCACTCTGAAAGCCCCCTTTTGGAGGTTGGTGAAAAAATAGAGCCCCCCCCCCCCTCCGAGTTAGAGCCCCCTCCTTAATATAGCCCCCGTTTGGAGGGCAGTTGAAAATTAGAGCCCCATTGAGCTCTAATACAGTAAATACATTATATATTAAAACTCACAGGAGTAACAAATTGAGGAGGTGTCAATAAAATTCCCCCTCCTCCATTAGTTGTTTGTTCATTGATTGCTAAAAAATAAATTTCTGTTAATTTGTTTATTAATTTATTTATTTACCTCCAACATTAGTCGCTGCAGCAAATGCTGCCAAAAAAGGATTTGTGGCTGGCAATGAAAAAAGAGGGGAAGTTCCATTTGTAGGTAGAGGAATTAATGGAGAATGGGGAGTTGGTAATAAACCTGGGGCTGCTGATGGAGGTATTAATGGAGGTGATTGTTGTAAAATATTTAAATGAAGACTCATATCGTCTGCACAACATTGGAAAACTTCGATATAACTGAAAAATATTATTTAATTATTTTGTGGTTTTAAATGAATTTCTAATTCAAATTATAAGCAAAATTAAGGTTGCCAGTCCTTTAATCGAACCGAAACCTCGAAGATTTTATGAATAACTTAGCAACTCCCACAACTCTAATCAAAACACAATAATTACCGTTTCTTCTTCCCAAGCTCCATATATTTATTATGACATTCTTGTGAGGCATTAGAAGCAGCTTGTTCTGATTCCTGTAGTTTTTAAAAATAATTTTAGTTAACAAAAATAAATTTGAATAATTTTTATTATTTAATGTTTAAACTCTTAAATTATTAGATAAATTAATTTAAAAAAATATTTTTATGTTCTACCATTTGAATAAAAGCTTCACCACTTGGATGACCAATCGAAGTATAAATCTGTATGTGTTTTTGTTTTAAAAATAATTTTAAACAAATACAATAACTAACCATATGTACTCCTTGAAAGAGTACGTGCCTTGCATGGGGTCCCAAAAATTCAACAACTTGTTGTACTTGTGCTTCGTATGGAAGGCCTCTTAGTCTGAGGCAATCACGCCGACGACCATTTTTGAAGGGAGGGGGTGTTGGCTTGCCAAAAGGTATAAAGGTTGCCGCTACTGATGTGTTTATTGGTGGGGCAAAAATTGGGGGAAGTGTCTAAAATATTTTTTAAAAAAATTTTTAAATTATTAATGAGAAAAGAGGCAACTTTTGTACCGTCTCTCAGGAAAAAGAAAAGTTGTCTAACGAAAAGTTGTGCAACCTAATAAATAATTCCTAGTAATTCTGAAATTTTAGTATTTAATAAAATCCGAGTTTATAGGTTACCATAAAATTCTGATTTTTATTTGTTTTTGTAAAATTCTGATTTACTAAATTATATATTTAATTTAATGACCGGAAATACATTTGATTTTTAAATTAAATCAAAACACAAACATTAATTATTCCATTAGAAGCACTACTAGTTGTTGAAGTTATTATTGTTTGTGTTTTTTGGTTATTATTAACCAAATTATTATTTGTTAAAATTCCCCCTCCTCCTAAATTTTTTTCTTGAGCATTAATAATTTGTTGTTTAGAATTAAAAAGTTGTTGAACTTCTGCTTGTGTTGTTCTAAACAATTCTATATATCTAGTCCCCATTCTTTGCCGATGTTTTAGTAAAGCTCTACGTCCACTTTGTTCATCACAAAAAAGAACAAAAGCATCACCAGATGGCCGTCCATCAGGTCGCTGGACAAAAAGAACACCTTCTTGGAGGATTCCACTGGGAAGGCCATCAGTTGAGAAAAAGTCACGCTGAAAATTGGGGAAAATTTTATTAAATTTAGGGAGGGGGGGGGGGGGGGGAATAAAATAAAAATTATAAATGTTAAGAAGTGTATATTAAAGTCCCAAAATTCATAAAAAGACCCGAAAAGCTCTCAAAGGCCCGAAATTAAAGGGAGAGAGTAGTTGCCAATAAATAAATATTTTTAGTTAAATTTATTCGAATTAAATTTTAATTTTTTCAGCCCACAAAAGCAAAAAAAAATAATTTTAAAAAATTCTAAACAATTTGTTGCTCCGTGGCAGAAAATGGAAGGCCTCTCATACGAACAATCATTGCTTGATGAAAATTTTGTTGAGATTGTTGGTCAGCAAGTTGAGCAAAATTTAGTGCGCAATGATCTATTCCTATAAAAAGAAAAGAAAAAAGGTGAAATAAAATAAAGAAACCAGAAAAATAAAATATAATTCTGATTTAAATTTTTGTATTTTTAATTTTGTGTTTACACATAAATTCTGAATTAAACTATTATTTATCAGAATTTTACATCAGAATGTAAAATTCTGATTTTAATTAATTATGCCATAAATATAATTTATAAAATTCTGATTTTAATTATAGTAAAACCCCCCAATAAGCAAAGGCCAGAAAAAGTAAAAGTAAAAGCAAAATAAAATACATAAGAGAATATATAAAATAAAATTTAAAAAATCCGGAAGCATGGTTATTACTGTTGCTGTTTAATGCCTTATTTTATCAACCCTCCCCCTCTCCTCTATCCTCTCTTTCCTTTTTATTTTAAATTTTTCTCCCTTGTATGTTGCCACACCTTAATAAGCGCAGGGATGTCTCTCCCCCTTACCCCCCCCCCTCAAAAAATTTTATAGCTAATATAAAATGTTGCTTGAATGAAGTGAGAGAATAAAAAGGGTTATTAGAGTTTTGGAATTGAAAATTATTTTTAGAAATTTTAGAGATTTAAAACAAAAATGGGAACTTTTTATCCCTAAAATTATTAGATTTTTGTTTTTATGGAAAGGAAAAAAATGAAGGAGGATTAGGAAGGAAAATGAATTGAATATGTCTACCTAGCTTTCGTTTGAGAAAAAAATATTTTTTAAATAAAATTTGTATAAATGATGTAATAATATTTTTAAAAAAATAAAAATCAAATAATAATTTAATATTATTATTTGATATTAAAAGACACCCCTTCGACACCCCTTCGTGCTAATTAATTATAAAAATTATTTTTCCCTCTTAATTGTCTTTCTACTCGATCTTTAGATTTTATAAACTCGAAAACTGAATCAAAAAAATTTGAGATCAAAATGCTTTTATGTTTTTCGAAAAATCTGATAGCCTATTAAAATATTTATTTATTTTCACCAGAAACGTAAAATTTACAGGAAACCTCCCAACATCCTTTCGTTTAAATCGCGGTCATCCTATTTAATATAATTTTAAAGAGAAAAGATGATTTATATACATATAAATATTTAAATTTAAAAAAAGTATTTTTAGCAATAATTATTTAAATTTTCCAATTAACATTAAAAAAATTAAATATTAATTTAATAAATAGACATAGCTGTTAAAAAATAAAAAAATAAAATTATTAGAAGGGAAAAGCGAATATATGAATGAACAACAAAATCGATCTATAACTGACTATAAACCCAATTTTTTAATAAAATAAATTCTCTAATAAAATTCAAAAAAATTCATGCTTTAAAACTTTCGTCTTATAAAGAGAGACAAACAAAAATAGTAATAATGCAACAAAAAATTATAGAGGAATTGTTAAAAATATTTTTTTTTATTTTTTAATTTAGGAAGTAAATTTTAAAGAAAAAAAGTTTAATTGTTAAGGTAGGGGAGGAGGGGGAGGATCAAAAAATGATACCAAAAAGTATACTTAAATAAACTTAATTTGTGTTAAAATATTTAATTTCTAATTAAATAATGTCATTAACATTCACAATTAAAATCGGTAAAATAGGTAATATCCATAATTAATTTAATCCTCCAAAACGTTATTTAAAAAGTCAATATTTACCTTCAATTATGTACATATATATTCACAAATAAATCCCTAAAGAAAATTAAGCAGCAGTATTAAAAATAGAAAAAGTTTTTAAATAATATTTTTAAATATTAAAAATATCTCCAAAACTTAAAATCCCAAAATAAAATCCCAAACAGAAAAATGCTTAAACAATCCCTCCCCCTCCTTCTCTAGTAAAAATGTTTAAATAATTATTAAAATAAAATGGAGGAAATAAATTTTAATTTTTTAAATTTCTTTATTTCTTTTCCTATAAAATAAAATAAAAATTCCTCCTTTCCTTCTCTCTGTCTATAATAAAAATTTTTGTTTCCATTTTTTCAATTGTGTTGTTGGCATTTTTTTAAATTTTTAGCCAAAATTTTCTTTCTATTTTTTAAAAATTTTAATAGAGAGAAGGAGAAGGACGGAGGGTGGGAAGGAAAGAGAGAAATAAATTAAAATAAATTAATTAAATCGATCAGAAAAACAGAAGAGAAGGGAAAAATTTTTTGAGTGATAAAAGCTTTGGATAACGGAATAATTTATACAAAAAAAACCAGCTGGGACAACAACAATAATAAATAAATAAAGGTAAAAAAGCTTCTAAATTTTTGGATGAATTTTTAGTAGTTAGTAAAGTTTTTTATTAAAATTTATTTAGGCAAAAAATAAATTAAAAAGAAAATATTGTTATATTAAGTATGAAAAATTTTTTTGGGGAAGGAAGAAGAGCTAGTGAAATTTTAATGAAGAGATCCCTAATTCGGCAAAACAAAAAATAAAAGAAACAAAGAAGCTATGTAGGTGCATCCCCTGAATTATTTATGTAAAAATGATCACCCCAAATTATTTAATCTAAAAATTACCTATAGCATGCCTCACAAAATCATCAGCACTTGAACGGTATAATTCAATATATCGTTGTCTTAAATGGCATCTATGCCGTTCAAGAGCCCAATCCCTATATTCTGGAGTCTAAAAAAAATATTTTTAAAATAATTTTATTCAAAAATTTACTTCAAATTTAACTAGACATTCCCCATTTCGCCTTCCTTCAGGTCCGAGACATAAAATTACTCCGCCTCTTTAAAGAATTTTTTTTATTTTTAAAAATTCTTTTAATTAATAATTACTTTGCAATTTCCAACCCAGCAAAGAAAAGGGCTACGTCCAAATCAGATACTTGCCAAGGAAGTCCCCGAGCACGAATTATTGTTTTTGAGTCAATACTTTGAGTATCCGTACTTTTAAATTTTAAAAATATTTTTGAAATATATTTTATTTTTAATAATTAGAAATGCCTGCTTAACACCGAAAGGAAATCCAAGGAATTTTTATTTAATTAAAAAAATGTCGATGGTATTTATAAAATATTAAAGAATGTTTCTTATAAGTTTAATTAAATCCCGTTAATGGATATATCCGGGGTGATGATTTTTCGGTACGGTTTTTCGGTTCGGTTTCGGATATCCGAAGAATTTCCAAGAACCGACAACCTAAAATATATCGAAAAGAATTTAATTTTAAAAAGAAACCAAAGCATAGATTGATATCCTTGTTGAATATATTCAATATTTAATTTATTAATTTGTTGATTGTTATTAGTAAATGACTGACAAAAATGTACAAATTCTTTATTTAATGTAGAAAAGAGCTGTGAAAATTAAATAAAAATAATTAAAGAATTTTTTGAATATTTTTTTAATAAAACAAAATAAAATTTAAGGCGATTTTGGTATCAGAAAATTTCCTAAGTCCAGGGAAAAAAGTTATAAATTTTCGTTAAAAATGGAAAAAGTTATTAAAATTTTATTTAAATTCTTTTCTTAAAAATTAAAAAATAACTACTTGTTTAGTTGTTAATTGTTGTTTTTCATTATTTAAAGAAAATGGGGAAGATGAAGATGATGAAGTATTAGTATTGAAAGTTAATTCTTCAAATAAAGGCACAAATGAGTGAAAGAGTTTAGGTAATGGCAAACGAGCAGAAAATGCCTTTTTTAAATAAATTTATTTTATAATTTTTAATAATAAAGTTAGAGGACTTCGAAATTAAATAACATAAAAGTTATTTTTCGATTTTAAAATTATTTTTTTATTTGGTGGACAATGGTTATGATCACCTTCAATCTAATATAGGTACCCATCATTTTTAAATATAATTTTTTCATCCGTAAGGAGTGGATGACTCTAAAGTATTCTGATTCTAATCAAGTATTGGTACATAAATATTTTTAAAATTCTTCTACATAAATTAATTAAATACTTTCCCTCTATCCTTTATTTCCAAATAATATTTATTTATTTAATTAAAAATTACTTGCTCCTCCCCCTCATCTGCCAGTTTAGCTAAAAATGCTTGGGCACAAAGTGGATAAAGTAATTGGCGAAGTGAACGTCTATTACACACTAATAGTAAATTACGGTCTGGATATGCCTCCTCCAAATCCTTTGCCAACTATAAAAATATTGAAATATATTTTTTATTAGAAAAATAATTTTTTTGATTTTATATTTATCCAAAAATATTCTTGGAAGAAAACAAATGAATAATTTATAGGCATTTTTTGTTTTATGTTACATGGATATCTATTTATTATAATAATTTTTTACTTCCAAGAAAACAATTATGTAGGGGTACCACATAATAGAAACTTATTTTTTAAAAGATCCAAAAAATAAAATTAATATTTTATACATAGGATAATATTTTCACTAAATTTAATTTAGACCAATCCCTCAACTATAGATATTTTTTAAAATAATTAATTAAAAACCTTATTTAATTTTTCAAAAATATTATTTATATTTAATTTTATTTGTTTAATTCCATTATTATTTTCTTCTTCTTTTTCTTCCTCCTCATTTTCAATTTTTTGTTCTTCTCCTTCTTCCTCTATTTTTATTGAAGAATTATTACTATTTAATGGGTCAAATAAAAACCAATTTAAATATAAAAATATTAAATTGCTTTGTTTATTTGAAAAAGAGGAAGAGGGGGAAGTGGGGGATGTTTGTTTTGATTTTGTTGTTGATGGTTGGGATGTTGGTGGTTGTGGTGGGGGTTCTTGTCTCGGATCGGGAGGTGGGGATAAATTGTCACCATTATTAGATGAGGATGTTGATGGGCATAATACTATTGCTGAATCCTTTAAACAAATTATATTTTTGAAGGGATTCTGTGTGTTTTTTTGAGATTCTAAAAAGTTTTGGGTCAAAAATATGTATAATATAACTCAAAATCAAGGAGAATCTCTTATTCACCTCTTTTTCAATTTAGGAATGTTAAACGGAAATTCTTTGGGGGAGATAATATCTTGACATTAAATAATGGGGGAAATGTCCTTCCGAAAAATATAATTTACCTGAGAAGACGAACAAAGGGAAGATGAAGGTGTACTACTATTAGTAGTTGTAGTATTTCTCGAATTATTTAAATTTTCTTCTTCATTAATTACAATAAATACAAAAATAGGAGTTTTATTATTATTTAAAGAATAAATATTTTTATTAAAAAGAGGGGGAGGAGAAGCAAATTCCATTAATTACTATATGACGTTTAATTAACTTTAATTTTTTTATATTTAAAAAGAATTTTTAATAAAAAAATAAATTAATATTTAAATGATCAATCAAAATAAAATAAATTAAAGAAGGCGCACTGACTTTAAGTGCGCAATTTATTCCTTCTAAAGTTATAGGCAAGTTTACATGTATAATTTAGCTTAGAAGTTCTTTAAAGTCAACTTCTCTATATTTAAAAATTTTGTAAGTATTATATGTGTATTGAACTGGAATGATATTAATTTTAGAAAAATCGGATTAGTGTAGATCAAGTTAGGATCTATCTTCGATTCAGCTTGACAAGACACGTAGAATGAGCTATTATGATTTATTAAGGGGAAATTTCATATCTCATCTATTTATGTCTTAAAGTCATACAAGCTTAGTTTTTCTATTACAATTATTCAAATAATTTAGAATTTTGAAATTTTAAATTAATTAGATAACTACTCTTTATTATTTAAAATTTCAATAAAATACTTCCAAAATTACTAAATAATTTACAAATATGCGCGACAAATCCTTTCCGCGCCTAACAATCTTCTTTAAGTAATGGATAATGAAGGTTATTTTCATGGTTATTTGGAGAAGTAAAAGAAAGAAGAAAGGTTTTACTAATATTTAGATTTCTATTGGTTGTTATAAATAAATAAATAAATTTATTTATTAGTAGTGGGCAGTTCCTTTACCAAAAAAATATTTTTTTCAAAAGAGAGGGGGGGGGAGAGGATAGCCTTCGGGCACACAAAAACTTTTCGCTACCAATTTATTGAAAGATGGATTTTCGGGTTGTTTTGTAAAGAAATAATTGAAAAATAAAAAGAAAATTATAAGAAGAAAATTGTTTGTAGTTTTTCGTAGTTTTTCGCGCATCTACTAAAAATTTTTTTAATTTCTTTTTTCCTCTTTTCCACTCAAAATTTATTTTTTTATAAAGGACATATTGAAAGGTATAAATATTTATTTAAGTGCGCAAGTGGACAAACGAAAACATAATGATTTATAATGATGGTTTTTTTGTTTGAATTGGGCAAAAAATTAAAAAATATAGAAAAAATTTGTGAGGAAGGTAAAAATTAATTTTAGAAAATTATTTTTAATTAATTTTAAGGGAAAACAAATTTAAATATAATTATTTTCAAGAGATTGGACATGGGTAGATTAACAATTTTTTCCGTTTTTTAATTCCCAATTTTAAACAGGAATAAAAGATATCTGAATATCTACCAGAACCTACCAAATTCCGAATTTTTACATAAATATACATATATCCCTAAGAATCTCTTCCGTTCCGTTGGAAAGACAGAAAACTCTAAAAATTAATTTTAATTTTTAAATGGATTTTTATTTTATTTTTAAAAATCTTTTAAATAAATAAATTTAAAGTCTACTTCGTGTCACTGGACATACTTACACTATTGTTGTCTCTGTAAATATATTTAAAATATTTACAAGGATCAGGTCAGACTTTTCTCAACAATACATTTATTGTTTGCTGTCTGCGCATTTTAAATTTGTTTTGTAAAAATAAATGAAAAGACGAGGTGATCAATATTTTTAAATTAAATTAAATGTTCGGATGAAAAAAAGATCAGAAATCAAGCATTTTTTAATAAAACAACAAACTCTCTCTAGTAAAGAGAAAGAGTTTGAATTTTTTTTCCAAATTTCTTACAATTAGAACCTATTTTCAACAACCAAATTGAGTAATCCGTATTTGTTCTAATTGAATGACCCCTCCATTTGAATGACTCTTCAATTGAGTAACAATTTTTGGGGTATTCAAAATTAGAATGGCGGCCACTCTATTAGAATAAATACGATATATTTTTACATTATAAAAATTTCATTAGAGAGAGAATGCTACTTTGGCTTGAGTAACTAATATTTTTGAATGAAATTTCGTTTCAATTTGATCTCTAATTATAACTGGTCTAGTAGATAAAATCAAGAATTGTAGAGAGTTATTAATTAGAATATATCTAGATTATTTAAATATTTAAAAATATATTTAATTAAAAATGCTTGAATGCGCAAAAATAAAATGAATTGGAATCAAAAATTAAGAAATATGTATTAGAAAATTAAAAAGAAAAAGGACAAATTTGTAGACAAAATCGCAAGCAAGATCTAAGAATTCTAAAAGTTTTGTACAAAAGAAATAAAAATAAATAAAAAGCATAAAACTTGTTAAAAAGAAAAAGAAGCGGTCAGATATAAATAAATATATTAAATTAAAAGAATAAGGAGAGTCTCGAAAATGTTGGGAGGGAGGAGGAGGAGGAGGAGGAATTGTAAAAATAGGAAAATTAAATATACAATTGATACTTAAAAAGACCGATCAACAAAAAGTGGAAATCTCGAAAGTTTAATAAAGATAAAAAAATAAAAGAAAGGTTCGAAATAGTATCAAACAGACTTATTAACTTGTATCAAGGAAAATGAATCTTTAGTCCATTATATACATAATTATTTATTTGATTAAATTTCCAATGATCCTAAATAGAATTTTCTAATTTTAACTAAAAACCCAGATTAAGATTTCGCAAGAAGTGCGAAACTTTTGTTAAATCAAAATATGTAGAAAATTAAACTTGTCATAATAAGAATACAATTTTCAATCCTGTTTTAGGATCAAAAGTAAATTTATTTACTCAAATAAGTACCCTCTCTCTCTCTTAGATATTACCCCCTCACCCTCCCCATTAATTACCCCATCCAGTTTGAGGCTAAAAAATAGTTACCCAGAGTAATTATTTGAGATTATATTATTTTTCAGACAAGGATTGACCACCTTATTAATTCCCTTGAGTATTATTTAATAAACTTTTAAATTTAATTAATTAATAAAAATTATTTTACTAAATAAAAATCTCCTCTTGACACAAATAAAAGAAAAATATAAAAAATATATATTTTTTATTTAGTATTATTAATACTTAAATAAAAATTTGGGGCATATACTAAAGTAAGTAAAAAAGAGTGCAATGGAGTGAATGAATGAATGGAAAATATAAAAAGTCCGCGCACAAATTGACGGCTAAAAATATATTTATTAAAGAGAAACAACACAATTTGTGAAGGGGAAAGGTAGGGAGGAGGGAGGTATGTAGATGATCATCATCTTTTTTTCTTCATCTTTCAAGGCTGTCGCCAAACAATCTGACCTTTACTTTGAGATTATAATCATATTAGATTTGGAGAAATAATTATATTAGATTTGGAAAAATAATTAAATATTTTTTTGTAGTTTTTTAGACTATAAAACCTTTAATAATTAACAATCTTTGATAATCAAGTAATTAAAAAAGGTATAGTAGGTATTTGGGTTAGGAGTATTTGTAAACCTCCATATAATTATATAATTTCAAACAAATTTTCTCGTTTTTTACCACTAGATGTCCAAAACTTTTGTTCTGAAAACCCCCAATCATCAAAAAAAATAATTTAATTATATTAAATAAATTAAAGAAAAATAAAGTTAAATATATGTATTTAAGTAAAATATTTTACAACAAAATTCTACAAACTATTTTTGCTTTAAATATTAAGCTTACAAATAAACTAGTAAAGAAAACAATTAATTATCTAAAAATATTTTAAATAATTTTATTTAATAAATAAAAGGTGCGCAAAAATACTAAACACATTTTTATATTTCGATCAATTTATTTGGACATACAAATGAATAAATAAATGCGGTTGCTGAATTTTTCATTATTTTTTTCTTTTTTTTTGTTTTATAACCCCCCAAATATCAATTAAAGAATGTTTTGCTGTTTGGAAAGGTAAAAAAAGAAAATATATATAATTAAGGTCGAAGGAAATATTTTGACTAAAAAATTAAAAAAATGAAATCTTTTGAGTGTTTTGCCGAAATATTTATTAAATTTTAATTTTTTTAAAAATTAGATAAAAAAATAGTAGATAAAATATATAAAAACTTGAAGAAATATGTAAATAATCGAACAGATAATCTGAAATTTTCAAAAACTTTTTGTGAGGAGCATAAAATGATTTTATGAAAATTAATTAGTTAGTTTGTAAAGTTTTAATTAAAAATCTATGTATGTACATAATCAGCGACAAAAAGTTTCACTAGGGTTAAATAAAAATTGCGGCAAATAATTAGGAAAGGAGAGAAATGTTGATTTTGCCTTTCATTTTTTCGATTTTATTCTCTGTCGCAAGTTCAAAACGACTTTTATTTTTTAGTCGCAAAATAACAAATGATAAAAAAGTAAATTTAATTTAAACAAATATTCCTGTATTTCTTTTTCTATTTCTTGCATTTCGATTACCAAAATCATCTTTTCCTTTTGTTGGATCAGGAAGAAAAGAAAACCCAGACTAGAATAATTTTTAAAATAATTTCCTCATTATTTCTCTCACCTTTTGTCCACTTCCATTATCAAACAAAACAGTTTCTATAGAAGGACGTTGACTTAATAATTGGTCTATATAAGGAATTAATTTAAGATCAGCAGGGCTAAATTTTAATAATTTAAAATTTAATTTAATTAAAAATAAAAAACATAAAAGCCCCAGCATGTAATTGTCTAAGTAAACGGGCTGAATCTGGGCCAGCATCTCCTCTCCCTAATTTTAACCTTAAAAATAAATTTAATAAAAATAAATTTAATTTATTAAAATAACATTGTAAGAAGCGATCCGAGGTGAAAACCACGTCCCAATGTGTGAATTCCTGTAATGTTATAAATAATTATTTCTTATAAATAATTAATTAAGAATTGGCATAGAGAAAAATTTTTGAGCTATTTAAAAGTATTTTTATTTATGTATGTCACCAACAGGTTCCCCAACATGTTACCACAAGTTGCCCAAAAAAATTTTTGTTTTAATTTTTATAAAAAACAAACTTTCAATATAACTATAGCCAACCATATCTACAGTCTAAAAATAAATAAATAATAAACAATTTATTTCGAATTAATTAAATTACAAGTGTACTCAAAGTTAGCCCTACAAAAATAAATAAAATCCATCCAAAAGCTGTTGTAGTTGTTGGGGTAATATTATTTAAATTATTAGAATTATTGAAAGAATAATTTCCCTCAAGTGTTGGACAAAAATCACCAAAACCAATTGTTACATAAAAAACAAGTAATTATTTAATTAAATTAAAAATAATTAATTAACTAAAGTAATTAAAGTAAAATAAATTGATTCTAATAAACCCCAGTCAGGCTGGACATGCCAAAAAAGAAAAGCCATTGTCTTAAAAGAAATAATTTTTAAAAAATTATTTTTTAAATTTATTTATTTACCATCATATAACCAAAAAGCAAGAAGAGAACAAAACCCTTCAAAATTTATTTTTTAATATTTTAATTAATTTTGTTTTAATTTTTCATGTTTTATTAAAATTTTTGATTTATTCCCCAAACAAAAATCTGTTTGTATATCAAAAAAATAAAAAAATATTTTTCTTAAAATATTTTAAAATTCTTTTTTTAAAAAAACTTTAGTATAAGGTCCAGGTTGTCTTAAAATACCACCCGTTTCCTCTTCTTCCTCCTCCTCCTCTTCATTTTTCCTTTCTTTTTCCCCCTCATTTTTTTCATTTATTTTAATTATAGGACTAGAATTATTTTTATTTTTAATTTCATTTTCTTCTTCCTTCCTTTCATTTTTCTTCTTTTTTCCTTCAAATTTCTTCTCTAGCCAATTTCCAATATTTAAAATTAAATCACTTAAATATTTAGCTACATCGGCTATTGTAATTAAAGTTAAAGGAATGCCTAGAAATGCATAACAAATACAGAAAAGACGGCCAAATGGAGATATTGGGACTTGAAAATTAAAAAGAAAATGTAAAAAGAAAAATAAATTAAGAATTTTTAATTTGGGTTCGGATTGGTGATATTTAATTTGAAAAAAAGTAGTTTTGGGAATGCCGGTACTATTAGATTCATTTTGAACCAAATTAAATTAATTAATCTTTTTTTTATTCTTAATCAAAACAATTTTTAATTCAAAATATTTTTATTAATTACCTAAATTTCCATAACCTATAGAAGTTAAAAGTGTAGCAGTAAAAAACAAAGAAGAATGAAAATGCCATTTAGGCAACCGACGATGTAATAATAAATTATTATCTTCTTCTTCTTTTTCTTCTTGATTTTTTAAATTATTTTTTGAATTAAAATCTTCAATAGCTATAGCTAATTCGTCTGCACGAATTCCCTGTTCGAATGCTGAAATGAAAAAAAAATTCTTAAATTGTTAGTTGAAAGGTTATTAGTTTTTCCACCAAATTTTTAATTTTATTTTTAAATTATTTATCTACCTTCCATATATAATTTAATTAAATTATCAATAGCTTTTTCAATTAATATTTCCTCTTCAATTTCAATATTCTTGCTTATATTTAAAATTTTTTGAGAAGAATTTGGAAAAACAAAAAGTTCATTTTGTGCTTTTATGATAGCTTCTGTGTGTTCTTGTAAATGTAAAACTTCAAATGGACGTTCCAAACGTTGGAAAACCTTTAACATTTTTATATGAAAGTATGGAAATAGATACTAAGTTATCTTGAAGTTTGTCTTAATTCATAGATTGAAAAATACTTTTATTAAATTATCGTTTAAACAATACCCTTCCCCCTCTCCCCTAGGTAGGAAACTAAGCATAAAATCTTGAATAAAAAAAGCTAAATAGTCTGGAAATAACTAAAATTAGTCTAACTTTATTAATCAAAATTTAATTTTTGTTAACTCACCAATGCTCCAAAAAGTCCATAAAGTATTGTTGAGAGAAAAAGGAGAACTTAAAATTAATTAAAAGTTTTCTCAAAAATTCTCTCTCTCACCATGAGGAAGAATAACCCTAATTTTGTGTGTAATTCCTTTAGTTTGTGTTTTAACATTTTCTCCACCATCATCACCAACAATATTATTCGTAGTTTTTCCATTTGCTGTCCCTTCCTCAATTTTTGATAAAACTTTTTCTTGGTCCATTTGACGTAAAAGTGTCGAAAAATAATGTCTTCCACCCCCAATTGGAGGAGGATTTATTGTTGAAGATGGAGTTGTCGCGGCAACGCCTCCCCCTTTAATTTTCACAGCAGGTGATGAAGAAACGGAAGAGGGCATCAACATTTTGTTGCTAAAATCTTGAGGATTTTCCTTTTAACAAACTTAAAACTAAATTTTTTATTTACAGATATTTTATTTTTTTGTAAAATTTATAAATTTGGAAAGGGATAATAAAAAAATTTTTTAATGGCAGGCTTCCATAAATATTTGTATTTTTGTTTTATAATTTTTAATAAGTTTTTTTATGATAAGTCTTTGTAATTCTTAAGTTTATGGTGGTATTGTAGGGCTTATGAAAGTTTTATAATATTTAAATTGTAATTAGCCAATATAGAAGTTGATTTTACGAAATAATAAAATTATTATAATATTTTTAAATATCTAAATCTTCTTTTAAAATTGGTGTTTTTTGAAAATTGTAAAAGATTTTGTAAAAATTTTGTGCTGGTTAGTTTTTTGCATGTAAAAAACATGAATAAAATTTTGGAAGTTTCTCTCTCCTCTTCCCTTGCTATAATTTTAGCGTTAATATTTTTGGCCCAAACAAAAAATAAACATCCAAATGCCCATCATCAAATTGATGGTTACTTTTCTACTCTCAAATTGCCTACCTTTTTTAGCTTTATTTTAAAGTTTACTCGGTTCAATGGGTTGGAAATTCTCATTTTCTATTTACAATTATTCATTGCATTTAGTTGAAATAAAAATAAAAACTTACACAAAATTGTTGAGCGGTAGAACGTTTATATGTCGAAGTTTAAATAATGCTAATTATTTCTCGACTTTTTATGAAAACTGTCTTCACCTGGAAATACTATAAAAGTTAATGAATTTTACGTAGGATTTACCAGGCCAATTCGTCAGATCCCAAAGTATCTACGCTCATCTTCAACTCATCCGCAGGAGGAAGCAAACAGCATCATGGGAGAACGTAACGTCGACTTGTCTGCCTACGTGCCGCCGGACGTCAAAAACACTGGAGCACTCGGTGGTGGGCAACTCCAAGTTGAGCTCTTCGATGAAGACGATCACTTCGGCGGAGGTCCACCTCGGGCACCTCAGGCAAGTTTTAATTTATTCACATTAAGGCTTTCTAATCATCTAATTACATTCTTTTTTGTTTTTACAGCAATCTACTCCGAAGCCGCCTCCTCCACCGCCACCTGCTCCGGCGAAGCCGAAATACTCCAAACCGTCGAGCTACACCAGCTACCAGGCCGGGACAAGAAGGTAGATGTAGGAACAGAGCTGCCGGAACTATAGTCCTGTGAAGAATCCAAGATGTCCAATTGCGTATCCGTCGATAAATTCCTTCCCCGCTGCATATATGTATAGTTTGCTTGTACCCTCATTGTCTATATATGATCTAAATAATCACATTGTTTAATCTATTATGGAATATTTTTTGCTAATTGTATGTGATATGTAATTTCTAGTTGTAATTTATAAACATTGTTGAATAAATTCTGTAGTGATCTGATTAATTTCTTAAATTTCGGCAATAAGATTGTTTTGTGTCAACCTCCATTGAGAGTATTTAATCTTGAGAAAATATTTTTAGCCTTGAATTATTTCAACGTAGAAGTGAGGCATTCAATGGTACTAACGGCAGTGCCGTAGGCAGTGCCGTCTTTCGTCTACCGTACACTAGAATGAGTTTACGTATACTAGGACCCAATTTTAATTTATAGTTGGACGAATTGAGTATTTTTATTCTGTTGGACATTTTGAGATGGGACGAATTGTAGCTTGACGAATTTAAGCGCCGCGCTTTTAAATTTTAAAAGAAGTTTATTTTTTCAAATAAAAGCGTCACTTGACTATTTTTAACATTTTCATTAATCCTTGAAATTTTAATAAATTTTTTTGTTTAATATACAGATATTTTTTTTAAAACGTTAAAATTTATCTACAATGAAAGAAATACCAAATTATGATAAAATTATAAAAATTCAAACGAAGTTTGACAATCTTTTAACTGAATTTAATCAAGAAAAGGAAAAGAATGAGAAGGAGAAGAAATTAGTTGAGGATAAACATAAGAAGGAAATGGAAATTTTAGAGAAGAAAATGAATGAGGTAAGGACGAGGGGGGATTAATTATTTAAGTTACATTATACTCTATTAATTGTCCTGGGTAGATATTGTTTCGATATCTCTGGGGAGGGTAATGATAGAAGCGGGGTAATTATTTGAGGGAGGGTAATTAATAGAGTATGTACGGTATTTAAATTGAAGACTTTGTGTTTAGATTGAAAGCCAAATTTTCTTTTATACAAAAACTAGAAAAAGTTTTTTTTATTCACAATCTTTCTTTTTTATTTTTTAAAAACAAAATTAATTTTTAAATAAATTTTCAGGAAATTCAAAAACTCAAATCTGAACATGAAATTGAAGTTAACAATTTAAAAGAATATTTTCAACAATTAATTGATGAGAAAATTGAAGAAATTAAAACAAAGGAAAAACAGAAGGTTGGGGAATGTTCATCTGAAATTAAAAAATTGGGAAATCTCGGAATGGTTGGTTTAAAATTTAACTTAAATTCTGAAATAATTTTTTCTTTAGAATTTTATTCAAATTAAAAATAAATGGAGTAGTATTGAAAATAAATGTTGTAGCAATGGATGTATTAACAAACAAAAACCTGTTGGGACTTGTATTAAAGGAAATGGATTTGCTAATTTAATTGATGAAGAAAATATTAAATATATTATTGGAGAAGGTAAAATAAAGACTGGTTAGAGAGTGTCGTACGAGAATTGATATCTCGGTCCGGTTGGGGATATGCTTTAGCCGGTGGCCCACTCCAAACCCTTCGATATGTATACCATTCCTAGCGAGCGAGAATGGTCGATTGAAAATAAAAAACGATAGGATGGACCAGGCTCATTTTGGGATAAAAAAAATTCAAATATGCAAATAATAGCTCATTCGAAAGAGCTCGACAATCCAACTATTTCAGGAGAAAATAAATCTGCTGTTGTTGCCGCTGAAAATAAATTCAAAAATCCAAAGGATGAAATTAATTATTCTTTGTTTTATTTCGAAATTAAATGTAAAATTGAAGGAGAGAAAAATAACAACGTTGTGGTTATTGGTGTTAACAACGGTAAATATGGAATTTCATTGTATATTGATGGTGCTGTTATAGCATGAGGACAAAGCAAGAAAATTAGACTTCCAGAATCATTTTCTTGGAATGATGGAGATATTTTTGGTTGTGGAGTAGTATATCCACCAACTAATGTTAATAAATTACCTTTTGTTTTCTTTACTCAAAATGGAAAACAAATTGGTTTGGAAATTAAAGATAATTTCTTAGTTAATTTTAAAATTATTCTTAAGGTAAAGGATTGTTAGTGAAAGATAACAAGCAGGATAATTATGAGCCATTTGTCATTTTGAAACGTTACCATTTGGAAGCTAACTTTGGGAATGACTTGAAGAATAAACCGTTTATTTATGATATTTCAAAGCATTCTGTTATTGATGAATTTTATGATGACGATTCTAACTCTGGGGATGATTCGGACTCGGATGATTCCGATAGTGGTAAATTTCTTCAAAAATATTAAAAGATTTTAAAAAAATGTTAATTTCTAATTTATTCTTTCAAAAACGAAAAAATATCAAAATTTTAATTAAGATACCATGCGGCAGATGATGCAAATGATGGTTGCGGGAGCTATGGCTAAAATGTTTCTTAGCTAATTAGACAACTTTTTCTGAAGTTATTTTAAATTTATTGGATATTTTGGTTGGAAAAATTGAGAACAATTTTGATTTTAAAAAATTATACAAATTTTGGCTGTATATGAAAGGAATGCGGCACTCAATTTTTTTCCCTTATTCTTAAAAATGGTTAATTTTCTTTTATTTTTTTATTTCGTTCGTTTGACTGACCGATGTGTGTCCGTGTTTTAACTACCGAGTTTGTCCGTGTTTTAACTGACCAATGTGTCAGATTGACAAAACTCGGACGAACTCGGACAGACAAACAGGACAAACTCGGTAGTTAAAACACGGACACACATCGGTCAGACAAACACGGACAAACTCGGTCAGTTAAAACACGGACACACATCGGTCAGTCAAACGAACGAAATAAAAAAATAAAAGAAAATTAATCCTTTTGCATTTGTAGTCGTAGGCAAAAATCAAAAATAGAGAGAAAAATAAAAGGAAATTAACAATTTTTAAGAATAAGGGAAAAAAATTGAGTGCCGCATTCCTTTCATATACAGCCCAAATTTTATAAATTTGTTTGATAAATTTTATTTATTTTAAAAAGACTGTAGAATTTTGAATAATTTAGAATTGTTAATTTTAACAAAATTTTTATTTAAAGGCAATTATTTCGTTTAATTAAATAAATTTTTAGATAGTTATTTTTAAAAAGAATTTAAATTTTATTTTAAAATGAGTGAAAAGGGGTTATCAAATTCTGATTTGGACTCGAAAACAAGGAAAAACAAAAGATTGGGGAATCGTCGTCTGGGATTATGAAATTGGACAATTTGGGAGTGGTTAGTTTAAAATAATTAATTAAAATTTATTTTTCTTTAGAATTTTGTGCCAGTTAAAAATGAATGGAAAATTTTAATGGAATGTTGTGAGAAAAAATGTGGATCTGTTTGTGTTAAAGGAAGCGGGTCGGTCAAGTTAATTAATGAAGAGATTGTTGAATATATTAAAGGGAAAGGTAAAAATAACTGAAATTTTTAAATTTTAAAATATTTTTTACTTTAAAGATCAAGCTGTTTCTCTGATTGCTAAAAACGAATTTAAAAATCCAAAAGACGAAATTAATTATTCTTTGTTTTATTTTGAAGTTAAATTTAAAATTGAAGGAGAGAAGAATGATAAGTTGAGTATTGGTGTTAAAAATCAAGAGAAATCAGCAGTTTTTTTTTAATTTTGGAGCTGCTTGCATTAGATACCATATGATGGAAAATAAAGATATTAAGAAAATTGATCTTCCAGAAACATTTTCTTGGAATGATGGGGACACTTTTGGTTGTGGAATTGTATATCCACCAACTATTAAAAGTGACAAATTGCCTTATCTTTTTTTCACTCAAAATGGGAAACAAATTGGTTTGGGAGATTGGTTCTTTTTAGTTTTAAAATTATTTTTAAGGTAAAGCATTGTTGTTGACGGAAAGTCAAAATTCTGCAAAATATGAGCCAATTGTTTTGTTGAAGTGTTCTTCTGCGGAAACCAACTTTGGAAAAGACTTGAAGGCTAAACCATTTATTTATGATGTTTCAAAGCATTCTGTTATTGATGATTTTCATGTTTTTGAGGATAACGATGCAGGTGGTAAATTTTTTTAAGAATTTAAAGATTACCTTCAACCAGAAATTTTCCTCCAATTATGTTGTCAAAACATTTTTTAAACTTTCATTTAACTTTTTTATTAAATATTTAGAATATATTCTCTCTTTTTCGACATATTTCCTTCAAAAACGAAAAATATTTAAAAAATTTAATTTAAGAAATGAAGAGGAAAGTGTTTCGAATGTTTGCAGAAATCGCTATTGCTAAAATGATGGCTGATAGTGATGAGTAAATTTTGAGAGAATTAAATTTTTGAAGTTGAGAGAAATTCTTTTTGTTTTAAAAAATGATTTTATTTTAAGAACAATCTTTAAAAAAATTATACAAATTTTATAAATTTGTTTTGATAAATTTTATTTATTTTTAATAATTTACAAGTTATTGGTAGACTTAACCTATCCATATTTTTATTTCTTAAAAGAATTATATTTATTGTTAGACCAGTTTCTTTTGTTGGAAGTTTGGTAGTGGGAAACATCGTTTAATTCCCCAGCTTTTGGGGATGCTCAATCGGCTGTGCTCAACTAACCCCAAACGAGAAAATTCGTTTAAAATGGTGAGGGGAATAGAGATGCAGAGAAATTTCTTGTCGATTCCACTAAAATTTCCTTGGATTCCTTTACGGGGATGGATTTCAATAGTTTTGGCACTTTTCTAACATTTGGGACGCGTCGAGAGAAGTCTATTAAAGTACACCTTCCTGTGCCGAATTAAAAAAGGCCAAAAAAACAATTTTTTGAATGTTTTTTTTGGATATATTCTGTCAACTATTCTTTTAATTTTTATTTTAGATAAGTTAATATTCTAAATTTAAAAAATGGTTACGACAACAGCTACTAAAGCAACAAAAGCAAAAGCTCCAAAGCCGAAAAAGGCTGCACCGAAAACAAAAAAAGATAGTAAAGGGGGTAAGGCAGTTAAAGGAGGTGCTAAAAAGAAGAAGCAAACACTCAAATTTATTATTGAATGTAAAAATCCTGTTGAGGATGGAATTATGAAGATTAATGCACTTGTATGTATTTTTAGATATTTTGTGGTTTTAATTTTAAAAATAAATTTAAGGAGGAATTCTTAAATGCTCGAATCAAAGTTTTTGGTAAGACAAATCAACTTGCCACTGGAGGAGTTAAAGTTGAAGCCACAAAGACTCGGGTTTCTTTTATTAAATTTTTAAAAACAAATTTTTCTTTAAAAAGGTTATCGTTACTTCGGAATCAGCGTTTTCTAAGCGTTATTTGAAATACCTTACCAAAAAGTTTTTGAAGAAGAATATTTTGCGTGATTGGCTTCGAGTTGTTGCTAGTGCTAAAGATACTTATGAGGTTTTTTTCTTAAATTAAAAAAAATTAGTTGAATTGTTTGGGCATCAAGAAATCCCTTTCCTTTTAGAATTTAGGTCGGGCTACACTCCAATATATTTTTTTACTTTGACTTTAAAAAGTTTATTTTTACGGTAAAGCCAAACTTCCAAAATAAACATTTCAATCGATAAAATGTTAAAAAGCATAAATTAGAACTTGCTGGCTCTAGTATAACTTGATAGATTCCATAAATCCTTTCCTTATTTGCCTCAAATCAGAATTAATCCGCCTGAGAACCTTTTTAAATTTATTCAAAAAAATTTTTAAGTTGCGCTACTTCCAAATTACTCAAGAGGAGGAAGAAAGTGACAATGAGGCTTAAATATGTTGAAATGAATGTTGGGAGGTTTTATAAATTTGATGTTAAAATCTTCACAAAATTGTTAGCACCCATTTGTTGATTAAATATTTTATTTAATATTTTTTAATTTTAAGTTTTGTGTTCTTTTCACGTTTTTAAGACCCTAATCATTTTTTGAAGTTTTAATAAATATGCAACATGCCCGTTAAGGATCCAGGAAACTTTAAAAAGATTATTATAAAATTGATTTCCGTCATATATGAAAATAGTTAATTTCTTGAAATGGGTTATATTTGGCGAATTAAAGCAAACAAGATGTAAAGGTGAAGTGAGAGATTGGGGTAGCGGCTTCCATATCTGTAGGGATGTTTCTTAGCATTTTTGAATAGAATAAGGTTTTGTTCATCAAAAGTTGTCTTAATTTTATTTTTAATTTTTCTAATCTCAAATTCGAATTAAAATTAAATATCAAAAATATTATCCAAAGAATAGACAGAAAATTAGAAAAAAAAGAAAAATATTAAAAAGCACAAAATTTATCGAATAACAAAGGATTTTCTCAATTCTTGTAGCCGTTTTCTAGCATCCAAAACTCGTCGTTCTTGTTGTGAAATGTCTTGCTCGGTTATTGTAGGAATCTTTAAAAATATTGAAAAATATAATTTTTTGCAAAAACCCTTTTGGGTTATAGAAGGAATAAAAAGTGGTTTTAAGAATTTTTTGACCACCCCTATACAAAATTAGAACCCAGTCCATGTTGAGGACTTGAAATAGAATTTCAAAAGAGATTTCCCCAAGAAAACATATTGGTCACAAAAGATAAAATTTAGGTTCGATGCTTTTTATCCCACCCCTCAAAAATTTGAAAGGACAAGTTAGTCTCAAACTCTTAGTGCATCCTCAAATTGTCGAAAAATCCTATTTCTATCAAGAAAAGAAATTTTCAGCCAAATTTCAATTAAAACACAAAGAAAAACCTGTACAAATGGCTGGTTAAATTTTAAACTGTCAAAAGGGTTCTCTTCTATTTGTTTTCTAGTAGCTGTTTGGCCAGTTAATTCAGTTCCATAAATATCAAAAGAATGTAAAGCTGTACAAAATGTTGCTGCTGTTCCTTCTATATCCAATGAGGGAGCCTTAAAAAATTTTTTGTAAAATTTTTTCTAAAATATTTAACCATAATTTCCATTCTTGGGGGCAATTCTAAACGTTGTGGAATGTATCCACCGGCGCCACCTGGCTCGGACAAAAATTTGTCTGCAACTTTTACAGGTACCATAGCACAGAGACCTTCCAGTGATTTTGCCCAAAATACCTTAAAAATAATTTACATTTATAGCTGTGAAGGCAAAGTCCGCAAGTTTTATCCGCAAATCTAGAAAGAATTGCGGACAAAATTTGCGTATTCTGAAAAATAAGATAAACCAACTTGTCTCACTTTCTCCCGATCATTAGTTGCATTCTTGGCTGGTGTTTTTTCTGTACCATTAGAAGTAGTATGAATAAGTGTACATGGAAGTCTAAGTGAATAAGCAACTTGACGCTGCCACGGCGCGTCCATTCTCCCATCAAAGCCTGTCTTAATTGGAGAAGTATGTGAAGCTCTATCCTTCCCTTTGCCCTTATTCCCTCCTTTAAGGGTTAAAGATTCACTTGTAGCAGCACATTTTGTTCGTCCCATTATTTTGTTGTTTGAGAAAATTTTTACTGAAATTTAGGGGGAATTTTTCAAAAAAAATTAAATTTAGAGAATATTGATTTTAAGAAGTTTCTCAAAACATAAAATAAAATTTAGAGATTTTAGAATATTAAACATTTTTTGGCGTTCTTTGTCAATAAATTTTACTAAAATAATTGGCATCCTTTCAAAATTTTATTAGGACTTTTTTGCTTTTACCCAAAAGATCAACAATATAAAAACAACAAATCTTTTAGAGTCGGAGAATATAAAGAGAATAAAAACTAGTTGAGGTAAAAATAGGACTCTAATAGGTAAAAACAGATTTCAACTATCAAGAAGGTTAGAAAATTAATTTTATTTTTCTTGTTTGATAATTTTTACAATTTTTTTAGAAATGTCATCATTAAATAATAATACAACAACCAATAATTCTGTTACAAAAAATTCCCCTTTAAATATTCTTGATAAAGTTAAACAATTTTTACCTCAAATTGCAGAAGCAAATGAAAAATTAAAAAATGATGAGACAAAGGGTTCGGTTTTAATTGAAAAATTTGAGGAAGAATCCAGCAATGTTTCTGAAAATGAGACGAGTAGTAGTGAAGATTCTGATGAAGAATCGAATGAGGATTTTTGTGATTCCGATGATGAACTTCAACCAAAGTTGTCTAACGAAGAGGTTTTTCTTTGTTTTTTTTTAATATATTGGAGTGAGTTAGTAGGTTTGGGCTAGTAAAAAATGATTTATCAATTCCTTTAACGTTTAGTGATGAATATTAGTGCCCATACAATTTTTTTTGAAAAATTCTAAAAGCTTTATTTTTTAGACGTAATCCTAAATTTTTCATTTTTTAACCCCTAATTTTAATTTTTATTTAAATTTCATTCTGGTTTATCAGTTTAAATCCTGTTTTAGAACTAGAAATTACATTTAATTTAATAATTTAATAATTTAGTCGAAACAGTTTGTTCAATTTGATGTTCACCTTTTTGAAGAAGAAGATGGAAATAATAAAGGAAGAAAACTTGTAATGGAAACGAGTAAAATTGATTAAATTTCTTTTACATATTTTAATTATTTTTGTTTTTTTATTAAATATTTAAAAGATTTAATTGTTTTTATTTGAGGTTATATCTGACATATTTTTCTTTGTTTTTTACTAGATAGTTATTGCATTTTTAGATAGTTATTGTTGGCTTCATTTATAGTGTGAAGTATGCAAGGTACCTCTAGCGATATCATTCGAAAAATGCTAGAGGACTCGTTAGGAGAAGACCACGTTATTACAAACACTAGAGCCTGCTTTGCCAATTCTTGCGGTGGATATGAATCTTTAATAAAAGAACATTTGAACTCAATGAATATTCGTGGACCGGATAAGGATTTTGAACATCTGATTGAACCCCATTTGCGTATCGTTAGCACAATAATAATGACAAAATTTAACAACGCCAATGTTGATTGCCACAGATTATTCTGCATGCGCAACATGGGACTGAATCCCCATAAACGTCTCATCACTCAATTAGAACAACTAGTTATAGATGCTATTGGTCGTACTAGCCGATTTCCTTCAAAATCACATAAATACGATTGCTTCCCAATTCCATACGACTTTAAGTTACCAGACGGCAAGCGGATTGATTTTCAACGTGATTGTAACATGAAGTACTTGTATCGAATTCGTTATCCGCCCGAGCAAATTCAACAAATGAAGGATTTAGCCGAACAAGAAGGTCGTCAGCTAGATGAAGACATATTGAATCCTACATGGAAAATACTTCCGATTATTGGCTATGAAGTTAACTATGAGAATTGCCTGAACGACTTAACTTCAAGTTATAAATTAATGTCCTTTCTTCAGAGAAAATTTCCAGAGGTTGTTATTAATGGTGGCGTGTCATGCCAAGATAATATTGGACTACGCTGTCAATTAATTAATAGTGACGAGGATTTTGCATGGTCGGATTATAGGGTAACATCAGATGATTTGGTACTTGGTGCAGCACTAGGATTTGGTGAGCTGTATAAAGAAACACCTGAACTCCGATGTTATCGCTTGAATTGTTCGGTATATCTAAGAATTGGTGGAGAGAATGCAAGAAGTATGCTTCTGTGCAATTTACGATGAGCTTCAATTTGATGTTGACTTTTTTGAGGAAGAAAACAAAAATAAATAGACAAAAACACAGTAGAAAAATTTAAATTGATTATTTTTTGTATTAATTTATTAAATTTATTTAAAAGATTTTTAGTTTTTTATTCAAGTTTATGCCTAAAAATACTTTTATCTGCCTTTTTGTTTTTCCATTTAATTTTTCCTTTTACTTTCTTAGTTAAATATGGTGGATTTTACTTACAGTTCAAATAATGCAAGATCTCTACTTGATTTATGCAACGAATTAATTGCTATTAGGCCTAGATATACTGACAGAGTAAGAGGATTTTTGAAAGGTTCTTTCAATTTTTTAAAATTTTTAGGATGAATTTGCCATAACAGTCATTCAACAAATTTTTGCTGATCCTTCATTAGATTTATTGGTAATCAAGCCTAGGGCTGATACTATTCATGCTGATGCCTTAAATCGTTTAAATGCTCTCGTTGGATTTGAATCTACTGTTTTTTTGGTTTGGATATTTTAAAGAATTTTTAATAATGTTTTTAGTCAATTTATTCAAATGATACTCTTTTTAATGAATTTATTGATACATTTTGTCGTCATTGTATACGTTCAACAGCAAATAATTATGATGCTTCGGAAAGTAGTAAGTTTTTTGGAGAATTCTCTAAATGGATAAACTACTACATTTCATAATCTTTCCCCAAAAACTGAATCCAAAAATTTAAATTGATTTTAGATTTTAAGTGTTTCGGATCCTGAAACTGAAGGTTTTTAATCAAAAAAATGAAATGTTTGTAGCAGGCCCGTAGCCAGGATTTTTTTTCGGGGGGGGGGGGGGGGGGGGGGGGGGAATTTTTTTGCGCCAAATTATTTTTATTTTCAGCGCCGCAGGCGAAAATTTTTTAAATTTCAGAGGCCGTAGGCCAAAAAAATTCACTTTTTTGCCCCAGCCCTTCCCCAAATTTTTTCCTTTTTCCCATTCGGGGGGGGGGGGGGGGGGGGGGGAATTCCCCCCCTCACCCCCCCCTGGCTACGGGCCTGGTTTGTAGTCACATTATTTTTCCTCAAATTTAATATATTTTCTCCTTCCATTTTTTCAGTTTTTATGTGGCTTTTAAAGCAATATTTACAATATTTATTACCAATTGATGAACAACGTTTAGCACAACTTAAAAGTGGAAATTGGTTTTCTGGTGGAGGTTTATCCGCGTCTTCTTCATCTTCTTCTCTTTCACAAATGCCTACATCTCCCGTGACTTCTCCACGTCGTTTACTTCGACCTGAAGTTTTGGCTGCCTCTTCGCCTTTAGAACATATTCCTTTACGTTCTGGGTCTATTCGTACTCTTTACCCACGAATGTTACAATTTGTTGTTGGTATTGTTAATCAATTGGCTTCTCTTTCAAGTAAAAATAAAATATATAGAATGAGAACTTCGATAATTTTAAACTGGAATATATTTTTATTAGAAAATAACATCTGAAATAAGCAAAAAATATTTTTTTATAGATTGGCCCAGTGTTGCACAATTCCAAGTTCTTCGTAATGTACTCAATCATTACAATGAATTTATTTTGAGTGAAACGGAAGATGCAGAATTTGGTTCTCTCAAACTTCTTTTGCTCAGGTTTTTCTATACATCTATTTTGTAAATATATTTTTTTTTAATTTTAGAAAACCTTTATTTAATGCTTTATTGCACAATTTTCTGGAAAGATTATTAAAAAATTGGCCACTTGGCGATAGTTATTGTTTACTTATAGGTTTGTTCTTTTAAACATCTTCTAGCCTTTTTTGTTAACTTGGTATAGTTACGAATAATTCTGGAAGAATTCTTTAAATTTTTTTTCATACTTCACTATAAATATTCTATCCACAAAAAATCTCTAAAATCTGTTCTTAACTTTCTCTAAATTTTTTTTTATTTTTAGATATCTGGCTTGTCCTCGTCTCTCCAAATCTGACATTTACACATCGCCAAAAACAAAATGGAACTCTAATGGAGATGAAATGCTCTGATGAGAAACGCCGTCTCTTTTCTGAATCATCAGTTAATTATTTTGTTGAATTAATTGAAGTACAAATACGTCGACTATTGGATTCTGGCTGTGCACAGATTATTGAAACTCCTGTTTTGGATTTTCTCAAAACTGAGGTTTTTCAAAATGAACCGCTCATTGGAGTATTTGAACAACATGACCTGCCTACTTTGGAATATCTACGAGCTATTGTGGTTAAACTTGTTCGTTATCGTGATGAATACCAGAATAAATGTAAAAAGGTTGTGATTATTTAAATTCATTATTTAAGAATCTGGGACAAAATGTCGAATTTCTTTAAATTTTCGTGAAACGAGAGAAATTTCAAATTTAGCTTTGGATACTTAAATTAAATTATTCTTTATACAATTTTATTTTTTCTAAAAAAATAGATACAAAAACACCAATCAAGCACATTCTGGGCACTTTTCTTTCGTTGGATATTTAATATAACAGAAACTCCACCAATTGATATGCAATTATTGGAACGTCAAATAATTGAAATTCAAAGATTAATTAATTGGTTAATTGAAAAAATGGGTGGAAGAAGAAAAATTTTTAGAGAAGAAAGTGAAATTAGTAGTTTATTTCAATCTAAAGAAGAAATTAAACCTTCACAACACTCCTTACTTCGTCCAGAGGATCCAGAACATTCGGTTTAATTTAGAAAGGATTTTTTAAAATTAATTTTTAAAGGTTGATCCATGGACAAAAATGCTATTTTTAACACCACATGGACGTTTACAGGTAAGAAAGAAGTTGATGTTTTATTGAAGTACAAATTACTAAAAATAGGTACTTGAACGTCAGGCACGTTTTGACTATTCCAAATATTCTCGTCAAATAGCTGACACATTTCCAGCTATTGGATATTGGGATATTGGTCCTTTAGCTCGATGGCTGCACAGATTGAGTATTCGTTGGACTAATAGTGGATTAGTGCAATATCTACGTCAACATAAACAAGACTCAGCAATTACTCGGATTGCAGCTAAAGGTTTTTTAAATTTTCTTGATTTTGATCGTGCCGGATTCATATGCACATCCGTAGGAAATAGCGATGATAGAGAAGGGAGCAGAATGATATAAGCTTATTTTTCTATCTTTTCTTAAATGATTTTCTTTTCTAGCTTTACTTAGCGGCCCATCACCTCCACGTTATGTGCCTGTATTTGCTCGTTTAGTACCCAAACAACAATCAACTTTGAATCTTCGTCAATTTGCACGTTTACCAATGCTAATTTATATTGTTTTTGCTTTCTTCTTTTTTATAATGTTTATTTACAAATATTTCCTTTGAAGAAATATTGGAAGAATTTTTCTGTTTGATTTTATGTTATTAAATTCCAAAAATCATTTCATTTTTTACTATATTAATTTATTATGTTGATGAAAACTTTAAAAATTAATAAATTTAAATATCTTGTGTTTTTATAGCTAGTCAGTATTACGAAAAATCTGTCAATACTTTGACTGAATTAATTTGACCCAAATTAGACAAGAAAATAACTTGGTTGCTCAGGCACGGAGATTGGGCAACTGACCTAAATGGGCACTTTATTAATAATCGAAAAGATCGGTTACGATCATTTTATAATTTTACCCAGAAATGAGATTAACGATTTTTAAGTTCCTATAGTGCATTTTATTTATTTTTGTCTTTAGGTTTTTTCTGAATTTGTTCTTTATCTTTATCATTTTTAATTAAATATTTAGAAAATGTTAAAATCAGCAGCTTCTCGTTTGGTGTTGCTAGGATCTCCAGTAGCTGTTGAAAGCAGTGGACGTCGAGGAAAGTCAACAACTTCATTGCCTGTCTCAGTTGCTTCATTTCGATTACGTGCAGTTTGCCCTCACAAACAACATAATTTAAATAATAATTTGTTTTCTTCAATTAATTATTGTTCTATTCCCATATCTGGGCAAAATAAACAAAATTTATTGAAGGAAGAAAGTTCACAAAATAAAAATGAAGAACAGCAACAATGGATGGTTAATGTTACAAAATGTGGAATACCTAAAGAATTTCAGGTTTTTTGATGTTAATTAGAAGATTAAAGAGAATATTTTGGTTAAAAATTAAATCGGTACTTATTTAGTCCCCCCTCCGACCATTTTTTAGAAAGTATGTAAATATGGTCAGTCTGTACAAAAAATGTAATACACATAGAGCTGTGTCGAATGACACCAAAATCGAAAAAATTCGACACAACTCGGCGAGTTTTAAAACTGACCATTTTTACGAATTTATCAAAAAAATTGACTGGGAAGGGGAAGAAATAAGTACCATTAAATCTTTGTGGGACCTTTAAATTACTCCTAGATTTTGTAAAAAAATCTAAGAATTTTCAAAAATTTAAGGGTTCACAATCTGAAGCACTACAACAACAAAAGCAATGTGAACGCGATGTTTATGGAGATGATGGTTTATTAACGATATACTTTAAGCCTTATTTTAAATTTTAAGCTTGTTTTATTGCTAGCCATGAAAATACTTATGTTGCAGGTTTATTTTTTGAAAAGATTTTAAATTCTTTTTGAAGGTATTGCCGATGGTGTTGGGGGTTGGCGAAGGCACGGTGTTGATCCTTCCCAGTTTGCTGCTCAATTAATGTCAAATTGTGCTGGAATTGTAGAATCTGGGGATTTTGAGTGTGCACGTCCAGATTTAATAATTGAATGTGCTTATAATAAATTAAAAATGTTAAATAATCAGAGGCCGATTGGGTTTGAATCTTAATAAAAATATTTTTAATTTTATATTTTTGATAGTTCTTCAACTGCTTGTGTTTTAGCAATTACTAAAAAAAGATTGTACTCTGCTAACCTTGGTTTGTTTGTTTTTTTCTGTAAAAAATTTAGCAATATTTCCGGTAATATTGAAGCGTACAGACCCTATTTTTCCCTATCCAATTTTTCCCTTATATTTTTGCAAAATGGTCAGACTTTTTCCTTCCTTCCATCCAAATTGCCTTTCAAATTTATGCCTACAATCAAACAAAAAGGATTACCGTATTTTTTGTATTAGAGCCCCACGCTGTATTAGAGCCCCACGCTCACAGCAACATAACCTGCAACTTAGAGCCGTTTCAGTGGCACTGAAATAAATAAAAAATTTTCTCTTTTTCTATATCGCTCTATTTTTTTCGCATGCTATTTCTCCAAAGATTTGATGTATAATTTCGAGAAGCCTTATCTCGGAAAAAAACTTTGAGAAAAAAATTTCAACTTAGCCAAATCGTTAAACAAAGTCTTATCTTTGTTTTAAAACCAAATTTATTGATTTTTAATATGTTTAAAAAAAGTTACATATGGCTTTATAAGTAAATTTAGAAAATGAAAAATAAAGGAAAAAATTGTTTTGAAAAAATTTATTTTAATTTAAAATGACATTAAATGTTAATTAGAAAAGATATTATTAGGATTTCCTTATTATATAATTAATTTTCACTGAAAGGATTCGAACCTCTTGCATTTTTCGCTGCCACTAACCAACTAAACCATACTCCCGCACTGAAACGCTGGTTGCACCCTCTGCCTGTTTTATGTTGCTGTGACGCTGTAATAAAGCCCCACTTTGGAGGATAGTTGAAAAATAGAGCCCCACGCTGTATTAGAGCCCCACGCTGTAATAAAGCCCCACTTTATGAAATTTTCACATACCTAAGTTAATAAATTTATTTTTAATACTGTACAGCCTTTTCTATCATTTCCAGTCAAATCAAAGCAGTTCATTCCAGTTAGGTTCTGTCACTGGAGGCATAGATTGATTAGAGTTCAGCGGGATCGGGATCTTGGTCGGGATCGGGCGGGAGTAAGCCGGGTTTTTCAAATCCTGATCCCGATCACGGCCAATCCCGAGGCCGAGATCGGGATTGTTATGTGCATCAGATCCAGATGCAAATCCCGATTTTATAAATTGACTCGTCTGTGAAATAAAGTAGAGTAAGTCGAGTTTGAGCATTTTCGAGTTACTCTATCTGCCCAAAAAACTATAATCTGCCCAAATCCCGCTTAATACCTTGATATCCTTCTCACTCCTCTTATCACTCGATATCCCTTTAATCTGCACGAATCAACGAAATAATATTATCCATTGATTTTCCACCCGGAGCCCGGAGTCAACATGGAAATACCTTCTTAATCACATCTATATCCTTTCATGGGACTGAACCGGAATATATTCACGAGAGATTGAAACGTACGGACTGAAGAAAAATAGAATCGAACCTTCAAAGGCTCGATAGGATTCGAACCTTCCACAAATTAAAATTCCAATTCGGCCTTAAATCTAACTCAGATGCACTTAACCGCGCCTTAGTGTACACGCGTGACTATCATATTTGGAAATATCTCAATGTTGAAATTTGCTTTTGTGATTAAACTTTAATTGATTGGATAAATATAGTTAACCGTATAATTGAAAATCCTATTACTTATTTTCAAGAATAGGTTGAAAAATAGAGCCCCACGCTCTATTAGAGCCCCACGCTGTAATATAGCCCCACTTTGGAGGATAGTTGAAAAATAGAGCCCCATGGGGCTCTAATACAAAAAATACGGTATTTAATTTTATACAAGTGAAGTACATGCAAAAAACATGTAAAATTAAGAAAATATAGTGGGAAAATTGGGGAGGAAAAAAGAGGGTCTGTCCGGTTCAATATTATCGGAAATATTCCTTTATTAAATTCGCATCTCCTTTTTTTGATAAAAAAGCTATATGAACTCTAATTTAAAAATAATTATTTTTATAGGCGATTCTGGTTATTTAATTTGCCGTGGGGGAAAAGTAATTTTTCGTTCACCAGAACAAACACACTATTTTAATGCTCCATATCAACTTACAATACTTCCAGGTTTTTTAAAATTATTTTTAAGAAAAATATTTAAAAATTTAGAACAAATGCTCAACGAAAAGAAATCATTTTTATTAGACAAACCAGAATGTTCAGAATTGAGAGAACATGAATTGCAATCTGGAGATCTCATCTTAATGGGTTATTTTTTTAATTTTATTTAAACACGAAAACTATTTTTGTGATGAAAATAAAAATAACTTTTTTTTTGGCAAGACTTCCGCTGGATTTAATTTTAAAAAATTCTTCTAAAACAGTTTTGGGGAGGCTTCTAAAAATTTTTTGATAGATAAAAATCCAGAAAAAGATCTGAGGATTTTTTCTGGATTATTCAAAAAGAAAAACATTTTTGGGACAGAATTTTTTATTAAAATATTTAATGAGTATATAAAAAAATCTTTAACACCCCTCCACATTTAATTACTTAAATATCTTAAATATCCTTTACGGTTAATTTAATTAAACAAAATATTCAATCTCTATAAAATTCATTTTATTTTAAGCGACTGATGGTTTATGGGATAATTGCCATATTGGAACTATCGCTAGACTTTTATATGGTGATGAAGATGAAAATAATATTAATGAGAAAGAAGAAACCCAACAACCAAAAATGTCACAAGCTTCACTTCAAGCTCGTTGTAATTCTTTAGCATTAATTGCCAGACATTTATCAGCTGATGAGCATTATATTTCGCCTTTTACACAAAGAGCATTAAAACATGGAATTAAAGCTCCTGGAGGTAAACCGGATGATGTGACGATTATTTTATTTCAAGTTTCTTGAGTTTTTTGTTTTAATTTGTTAGGTATTTTGAATTTATTTGAAATAAAAATTAATAAAATTTCATTTTTAAACCCACTATTAATAACAAAATTTTATATTTTAGCCTAACGATTATAACCTTCATCGCTTTTTAAAAAATTTAAGCAGATCCGTCAGCGGATTCCGTTAAGCTGTTTTGTTTGATTCCGGAATTTGATTGGTAAATAAATTATTTTCTTGATTTAACTCGAAAGTACTGGGACTTTGAATGGCCATAACTCGGCCCAAAGTCATTTTGCAAGAAAACGAATCACTTCGCAATAGAAAGCCGAGGGTCCTCTATCGAATGGTACCAAAAATATACCAAATTCGCAGTTATAGTAAACGTTAGTCCCCTTCAGTTAACTATCGACAGCAAAATTCTTTTATCAAAAAACAGAAAGGTAAACTTTTAATTAAAATAAATTTACGAGTAAAAAAACTGAAATTTTTTAACACAAATATTTACCAAAAATCTCCATAAAAGTCATTAAAACAAAATAAATTCATCAATTATACTTCCATTTCAATTCATTTTATCCATTAATTTGTAAATATCAATTCCTTTACTTTTAGCAAAGTCATAATACATATCGCTAACATCCATAAGTGGAAATTTCGTTTTACCTTCTTTCGTAATAAGAAGTACTAAAAATTTTAAAAAATAATTAGTACATACAGAACATGGAAAAATTTCCCGAAACTTAAAAAAATTTTCAGTTTATTCTATATGGACCATTTGTTTGACTAAAAAAATTCCTTACCCTGATTAGATCCTCCAGAACCAGAATCTCTATAGGTTGCGTGCATAATTGCTTCTCTCCCAAGCTTTATAGCCTCCTCATCTGTCATTTCCTCTTTATAACGGCTATCCAAAACTGCATAAGCATTTAATGACCCAGAACCAACAGAAACAAAATCAGGCACTTTACAACGCATTCCAGAGCTGTCAACCAAATAAATGGAGGGCCCTTTATGATCATAACCGGCAACCATCGAACCCTAGAAATTAAATATTTTAGACAAAATTTTAAATTTACCAGATTAAGCCCATTATTTTTGTTGCTATACATAATATTAGCAAGATATTTGGACGTTGCAGAAACAGTTATTGGCCTTCCTTCACGAAGTTCAAACAAACTTAAAAAAATTTTTTGATAAAAATTTTTCATAAAAATTCTAAACGAACTTGCAATATCTAGTAACTACACTAATCCAATATTGACAATCTGCAGCACCACCAGCCATTGTTGCAACCATTCTTTCATTAATTGGCAAAATCTTATTGACGTCCTTACACACTAAAAAAATTAAATGAATTAGAAAATTGGTTTTATAATGAAAATAATATTTCTATAACGATTAAAAATTATTTTGTACTATTGCTGTCACATTCACCCATACACTTGAAAAAGAAATGTTTTAGATCATGGGGTGAAATGACGATTGATTGGATTTATATTGGGACTAGAAATATTCGGTCTTATATTCGACAATGCGTAGCCAGGGGTCGATTTTACTTTGGCGTTTCGAACGCAAATTTTTCTGTAAATATATTTCATTTTTTTCAGCGTCTCAGGCCTGGGTTTTTAAGGTACAGAAAAACTACAGACCAAGATTCAGCCCAGGCCAATAAAATCAAACCCGGAACAGGCCCAGGCTTTTCAAAAATTTCAACTCCAGTAAGTGTGAAAGTTTAAAACAAAAACATACTAATAAAACTTCCACCAGAAGCTCTAGAGTCGACAGAAATCACAACACCGCCTTTGTCATTCGGAGTCTTCGGTTTGTAATGAAATGCTAACGTTGTTGTACCTTTGTTGAATTGAGCCATAGGAAGTTTAGAATTTAAACCAAAATGGTGATTGACAAAAACTTTTGGCTAATAAATAAGAGGAAAATATTTTCCATGGAAATGATTAGTAAATTTATTTTTTGTTTAAATATTTTTTAAATTTAAAAACCTTAATCCCTAGTGGAGGGAATATAAATTCCTGTTTAGTATCATCCATATTTGCCAATTTCTTCCAATCATCCTTACATTCATCAACACGGCTATCACGATAATACATCTTTAAATGCTTAAATTGAAATAGTTCTCAACTGAAAATAAACTTTTTAACTAAATTAGCTTGAAAAAATATGGAAATGATGATAATTTTAATAGCGCCCAAAAGAATTTTAGAAATTTCACGTTTAGAACACAACGACAATTTTAGTTAAAAATGACAAAATCTCCCCTGCGAAATTTTGAACTTGCTTTAAAATAAAAGAGTTTCGACCGACAAAATGCCAATAAAAAAAACAAAAATCTCGATTTAAAAGTACATAGGCTTAAATTTCCAAATAAAAAGTACACTCCAAATTAAATTATAAAATATTTATTCATGCTCAAATCTTCTAAATGAATCATTTCTAATAATTTCTGCTTCAACTAAGCATTTTTTGCATTTCAATGCAGACATGTCAAAATTCGCTGACACAAGAATTAAAGCCCTGACAGTCTTAACCTCAAGCAAGTTTCTTTCTTTCGTCCATGGAATACTTGCCATTGAAAAGATGCGTTCTATAAATGCATTTGAAACTGGAATCTTTAAAAAATGAATTTTATAAATGAAATATGATAGGAAATTCGACCGAAATAGCTGCACTGACGATCCGGTACAAGTTTTTGTATTTTTTTGTAGCTCCAGGTACATCAAAAATCATTCTCCATTTTTGCTCTGTTGTCTTGAGATAAAAATCCTCTTCATTAATGCCATTCAGTGTTTTATTTAATTGTGAAACTTCATCGAAAAGTTCATCATTTTCTGCATTCTCCGGGCAAATTTGCTCCGCCAGTTGGACAACTTCCGAATAAATTAATTCCCTTGTTGAAAAATGAATTTAATCTTATCTTCTCTTACTAAATTCTTACTTATTTTCCAAATTAATAATTGAAATCCCTTTTGGCAACAATTGAAGTTGGAACCAGCGTTCAAAATAATTGAGGACAATTTTGTAGAAATTCTAAGTAATATGATTTTATTAATAAGAATTTTATTCTTACACAAAATTCTGTTTCCTGTTCTAGCGTTGCTCGTCGAAGTGTGAAATGGCTTCCAAAAAAGGGTTTTCCTGAATTTCCATCTCCATTAAGCCTTCCTTCAATTTTTGCTTTGAATCCCTCCACGACATCTATTATATCAGGGAGTAGCATATTCTCTCTCTATATGGAGTTGCATTTATAATAAAATAAAATTAACCTGTAATGTTAGAATTGCATCATTAAATATTTTTAGAACATTTTGCAAAAAATAACATATTGGCTTTGAATTTTCGGACTGAAAAAAATCACGAAGTAAACGAGGTTTAGTAGGTTTTGCAAAAAGTTGTAATAGAGGATCCCATTTTTCCAAAATTATTGTTAACACTTTTGATAGTGTTGTCCATCTTGTAACAGCATGAGTGGGTAAAGACCAAAAACTAGACTAAAATTGGATTTTAGTAGAAAGTATAAAAGTAGAAAACTAACATCAAATTGATTACAAATATCCTGAAATTCTGTGTGCCGAGTTGTAGATGCTTCGAAATAAGAATTTAATTTGAAAACAACCGTTTCGATGTCAAAAGGAAGCTGCTCTGCGCCTTTTTTTACCGCGTTATGAAGAATATGAGCTAAAAGAAAAATGTAAAACAGAGAAAACGTAAACAAAATGTAAACCAGAGCATCCTATTGGAATCAAATTTTTTCTTTTTGTCCTGAGTTTTGTGAAAATATTGTTTCCGCCCCTAACCTCTTGAAGCTGTTCAGGTACACCAAAATTAGTTGTAGCATTATCTGCGCAAAAGCTAATCAAATTTTTGAAATCTAGATCATGTTTTGTCATAAAAGTGCAAATCCAGTTATATAACTGATAAGCTGTTTCGCCTGGAAGTGAGGTCATATCAAGCATCTTCATCTGTAGTCCAGATTTACCATTGAAATATCGAATTATAATAGGCACAAGTTTTTTCGCACCATGGTTACTCGCATCAATACACACCGAAAAGGGTTGATTTCCGAGTTCGTTCTTTAAATTTTCCATAACCAACGGGCTGAGAATGCCTAAAATAATACTCAGATGTCTATGAATTAAACCTTTAATAACCCTGGTTCCTACAATTTAAGATTAGTTACTAGTATTTAATAAAATACATACCTTCTGCTGCTGCAACTTGCATATCTATTGTACCAAGAACTGCCTTATCCATTACAAAACTTCTCATTGTCTCATTCTTCATTTTTTCCTCTTCAATTTCCTTATGTTTCTTTTGGTCTTGATGCTGCGTAATGGCAGAAACTCCCATTGACTCAATGTTATAATCTTTCTTACAAAATAAGCAGAAAAAATAGCCATTACCTTTTCTGCTTTTCTTTACAAAATTATATTGCTTCTCCCAGTCGGGATTGAATGAATTTTTACGTTTTAAGCTCATCTAAAATAAATAACAAATAAAAATTATTGTATAAATAATAAAAGAAAAATATTTAACGAAATAACCATTCAATATTAGAGGAAAAAAACAAATATGTATGTATTTACACTTTGCCAGATTTGAAAGTACAATATGGCTAGACTTTCGCTTATGAACACAACAAAAAACATGTTTTTCTAATGTAATTAAATGCGCTGAGTTCAAATATCACTATAAAAGGGGTAGGGGATCATTGTGTACCGGCCGTTTGTGTACCTGGCCATATTTTGGGCCATAACTTTTTCAATTCTTAATTGATTTAAATAAATAATATATCAATTGAAAGCCCTGGATGTGAGGATTATTTTCGCCAACAGGATTGATTTGATCAGATAATCATACAAAAAGTTACAGACAGATAAAGATCAAAATCACGATTGAGCGCATTTATCGAGATATAACTTTTTATAACATGATCTGATCAAATCAATCCTGTTGGCGAAAATAATCCTCACATCCAGGGCTTTCGATTGATATAATAATAATTGAAGTCGGTTAAGAATCAAAAAAGTTATGGCCCAAAATATGGCCAGGTACACAAACGGCCGGTACACAAGTGGGACGTTACGCTATAAAAGTGCTCAAAACGGTCTACTTTGCCATTTTTCCCGGATTTTCAGACCCGTGAAAATCCGGGAACCATAGGGAAGACCAAGCTGATTTTTCGGGTCAAAAATTCGAATATGCATTCGAAAGAGCTCATCGATGAGCTCTCATTCGAAAGAGCTCATCGAGATGAGTCGAATGACACCAAAATCAACGAAATCGGACTTGATTTGACAAAGTTATAACCGTTTGTTTTAGCCCCTTCCACAAGGTTTTCGCGGAAAAAAGTTTTTGCCGCTGCGGAGGAAGCCGGGCATGTCGAGCGGAACGACGACCGCCGCTTCGCTACGGTCGCCGGGAGCGAAGCGAGCACGACCGCAGCGAACACGGCCATCGTGTAGCGAAGACCACGCCCGGCCTACCCTCCGTAGCAGCACAAAAACAGTTTTTCCATCGAAGGTTCTGTTGGTCATAATTTTGTTCAGAATCATCCAATCGAGCTGATTTTGGTGTCATTCGACTCAGCTCGACGAGCTCTTTCGAATGAGGTATAATTTGCATATTTGAATTTTTCACCCCAAAAATCAGCTTGGTCCTCCCTATGGTTCCCGGATTTTCAGGGGTCTGAAAGGGGTCTGAAAATCCGGGAAAAATGGCAAAGTAGACCGTTTTGAGCACTTTTATACTTATATTTTATCACCCCACATCTTTTTAAACTAGAAAACACGAGTTTGGGTGTGTTCATAAGCGAAAGTCTTACCAACAATACTTTTAAAAAAGTACGAATCGTAACCCTTCTTTAAAATATTTTGTTTAAGCTTCTTAATTTTTTTGAGATAAAGTTTTTTTCATTCCAGTTCTCTAAAAATGTCATACTATACGACTCCAATTTACACTGAACAATGCCGATGTGTTCAGTTTAGTAAATTTGTAACACTTGCTGGGTCGACAGCATTTGCTTCTATAGCTTTATATGTAAACGCCGTTGAACATCCGGCTTTGCAAACTTTGGATGATTCGAGTGCTTTACAACATTGGAAAGCAATGTATTCTCGTGCAGCACCTATTCAGGTTGTAATTTATTTTTTTTAATTTATTAATCCTTCAGGCTTCACTTGCACTTTTTACTAGCTTTGTTGGGACTGGAATGACTTATCGTACTGGAGACAAAATTTGGCTACTTGGAGCTAGTTTAATGTTTCTTAATTTGCCATATACGTTCATCTTCATTATGGTTTAAATTTTAAAATATATAAATGGGAAATTGTGGTTTCTTTATAATTTTTTTCATTAAAAATGCTTTAGAGATTAAGAATATTTTCGATTTAAATTTATTAGCCAATCAATAAAAAACTTAATGCAACTGACAATGAAAAAGCTGGACCTGGAACACGTACTTTAATATCCAAATGGAATTCTCGTCATGCTATTCGCTCCATTTTTGGTGTAGCAGCTGCTGGAGTGTTTATGTATGCATTGATGAAGTGAATGATTTTTAGTATGTAAATGAATAAGAGAGGTTTTAACAAAATAATAATTAGACATACGATAATTAATTTTTATAAAATTTTTTTCTAAATTTTTTTAATATTCAGTAGTATTTTATAAAATTTTGACTTTCTTTGTTTTAATGTTTTTTAAAAGCATAATGTAACTTTGACCATATTTTTATTTTTTCTTAAAATTTTTTCTTATTTTTGATTCAGAATTTAAACATTTCCTACATTGAAAAATAAAATGGGCTCTTTTGATGAAATTCAACAAAGAGCAAATAAATTGACTGCCGACCTCCGTTTTGGTGATCCAACAGAATTACGTTCATCATCTCAATTTTCTGGCAGTAATGTTTATTCAACTCCAGCATTTATCGAGACAAGTTTAGATGATATTTTTAAAAGAAGTGAAGAAATTTGGAATAAAAAACAAACATTAAAGCCAATTGTTGGAATGAATGCAACTTTGAGAACAATTAAAGATCAAAATCAACTAAACAGTACTCGACTTAATATTCAACAAGGGAAAGAATTAGCAGCAGAGAAAAAGCAACAAATGTAAATTTTTCAAATTTTATCGAGTTATTTTTTACATAAAAGCTATTTCTGACATTTATCGAAAACTTAATTTCGGGGTCACTTTAGTATATGGGTGCAGGCTTTAAATTACAAATGTTATACCAATTGAAAGAGCTCGTCGAGCTGAGTCGAATGCCACCAGTTTTAGCCCGAGGAAAAATTTTTGGACCGAGATATAGGTCCCTGAAATTTGAAAAACCATAGGGGGGACCAAGCTGATTTTTGGGGTAAAAAATTCGAATATGCAAATTATATCTCATTCGAAAGAGCTCTTCGAGCTGAGTCGAATGACACCAAAATCAACGAAATCCGACTTCATATGGCCGAGTTACAGACACCCGAAATTTGAAAATTTTTGGGGGGCGATTTTTGGAATAAAAAATTTGCTATACAAATAATATCTCATTCGAAAGAGCTCGACGAGCTGAGCGAATGACACTAAAATTACCGTGATTTAACAAGATTAGACAAAGTTATAACAAAAAAATCTAAACCTATGGAGCGTCGGCGAGGCGCTTGTGCAAAACCCCGCGCTTCGCGCGGGGTTTTGCGGCACGCGCCTCGCGGGGAGTCCACGGGCGCTGGGTCTGGGCTCGTAACATAAACCTATTCCTATCTCCCTTGCTCTGGACGTATTTGGGGCCTCCGTAGCAGCAAGTATCTCACAGATGTCATAGGTAAGGTGCTAAAATAAAAGATCATAACTTTGTCCAATCAAGTCGGATTTCATTGATTTTGGTGTCATTCGACTCAGCTCGAAGAGCTCTTTCGAACGAGGTATAATTTGCATTTTCGAATTTTTCAACCCAAAAAAGTGCTTGGTCCCCCTATGGTTTTTCGATTTTCGCGGACCTATATCTCGGTCCAAAATTTTTTCCTCGGGCTAAGACTGTTGGCATTCGACTCAGCTCGACGAGCTCTTTCAAATGATATAACATTTGTAATTTAAAGCCTGCACCCATATACTAAAGTATAGCCTTAATTTCTATCGATTCCTCTTTTATTTTAGTGTTTACGATGATCTAGGCTCAGATCAAACTCAAAGCGATGAAGTTGACAAACTTGTACAAAGGGCATTTGAACGGGCACGAATAGCAACTGAACGTTCATTTCTTAATCAACAAGTATTGGAACGAACAACTGGAGGTACTTCCTCAACATCTGATTTATTCTCACCAAGAAGAGGAAAACAAATAGGCAAAGAGAATACTTTAGAAGGAAAATCTGTTTTCACTAAAAAAGTTAAAAGTATTGGGAATTTACCAGTTGCTCCACTTGCACATGAACAAGAATTGTTTGCTAAGGAGGTTTGACATTTTTCAAGCTGTTAATATATCTTGAGAGAGGTTTTTTTGTTTCCCCGTTTCTCTCAAACTGGGAATACAGAAATTAGAAATTGCTGTATTATACTCACGTTCTTTTCGACCCCCCCCCCCCTCCCGAACAATTTAACTTCTTTTCTAGTTCATGTGAGCAAGAATTCATCAATTTTTCCCACACAGCTATTTTAACTAAACGAACAATACCTTTTTACTTTAATTTAGTATTTTCTTTTTACAGCTAGACAAAGCACTCTATCAGGATAGCAACTCTCAATTACGTCCGATAATTAATAAAGCTATCGAAAAATTAAATTCTCGTGAAGCAACTTATATTTGGTCAAAAGTATTTGCTATTTTACCTGAATCACGAATGTCTAGAGCCAATCAAAATGTTAGGGAGTTGCGTTCAGAAAAGCGTTGGCTTGACAATTTAATTAATTCTGGATCAAAGTACTTGCAGGACGAGTATGTTTAATCATTATAATTTTGTTTGAGTTTATCCGCATTTCAAAGAGTTTTATAACTTTTTTTCACACACAGCTATTTTCTCACTATCATTTGAATTCCAAAAATTTATTACTTTTTATTCTTACTCCTCGCTTCTTACTTGCTAGCTTGTTCTTTCATTTTCGATAATTACTTTATTTTTTCTATCCTGATTGGAACAAATAGATATTTCTATCATTGATTGTCAGAAATCCCCCTCCACTTAAAATAAATTTAAATTGAAAACTAAAAATTTTTTAAGATTTAAATCATACATGGAAAATACTGTCGAGGGAAATCTATCGGCTGCTTCCCGTGGAGGAGTTCCAGGAACGCTTTCTCTTATTGAGGCTTTTTTGAAGGTTAAAAGGCTGCCCACAAATTTTAAATTTGAGGTTCTTTTTTATCTTTTTTTTGAAAGAGATAATCTTTAGGATGGTCGTCATGGTTCTCATCCTAAATGGGCTGTCCTCTTTTACTGCCTTCGCATTGGCGATATTGCTGGTGCTTCTAAAGTAGCTGATGGATTGGCAAATAATGCTCAGTGTTCCGCTCTAGTTGGTGTTTTGTCAAATTTGCCGAAACTGACCAGGTTTCCTTTTAAATTTCAATTAATTTTCTGTTGACAGCTGCAAATTAAAATTAGAATTTTTTCCAAAACCACATTTTTGATAATTTTCTAGCTTTTCATTTTTAATTTTTCAGTATTGATGAGGAAAGAAGAATAAAAATTCGTGCAGAATGGAAACAAAATTCTCAAACTTGTTCTGATGATTACAAAAGTGCTGTTTATGGTTTATTTCTAGGCTTTGATTGTCCAACTGTTAACACAACAATTGAGGATTGGCTTTGGGCTAGACTAATTTCTTGTAAATGGGCACAGGAATCAACTCGTGCTTTCAGACAATTACAAACGACTATTTGTGCTCAACATGGTTTGATGATAATTTTTGTGAAATTATTTCCGTTCATGTTTTAAATCACTACAACAAAATCGTTAAACTGAGAAAAATTAGATAATTTTAAACGTCTGTGTTGACTATAAGGAAATTTGGGGTGTTGCCATCGATTAAACTAGCTCTTAAGTTATTCTAATAAAATACTTTAATTATTAAGGTGAACGTTATTTTGTTGTCGAAGGAGGTAGTCATCTTCTTTATTTTGCTGTTCTTCTTCTAACTGGTCAAATTGAACGTGCAATTTTTATTTTACACAAATCTGCTGAATATTCAGTTCACGCTGTTCATATAGGATTGTTAGCCCAACAAATTGGTGTTTTATTGTGTACTGATAGCGTTTCGAGTGCTGATATTTGTGGGTACTTTTAACGATTTACAAAATTTTTATTTAAAATTTTTATTATATTTATTTGATAAAATTTTAGTAGTTCAAGACGTACATGAACCAAGCATTTGCCAACTTAATTTGGCTCGTTTGGTTTTATTATATGTTAAAGAATTTGAATTGACCAATACTGCTTATGCTCTAAATTATTGTTTTTTCTTACGCGACTTTCAGTTGGAAAATTTAATTGATGGAAATGGTTTTTAAAATTTATTTTTAAATATTTAAAATAGACTAGTTTATTTGCAAATTAAAAAATTGTCTTCTGACTTTTTTAAAAAATTCTTTTGAAAATTTCCATTACGGGTACAATTGTCTCAATCTAATATAAAAACCATTTTAAAATAATCTTACTTTTTTCTTTGCAGTTTCCACTACTGGTAGATCTGTATTTGATGCCTGTGTCAGTCGATTGGTATTTTTAAACAAAGATGAGCGCGACACCATTCTTGGACATTTTAATCAACAAGATGAAAGAATGCCTGGTTTAATCGACAAATTTTCTGGAAGTTTAAATGTCAAGGATGTAATTGGTCGTGTTGCCTTTGATATTAGTATTGAAGGAGATCCTTTGTGTGCTTGTCAACTTTATGCGCTTTCTGATGTATTTATTTAGAATTTTTATAAGAAATATTTGAATTTTTTGAGATTTTATAACTCTGAAATTTAAATTGTCAGAATTTACTAGGGCTTGTACTCGAAATCAAGAATAATTTTAAATTCAAGAATATTATATACGGTATTGCCAAAACATTGACTTTTAATTCTTTTATGGGGACAGGGAATATGGGGAATTTTATGTTTATTTTTTAAAATAAATTTATCTGTGTTCATGAGAAAAAATTTCAAAAAATGAAGTGTTATTTTTTCCCTTTTTAGCGTTCAGATGATGCTATTCAACTTGCTTCTACTCAACTTTCAAAATATATTTCTAATCCATCTACTGAACATGCAATTCAATCAGTTAAATGTGCCGAATGGTTAGCACGTCGATATGGAATAGATTCTACCAGAGAAAGCTTTTTATACCAAACTTTATGCCGTCTTCTAGAATTGTACACATTTTTCTTTGATGCTGAAGCAGGCAAACATCGTGAAGCAATTGAATTATTACTTCATCGAATGAAATTTATTCCAACTGATCCTGAAGATGTTTCGGCTGCTGTAGACCAATTTCATATGGTGGCGGATGAGGTATAAATATTTTTAATTGGAAAGAAGAAAAATACTAAAGTTGGGTAGTTTTTGAATATGTAATTCGAGGAATGAATTCTTTTTGGACTCGGAGTTATTTCCATTTCACTCTCTTCCCTCACTACTGAATTATAGTGATATCTTGTCCCTGCCGTGTTTAACCAACCTTCCTTCCTTTTTGAATTTTCCACAATTTTTATGTACTTTGATGCCATTATTTTTTAATTCTTCACAGATTCGCCCACTTCTACCTGATATTTGCTCTCAATTAATGCGTTCAATTGTGAGTGCACACGAATCAGCACCTCCAGGCTCGCCGGAAACTTTATTGCTTAAACAATATGCAAAAGCATTGATTCTTTACACAGCACAAATACCTTTTCGTTTTCCTGTTTCAACAAATTCACTTTTACTTCAACTTCGATCTCGAATTGTTTGAAATTATTATATGACCTATTTTGTTAATTTAATCTTTCTGCATTGTTTTTTTAATTTTTTAAATTATATAAATTTTTTTATGTTGTAAACCCTTTTATTTTGTGCTGTTTATTTACATTAGAATATTTTAAACTGCCTTATTCTTTGGCATTAGAATACTTCTGTTTTATTAATAAAAAACTCATTTTGTTTTCTCAATTAGGTGGTTTCGTTTTTACAAGTTAAATATGTCTACAAAGAAGAAAAGTAGTGGTCGTCAAAGTAATTTGTTTACATTCTTCCAAAAAACGCCAAAAACTGAAAAATCTGATGAAATAACACCAATTCATGGGGATTCTGGCAAAGATAAAATGGTTGATGAGGTTTGTTAATTTTTATTAAGAAAATAATTTTTATTATTAATTTCTTGAAAAAATTATTTTTGAGAAAAGTATTTTTCAGGCGATTGATGATCTTGAAAATATTCCTACTAAAAAGATAACAACACCTTCAAATAAAAATAGCCCAAAAATTGCTAATGGAACAAATAAACCTAAAATAACAACTACACCATTATCTGTTAAAAGAAAATTATCCAAAACTGAAGAAAAGCAAGATGTTTCAATTATTTTAGACGATGATAGCAATAGTGGAGAGAATGTGGAGGGGTTTTTGAGTTGTGCAGGGTCTTCATTTACCGATTCTCCTGCCTCCCCACAATTTTCCTTTAAACGACGGCGTGCAATTATTTCTTCTGACGAGGAAGAAGATGATGATTTAAATAAATCTAAAAGTGATAGAAAAATTAGGAAAAATGAAGATAAAGTCGATAAAAATTTAATTGAAGTTAAAGAAGTTTTAAATGATTTAAAGAGAGGAAATGATAGTGAAAAGGTTATTTCAGTGAGATTAAAGGAAAATTTTCATAAATTTAGATGAGTATTTCTGAAGAAAAAATGGAACAAGTTGTTCCAATTGTTGATGACGATAGCTGTCAATTAATTAGCCAGGAGAAAGAAAATAAATCTACAGTGAAGGCTCATTCATTTATTGAATTATTTGTTAGTTAATTTTTTAAATATTAAATTTGCAATTAGGGAAGGGTCAAAAAATTATTTTATTTTTAGATCCGCCTGTATATAATTTTTAAAAAATTAGTCGGAAATTTTTTTGATTTCCTATTTTTTAGAGTTTTTCTAATAACGATGGTGAAGAGATTATCTCAGACCAAAAACAACAAAGTAAATCATCTTCCAATGTCTTAAAAACCCCTAAATCAACCAAAGCTTCACACGAAGAAGAAAACAAAGCCGGTGACGATCATTTTCCCCATCTGGATTTTGAATTTTTAAAAAAGCCAAGAGATGCACAAAAAAGGAAACCAACAGATCCAGAATATGATTCTCGAACACTTTTTGTTCCTCCAGATTTTCTTAAACAACAATCGCCAGGTTTTATTTTTTTTATTCTTTTATTTATTAATTTAGGTCATCAACAATGGTGGAAATTGAAATCTGCACATTTTGACACTATTCTATTTTTTAAAGTTGGTAAATTTTATGAGCTTTATCATATGGATGCTGTTATTGCTGTTGAAAATTTGTCTTTGGTTTATATGAGGGTAATTTTTTCATGACATCATACCTAATTAAGTTACAATCAATTTTTTTATTAATTACTCTAATACTTGATTTTAAGTTTTTTTATATTTAATTTTTAATTAGGGAAAATATGCTCATTGTGGCTTTCCCGAAGCATCCTATGGCCGTTATGCTGAACAACTTGTCAATAAAGGTTATAAAGTTGCTCGAATAGAACAAACAGAAACACCAGAACAATTAGCTGAAAGACAGAAAAAATCAAAAAATTCAACAAATAATTGTTCTTCGCCTCGAATTGAAAGAGAAAAAGTTGTTAGACGTGAACTTTGTAGATTGACAACTATTGGAACTAAAACTTTTGGAATATTGGATGGAAATGATTCTAGAGATTCTAATGATGTTGCTGTAGATCCAAGTCCAAATTATTTACTGGCTTTAACAGAAAGGAAAGTGAGAAAATTTTATAGAATTTATTTTTAATTTCTTAAATACAATATGTAATAGTGACTCGAAAAAAATTTTTTTCTTTAATTCAATTAAAAATCTTTAATTAAAAAAATTTTTAAGTCAGATAATCGCTCAAATGATGGCTATAGTCGATTTGGTGTTTGTTTTGTTGATTGTTCTGTTGGAAAATTTTTTCTTGCCGAATTTGATGATGATCGTTTTCAGAGTAATTTACGAACACTTTTTGCACATAATTTACCTGTACAGGTTTGGACAGATAATTTTTAATAAATTAATTAAAAATGGTGTTTTTAGTTGATATATGAGAAAGGAGCACTTTCTTCTGGTACTACAACTCTTTTGGAAACCATGCTTTCTAGTGTCCCAAAGGAAATTTTATTTCCAAAGAGACAATTTCTGACAGCCGAGGATACTTTGAATTTGGTTAATTTTCAATGTTTTTTAGATACATATTCATTTGGAATTATTTTTTTTAGCTCTCTGAAGAACTTTATTTTGGCTCATGTATTGACCAATGGCCGAATACTTTTCGCTCCTTGTTGGATGACTCTCCTATACCAAAACCTTCAAAGCAGCACCAACTTTGTATTTCTGCTTTTGGCGCCACTTTATGGTTTTTATTTTATTTAAAGGAATTAACAGTTTTTTAGGTATTTACGTGAATGTTTAATTGATGTAGATACAATTAGTATGCGTCAAATTGAGCTTTATTCTCCGCCTTCGCTTAATTTTAATGATAATAATGTTAATTTTTGTCCGATGTCTTCATCTGAAGCTTGGAAAGGAAAGCACATGTAAATTATATTTTTTTAGTCAATTGTAGTTATTTATTGCGCACATAATTATTGGGTATGACGGATGAGGAATCAGACCCCAACGGAGTGCTTCTTTGATCCATTAGCCAATTCTAATGTTGAAATTGTTGGAAAGAAAGACTTACTAATTTTTTTGCCGAGTGTAGTGAATAAGTTCTGTGGGGAATTCCCGAGGAAAATAACATAAATATGGTCATAATCATGGTTTTACTTATTCTTTTCTATATTATTAATTTTAAAAATTCGATTTTAGTATTTTGGATGGTTCTTCTTTACTTAATTTACACATTTTACCATCACTTTCATCTAATAATAACACAAATTCGAATAAATCATTTTCATTATTTAACACTCTTAATCGATGTTTAACCGCTTCTGGTAAACGTCTTCTTCGCCAATGGATATCTACTCCAACTTGTGATAAAGAGACCCTTTTGGGAAGGCAATCTTGTGTTAAATGGTTGATGTCAGATGAAAGACGACCACATTTAGCAAAATGGATGGAATTGTTAAAGTAAATTTTATAAAGTTTTAATTAGATTTACCCTCTATATAATATTTTGAAATTTAAAAATCTGGTTATGGGAGATTTATTTAGGGTTTCACAAGAATCTAAATTTTTTTACCAATGTCTTTAAAAATATTTTTTAGGAAAATACCTGATTTGGAACGTCTATTTCAAAGGTTTTCTTTTTGATTCATTTAAATAAATTTATTTCAAGAATACATACAATTGGTTCAAAACATCGAGCAGATACAAAACATGGAGGTGGTGGTCATCCTGATTCTCGAGCACAACTTTTTGATAGTGACAGATACAATAAACGAAAAATTCGTGATCTTTTGATTGTTTTGGATGGATTAGGTTGGTTATATTTTTGTTTAAAGAAATTTTAATTTGTAGAGGATCTAATGCGATTGAAAAGAATGTTTTTAAACGCGAATGAAATGGACTCAGAGAAAAGGTTTTCTTTTAAAATATTTTTTAAATTTATTTTATATTTAGTGTTCCTTCAATGTTAACTAATTGTTTCGGCTCAAATTATAAAGAAATGAGTGAAGATTTGGAATTCTTTAAGGTTTTTTAAATTTATTTTTTGTCGGGATTTTTGTTTTGGAGAAAAAGTATAATTTTTTGTTTTTAGAATGCTTTTGACCGTCAATCAGCTTTAGAACATGGAGTTATCCAGCCAAATAAAGGTGTTGATGAAGAATATGACTTGGCTTGTAATGATGTAATTAGTTGTGAATCTCATCTTAATGAATTTCTTGAAAAAATGAGAAAAGTGTTTAAATGCTCGGTTTGTTTTTTAAATTATTTTGAGGGAAAAATAAAAATCGTTGAAATAAAAATCTTTTTTATCTTTGAAAAAATAAAAATCTTTAAAACAAAAGTTTTAACTCTAGGGTACCCGAACCTCTGCTATTTTCTCCTTATAGCCAAGCACACTGACCATTTGACCATAAGTGTCTAGGTTGAGGAATAAAATATTTCTCTTATATTTTATTTCTTTTTCAGACAATAAAATTTGTTGGTACAGGCAGGAATTCTTATCAATTAGAAATACCCGATGCTTTTTGTAAATCTTTGGGTACAGATTTTAGATTAACATCACAAAGAAAGGTTTACCTTTTAACTTTAATATACTAATTGTTTTATTTTTCCAAGGGTTTTAAACGTTATTATACTGACGAACTTCAACAACTTTTTGATAAATTAACAAATTCTGAAACTCAACGTGATTTAATTAGTGCAGAAGTTACAAGACGTGTTTTTGCTGATTTTAGTCAAAGGTTTTTTTTTAATTTTTCAGATTTATTTAATTTTTGGATTTCTCTAGAAAAGATAAATGGAAAAATATTGTAAATAATTTAGCTCAATTTGATTGTTTAATTTCCTTAACGTTATTTGCTCAATCTTCGCCAAAGAAAATGTGTTTTCCAGAATTTTGTTATGATTCTGAAAAGGTTTTAATTCCAAAAATTTAATTCCAAAACAATTTAATCCTAATTTTCAGCCATTTTTGTCAATTTCTAAAGGATTCCATCCTTCATTAATTGATGCAGTTGGTGTTGATTATATTCCAAATGATTGTGAACTTGGAGGTAAAAATTCCCCTTTGATGTTACTTACTGGTGCTAATATGGGAGGAAAAAGTACTTATATGAGACAAATTGCTGCACTTGTTGTTATGGCACAAATTGTTGGTTTTTTATTTGAAAGCTCTTTAAATATAAATGATAAAAATAAATTAAAAAATAATTTTTTAGGGTTCAATGGTTCCAGCAAATTCAATGAAATTAACTCCTGTTGATAGAATATTTTGTAGAATTGGAGCTAGTGATAGACTTGTTGCAGGTTATCAATTTTTTCTTCGAGTTTTCTGGACTTAAAAAAATATTTTCTAATTACAAAAATATTTAATAGGCCAATCCACATTTTATGTTGAACTTGCTGAAACAAATATTATTTTAAGACAAGCTACTTCATATTCTTTAGTTTTAATTGATGAACTTGGTCGTGGAACGAGGTTTTGTGTTTTTTAGAGAATTTTTAGAAAATTATTTTTTAGTACTTTTGATGGCACGGCAATTGCTTGTGCCGTTTTAAAATATTTATCAACAAAAATATGTTGTAGAGGGCTCTTCTCAACACATTATCATGCTTTATGTAAATTTGTTGCTAATAATCCAAATGTTAAATTGGGACATATGGTAAGGAAAATTAATTTTGAAAATATTTTTTTAATATTTAAAGGCTTGTATGGTTGAAAATGCAAATTTGGAGGACCCAACCATGGAAGCAATAACATTTTTGTATACATTAGCTGAAGGAGCTAGTGATAAATCTTATGGATTTTATACAGCTAAAATGGCGGGAATTGATGTTGAGGTTGGTTATTCTTGTAAATATTAAAAAAGAAATTTTATTTTTAGATTGTTAGAAAAGCTTTTTCTGCTTCCAAAATGTTAGAGAAAATAAATTAAATTATTAAAGAATGGACTGACTGATTTTTATAAGCAATTTACATTTTGATATTTTTGAATTTTTGTTTAAAATTATTTTGGAAGTATCTCAAATAAATTATTGGTAAATATAATAATTATGGTAAAATATATACTTAAAAATTTATTTATGAAAAGTTGATGATCAAATGAGTGAACAAAAAAGAAATTATTGCATTAAAAAATAAAATTAATGGCAAAATAAAATATATAAATTTAAATTGAAGAATATTGGCAGTGATTTTTGAGGAAAATTCTCTTCCTTTAGACACAAATGGGGAGCTTTGAAGGTACCCTTGGTTGGAGCCTAATTCATGATTTGAAAAATAAAAATATTTGTGGGCACAAAATAAGAACATCCTTCCTCTAGGGGTCCCCAAACAAAAATGGGTATATTTAATCTCACCGCTCAAAATTCCAAGAGATTTACATGTGCATTCAACAATAAATTTTTATTTTCTAATAACATCATCAGACATAAAACGTTTTCCCAATTTTGAATCAACATTAAATTTAGACATAACCTCTACACATAAAACAACAAAACGGCTAGAAAAAAAAGAAAATATTTTTAAATAATTTCTAAAAATTATTTAAAACTTATTGCAATTAGCCTCTTTCGATTGTCCAGTAAGTGAATGACGGGAATGTAGAGGGGAAGCATTTCCAAAAGAATTTGAATTATTAGAATACCAACCATCACAAAAAGCTGTTGAAGTACGGGAACCTTCTGCTGTAGAACCGTGCCAAAGCCAGCGGTCGGGCCTGTAGGGGATGAATAAATTTTCAAAAAAAAATCCACAAATCCCCACCAATTATTGTCAGAAATAACGTCCCTTCTATTAAAAGAATAAATGGGAACATGTGCATGTACACTCCTTTCTCCGTCAAAAACGCTATTCCAAGAATCAAAAAGGCGTTCTCCACGAATATTTACAATAGGGGTATAATTTCTATCATCTTCATGTACTACTTTATTCAAATCTTGAACTCTAGATGAAAGAAAAGCTCGAAATGTTGTTGTAAATCCAAACTAAAAATTGTTGAATTAAAAGGGAGAGAGGATTTTATTTATTTACTTGTCTAGCCTGTTTATAACATTCCAAATCAGCACCACGTACACCACCAAAATTTCCATTCAAAGGTTCATTTAAAGCAATCAGGTGGATCTTTAATTTTTATAAATTTGTTTAATTTAGTAAAGAATAAAAATTGTCTGTTAAAAGAAACAAGACTTTTACTAAAATCTCTCACTTTCAGTTTACCGTAACTGTTAAGTGACTAAAATGGGAGAGAGATCTGTTAGCTAGGAGAAAGTGAATGTTTCTTTTACAAAATAAATGACTAAGAACGTCAGGAAATACCTCCCTGACTTTTGTAATTTTATAAAGATTCTAATTCCACATTCAAATTAAAAGGAGATGTATTATGTAGATTTAAGAATCTCTCAATAAATTTCAATAAAATCTAAACAAAAATCCTCACAATTCTATCTTTATGCCTTTTCTGTTGAACACTAGGTACTCGATTCTTCTGCTTTTCTTCCTCTTTATCTTCTTCCAATCGACGATTTTCTTTAGGTGGAAATCGAGGTTGCCAGCGTTGTTCAGGGGAAGGCAAAGTGTTTATCTTTTAAAAGAGGAATGAATAATTTAATTTTTAATAATTAAAATCCAAAAAATCCCCCAAATCTCCGTTAATTTTTAGTAAATTTTGTTAATTTATTAAAAAAAGCAAGCTTTTACCATTTCATTATCTGCTCTAAATTCCTCACTGCTAGGTTCATCCAAAGCCAACTTTATATATTAATTAAAGCAATGTTAAAAAAGAGCACATCAAAACTTAGAAGGAACTTACCCAATAAGAAAGTCTATTTAATTCTTCAGAATCATCAGCATTATTATTCTGTTTTTAATTAATTTTTAAATTAAAATTGCTTTCAAGTTTATTTTAAGTTTCAACAATTCCCCCTTCTTTGTTAACAAAAATTTATTTTTTAATTTAAAATAAAAAATATTATCGGAATTTTGTTAGAAATGTTGTTAGTGAAAAAAGGAAATTGTTTTTAAAAATTTTTCTATTATTAAGCTAATTAAAAAGCACGCGTAACCCGATAAATATTTAAAAAAAAATTAAATTTTACCGAAATTGAAGGAGAAGAAACATAATCATCAACATTCCTTTCTTTTGTTCCAGATTTGGCTGTAAGAAGGCTTCCTCCAAGCTGAGATAAAAAAATAAAGAAAATAAACTTTAAAACCAAACTTACAATAATTTGTTTCCAACCAGAATTTACTCTAATAAATAATTGTTGAGTAGAAAGGGCAAAAGACAAAAATCCTAAAAAGAATACAAAAACTAAAAAATTTTGTCTAAAAAAGGAAGTTTAGTTAAATTCTTTATCATTTCCTTTCCTTATTTTCCTCTTTCTAAACAAAAAACACCCACCAATAGGACAATTAGGTGTAGCAGCTAATAATTCTAATGCTGTTTGGAATACTCTAACACCAGAAAATGAAGGAGATTGTGGCTATATTTAAATTTTTTAAATGAATACTTTAAAATATTTTTACTTTTTCAATTAATTTTCCAGGCAATCCTGGAGGCCCTCGTTCTCCTCTATCTCCCTTCTCTCCTTTTACTGAATTACTACTTCCATGTACTTTTCGATTGTAAGCGGGTAATTGATCACTCGGTTGTCCATTGAGTAAAACAACTTCCTCCTCTCCTCCATCTTGATACTTTAAATGATTATTTTTTGATTAAAATATTTAGAAGAAAATAATTTTAAAAATCAAAATTTAAAGAAAAAATGGGATCAGATAAATAAAAATAAATATACTACAATGTTTGGGACTTTAATTATTCACAAAAACCACAAAACCACAAAATTAAATAATTTCCCTTACCCCTTCTCTGTAAGTCTGTTTAGATGTAGTTTTATCACAACATTCTCCTCTATCCCCCTTTTCACCCTTCACACCAGGCCAAGCAGCTATTCGACGTAAATCATGTTCAGTAAGACCTGGGAATACGCCTGGAGGGCCTTGCAATCCAGGAGGGCCAGGTGGTGGCATTCTACATTCTGTGGCGGCACACTAAAAAATATTTGGTTGTTAAAAACAAAAAAATATGTGAAAAGATGGGGCACTCAAAATTTCCTTTTTTGTATTCTTTTGTTCCCATACCAAAAATTAATCGTTCCTTATCTATTATCTCACTAAATGTTATAAAAAATTTCCCAAAAATTCCCCAGATAAATTCCCTCACAGTTCCAGGTATCCCAGGCTCTCCACGTTCTCCTTTAGGTCCAGGAATCATTTGTATTTGTTGTTGAATTAAAGGAGTGTGTAATGTTGGAGATAAAGTTGGTTTTGTTTCTTCTTTTTGCTGTTTTGTTGTTGTAGTTAATGTGGTTGTTAATAAATTAATGTTTTTAGGCAAGAAACGAGCAGGTCCAGAACCTGGAGGGGTTGAAGGAAATCTTCCTTTTCCTTCCTCTTCTTCCCCTTCATCCACTCTTAATCCATTTTCTTCTAAGGAACCAAAACCAGAACTGACAAGTCCAGATTTTTCAGAATCCTCAAAAAAATAAATTTAAAGGAAAAATAAATGAAAAAAAGAGAATTGAGAAATAAAAAATCCACTAACCAACCAACCACACAAAACACAAAAAGTAAAAAAATTTTTTAAAAAGACCTGTGGTTGGTAATCCCCTTCACGGGAAAAATCCCTTCGACGTTTCTTCCACTACAAGGAATTTAATTTTATTTTTAGTTTGGAAAAAATAATTTTTGATTTAAAAGTCGATAACAAATTAAACCGAAAAACTTTTTCTTTTTTTCTAAAAAATTTTCACACATTCCCCCAAATTTTTTAAAATATATTCTTAGTAAAGTTATAACAAAATTTTAGAATTTTTAATTAATCCTCAAGGTTAGAAACTCAAAAAATTGTGACATTTTTGAATATAAATTTAAAAATAATTTAATCAACTCTACATTAAAAATTTTTTTTTATTTTTTACCCAATTTTCATTGCACTGATTTGCTGCTTCTGCAGGGTCATCATGCAATTTAAGTTCTTGAATTGCCCCCTAAAATTCCCAAAAAATTATTTTTTAATTTCTCACTTTTTTATTTTTTGTTTTCACAATTTCTTCATTATCATCTGCTACTTCAATTGATTGGAAACTTTTGATAGAAAAATTCAAAGTGTTCTCACTGATTTTTAAATAAAATAATTGAAAAAAAAAGAGAAAGGAAAGAAATTAAAAATAAATATAAATTTTCAGATTTTCTTATAAAAAATATTTTTTGCTACAACTTTTTGCCTCTTTAAAAAAGAACCTAGAAACACTATACTATTTCAATTTCTCTAACCAGAACCAGAAAATACAACCGGAAAACATATAGAAAATAAGTAAAACATTTCCGGAATCTTTCCGGAACAAGAGCAATTGTTGCAGACAATTTCCGGAACAATTTCCGGAATAGTTTAAAATTTTAATTAAAAATATTTGCTTAATGCTTAATGGAGATGAGGGAGGACATAACATACCCCCTCTTAAAAACATACCCATTCTCTTTAGAGGCTAACCGAACTCCTTCACCCCCACTCTCAACAATTTCTAAAATCGTTTTCTCTTCATTTTCTCCTTCCTTTTCTTTGTTTATTATTTTTATTTTCTTTTCTTTTAAATTTTCCGGAAGATTATTTACAACAATAACTTTAAATTCTTCATTGTTATTGTTTTCTTGGTATGAAATTGTTTGTGGGGTTGTTGAATGTCTGTGGTGTTGACGGTGTTTATGTTGAATTATTGGGTTTGTTTTAGTATTTAATTTTACATCTGTTGCTGGTTTTGCTTCAGATTTGGGTTCTACTACCTTTACCAATTTTGCTTCAGTTTTTAGTTTTGTGTCAGTCACTGGTTTTGTTTCGAGTTTTAGTTTTGCTTCTGATTTTGGCTTTGCTTCCTTTCCTAATTTTGCTTCTGGTTTTATTTCTTTTTTAAGTTTTACTTCAGATTCTGCTGTTACTTTTGCTTTTTTTAATTTTGCTTCTGGTTTTAGTTTCCCTTTTATTGTCAGTTTTGCTTCAGTTTTTAGTTTTGAGTCTGCTGTTGGTTTTGATTCTGATTTTGATGGTTTTGCTTCTTTTCCTGATTTTGCTTCTGGTTTTATTTTCACTTCTAATGCCGGTTTTGCTTTTGTTTTTGATTTTGCTTCGGGCTTTGGTTTTGCTTCTATTTTTACTTGCTTTTTAGATTCTGTTTCAGATTTTGTTTTAACTTTCTCTGTGGATTTAGATTTTGCCTCTGATTTATCCGTTGATTTTGTTTCTTTTGTAGATTTAGTAGTTAATTTTTCGGGTTTAGCTGTAGTACTGAATTCTGCTTCAGGTTTAGCCGTTGTTGCTAAACTAGATTTTAATGTAGTTGTTAGTTTTGTTTTAGATTTAGTTGGTAATTTAGTTTCAGTTTTTGGAGTTGCTTTAGTTTTTGTTTCAGATATTTCTGAGATATTAGATTTTGCTTTTAATTCGGGTTTAGCCGTAGTTTCGGATTTTACTTCCCTTTTAGAAGTTGTTTTAGTTAATGTTTCTGGTTTGACTGTGGAAGTAGTAAAAATTGTTTTGTTTTTGTCTGTTGTTTCAGTTTTAAATTTAGCTTGAATTAATGGCTTTGATGTCGTAAATATTTGAGTTTTTGTTGATTTAAATATTTTTTGGGGTTTAGAAGTAAATATTTTTTTAGTTGTTATTTTTGGTTTGGCTGTTGTTGTTGTAGCTGTTGTTGTCTTTGTTTTAGTTTTAACTTTTTGTTTTGTTTCAATTGTTTTAGGTATTAGTTCTTTTGTTGATTTTGCTTCCTCAATTTTTGTTTTATTTAAAGGTTTTGTTGTCTTCTCAGTTGTTGTTAAGAATGATTCTTTTAGAGAAACATTTTGTAATTTTTCTTCAATATTTTTTTCTTCTTTTTGCCTAATAAAATCTTTTTTTGCTTCAGCTTCATCCAAAGATTTCATTTCAGATATAATATCATCATCAGCTACTAAAGAAACTAAAGAAGAATTCGGGGTAGATAAATTTTGAAATATTTTTGTTGAATTAATTGCTAATATTTTTGGGAAATAATTAAGTGAAAGTGTGAAATATAAAAAATAAATTATTAAGTTTAAAAAGTAGTTGTTGTTCATATTTTTCTTAAAAATTAAAAATAGAAAGAAAATGAGGAAAGGGGGGGGGGGGGTTAATCTAAAAATACTAGAATATACACCTCTCCAAATGAACGTCACTTTTTAATAAAAAATTTTAGATTATTGAGATATTTTTGTTTTGATTGTTGATGAAGTTCTGATCGTTTAATTATAAAAGAAAGGGAGTATAAAGTTTAAAAAGTTTAATTTTAATTTAGTTAAGAAATAAAATTAAAGATCAAAAATGATTTTTGTTTTGCTAGGTGAAAGAAGGTTTATTTATGTAAATGGAAGCAAAACAAAAAATGCTTATACATATCAAAATACATTTTTTAATAAAAAGGAGAAAATAAAGAAAATGATGAATAATGGTTTAATAAAAAGAGAAGAATTTATTTAAAAGTAATGCTTAAATGTATACAATCAGTTAACAATAATCTCTATTACATTATTAAATTTTCTGGAAAATAAAAATTAGAAACTTAAAGGAAAAGGAAGAAAGCAATTAATAAAAGCCACATGGATTTAAAAATATTTTTTAATACAAAAAATATATTTTAAGTACAAAAGAGAATGATAAAGAAAATGTTTAAAAAAGGTTTAAGTGGATATGAGAAGGGAGGAGGATATAAATATCTGAAGTAGCAGATAATGAAGAGGAAAACTTGTAAAAAAACAACCAAACAATATTTTTCTCTATACAATTTTTGTAAAAAATAAAAATAAAAACTTTACTTCAAACCCCCCACCAATAATAGGACCAGCATTTGCAATATATAATTTAGAAGCATCGTCCATTTGCAGCTGTGTAGGGTGTCTATACACCTGTGGGTAATTAAATAAATAAACCTTTATTTTATTTAAAAAGTTTAAAGAATATTTTTAAATAAATGTTTGTTTAAAGTGTTGGAATTTATTTTTTTTATTTATTTTTTACAAAAAATCCCCCTTCTCCTTACTTGTCTAACGGCATATCTCATACATCTAAAATATAGCCCAACAGTCTGTTCATGTACTTCTAATGCAAATTGTGTCCATTGCCCAGCAAATACTGGAACTAAAAAGGAAGCTAAAACTCTGGATGTGCTACGTTGTTCTGATGAATCGGTTGAAGAAGAATCGGTGTAGAAAAGGGAAATGTTTGTTTGTGTTGGGCCTGAATTTTTTGAGGAATTAAAATAAAATCTTTAGAGGTTATCCTTTATAAAATCTCTAAAAATGGAATATCTTATAAAGAAACAGCAAATGATAAATAAAAGAGAAAGACAAGAATCTCTACTTATAATGAGCAAATTAAAATAAGTACATATTAAAAAAGTAGAAAATAAAATTTTAAATAAATCTAAACTAAAATTTTTAAGAAATCACAGATTTTAAAATTCCAAAAATAAAAATAGGATAAAAAAGATTCCAATGAAAAATAAAAAATTATTTGCCTGCAGACTGTAACTGAACACCCAATTCCACAACTGTATCAAAAGCATTTAAAACAGCAAAAAGAAAACCACCCAAATTATCGGAAGGGCGAATGGATGCAAGAATAGCAAAATTACTTTAAAAATAATTTTTAATTAAATAAAAATTGTAAAAAACTGACCGATAAAATTTTCGAGGTAAATATATTCTATAGGGGACAACTATTTCTACACCACGCTAAAATTAAAATTAAATTAAGAGTATGTATTTAAATTTTAATAATTTTAAGGTATTATTAAGTAAAATTTTTATTTTAAATTAAATTATTGAAAATTAATCAAATATTTGTGTGCAACTTTTAACTAAATGAGGGCACAGAGAAAGAAAATAAAAATTAACATTTTAATCCAATCAAAATTAAATTTTTTTTTATTTTTTATAATCTCCTCCACCTTAATTCCAACAGCAGGAAGTCCATCAAGTCCAGCAGTTCTAAATACCCTCGGATCTGTATCGATCAGATTTTCAACAGGGATGAGCAAATTTGCTTCAGTTTCCTCATCTTTAAAAAATTAGAATTTATTTAAAGAAAAAAAGATAATCTCCTTTAAATCTTTTATTTTTAAATAAATAAATATATAATTATCGTCAAATTTCCCCTAACATTTGTCCCTTTTCACACCCTACATTATTTATTCTTCTATGGATTAACACATCTATGTAAATTTAAAAATATGTATAATTAAAACAGAAAAATAAGCTTAAATCAGAATTACAAAAATCAGAAATACACCCCTCTAATCAGAATAGAAAAATAAAAAAATTTTAATTAAAAACAAATTCTTTTCAAAATTTCAAGCTGTGAACTACTAAATTTTATTTAAATAAAATACACATTCTAGTTAATAAATTAAAAAATATAAAATTTAATTTAAATAAAAATATTTATTTTTACCGCCAGGTATTTCAAAGGATTTAATTGTTCCAATAGAAATTACTGCACAATGAAGGCAGCAAAAGGCAAAAATATACAGCATATAAATTAATTTTTAAAATTTTATTCCAAATTACATTTAAAAATAAATATTTATTTAAATGTAAATAATAAAATAAAATTATTTTTCATTTAATTTTGAGCTTAAAATAAAAAGATTTAAAAAATAATCTGTAATACAGGTATAAGGGCTTTTTGGAATTATTTAAATTTAAATTCTAAATTAATTAAAAAAAAGGGGAAAAGGGTAATTTGAGATTAAAAATGTTTCAATTTTTGTCCTTTGTATTTAATGAGCAAAGAATTTATAAAAAAATATAATTATTCAATAATTTGGCTACAAGTAGAGAAGAAGGGGGGATGCCCTAGTAAATTTTCGGCTGCCAAAATGAGTGTTTTGTTTTGAAAAAAAAATTTTAAAAAGGAGGGAGGATAAAGAAAATATGAAAATAAAAGAAAAATGAAGAGGGGGAAGAGCAACTTTTTTGTTAGATATGAGAGAATTTTTTGGCCTAGAAATGAGGAAAAAATAAATGAGGACGAGTCCACCTTTATGGAAGAAAGGCTGAGGAAGTAAATTAGGTAGAAATTTGCTGATAATTAAAAATTAAGGGAAATAAGTTTTTTTTCCTCTCAGTCCACCGTTTAATTTATAATTTTTAATATACTATTTATAAAGTCCTTTTAATGCCAAAAATCTTTTAAAAATTTAAAAACTATAAAATTTTTTGATAGCCATCATTTCATATATAAAAGAATGCGGGAAAACAAAAGCAGCATTTTTGGCACACCCCCAAGGGGAAATAAAAGAAAGAATATATAATATTATGTGAGAATGATGGGGGAAAAATGTGAAAAATGTAAGAAAAAATAAAATAAAAATTGTAAAAAATATATAAGTTAGCTACAATTACAAAAATATTATCTTTAATTAAATACACAAATTTTTAAGTTTAATCTTGAAATTAATTCTGAGGTTGATCAAAACAAATTACTAAATTAAAAAAATTTTTAGAACAAATGAATAATAAATTTTTTTAATTAAAAAAAAGAAATTTTCCTTTATTTATTAACTATTTGTTAAAAATATTTGATTGGAATTTGAATGAATTGAGAAAATAATAATTAAAAATAATTAGAAGAGAAAAGGATATATCAAATAGCTAAAAGGATTTAAAACGGAAAGAAAATTATATTTATTAATTAATTAAATATTTTTGTGTGTGTGTGCGGTGTAAAAATAAAATAATAACTAGATATGACAATATTTAAAATATTATTAGTAGGTGATTAAATGCGCGAAAATTGTTTTGAGTTGATTGGGGGGGGGGGGTGTAGTTTAAATGTGAAAGGTTTTTTTGATGGGTTTGGGTAGGGAAATAGATTTAATAGAAAATGTATCTGGACAAGAATTTGAAAAATTATTTTGGTGTTCAGGGAATAGGAATATCGGTAAGTTGGCGATATCTGAAAGATAGATTTTTGAGTTAAATTCTGAAAATTAGTTTTGTTAGTTGTTCAGATTTAGTGTAATCCAGAAAACCATCAAATTATGGCTAGCCAATCCCCAAACATTAGTATTTTAGACTGTTAATTGTCTTTAATTTAATATCCACTAAACTATGAGCTAATGACTGAAAAAATGAAAATTTAGGGATGATTTAAATAATTTGAAAAATTTTTAAGATAGGTAGACGTTAAAATATTTAGTAAAGCTAACAAGAATCAAAATAAGATTTCTTCAAAAAATGTGACGAAAGTTAAGAAAAAAGAATTAAAATAAATTAATTAAAAAGATTTTTATTGCTTTAACGAAAAAGCAAATGAAATAAAAAAATAAATAAATTTTTATTAGTAATGAAACTCAAAAAATTTACATATTTTCATGATGCTTTTCATTTTTTTAACTAGAAAGTAAGGATATTTTTAATTAATTATTTGTCTATTTATTTGATTTAAAAATAAATTATTAAAATAAAAATATATGTATTCTAATTAATCAAAAGAAAAGCTTTTTTAATTATCAGAATATTTTTTAACACTAATTTAAAACAAAAAAAAAAGAATATAAATTTAAAAATTTATTTTAAAATTAAATATCTAAATTAAAAAATATTTTTTTCCTTCCATCAAAAAAAATAAAATAAAAATATTTTAATCTAAAAAATTCAAAATATATTTCTATTCTATTCACTTATTGTCCTTTCATTTATTTCCATTCAAAACCCATTCACCCCAAAAATACATTAAAAGCACCGTTATAATAATTACAACCTTTTGCGCAAAAAAATATAAAAAATAAAAATATATCTGCCTTTCCTTAGAAAAAATTAAGTAGTTAAAAGGACAAAAATAAAAGGTTATAATTATTTAAATATTTTTTTGGGAAATTAAAAGGAAGGCAAGAATTTATTATTAAATATTAGAGAAAATAGTGGTGATTTGAAGAGAAAAGTCTCGATTTTCCATAAATTTTTTTTCAAAATTTTTTTAAATCAATAAAAATGTTAATTAAAATTAGCAATTATTTTAGTAAAACTTTTTATGAATTTTTATTTGTCAATATTACTATAAGGACAATATTCCTAGACCAACCCCTTACTTTTTTTATTTAAATTAAAAATTGTTTAAAGAATTTAGAAAATATTAGAAATTAAAATAATTTTTTCCTAATTTAGAAACCCCCCCTCTTCCCCTACCTGGAGCAGCACCAAAAAAAGGTTCCAATTCTATAGGGCAATCAGAGGCTCTCACAAATAAATTATCAAGTGAAAAGAAAAATTTAATTTGATCTGCTTCGTTGTGCTTTGAAACATCGAAAATTAACTGGCAAAAATTTATTTTTATTTAGTAAATATTTATTAAATTTTTAATTAAAGGAGAGGAATGCTAATTATTAAATAAAATAAAAAATAAAATAAACAGTTTAATTATTTTATTAAAAACTACCTGAAATCCTCTATTAACTAATTTTCTCCTCAATTGCCAACTTAACCGCAACCATTCCCCTTGAGGCCAGAAACGTTGAAGAGATTTACGATAAAGCCACAAAGGTTGGGGTTCACTTTCGAATCGAATACCAACACGAAAAATAGCTCCTTTGATTAAAAAAATATTTGGAACTTTTATAAAATCTCTCTAATAGCGATCTCAATATGTATAATTTAAATTCCCCTTCCTTCTTTTCCGGAAACCTCTATTTTGTGGATGATTTACTCAAAGAAGGGTTATATGTACAAAAGAGATATTTAATAAAATTAATTTAAAACAACTTACCAAACCCCCCTCTTTCCAACTTTGTTTGTACACTAACACAAAAAGTTTCACTTGGTTTTAAATTAAACATTGGAGATAATAAACTTCCATATAATTCTTTTTTGTTATTTTTTAAATTAAATTCTTTTAAAGTTTTTAATTGTTCTCTAATTACCTTTTTTTAAATTTAAATTAAAAAAAAAGAATTAATTTAACAATTAATTACCATACTAAAACCATCCTTTGTGCTATTTCTCCTCTCCCAACGCCACTGGCCTTCACGGAAAAAATCACAAATTGATGGTAATTCAAAGCTAAATTTAATTAAAATTTAAAAGTCAATCCCCTTTTAGTAAAGACAAAAAAAAGGAAGAAAAACTTCTAAGATATTAATACTTTTAGAGAATATTCTAGTTGTGGGACAAAACTTTGCTTTGTACACGATAAATAACAGAAAATTTTACAGTTTGGTATTTATTTGGTATTATTATGTTTTTTCAATATTTCAAGCTTTTTTAAATGGTTTATTATTTAGAGGTTTTTGGGAGTCTGGTATTTCAAGGTGTTTGGTATTATAAGATCTTTGGTATTCAAGATTTGTTCAATTTATTCAAGCTCATTTATTCAATGTGAAAACACGTTGAAGAGAAGCGTTACGGAAAAATACGCCATAAAGCTCCCATGTGCTTTTCACTCCAGCGAATGGTATAAAAGCCTGCCTCGAACCCAAAACCAACACTACAATTCAACCCAACTAGTTATCCTACGATCTTCGCCTGTATACGCTCCATGGATAATCGTAGCAGTGTGACCGCCAGCGGTGAGGACAATCCAGATCGCGCCGAAGACAATTCAAGGACAACGGGCCAAGCTTCTGGGCAGAACCTAAACAACGAACAACGACAACAACGGACAATAACAGACGTTTTACAACATGGCCGTCAAGGTGGATGTGGACGCCCGATAAGAGGAGCCCGGTACTATAGATCTAGAGAGGACAACAACGGAGAACAACAGCTCCAAGCCTGGGCCCAGGAAACTTCGCGAAGGCAGCTGACGGACTTGGAAGAGGAGTTCGGGCGTTTGCAGGGGCAGCCGCGACCGGAACCATCAGAGGAGTTTGCACGGTGATTTTTTGCTGTTGTTTTTTAACGCCTAATTATTTTTATTTTTGTAGCAACCCAACGCTAAACCGCCGTCAGGACGTCATTTGCGTCGAGAACAACCGGATCATACTCTCAAGTGGACGCTATATACACGCAAATTGGATTAATAGTCAAGGTGATACTTGACGTGCTTTAAACAGAAAAACTTCCATTTTCAGGTAATCATCGGTACATCTGTACGCAAGGCCCTCTTCCACAAACGGTCGACGACTTCTGGGAAATGGTCTTGCAGGAGAAAGTTGAGGCGGTTTTGATGCTGTGTGACACCATCGAGCTCGATCGTCCCATATGTCACCAGTATTGGCCTACGGATAATTCGCCTGAATCGGTTAGTCTCTTTATATTTGAAGCAGTAAAAAAGGGGTCTTTTATTTCAGGCTATCACCAGTCGGGACGGCAACATAAGAGTCCGCTTTGTGGATACAGAGGCACTGGACGACAACAACCTTATCCGGACGCGTCTACAGGTCACCAGTGATAATCCTAAAAGGCAGATGTGTGTTCGACACTTCCAGTGGAGACGTTGGACCGAACAGGAAGTCCCCATGAATCTGAATTCTGCGATCCGGCTGTACTCCTACATCCGAGGATACAAGCCGATAGTCATTCACTGTTCGGAAGGTGGACTATTCAACAAAATTAATCTTTTGATAAGTTGTTCTGTTTCTAGGTATTGGCAGAACCGGGGTCATCGTCGCAATCTGCATGGCTCTGAACACGCCGTATGCTGGACAGCGCCTGAACTTGTACGAGTTGGTCACAGAGTTGCGCCGTCATCGGGCAGGGAGTGTGCAGACTCTGGAGCAGTACTTGTATATCTATGCCGTCATTCTCCGGTAAGAGATAATAAGGCCCTATCAGTTTCTTAAAAATTAAAATTTTCTTTACAGATGCGCGTGGCCCAAAGCACGAAGGAACAATGGGGACGTGGAGGCAATTGACAGCCTGGTACAAGCGATATCGAGGCGGATATATCGAGGCATATAATAGCCGAAGAGGCGCTAGGACAGAGGACATAGATATTTTGTTGTGATATCTCATATTGATGTATGTATGTATAGACTAATTAATTGTTGTATTTTGTCTGTGTATTTGTTTTTCCCCTCATAATTGTCATAGCTCTTGAATAATGTGAATAAATATTTGAAGCTCTTTTTTGTTTTTGGCATAGGATCGGAATAAACACTTTTGTGTTGGAAAATAGGGAAAAGGTTAACAGATGGAAAGTTGAAATGATGATTCGTGAGGTCTTGTATCTCCTAGCTTGATTTGTCGAATCAATTTGGATTGAGCTGGTTTTCGACGTGCTCTTTGGAATCCTATTGGATTTAATGTCGAATTTAAAAAAATAATTTGACTTAAATTTGTCAGATTTCTTAAATCCATTCAACAAAAATTAAAGAAAATCCCCTTTAAAATTTCCAAAATTTACCCGCAAAAATCTTCTTCAACTTCTTCCCCAATTATTTTTCCTCCTCCACTTTTCCAACGATTTTTATTTATTTTCTCTTCACTTTTTCTTAATAAAGGTAATTTTTCACTCCATTGACTCATAGAACCATTAGAAGAAATTAATTTAACTTTAGCTAAATATTTATTTGAATTAATTAATTTAATTCCAGTTAATAATGCTGGGGGATGTTCTACATTTATTTTATGTAATTCTTCTTTTGTTCGTCCATCTTTTAATATTCCAGAATCTTTCCAATACCTTTTTACAAAAAATTAAATTTTTTAGAGTCTCTAAATATTTATAAAAAATATTTTGAAAATCAGAAAATTATTTTTTAAATTAATTTTCCTTTGAAAGGCCGTCTATAAAGTAATCGAACTAATTCAACCAAACCCTATGTATTAGGGTTTCACCGGAAGTGATTTTTTCCGGTTCCGGAAAGTTCCGGCATTTTTTGGTTCCGGTTTCAGGATCCGGATCTCAAATTGGATCCGGTTCCGGTCAAAATTTCGGTTCCGGTTAAACCCTACCAAGTATGTAGAAATAAGAGAATACTCCCCCTCCCTCTCCTTATCCAAAAAATAATTTAATTAATTTAAATTTAACAAAAAAACTCACTGAACAATATAATAAATAAAATTCTTCTTTTTATTATTTTCAATAATTTCTGGTTCATCCCAGTATAACAAAAATTCATCAACATTTCCAGTCTTTTCAACTTTTAATCCAGAAGGTTTAGGTAATAGTAAATTATTTAAATATTTATTATTTTCTTCTTCCAAAACTTCATCTTTAGCTTGTTGGAAATTATTTAAAGGGGTTTTAATTAATAAAAGTAAACGAGAAGAATCTTCTCCATAAGCTTCATTATATGCAGTTAAAGATAAAACATAACTTGTATTTGGCTCTTTTTAAATTAGGGGAAATGTTATTAGAATTGGATTAAGGGAAGTTTTGTATATAGGAGAGGCAATAAGGGGCACCAAAAATAAAAGTAACGCTAAACTGTTTTTGTATATTTAGATAACCAAAATGGAAACTAATACTAAATATGATTTCTGATTTAAAACAAAAACTTTAAAATCAAGAAAAAGAGAAAAAGGTTGCCTTAAGAGAGAGAAAGGTTAAAATAACCAATTTAAACTACTAAATTTCAACAAAACCCCCCAAACATACTTAACATATTCAAGGTATATTCAACATTTTCTGCTCCTTCTAAAACAACTTTTCTCGTGTCAGTAGAACCAGTCCCATAAGAAAGTGTATAGCCGCGAACGAGAATATTGTCTATAGAAGATGGGGGATCCCATCTAAAAATTAAAAAAAATAATTTTAAATTTTCTTTTTAAACCCCCTCTGGAAAGAAATACTTTTAATTGTTCTATTAATAATTATTTTAATTTTTTTACTAACCAAAAATATTTCACACAAAAATATTCCCTAAATTAACTTTACCTCAAAGTTGCCGAATTTGGCGTTAAACTTTCAACACGAAACTTAAAATTAAAAATATATTTATTATTTAATTTAATTAATTTTTTTTACATTTTCTGGAGGATCGGGAACTTGGTTTTCTACAAAATTAAAATTTAAAAAATAAATTAAATTTTAAAAACCTGTTGGACCTAAATTCTTTTTATCAATTAATTCTAATGTTGTTATTATTTTAAACAAAAATATAATTAAAATTAAAGGAGAGGGCCAAAGAATGATAATTTTGTGGTTGCTAACCACAAATAACATTATTAGTATTTTGCTTTCATTTTAGCTTTTTTTGTTTAAAAAAATAATTTAAAGATAATCTTTAGTATATAACTAATTAATTAGAAGTTGTTAAAGGTTAATACTTGTTAAGTGCCAAGTCATTATTAGGGAACGTGCCGTCCCGAATCTCGATTCACGAAATCGATGTCTTTTTCGGGTCAAAATTCGAAGCCCGGTTAGATCTTTCGAATCGAACCGGGCTGGCAACCCTGTTCCTAATGTTAACAAGAATGGAAAAAATTTTTAATCAAGCAGTCAGAGATGAAAAATAAGGCTTGTAAGGATATATAAATTATATTTAAAAAAATTTTTCTTTTCAAAATTTCTCTGTCTAGGCAACAAATAAATTAGTTTATTTTGAAGGAAAAAAAGAAAGTTTTTAAAAGTAAAAGAGAAGAAGATATTTGGCCCTCCTACAAAATTTGATTGAATTTGCATAATTTGTGTGACCATTACTTTGTGATGGTTTGACGGGAAGTTAATAACGAAATTTTCAATTTAAAAAAAAAGAGAGAGGGGAAATTTAACAGAATTTTATATTAAAAATAGAGAAAATTTTACCAGAAAATGTTCTAAAATGGGAAAAAATAATGGAATATTTTTTGAAAAATAAAAATTTTAAGATATAGAGGAGTGATTATATTTAAAATAGGGTGGCACCCCGACCCCCGAGACTCCAACCCGAACCCCGAAGACTCTACCCCGACAAATCCCGATCCAGCCCTCGAAGGCTCGGGGTGCTACCCTAATTCAAAAGCAAAAATGTGAGAATTAGTGCTTTTCCTTAATAACGATTTTTGAATTAATTTCCTCGTCTACTATGGAACTTATAAGAAATTGAGGAGGGAGTTCTCTTCTCACACATACAAGATCCCGTCCAAATAAAAACTTTAATTCATTCAAATAAATTAAAAAATAACAAAGCCTAATCCTCTTTTCAAAAAAAGGCGAATAATAATAATAACAGCTGTCGGCACCGCGCAACAAAATTAGAGGGGAAAAGAGGCTAAAAAAGGGAGAAAAAGCAACGACCCGAATAAATAAATTAATAAATGGCACAAAGAATGTACAAATTTGTTTGTTTGATAATCCAAGTGGAAAAACCGGTAATCTCTTTAATTTTTATTTTTGACAGAACAGAATTATGGCCACTAATTTATTGGCTTATTTTGAAAATAAAAATTTTTAATGGGGAAAATACACAAGAATTCACAGAAATTATTTTTATATTTTCTAAATTTTATGTTTCTAAACAAAATTTATATTTGAAATATTCTAAATAAAAAATATCGTGGCAGTTTATATATAAGTATTCCTTTGATGTTAAGCCAAATTAGAAGAGTTTAATTGGAGGACTAAAAAACATATTTAAAACCCCTCTTTATTTCAAATCCAAATTGGTTTTTGTATCAATTGTTGGGCCAATCTGGAAAAGTTCGTAATAGGACAATAAAAATATATACAAAAAGGATGTGTTTGTTTTGCACTAAAAATGGAATGGGGAAAGGTTTGTAAAAAGATAGGAATATTCCATAAGGTCCGGTAATCAAAATAGCCTTCCTTACACACATTCCTCACATTAATATTTGCTGAGAAATGATTTAAAGCAATTCTTAATAGTTTTTATTTATTTTGTTTGTATCTAATAAAATATTTTTATTTTTTTATAAAATTTTTTGATACCAAAAATAAATTTTAAAAATATATAATTAAAAATTCATTGAAAAATTTAAAAAGATACAGTTTGCATTCTCTATTAGGGTTGGTGGTTATGGAAAATAACCGACTATCTGGAATTGAGATCCGAACCGACAACTGTCCAACTTTTTTGGTTCTGATTAAACCGCAAACCCTACTTCGTAATCTCGCTCCTTTATTTTACAATCGTCCTGTCTGAAGCGAAAATCTAACCTTAAAAGATTTAACCTCGACTCAGTTTCGAGGAGCCCTTTCAAATGAACTATTGTTTGTATAATTGAATTTTTGGCCCCAAAAATGAGCTTACTCCCCCTGGTTTTTCAGTTTTCAGGGACCTATATCTCTGTGTTTTTGTCTCCGGCAAAAAATTCTTTCATATTTGAATTCAACTCGGCGAGAGGAATCGAATTATATATACAGTCATCGACATAAAGATAGGGGCAAGTGTAAATTAAATCAAAATTAACTATTTTTTAGTCAAAAAATACGTTTTATATAGCAATCGAAAGCTCTATTCGTATCTCAGTTGACATGTTTCTGCATTTTTCATAAAAATGAAAATTGGCCGAGATAATCCGGATCTAGCGGATATACCAAATCCTATATCCTCGGAAAAATTTTTCGGAAAAAATTTAACGAACCCATTTGATAAAGCATATTTTTGTGAGTATGTACCACAAAACCGCTTAAAAATATCTTTTTCCGGTCCAGAGATATGATTTTTTGAAAATGGCATTTTTCTCTTAAAAATTGAATTTTTTGCAAAAATAGACGAAAAATGCCATTTTCAAAAAATCATATCTCTGGTCCGGAAAGAAATATTTTTAAGCGGTTTTGTGGTATATACTCACAAAAATATGCTTTATCAAATGGGTTTGTTAGATTTTTTCCGAAAATTTTTTCCGAGGCTGTGGGATTTGGTATATCCGGCAGATCCGGATTATCTCGGCCAATTTTAATGTTCATGAAAAATGCAGAAACATGTCAACTGAGATACGAATAGAGCTTTCGATTGATATATAGAACGTATTTTTCGACCGAAAAATAGTTAATTTTCATTTAAATTACTCTTGTCCCTATCTTTATGTCGACTACTGTAATTCGAGTTTTGAAAAATTTAATTTGTCGAAAGACAAATAAAATAAAACTTTTTTCTATAAATACTGAAATCGTTGCACAAAAAGAAAAATTTGGAAAAATTATTTACAACAGATTTTCAAAGAAAAGTCCAAAAATTAAAAAAAAAATTTCGAATAAAATTTTAATTTTTTGATTAAAATTGAGGGATTAGCATAATTTAAAAGTCAAAATATAAGCAAAATAATTAAAGCTTTCAAATTGGTAATTTTGCCGATTTTTTCTAAAATATTGGCTATTTTAACGAATATTTTTGAAAGCCTTAAATAAAATTATAAGGAAAGGATAACAGAAGATAGTTTCGACGCGTCTCGTTAAGCCGATTGTGAGCCGAATGATGTTTATTTCAAAAAAATCGGATACCCCCAAAATCGGATCCCAAAAATAGGTTATACCCTAAAAACGGGCCCGATTTACAATATCACACATTTAAATGCACTATCAATTGAGCTTGCTACTTTGCTTTTCTTCATTTTAAATGCTAGCCAAGGGAGTAGCCCTTGATACATTATGACGCGTATTTCTAAAAATATATTCAGAACATATCCATCAGAATATCATTGAACTAGCTCAGCGAGCTGCGTCAGGCAAAGTTGAAACTAGTAGGGGCTGTGGCATAAAAAACAAGTAAGCTATAAACGAGGCAGCTTATTTAAAGACCGGAAACAGGTTAAAGAATTTTAATTCTCGTAGTTATTTGTCACAGAACTAACAATAAGAAATAATTTTCTTCAATGTTTTTTTTCAAATCGAATTTAAAACAAAAAGTCATTGGGTCGTTGGGTATGGACAAGATAAAGAAAGAAATATTTAAGTTTAAATAAATATTTTAATAAATTTTACATATCAAAATTATATTTAAAATATTGCAAAAATATTTAGTTAATGTCGAGAAATCTCAACAGCCAAGGGTGCAGGCCTATAGTCAGGATTTTTTTCGTGAGAGGAAGAGAGGGCCAAGGGGGAAATTTTTTTGTTATTTAACTCAGTCTTGGCGCACATCCAATTATGATTCCCAAATCGACCTCTGCATTCACCCTTGACAAGAACATTCCATAAAAATAATTCTTCTCCAAAAAATAAAATTACCCAAAATTCTCAAATACTTTCTTCATTAATACCTTTTCCTTTAATCAATCCTTGTTCTGCAGAATGTATTCCATTTAAACGAATTCCATTTTCATCTGAATTTTTTATTTTTCTTATTTCTTCTGCTTTTTCAGTTTCTTGTCCTTGATTTTCGTGAAAACGTTTGTCCATATCCTTCAAAATTAAATTATTTTAGTTAAAATATTTTCTTACGGAAATCAAAAATATCAAAAAATCTAATAATTTTCTATTTACATTAACAATCCAAATCAGGCCCTCCTTATTTTGCAACTGTGTATTTTTTTAAATTAAAATTGCAGGTGAGGTTACATAAAAAGACAGCCCTTCCCCCAAAACATTCAGTTAGATACAATAAAATTATAAAAAATAAAAACTCCTAACCCGTTTCTGTACCCAAGTATAAGCAGCAGAACCAATCAAAACAACCAAATTAGATAACCACCATAAAATTGGTTTAACTTCTCTCCACCATCCAACAGCTATAACTGTTTGTGCTGCTGCTTTAGCTGTTCCGCTAATATTGTGTGTTAAGGCTGAAGTTGCTTGGATTTGCCAACCTAAAAGAAATTTATTTTAAAAAATAAATTGATTAAAAATAATAAAAACCTGTAACATATCCCATAATAAATCCAAAAAATCCACTTAAAGTCATTAACAACCAAAATGTCGGGGCAACTATATTTGGCGAATAAGGGATTGTTCCCAATTCTCCAGTAAAAAGCATTAAAGGCAAAAACAATAAAACAGCATTTAAATTATTATACATAGTCATTCTCCATATTGAATCTCCAACCATGGGAAGAGTTTTCTTTGTAAAAATTGCATTTAAAGCAACACATAGAGAAGCCAGAACTCCAAAAATTACACCAATAACAGACAAAGTACCTTTAAAAATAATTCAAAATCCTTTTCTTTTTAAAGCCTAATTAATTTTATCAAATTAGAAACCGATAACAGTCGAATAAAATTTTTCCCGTAAAGTTTCTTTAAACAAAAAATACAAAAATATGGATATATTTGGGCTAAAAATTAACTAAAATTGAAAATTTCCATCGAAAAATAAAAGAAGCCCCAAAATAAAAAAACAAACCAGCAACATCTTCCTGATCAACACCCAGGAAAAAACCCGCAACAATAGTTAAACAACATAGAAGCGCATTTCTTGATGTTTTTTGTCCCAAAATTAAATAAGAACAAATCTAAAAAGAATAAAAATTTTTGCTTATTATATAGAAAAATTTTATGAGAAAGAATAAATAAGCATCGGTGGTTAAGTGGTATAATTGCCGCCTCCCAAGCGGTAGTCCCGGGTTCGATTCCCGGCTGATGCAAAGGAACTTTTTGATTACTTCAAAGTTTATTTTTTAGAAAATTGTTGAGGCTAATAAATTTAAAATTTTTTGAAAAATTTTTCTCTAAAAAAATTAAATACATACCACATTGAAGACTGTAGTTAAAGAACGTCCCACATAATAAAAAGACACCCCAACATATTTAAGGCACAAATTGTTAAAAGTAATCATAGCAACAAAGACTAGAGAAAGAGGTAAAACCTAAAAAATAATTTGTTTAAAAAATAAATATCTTAAATTAAATACCGCTTTACAAAGTTTTAAATCAACAGCCATTTTTGGAAAAGTAATTAATCTTGGGAAAGTTTGAGAAAGTAAATCTGCTGTGAAACAAAGAATTAAAGAGACGAGGCATTGATACCAAGTAATAAATAAAGGGGCGTCCAACTAGAAAAAAAATAAAAAATTTAAAGAGAAATTTTTATGATTTGTTGTTCTAAAAGATCCGAGAAACGGTTTAGAAGGAATTAAAGCTTGTGAGTAGGGTTGTCGGCCCGACTCGAAAACGGCAACCCTACTTGAGGGCAAGAAAAATATAAACAAGCCCCAAAAATCCCTTTTTTCAGACATTTTATCCCATATAAAAAATTAAATTTAAAGAAACCTCAATATCTGGACTACTTAACAAATGCTTATTAATAAAAACTAAGCCAATTGAGCAAATCCAATAAGAACTGACTGCCGCAAAAATATTTACATATTGCTGTGCAAGTGTCTTTTCCTGTCGATTTTGTATCATTTTTTTAATAAAAAATATTTTAAAAAATAATTTGATCTGAAAATTAAATAAAAAAATTTTTTAAGAATAAAAAATAATTATTTAAAAATTAAAAAAAAAAGAAAATGACAAGCAAAAATATTTCCATAATTTTTTTTATTTTTTTGGTACCAAAAATAACTTTTTGCAAAAATTTTTGAAGAATCCTTTAAAAATTATTTTTTGCTAGAATTGATTTAAATTAAAAATAAAAATTATTTTTAATTTAAAAAAAAAGTAAAAATATATCCGTAATCGAATTTAAATGTTTATTTAAAAAAATAAAAATGTTTTACACGTGGATATTTTGTTAACATATTCACATGATTAACACAGAAAATAAAAGAGAAAAAATAATCCAACTCTGAATTTTTAATTTTCATATTTAATTTCAAGGTGGGCTTTTTTGAATTTAATTTTTGATTTATTTTTGAGGGAATGGAGAGTATAAAGAATAGAATATTTTAATTATCAGGTCCAAGCAGAAATTGCTTGCAAACAAATCTCAAGACAGCAAGACATTATAAAATTTTTATTTAAAAAGTTTTTCAGTTAAAAAGACGAAAAGACAAATAAGCGTGTCATCTCATTTCAATATTATTTTCTTCAGCAAGATGCTTTCATTTAATTTTAGTTTAAGATGAATGAAAATGAAAAAATAATGTTCATGGAATCATGAGAGAAAATAAAAAGAATCCACGAGAGAAGGTTGAGAACGTCACAGAATAAAATACATTTGTGAGTTCTTATGAAATAAAGGGAGATTTAAATAAATTAATATAAAATTAGATTATTATTAAGTAATTATTTAGTAAAAAAGTACTAAAAAAGTTCTTGTTCTCCGGTTCGGAAACAAGATTTTTTGAATAAAATTGATAAAATCATCGTTAGCAAGCATCAACGATTATTTTTTTTATAAATTAAGAGGAATATTTTGTGAATTTATTTTTTAGAGAGAAAGAAAAAATATTTTTTGTGGATATTTACGACAGGAGAGTAATAAAATATAAAAATTCAAAAAAATTTTTTTTGAAAGTAATAAAGTGATAAGATTGGAATAATAAATATAGTACTTGTTATTAAAATGAGAACACTAAAATCTAAAAATATTGGAAAAATAACTAATGTAAGGATGATTCACCTAGCAGCATTTAAAACGCTTAGGCGGGGGATAAACGATCTAAAAAGGAAAAAGAGAAAGCATTAGTCGATGCCCCGGTAGCTCAACGGTAGAGCTCCTGCATATAGTGAGCGAAAGCCTAGCAACAACTAGCAGGTGGTCGCAGGTTCGAATCCTGCCCGGTGGCTAAACTTTTGCAAACTCTTTCTGGTGCCGCTAACAGGGATCCCCACTTGCTGCTGGGTGAACCAGCCGATCCACGGTCATGGCGCTTGACCGAGGGACCGGTCTGATGTAGGGATGGAGATGTAAGGATGATTCACCTAGCAGCATTTAAAACGCTTAGGCGGGGGATAAACGATCTAAAAAGGAAAAAGAGAAAGCATTAGTCGATGCCCCGGTAGCTCAACGGTAGAGCTCCTGCATATAGTGAGCGAAAGCCTAGCAACAACTAGCAGGTGGTCGCAGGTTCGAATCCTGCCCGGTGGCTAAACTTTTGCAAACTCTTTCTCTAATTTTATAAGTACATAAAAATTAAAAAAATAAATTATCAGCAAAGAAATAAGAATTCTTTGGTTTGATAAATAAACCTAAAAATTGTATATATAATAATTCTGCAATTTATCGACTACTACTACTTTTCCATACGCCTCGAAAGACGGATAAATAAAAAATTAAAGGCAAAAACTTCCAGTAAAGTTAATTTTTGTCTACAGAAGTACAGATAAAAATAAAATTTACTGGAAGTTTTATTGCCTTTTCCACATGAATTTTTTATTTAACCGTTTTTCGAAGCAAAAAATTACCTAAAAGTTAAAAAATTATTTCTTAAAAAATATTTAAATTTAACAGCAATTTTTAAAAGAATATTTAACAACAAAAAACACAATATATTCACATTTTACTATTTTTGTAACATTTAATCTCATCGTCTCTCACTAGACGAACCTCCTAAACTTGATAACGAAGGAACACCAACCCCACTACCCGACATTTGTTGATTACAAAGAGCTTGAGATAAATGAAGTTTTGTCATATTCTCGTTTGCTGCCTTTAAATAAAATTAAAATATTATTTTAGGCACTCACACCAATTATGGACTAATACAAAAAGTACTTTTTCAAATTATAATAAAGTCAATATATTAGGTAGAGGTGGAGGGGGGTCAACTAGAGGTGAGAGTGGGATATTACATAATAAGTACCGGGAATTAAATATTTATATTTTTGTAAAACCCATAGCTCGATATCAGCTAAACAAATTTCTAAAAAAAATTTAATTAAAATTTACCGCAATTTGAAAACTAGCATAAGCATTAGCATCAAGTGCTCCCAAAAATAGATCAAGCATTCCATTTTTTGTTTGCATTTGTGGCTGTTTAATTTGTTTTTTAATTTCCTCAACAGAAATTGGAGGTTCCCCACGAGCTAAACGTGCCTCATTTTCTACAGCCTTAAAAAGGAAATTAAATAATAAAAAAATTAAACGAAATTAAAAGAAACCCTTTTTTGCATCATACTGGCATAAATAGCATCATATTTTTGTTTTTCAGTCTAAAATATTTTATAAAATTATTTCGGACAAAACTTTTGAGGAATAATTTTGAGAAATTAATTCAAAAAATAATTTAAACAAAAAACCATATATCTCCCGTAAGCATTAACTGCTTTGTTCAATTCATCCACAGTGCCCATAGAAGCCTTGACTGATCTTTAAAAATAAATTCAAAAATTAAAAAAAATATTTAAAAAACCTTTCTAAAGCTCTTTTAGTTCCAAGTTCCAAAACAACAGTATTAGTCTTTTTTCCACGAGAAGAAAGCGCCAATTCAGCTAGAAGTACATTAATTAAGTGACTGTTCTTTACAACAATTGGAAGTTCTTCGAAAAAGTTTGAAAAATTTAGGCCAGCTTGTTTTGTACTTGAAAAATTAAATATTTGAAGGTAATTTTGGAAATTGGCCTTTCCAAAAAATTTTGTTATGAAAAAAATAAAAAATAATTGAAAAATAAAGATTTACACTTCAGGAGACCAGTCACCAACATTTGCCAATTCCAAAGCTTTACGAGAAAGTCGATAAGCTCGAATAGTTAAATTTCCTTGACGTGTTCGAATTGGATCTATAAATTTCAAAATATAAATCTCCAAATTTATAAAATTAAAACTAACCATAAATTAAAACAACTGCATTTTGCTGACTACTTTGGTAATCAACAAGAGAAAAGAACATATCAATGTTGAAACAGACACCAAATGGATGAGCCTGGTAGAAACCAACAAGTTCATAATCAATATTCATCATTCTAAAATAGAAATAAAATGTTTAAATGCCTAATGGAAGGGAACGTTAATGTATTGGAATCGAAACGAAAAAAAAATAAAAAAATGACAGTATCAATTGATCAGACTCTAATAATTTTTAAATGGATGAACGGAAAGGCTCAATACATGCATTCAAAAACTAGCTAGAAAATTATTATCATTATCATCATTACAATTCTTATCAATATCCCAATCATTATCCGAAATTCATAAGATTTGCAAAAAAAGCAACAAACCGAAAACGTTTCAACATTTCGATAACTTCAGTATCTTTAGTATCTTGATATGCAGCTGGATCATGTGGAGAACCATCATCACCATCAGCCAGAATATCAGGACGTGAAGTGGAAAAGCTGATATTTTTTACTTAAAGATTTTTAAATTAAAATACCAATTAGTAATTTCCAGCTTTTTCTCCTTTTCTTCTATAGAGATTAATCCAGTAAGAATTCCTTGACAAGTTTCGCCAGCAACTTTAGACATTCCCGCATAGAACTCGATATCACCATGTTTAACTATCTTCATTACAACCTAATTTAAAAAGGATTATGCATATCCAAAACACTATCCAAGACCCACACCCCGTAAAATTTGGATGTCAAAACGAAAAAATCAATAAATATCACATTTCATTTTGAAAAAATCTAGTCGAGAAAGTCATGCTTCCATGCAACGGAATCCGATAAATATACAAAATTAATTTACCAAAGAATCCAACTGAACAAAATCAATAAGTGGTTGATCAAAATTTAAAGCCGGAAAAGATGTAGCAGAGAATGACATTTTTATTAATTTTTATTTAAAATTCCAATAAACTGAAAATCCATTTGAAAAAACTTCAAAAAAAAATTTTAAAGTTCTGAAAAACTTTCTTATAGAAATTTCCAAAATTTATCAAAAAATTATAATTAAAGATTTATCAAGTAAAGACAAACAAAATCGACAATTGAAAAAGAACGAACAAAATAAAGAAGCAAAAGAATTCTATAAGATTTTCTTAAACAAACATGCAAAAAACAAAATAGAAGGAGAGCAAAATGTTGTTCAGAACCTAAAAACAACCCACTTTTATTAAAAACAACCCAATCTAAAATGGGGGTATCTCATACTTCCAAAAGCTTGAAATTCAAAACCTTAGCGAGTTGTTACATCAAAAATAAATAAAAAAAACAAGAATATTTAAATTAACAAAAAAGGTCATTTATCTTTCCTTTTAGTTTCCAAAAATTCTTGAATTTTGGCATAAAGTTCATCAGGTCGTGGAAGTTTTGGTAGGTCATAATGTTGGTCAAAGCAAATCCCAGCATATATTCCGGCCGCAAAAATAAAAAGATGTGAACAAATTCCCATATCAAAATCAAATGATAACTAGAAAAAATGAGATTAAATTTAAAATGAGAAAGGTTATTAAAGAGAAATTTGAAGTCAGTCTTTGAGACCCACGGAACTTAACAATCATTTTACCTTAGGCCCAGCCAATGTAAAAAATTAATTTTATTTGTAAACCCGCAAAAAAGCTCCTACTAAAATACCAATATATTAAATTATAAATTTAAAAAAACCTATTTTCTCAACGATAAGGATTGCGCCCGTCGAATTTTGGAGCGTATGGACTATTTCCTGAAGTAAGCGATTGAAATTCGTTGTATGCTTTCGATTGCTCCTTAGCTATGTGGTCAATTAAAGATTTTCGTTGACCAGTTTTGTACAAATAATTATCGTAGCTTAAAAATAAAAATATAAAAGAATTGATAAAAGAAAATTAGAGCTAGGAATTTTGAAAAAACCGGGACCGGGTCCGGGAAACGGGTTCTGAAAAATGGACCGGGCGGGAACCGGGTCCGGGAAACCGGGAAAACCCGTTCCCGGTTTCAACCCGGTCAAAAATGACCGGGTCCCGGCCGGGAAACCGGGAAATTTTTAATTTGTTGAAATAGGGGTCTATTTTTCCACATAGGGCTGTATTTTTCATCTATTCTCCTATACTTATTCTAAATAACCTCTATTAATGTAAGTGAATGCCATTCACGATTATTTAACTCAAGATCGAATTCCCTTTTCTGAAAAATACGTTCATCGACTGCTGCCTTTTGTTCTTTCGTACTTGGGATTAATGAAAAAATTCAAAGAAATATGTACTACATATGTTTAAATTCTTTCTAAAGCCCTTATATGTTGGCCGAGTGGTTGTTATGTGTTAGTTCCTTCAGAATGTTAGTTCCTTTTAATTCCTTCAGAATCCTTAGATATCCCTTTTAATTCTTTTTAATCTTATTGAACTAAAAATTCTTCGCGCCATTTTTTGCGCCGTAGGCGAAAATTTTGAGAATTTTGATAGGCCTTAGCAGAAAAGAATTCAATTGTCAGAGCTGCCGGCGAAAAAATTTTTCGAAGTTTAGATGGTAATGAAGCCAGAACTCTTAAATTTTCTGCGCCACAGTGAAAATTTTGGAAAATTCATGATTTAATTGAAATTTCTAAGATTTTTTCAAGATTAAAACAGTAAAAAAATTTTCAAATTTAAAATCAAAGTTTAAAATTATTTATTTTTGAAAAGAAAATTTTCTCAGCCCCATTTCCATACATGGACTCGAACCCCATCCCTATCAAAATAACTAGATGAGTGAAGTCAGTCAACTTAACCACTCAACCATCGACCGACAAAAGCAAAATGGAGAAATTATAAATATTCCTTTCCCTTTTCCTTCAAAAATTTAATATCAAAGTACGCAAATACACTAAATATTTTTCCCGGTTTTCCGGTGAAAAAAAATCCGGGACCGGGTCCGGGTAACGGGTTTTGAAAAATGGACCGGGCGGGAACCGGGTCCGGGAAACCGGGAAAACCCGTTCCCGGTTTCAACCCGGTTGCTTCAAAAAAACCGGGAAAAGGGACCCGGAAACCGGGAAACGGGTCCGGGTCCCGGACCCGTTCCTAGCTCTAAAGAAAATACTAGTCAAGAGCTATCCAACTCCAACAAATTGCAGGTACAATAAAAACAGAAGTCCACTTTCCTATTTTGAAAAGAGCGCTATGCTGGGCAGGCATTCAACTGAAAATATTTGAATTTTAAAAAAATTTTGGAAAAATCTAAAAAAACGTGAAAAAAACGAAAAATACAAAGACCATCGGAATTTAGATAAACTGAACATTGACAAAATAAATTTTTAAACAAAACGCCAAAAAAAATTCATAAAGCGTTAATTCAAAAATTTTATTTCAACGTTTCTTTAAATTCGATTTTTAACGATTTTTTGCCTTTTAAATTAAATAAATTTTTTTTATTTTTCAGAAAAATGAGGAATTTTTGTCTAATTTTATTATCCCTTCTTCTTTCCCTTTTATTTTTAAATTTTGTCAGCTCGGAAGATGGGGATGATCCAATAACTTGTGGAACAGTTTTAAAACTTCAAAATGCTGCAGACAATATTCGTCTTCATTCACATGAAATTAAATACGGTTCCGGTTCTGGACAACAATCTGTTACGGGAATGACACACAGCGACGATGTTAATTCACATTGGCAAATTTTGGGACGTTAGTTTGTATTTAATTAAAAATTTATTCGGGGGGGTTTTAGGTTTTTTTTTAATCCTGTCAAATTTCGGATTTGTTAATTAACTTATTTTTTGAGATTCTACCGTTTTTCTGCGATTTTCTTTTCATTTTGGCCAATTCCTAGTTTATTTTTGAATTTATCGGGTGAACAATCACTCGATTTCAGTCTAATTTGAAACTAGGATTTTTCTAAGGGTTTTCTGAAATATTCTCTAATTTTTTAAATTAATATTTCATTCTTTATTTCTTGAGATAGAGATTTTCGAAAAACCTTGATCCTTGGCTGTGATTTTAGGTGAGGACCTTGACCAGATCAAGGACCTTAAGTCAAGGGAAAATCAAGGAACGCTGAAAAATGCCTTGATCTGGACTTATGCAAGATCTAGACCCAGAATCAACTCGATCTCTAATTATTTCTAAATAAAATTTATTTTTGTAGCTGTAAATCAACATTGTAAACGTGGAACTCCAATTAAATGTGATGATATAATTAGATTAATGCATTTACAAACACGTTGTTTTCTTCATTCACACGATTTTGAAGCCCCTTTAAGTAAAGGAAATAATGTCTGTAGATTTTTTTAATTTTATTTTTTAAATATTTTTTAAGGAAATTTCTTGTTTTGGAAAGGAAGGGGAAAGTACGGATACTGGGGATCATTACAAAGTTATTTGTGCTTCTGATGTTTGGATAGAGGATGAACAAGTTGATTTTTTGGGATTTTATTAAATTAAAAAAATATTTTTTAGGTACGTTTTAAACATGTTGAGACTGGGAATTATTTGGCTTTGAGTGGACAAACTTATAGTAAGTTTATGGTTTCTTATCAGTTTTGCTTTTTAGGTTTTGGGGCTTTTTTAGTTAGGCTTTTTATCTTTTGGTGGTTTTTCTGAATTTCGTCCATATTTTCTGTGGGACTTAAATAATTTTAATTTTGTTAATATTTTCTAAAATTAGACCGTCCAATTTCCGGGCAGCGTGAAGTTGTTGGTTCACCTAGTGCTGGATATTCTGCTTTTTGGATTGCTGCCGAGGGTGTTTTTGTTAAAAATTGATTTAAATTTTATTTATTTTTTCCTTCTTTTACTTTCTATTTTCTGTGAAATTTTTTCCTAAATTTTTCTTTTAATTTTTATGTCATCAAAAAAGGGTGCTATTTATTTTCTAAAATATTAAAAAGTTAAACAAAACATAAAGTTTGTTACAGTTTCTTATGTTTTTTATTAGTTTTAAAATTCTGCATTTAAATTCAACAACCTTCTTCCTCTTCAATTAGCTTTTTAAATTAAAAATTGAAAGAGGTATATTCGTCTTTTCTAATTTCATTAGGGATAGAATTTTTTGTGATATGCTACTCGTATTTTTATCAGACCCATAGCAAAAAATTTCTTGCAAGGAAAGAGGCGCCATTTTGCGAAAAAATTTTTTTGTTTGTTTTTAATATTTTTTCGCAAATTTAAAAAGGAAAATTAATTTTATTATTTTTTACATCAATTTTCTCCAACTTACCACCACTTTATTTTTTAACTAGCTCCATTTTCTAGTTTTACTTGTTTTTTCTACTAAATTTTATGCAATCCGCAAAAAAATAATTTTAAAAATATATTTACAACAATTTATTTTTTATTTTTCTTTCTACGCCTCGTCTCGCGACACAAAAACATAAATTATATGTACACGCTTTTGTATGCATTTGGGTGGGGAGAGAAAAGTTTTGTTAAAACATAAAAATTCAGACAAAATTTAAATAAAAATTACAATTTCGATAATACATAAACTTTTGGGACCGAATTTAGCCGTCGTGATAAGGACAGAGAACATCTATTGGAGTCAAATCTCCTAAAACAAATTTCATAACCTCTAAAAGTTTAAGGCTATAATCGGGATAGTAAAGGAGGGAGGTAGTCTATCGAGGTTCGACTTTAATTTGTTTTGATTTTTTAATAAATTACCTCTCTAAAGTTTTTAACAGATAAATTTTCTAAAATTTATTTTTTTATTCTTTTTCAAGTTTTAATCGACCAAAAAATAATAATTTTTACGCAATCCTTTTTTATAAAAATTTTTTGAATCTTACACAGATCAAAGAATTTTTAGTCATCAATTAATTATTGCAAAAATAATTTTTTATGCAAAAATTTTCTGTAAACTTTTAATAAATATTAATTACCTAATTTTTTAAACTAGTATTTACTATAGTTTAATGTTTTAACTTTCTTTTTTGGGTAATCTAGGTAATTTTTTAAGATTTTTATTAATTTAAAAACTTACTTTAATAAAAGTACAAATTCTTTAACTAATTTTGTTTAATTTTCTATAATATTTACCACAAAATGTTAAATATTTGTCCTTCAATAAAAATTTTTTATTTCTCCCCGATAATTCCTTTTTACAAACTTTTTTTGCCAAAAATAGTAAATATTGAAAGAAAATATTATTATTTTTTGATTTTTGAACAATTTTGGATAATTCTCAACAAATATCACGTTGATTTGTCTTTTAAAATTATTTCTAACTGAGAGAAGAATGTTTAAATTGATTAAAGTTTTTTTGGAGGGGTAGGGGTAAATTGAAAATTTTTTTAAATTAACACTTGGAGATTAATTTCTGATCCTTTTAAAAGGAATGTGGAGAGGTAGAGATTCCCCCCTCCCTCTGAAAATGGAGATTAAACAACTCGTATCATTCAATACTTTTTTTTCTATTTTTCTTCATTTTAATTTTAAAAATTAAATTTTCTTGGCCATTTCCCATTCAAAAAATATATTTTTTTTTGATATTTCTCATTAGACTGGAAAAATAAAGTTTCATTTTTAAGAGAACAAAAACAGGTTGTTTTTGGTTATTTTGATATTTAGAAGAAGGGAAATAAGGAAAGAAAGAGAAAATAAGTGCGCGAACTCTAGAATGGTTCTAATTATTTTTGTTGTTGTGTAATTTTAAATATTGACTCATATACTTATATGGTTTTATTTTTTATTTTAACTTTTAATGCTAATTTAGGGAGAGAATTACTTGTCAAGTACTCGCCCTTGCTTCCTTCCTCTCTTTTTTTCATTGTGTTGTTCTTATAATTAGTTGTAGAACTGTAATTTTCGAAAAGTCAAGTTCTCCAAATCTCTGGGGGGGGGGGGGGGGATTTCCGTATTTCGATTTCTAAATCAGTTTCGGCACCCCTAAATACAAAAATACTCCAAGTAAAATCCCAACTTTTTTTACCTCCACCTAAACATTCCTTTCTATATTTTATATATTGGTTTGGCCGTCTTTTTCAACGGCAATCATTGCCTCCTTCCCCTTACTGCGCAATAATATTAAATATGTACTTCTACTAAATATTTTAGTAGTTATTCTTTCCTCTCCTTTTTATTACCTTCACAGAAAGTGTCCCTCCCTCCCTTCCTCTTCTCTTCCTCTTCTTCTCATTTTCACGTCGCTCATCTTCCTTTACCCAATTTATTTTATTTTAGCCATCATTATTTGTCCATAACTTTATTTATTTTTAATTTTATTTATTTTTTATTTAAACTAAATCCAATTAAACAATTTTTCAGTTATTTATGTAAAAATAATTGATACACAATAGGGACATTTTAAGACACGATATCGTTATTCAGAGAGTAATATTTAAAATTTAAAATTTTTAAAAATTTAAAAACCTATAATTTTTAGAGGGTTTTTGGACAAAACAATTTTTAGTTTTTCCAAGGACAAATAAATTTTTGAAAAATATATGCAAGTATTTTTTTAATAATTTTATTGATGACAACGATTTTGGAAAATTTTTTATATACAAAATTTACTCACACATAGAAGAATTTTGCTTTTTAGTTTCCATTTTAAGCCAATAATTTAAAAATAATTTCATAAACTTTTTCTCAAAGGCAATCAAAATTTTTGCAGCTTTTTCCTCATTTTTCTGGGTTAACTGTTTTTCCATTTTGGCTTTTCTCTTGTCTAAAAAATAATTCTTTTTAACAAAAATTTATTCTCATTTTTTTTCAAATACTCACAACAAATTTATCTAAAAAATATCATTTCCCTCCCTCTGTTTCCTTTTAATTATTATTGTTTTTAATGCGCAACCACGACTACTTTCATACCCCACGGCTACCTCCCCCCTTCCTCCCAAGTTTTTAGCTTTTTTTTTATTTTTCTTCTTCACCTTTTCTGTTGCCGTTAATCGCACACGCCTAAATAAGTAAAAGCAATTTTGTGTGTGTGCTTGTTGTCATTTTCTAAATAAAAAAATATCAAAATTACCTTCAACTTATTTTTGATTTTATTTGGATATCTAAAAATGATTATTTTGGAGGGGGTTTTCTGTTAATACATATACTCAATTAAAGACCAACTTTAGTTGTCGTACGATAATATCGACATCGATATACGTATCGATCCGGTCTCCATACTCAATCACCATTTATTCTGATTAATTCTTTTTTTTTATCAGTTTTCTGTCAAATTTACAAAACCCCTTTCCTTATTAAAACTTATTTAGGGAGTGAAATCCCCCTATTCAAAAATATTTTCTCGCCTCGCGAATTGTTTGATTGAATAATTACTTAAATCTTTAAATAAAACTATAATTTAAATTTGGCATATTAAGTAGAATTACTTCAAAAAATTAAATTTATTTTTTCCTTATATTTTCTACATAAATTGTTAACTAAAAATTATTAAGAAAAACATTAATTATTTAAAAATCTGCTATTGATTAACACTTCTGTTGATCAATTGGGATTAAATATAAATTGTTATTTAATTATTTATTTATTAGCAATAAATAAATAAATTAATTTTTTTTCTTTAAATAAAAAAGCAAAGGTCGTTTGGTGTTGTTCTCTTTTAACTATTTTGTTTGTTAAAAATTATCAGGCGTGTAAACAAACACATTTTTCTCTCCCCAAAATTTTCGCGCATTCCACACATTTACTAGGTATTTAATTTTTTTCCTTTTTTTTGGTTGTGGCCTTTGGGGCAAAAGAATTTTCTTTGATATTTTGTCTAAAATATAATGTAATTTCTGATATATTTCTCCCTTTAAATAATTCTCTTCTCTTCAAAACTTGAAAGCTTTGCTCTCTTCAAAAAATGAAGCAACAAAATAAGAAAAAATATTTTAAAAATTCAACAAAAATTAAAAATCCTTCCTCATTTTTCTTAAATATTTTTAATTTGGAAAGGAGAAGAAAACAATTACTTTTTAATGGACAGATTTTTCTTCTCTTAATGGGAGAGGTAAAAATTGAGAAATTGAGATAATTTTTATCTAATTTACTAAAATTTAAAAATTAATAAAAATATTAAAAAATAAATTTTGATATTTTTGAGCTCGATAATTTTTGGTAATTATTATCGAAAATGTTGTATTTTCGTATAAATAAGTCTTTTTAGAAAATACAGTTGGAACTTATAGGGCATTCGGGGCTTATAAAATTATACCTAAATTCGAGTGTTTACATTTTGGAGGTATAATTATTTAACTCTCTCCCCACCCAATTGCCAACCAAGTTGACTATACCTTAAATAAATGGTGTACATTAAACAATGGAATTCAGAAATTAATAGAGAATTTATTCCTGTTTCCAAATAATTACCCTTCTAATAATTTTTATTCCCAAAAATTTTTAATTTCCCCTACAGATTTTCCTCTGTTCAGCAACAATATTTGAAGATTATGAAAAATGTCGTGAGCAATCTTTATTTGGACAAAGAAATGGATCAGCAGTCTGTGACACAATAGGGAAACTTAAATCAACAGATTCTTCTCAATTAGAGAATTTACTCCACGATTTGGAACTAAATATTTCTTGTCAATGCTTTTCTGGGTGTTTAAGGCAAAATAATGATGATAAGTTTAAGGCAAATTTTTTTTGAAAATTTTTTCTTTTCAAAAATTTATTTCTTTTAGGCTTTATTAATTGTAACTGATTCTGAAAAAGTCGAGCAATCTGGAGGGGAACAAACACTAAATGAGACAGGCAGACATATTTGGGAAGCAGCGGAAATGGGGGATTCTTTATGTGACAATAATGGAATGTTGTTAATTTATGTGAGGGATAAAAGAAATGTAAGGAGGGAAATAATTATTTAAAAATTATTTTTAATTTTAAAAAATTAAAAGAGAAATTAGTTTATAAGGGAGATTCAAACATTGGTACTCTCCCAACTCTCCAAATTTTTCCCAAAGGAATATACTACAACCTCATGGGTTCGTATCCACTGAATCATTAAACAATGCTTTCTTCTAATTATTTTCTTTTTGGTAAGGGAAGTTGGGAGTTTATGGATTAGTACATTAATTTCTCTTAATATCCTAGTGATGGTATAATTGAAGTTAACAGTATAGACTAGAGAATAGATCAAAACGAGATCTCAAACAAAAATTTCGATCATCAAGATTTTTTGAGATATCTTGTGCGACACAACCAGTCCAGTTTCAGTATAAACCACCCAAATAGCATACCTATATATTCTGATTTAAAACAAATATTCTTTTCTAATTATTAATTTATTTATCGGAAACGAATTAATTTTTACAAAAAATAGGTGTATGTATTATTTAATTACAACCACCCCCCCCCCTTCGGCTAATAAATTATTTTATTATTTTCTTTAATAAAAACCCGTTTTTCGTTCCAAAGGTGTTTGCCTTTTGCAATTCCAAAAAAACTCGAAAATTAATAATAATTTGTTGTTAATAAAATAAACGTCACAAAAAGAAAATGGGATGATTTTTAATTTAAAAATTAAATGAAAATTGTTTGGAATGGATATTAGGGAATTAAAAGATAATCCAAAATGGTCTATATTTCTCGATATATTTGAATCTCACTAGTAACGATACTTCTCATCCAAAAAATATCTGACACATTAGAGACTGTCATGAAATTGGGGGGGGGGGGGGTGTTCAACTACCTATATTTCTATCTATTTGTTTTTTTCTAGTTGGCAGTCTATCAAGGCCATAACAAACCTTTAAGAATGTTTTCAAATAAAGATATAGCTAATTTACATGAATTGGCTATTCAAAATAATGGAACTGGAAATGTTACTTCTTTAAATGATTTTCAAAGTATTCATACTCCACCTCCACCTTCTCCTTCTTCTTCAAAGGATGGGGAAACAGCGGCTTCTTCTTCTGCTGAAGTTCATCAGGCAGATTGGAATTGGGTGGTTAGAAAAATTTAAAAGAATTGTTAGGGTTGTTGAGGCGCTTGGAAGTGTTAAAAAGGGGAAGGGCGATTAGGAGGAATTACAGGTTTAGCAAGTATTTTGTATCATCGTGCATGCAGTTACACCCTCTTGCTCGTTATTGCTAGGTGCTTCGCTCACCGCTTTTGTGATATACTACGCTAGCTAGGTGCTCTACTTTATTCATAAAAATTTTAAATCCCGCCTATACGTTTCCAGGCTTCATTACAATTTCCCAAAGTTTCGTGCCCTCCAACTCCAACACAATTTAATTTTAATTTTTATAAAATTTTATTATTTTTTAAAGCCAGTTATTGGTCTAACAATTGCTCTAGCATTGACTTTTCTTGTTTTATTTATTCTTCTATGTCTTCTTTTAGCCAAATGTTTTGGGTTTTGTTGTTCGGGAAATAGAAGAAGAAAACGTTTATCAGCAAAATATTATGTTAATCCATTAATGGCATCTAGTGGACATTACAAACCTGTTGAACCTATTTATGTTGTTACTCCTGGGAGGTAAAAACATAGATTTTTATATGTATACCCTCCCAATAAAATGAACAATTGCTTTTAAGTATGTATATAAGAGGTAACTAATCTCGTATTTATTATTAGAGGTAGGTATAACATTGGTTAGTGATAACGTTCTTCAGTCCCTACGAGCTTCTTATATCGAGAGATTATGTAAGGCTAACATTCTCCTCCTAGCCTACTAATTGATAAAACCAAAAAATGAACCCAAAAATTGGTGGTGGAAGGATTGAGATGCGTGAGTCCAGACGTCCTTAAAATGATTATATTAGCTGGATGTATTATAAGGGGATATTTTAACGAGCGATTTATGGGTAACCAAAATAAACTATAGGAAGTAGAGAAGTCCACCCACCAATAATCTCAATTACCTCCTCAAATAAAATTTTTTTAAGTGAAGCAGCTGGGGGAATACCTCCACCTTCTTCCACCTCAATTTATGGCACAGTAAGTAACGGCCATCCACATCACCATCTCCACCATCCCCAACACCATCCAATACCTCCTCCACTAATTCCAGCACATCACCACCATCACCCACCATTTGGTCCCTCTCCCCCAATCCCCCCTCCACATTTAATTCATCAACAATATTCACGTTCAATGACACCAACATCTACATACAGAATAAATAGAAGGGGTGGAGGTGAGGGAGGGGATAGTAGAGGGATTAGAACAAGCAGTTTAATACAATCATCGATGCAAAGTACTCCGGAAGCTAATAAAAGAGATAAAGTAAGAGGAGGATATTTTAATTAATTTTTGGGAAACTTGGGGGGAAGGAAAGGAAATTTTGATTTTTGGGGGGTTTTCCAAAGGGTTTTTAATTTAAATATTTTTTTTATATTTTGTTTTTTCCTCCTAACAAAATTTAATTTAAAATTAAAAGATTGTAAGCCGTACAATGACTGTGCCAGTAACAATAACAAATAACAAAAATGGATTTCATCAACAACAAAGAATTATGGAAGAACAACAACAAATTGAAAAAGACCAAATACTTCCCCACCCCCTTCCCCATCAACAACCAACAACTTCTTCCTCCTCTCCCCCTCCATTACCTCCTCCCCACCATCCCTCACAAACTCCAATTTTGCCATTTTTAGATCCTTGGAGAAAACAAGAAGTACAAACTAGAGAACAATTTATTGGATAAAAGAAAATTATTTTTTTTTTGATATTTGATTTTGTAATAGGAAAATTTAAAAGAATTTTTTTGTCAATTTTTTAAATCAAAAAATAAATTTTATTTAATTTGTTTTCAAAAATATTTCTTTGGTTGTGTTTGCCCTTCAACAGGTTTGCCTTTTAAATTATACTTAAATAGAAATGCGATTAATTTTGTTAAAAAAATTTGTAATACTCAATAAAAATGAGGGTTTTGACATTTTGGAAAATATAAATTTAATTTTTAAAAATATTTTCGAAATAAAGCAATTTCTTTTAATGATTCTCAACACTCCATTTTCTGTTGAATTTTTGTGGAGCCAATCCCGGAATTTTGGAAAGAACCACCTTATTTTAAAAAATACAGCATTAGATCCTTATATATTTTCTACAATATATTTGTGAACATATAATTTAAAATAAAACGTAGACATCAAAAAAACTAGGTAACGTAAAAAGGGCAAAAAATAAGCATTAAACTCTAACAAAAAAAATTTTTTTTCAATTGTCAGTTAATCTTTACTTTAATTAAAATTACAAACAAACAAAATTCTAATTAACACTTTAAATATTCTACAAAAAAAACCTTTTCCATTCATTCACTTTCTAATATTTTCTACAATATTGAATTATCAATCCAAGCGTTCCCAAAACAATTCCCGTCGCCATGTACGGATTCTCTTCGGCAAAAATTTGAAAGATTCCTTTTGGAGCAGTGTCTGGAATTTTATATTTATGTTCGGGTAATTGAGGCGCTGGAGATGGAGAAAATTTTGATGGAGACCACAAACGGGGCCATTTAAATTTTTCTTCTTCAAATTCTGAATAAAAAAACAATTTAAAAAATAAATTAATTAAATTTTTACTTTTGTCCATTTTTCCTTCCAATTAAATTCAAAAAGCAATTAAAGTTGTAGCAAAAATAAAAATAAATAAAATTCCTTAAAAAAATTTGTTAAAATTTTTTAAAAATAAATATTTAAAAGGTGAATAAAAGAGAAAATGAGAGAGAAGAAAAGAAAAAAAGAAAAAATTACAAAATGCCAAAAATTAAAAATAACGACAAATTTGCAAATTTTTTGAATCACTAAACGCTCAACTTACAATGAGAATCCGAGATGATCTACCTTTAAAGGATACTTTAAGTTAATCAACGCAAATGACAATATGTATTCGCGGAATAGACCATATCCAAATGAACCCCATCCTCAAAACTGTGAAACAGAATCTCTGATCCGCAGTTAATCTCCAACGTAAAAATATTACAAAATAACTTTTATTTAAAAATATACATGTTAAATAATCACTGCCAAATTACTCTTTTAAATAATTAATTACTAACAAATTACTTCTAAGTAAATAAAACACTTATATCAAAATCTTTAGTTGGACTTGTTTCAGTCATTTCATATTCTTTAATTCTTAGACTTCCCCCTCTATTTGTTCGATATTCTTGTTGGTACATTGTCGAAGTTATTATTGGGTGGACTTTCATTGTATTTAATTTTAAAGGTTTCTCGATTAAATGCTCCAATTTTTGAATTGTTTCGGGTGTTTGCAGAGAAGGTATTTTGGTTGAATCAGTCGGATGGACTTTTAGTGTATTTCGAGTTAATGGTCTTGTTGAATTGTTATCTAGATAGAAATTATTTTATTTAGAGGAAAATCTTGGTTAGATTTTTGTTAGAACACCCTAAAACACCGTTAGGCAAATTCACGGTAAAACGACAGTTTAAACAAGTGAATGGAAATTCAGCAAGTAAAATTTAGCAAAAGGAAAGACCCTTCCAAAAAATTAATGAATTCCTTCCCAAGTTAATTAAAATTCAACTACCTTCAATTTTAGTAGCAATAGATTCAATTAAATCCATTATTAAATTTAAAATTCAGATTAAAAATATTTTTATTTTTAGGAAAAAAGAAAAGACTGACTTTGTTGTTATTATTGTTTATGTTTAAATAATAAGCTAAAAATAGGATAAAAGAGGGAGGAGAGAAAATGGTCGTCCATCACATGCCAGCCACTCCTCTTTATAATCGTAAACAAAAATTTAGCTCTTTGTAGTTGCAAAAATAAAAAAAAAGTAAATATGTATTTTTAGAGGAAATTTAAAAAAAATACGTTAAATATGGATAAAGCTGTGTTACAAATATGGGAATCTGTGAGGATTGACCGAGAAATTTCTATAACCGATATTTTTGAATGATATCTAGTCTCGGTTTGTGTAAATAAGCGAGACCATTTTGATTTTATTTTTAAACGACTTTTAAAATATATTTATTAAAAATAATTTAATAAAAATAATTTTTAAGACAAATCTCCAAGCATAATCTGATCTGTTTTATAAATTTCTCTAAATTCTTTTTCAAGTAATTCGTGTAAACTAACCCCATCATGTTTATATACCCAACGATATGAATCGCCTTTTAGAAAGAAAATAATTTAAATAAAAATATTTTTTAAATAAAAATTTACTTAAATCATATCTTTTAGGCCCAGAAATTGGAGAAGAAAGCCAAATTTGTTTATTTGGCGATTGTTTATTAATTACATATGTCCCTATATCTGGGCTTATATGTGCTTAAAGATAAAATAAATTTTAGAATTTTTTTAAATTTCTTACCTGTAAGAACGCCCATAGAATACGAAATATCATAAGCCTGAAAATTTTTGAAAATCAGAGAAAATCTTGAATAGCGTAATCGGAATTCCGATCCCCTCCCCCATGTTTATCCCTTAATATTTACGTAATCTTCCCGTTTCACTAAAATCAAAACAAGAAAACATTTACCTTATCAGTATTTAACCGCTCAGGAAGTTCATCCAAAAACTCTGTAAGAGCCATTAGAGTTTCTTCCGCCCTTTTGTCATATTCTGCTTCTGTCCATTGTTGTGTAAATGTGCAAAGCAAAGAAGCTTAAAATTAAAAATATTTTGAACAGAAAAACTTCTTATAAATATTAACCTTGTCGTTGATAAAGAGAGGCCAACACAGAATTAAAACCTTTATTGGCAATAAAATTTCTTGCAGCATTCATTTTCTACAGAAATTTTAAAATTGTACATATTTTTAAAAATAAAATAAAAATAAAGAAAAGTCAAAAACATTTTTTAAAAATCTCAAAAAAATCAAAATTATTTCCTTTATTAACAAAGTAAATAATTAAAAGCTATTGAAGTTAATTCGACATAAATGTGGCAAAGAAATTTTTGTTCATAAAATTAAACTCGTATGAGAAAATGTCTGAATTAGCTTCTAAAACAAAAAAAACTTTTTTTTTATTTCTAATCATTTCTATCCCACATATATTCCCCTCTCTTCAAGCGTGGATGTTCTTCCCAAGTTTCAGGCCCAATTTCTTGTCGCCATTCTTCAAGAAAATCGGTAGATGGTTGGAATAAACGAGGAAAGGCTGAACGCTCTTCTTCTGTATATTCTGTTGATTTTTTTGGAACTTTTTGAATTTGGCGAAGCTGAAAAGTTTTTTTTTAATATTTTAAAATTAATTTTTAATAGTATTGATTTATTAATGGAAACTCCCACCCCAACAGTATTACCCCACTAGTTAAATCTGAACATGAACAAACATTCACCATTCCTTAGAAAAAATTTTTCAGTTTATAGTCCTGGGAAAATATTTTTTAATGGTCGTTAAAAAATCAGATTTCTCGGCTACTAGCTTGATGGTCAGAAAGCCGAAGCCGAAGAATTTTAATCTATTGTACATAAGATTCTGAATTAAATCGAAGGGCCTTTTGAATATCCGAAATCTAGGCAAATAACCAGAATGACACAAAAAACTTTACTACAAATTACCTGATTGCTAATATTTTTCTTAATAATTTCTGGTATTTCGGTATCAGGCAACAAATGTAATCGTTCAATATACATCCTTTGTTGAATACTATTTTGATTGAGGAAACCCAATTGACGTCCAATACACATCCAAACTACACGACAAGGATCATATTCATGGATTTGATAGGCTGGAATATCTGCTTTGCTTCTTGGGCGTAACTAAAAAAATTTCCAGAATTACACCTTTCAGTGCTAATATTTTTGGTTTTTTTCTTTCCAATTAAAATATTAAAAAAACAAACTCTGTCAAAGAAAAATCGTGTATGTTTCCAATCAAATGCATGCATGCTAACTTGACGACAATTTACAACAACAACGTTATCACCACAATCAGTATGAGGATGCCAAATTGGTTTATGCATTCCACTCAAATGTTGGGCTACTTTACGCGCAAGCTTCCAAATATCTTGACGGTCAGCATCAATTACAGACCTTAAAATGATTTTATCTTCAATTAACCTCCGACCTGAATAAAGTTCAAGGTCATTGACCTCGAGAGAGCCTTTCTTACAAAATGTAAACATAAATTAAGTCAAAAATTAAACCATTGACGCGAGAAAAGTTGCCATTGCCGCACCCTCTCCGCACGAGAAACAAAAGATTTAGGCACAACAGGAACAAGTTTTGAAGCCATATTTAACTTATGCTTGAAGTTAAAAATAAATTATTTAAACAAAAATATTTTAAAAAATGAAATTTAGTCAACAACCAAATTAAAATTAATTAAAATCATTTTATTCTAATTTTTAGATCAATAATTAATAGATCAGTAATTAATAGGAATGAAAAACTCTTAAATGTTTTATTCTAGTTCTATAATTTTTTAAGTTGAATAGAGGAAGTGTTACTAAAACAAAAATTTTATAATTTGGCTATATCACAGTTAATTTGAGCAATCTAAAAATGAGGGAATGGTTATTTTATTCTATTTTTTTCCTATTCTCTATTCATCACCAAACAATAGAATTTTTATATTCAGGCAATACACAAAGTCGTTTAATTGTTTCATAACCGGTAATGACAAAAAAGCTTTGAAGGCCTATAAAATTTTATTTTAAATTTAGAAATAAAAATACCATTATTTATCATTCGAGGTGCTAATCCTTTAGTAAACACATTTCTTCCTTCCTCCGAATAAAGGCATTTTATAGTTTCAAGATAACCAGTTCTGTGGACCTTTAAAAAATAAAATTTTTCACGAATTTTGAATTTATTTTAAATTAAAACTTTGAAACTAATACTTAAATTAAGTGAATATAACCTGTATTCTAATCCTCAAAAGTTCCAAACAGTTAGTGCAAAGCGCTGCTGTAGTGCCTCCTAATGCCCCAGATATTGATTGTAGAGCTAGAAGTGAACGAAAATTTTCTGGTGCAGATTCGATTCTTGAATCAATGCCAAAACTTCGTTTAAAAAAGCCTAGCCAGGAATAATAAGCGGACCAAAAACACATTGAATGAGGTAAGTAAAGAAGTAAAGAAGAGAAGAAACCTCTAAAAATTAAAAAAAAAAATTAGAAAAAAGTTATTACGTAAAATTCCTATGAATGGAAGATGGAATAGAACCATCGTATAAAGAACCAAACCAGAGCAACATTTATTCCCTTCCAAAAAATAATTTTAAGAACCTATAAAATCCAGTAATTCCATCAGCTTTATGAATAGCTTTTACAACTCTCAAACCCAAAAGTGAAGACGTATAATAATTTCGACTGCTTCCAATAGTTTTGGGTCCATCAATGCCTAATAAATTAATAATTGCTGCTTTGTTTACACTGCTGCCAAGAAATTGTTTTGGATTGTTGTAAATCATCATATGTTGACTAAAAATTGTTTAATAGTAGAATGTTTCAATAAAAATTAAAAATAACCTGACAATATCAGTTGGAACAAAAATAAATTGGGCAGAAACAGAAGCTATTCCACCTTGATTTTTAATTAAAAATTTTATTTTAAAAAATTGTAAAAAACCTGCCAAAGCAGAGACTAACAATGGCGATTCAATATTCGCTCTCAAATGAAGAACACTTCTAGCTTTTTCATAAATTGTTGAGTATATACAGCTTGCGCCAATTTGTGGAAGTGTTATCCAAAAACACTAAAAAGGAAAAATGTTAATGTAAGATCAAATTTATAGAAATGCCAGATGAAAAAATGTTAGAGGGAATAATATTAAAAATAGAAAACCCTATAAAGTGCTGAAAAGCCTTCTCTTTTATAAACAGAAGAGAATGCATGCCGCATTCCAGTGTAAACATGATTTTGTTTTTGTAATTGCAATCTAGATTTGACAAGATTTAATGGATAGAAAATTGCACGAATAGAAGATGAAGCAAGAAAAGCCTTTAATTTGAAAAGAAATAAGATAAATTAATTCAAATATACTAATGGATAGAATTTGTACAAATCCATATGCTGCCATTCAACAATATGAAGTTGTTTTTCTGGTTTGTGTGCTGCTTAAAGGAAATTTTAAATTAGATACTCATAAAATATTATGGGTAATTCGGGCATTAAAAATGGTCATTTCAACATATTTTTTTTGAAATATCAGGGCGTTCTTTTTACTTACGACATGATTAACAGATCCAATATTTTAATCCTTAAAAACCTACAAGTTCGTTCTGTGCGTTCTTCATATTGTGAGCTGGATGAAGCGGCCAACATGCCTAAAAATTAAAAATCCGATATTTAACTCTACTCAATTAAAAAAAATTAAAAATAAATTTATTTTGTAGTTATTAACAAAAATTAATTAAAAAAAGTCAAAAAAGTATTCCATTTTATTTAAATAAACATAACACAAAAAATATATAATCAAGCATAATAATTCAATACAGTCTTCTTTTTAGCTTGTACTTCCAAAATAGCATCCATAAAATCTTCATGGCCAACAGTTGTTGCATCACGTCGAAGTGCAATCATTCCCTAATAAATAAAAATTCAAAAATTTATTTTTAAATTTACAGATTCAACACAAACAGCTTTACATTGTGCACCATTAAAATCATCAGTACAACGTGCCAATTCGTCAAAATTTACTTCTTTGCTTTAATATTATAAAATTTAATAAATGCTTCGATGATAATTTTTTATTTCTTAGAGTAAGGGTCGTTCCAAACAGTATTTTTTCATAACAGCTATATAGACAAAATCATATTTTGTCGTTAGTTTAAAAAAACACACTATATCTTTCCTACTTTTTAAAATAAATACTGGACTTTTTAACAACAAAAGACATTTACCTAACATTCATTTTACGAGAATGTAATTGCAAAATACGTGCTCGTGCCTTTTCATTTGGCGCTGGCAATTCAATTTTGCGATCAAGACGACCCGAACGCAAAAGTGCTGGATCAAGAACGTCAACACGGTTTGTGGCAGCAATTACCTAAATTTATAAAATTAAACATTGTAAATTTTATATAAAAATAACCTTAACATCATCGTTTGGTTGGAATCCATCCAATTGATTGAGCAATTCTAACATTGTTCTCTGAACCTCTCGATCACCAGCTTTTTCCGAATTGAAACGCTTAGTTCCTGTAGAATAAATAGATATATTTTTAAATAATTAAACAAATAAAAAAAAGAAAGTTTGAATTAAAACTGGAAAAGATTCGAATTTTTTGCAACAATGAAAGAAATATAGAACAAATTTTCTAACAAGAAAATCATAAAATGTTGCCAAAAAATATATTCAAATAAAAAAAAAACAAACCGATAGCATCCAATTCATCAATAAAAATAATGGCAGGTGCTTTCTCCTTTGCAAGTGCAAAAGCATCTCGAACTAATTTAGCCCCATCACCAATAAACATCTGAACAAGTTGAGGGCCTGCAAGTTTCAAAAATGCTGATTTTGTTTGAGCAGCAACAGCACGAGCTAACATAGTCTTTCCGGTTCCTTTAAGCAAGTATTTATGAAATATTTTCAAAATTATTTTTAAAACCTGGAGGTCCATACATAAGAACACCTTTAGGAGGCAAAATTCCAATATTCGAAAATATTTCCTTTTTAGTCATTGGAAGAACCTAAAAGTATTTTATCATATAAGTTTAGGTAATATTTTAGTCAGATTTTTAATTTCAGCACACATCTTTAATTTAAATAAAGGAGTTGGTTAAAGAAAAATCATTTCCCCCTTAAGCGGAAAATTTTAAAAAACTGACTAGAAATTGAATAAAATTTTTAAGATTTTCGCCTGCGTGAAATAAAAATATCCAAATTGATTATTTCAACTAAAAAATTACAATAGCTTCAATTAATTCTTTAATTTGAGTGTCACAACCACCAATATCAGAATAAGTTTCCGTTGGTCTCTCATCAACCTCCATGGCTTTCACCCGAGAATCATATTCTGGTGGCAACTTCTCCAAAACCAAATAAGAATCTTTATTAACACCAACCAAATCACCGGGTTTTAACTCTGCTGTGTCAACTAATCCAATAACTAAAAAAATTGAAATATTTAGTGCTGTAAAAGAAAAAAATCAAAAAGGCATACCCGGCAAGAAATATGTTGCACGAGTAGAAGTTTTAATAACTGCACATTTAGTCTTATGAGCGTCCAAATCAACATTAGCCCCTTCATCTTCTTGTTGGTCTTCAAGATCAAGCAATTCAATAACGTTAGAAACAAGGTAAGGAAGTTGTTTATTAACCTAAAAAATCAACGGTTTTGGAAATGAGAAAGATGGGAAGACCTTAACACGTTCATTATTTTCTTTAACCTTTTCTTTAAGGTTTTGAACACTGTGATTGATTCGCTGAATTTCACTTCTCATAATTCGAACTTCATTATCTAAAAGCATTGTACGCTCACGTATTTGTTCGGCAGACATTTCCAAAATTTCTGGGGAAATCTATAAAAATTTTAAAAAAATCTAAAAAATTATTTAACCTCATCCTCTTCATTGTTGTCAACATCCATCTTTTGATCAGGTTCCTGGCTTGCACCCTTCTCTACGGACATTTTTTGTCAAAATTTTGTAGTTTTAAAGTAAAGTAAATCTGAAGAAAAAATCTTACAAAAAAATTAAAATCTCATCAATGTGAAGAAAATAAAGAAATTAGACAGAGAGATTATTAGCTAGAGAATCAGAGAATTAAAGAATAAATAAAATGCCAATAACCCGCTAAGTTTTGCTTTAAATTTCCTTTGTGTTAGATTTTTAAATTTTCTTCAAAACTTTAATTTATTTTTCGGTGACACGGACTGTCATTTGTATTGATTTTTATTTTATTTTTATGAGATTTTTTTCAAGTTCTATTAAATTTTTGATTCATTTTCTAAATATTTTTTTTACCTTTTTTAGAAATCAATACTTTAATCAACTCAATTTTTATTAAAAAATGTCAACCGGAACGTCTAGAATTATTACACGATCAATGGCTGCCAGAAATGCTCAACCAAAAGAGGAAACTAAAAAAGAGCCAAAAGAAGAACCTAAAAAGGACAAAGTTGTTGTTGACCAACAAAAAGAAGACGGAGAAACTAATCAACAAAAGAAAATTGCTTGGACACTTGATGATTTTGAAATTGGCAAACCGCTTGGGAGAGGCAAATTTGGAAGTGTTTATTTGGCTAGGGAGCGGAAATCTGCATATTTGATTGCTCTAAAAATTCTTTTCAAAAAAGAATTGACCAAGCATAATGTTGTTAATCAAATGAAGAGGGAAATTGAAATACAATACCACTTGAGGTTTTTTTATTTTTTAGACTTGTGGATTTATTTTGGAGGAGCTGAGGGCATTTAAATTTTACAGTTAAGAAATTTTTATTTTTCAGACATCCAAATATTCTTCGTCTTTATGGTTATTTTTATGACGATGAACGAGTTTATATGGTTCTCGAGTTGGCACAAATGGGTTCAGTTTATTCGCTTTTGAAGAAGACACACAAAATTGCTTGTCCTTTGGCTGCGCATTTAATATTGCAATTATCTGATGCTCTTATTTATTGTCATGAGAGGTATTAAAATATTTTATTAAGAACTTTTGGTGAAGTTCTCAATAATTCCCCCGGTTCCAAAAATAGTCAGGCACGTGTTAGGGAGACCAGGATAATATCTACTCCCTCCACATATCTTCTCCCTCTTTTTCATCTCCAAAATTTTTAAAGTTTATATTTTACAGAAAGGTAATACATCGTGATATAAAGCCGGAAAATCTTTTACTGACTGCAAATTGTGACGTAAAAATTGCTGATTTTGGTTGGTCAGTCCACGCTCCTTCTTCAAAGTATTTTTAACAACTATACGTAGATTATTTATATTTTTTTAAAGGCGTACAACAATGTGTGGTACCTTAGATTATTTATCTCCTGAAATGATTCTCAATAAGGAGCATGATCATAATGTAAAAATAATAGCTTTTTTAATTTAAAAAATTTTTTTAAAGGTCGATAATTGGTCGGTGGGTGTTCTTCTTTATGAATTTATTATTGGAAAGCCTCCTTTTGAACATCAGACACATGCGGAGACTTTGGAATGTATTCGAAATGTTTGTTTAATTTTCAAATTTTGATTTAAACTTCTTTTATTTAGTTGAAATATCAATTTCCCAGTACTTTTCCTGCTGGAGCAAAGGATATTGTTTCAAAGGTTTAAAAAGTTTTTTAAATTAAGCCTTTCAAATCAAATAAATTTGTGTGTTAGTTTTGGGGTAAACCTTGATTTTTTGCCTTTTTAAATCTTTCCTGAATGTTAATGTCTTGGATGGTCTTTTCTTGTATCTAGGTCTTAGCTGCTAGAATTTAATTAACCTTGAGTTTAATATCTAACAAAAGAAAGAAAATAGCACCACTACTAGTCGGAGCAACTGAATAAGATTAGCTTTATTCAAAATCGGGGGGTACATGCCTTACTCCGGCCTGATAGCTAGGCTTTTGCTTAACTTTAACTTATGTTAATAAGCCCTAAAAATCTGATACTGTCTGATACTAAAACTGTCGATCATACCTTAAAAATGAATAGGGATTTTAAAATAAACTTTTTAATTTAAAAATTATTTTTTTAATTTTCAGTTGCTTTTATTAAAGCCAACAGCTCGTATGCAAATGCCTGTTTTAAAGAAACATCCATGGATTGTAGAGAACTCTGCAATTTTTGTTAAAGAACAGGAAGAAAAAGAAAAAACGGAAAAGGAAAAGAAGGAAAAAACGGAGAAGACTGAAAAGAATTAATTTTCTCAAAATGGTTGGGCTATAGTGCATCTAAGTGATCGTTTTTCTTATATATTCTGCTTAACAACAAAACAAAAAATGACTTTGATCTATTTATTGTTTACTTTATTTGTTTTTGGTTTGGTTTTATATAAATTTTGTAATTTAAAGAGTTTTTATTTAAAAATTCTGTTTTAGGAATAATATAACATTAAAGTTTTAGTAAGTGAATAAATCCAATAACTCATTTGCCTTTTCAAATGACTTCCCCACTAATTTTTTTGAGTTCAAAAATAATAAAAAAGTTTTACGTTTACCTTTTTTTTCCGTTCATAAAAATAAATTATAGGGACAAGTTATTAACATTTTAATATAAAAATAGGTCAAATTATCTTTGTTTAATTAAAAGAAAGGTAAAAAAAGAAGTAAACTTGACCTTTTCTTGACCTTTTTTTAATCAAAACTTGACCTCTTCATTATTTGAAAGCACTTAAATAAATGTCTAGAAAACTTTTAGTTAAAGCAAAATTGGGAAGAAAGGAGGTCACAAATGGGAGGAGTAAAAAATATTATTTTTTATATTCTTCCTTATTTGCTCATTCATTTAATATCAAAAACTTTTTTTTAATTTTTAGAGTTTTTTCCTTTTATTTCGCTGTCCCGATGAATATATCAGTCTAATTTTGTTACCCAGTCTAAATACATTATACCAAATAAAACTATATTGTAAATGCTATTTTTACAATTTGGCCATTAGGTTAGGGAGAGGTGCCTAAATTCTACCTAAGTTGTTCAATCCCTATTATTTACAAGAGAGATCCGACTTTATTATATTCCCACAAACCTAAAAAGTTCACTTTGATGTGAAAATTAGTTAAAAAAATTTTTTTTCTAAATTTCTAGCAATAATTTCTCGATTAATTTCAATTTTCTAGCAATAATCTATCTTCTTTTTTCAGAATAAAAAATTTTTAAATTTAATTTTAAAAATGGTTTTTAAATGTTATCGTTGTAGTATTTGCCACTCTCGTTTGCAGTTTGACAATGTTTTTACTTTGAAAAATTGTAACCATACTTACCATCAAGATTGTATTACTCGATGGATTACTGGGGTGAGGAAATTATTTTTGTGTGAAGTTATTAAAGAATTTTTTTTCATTATTTTTTAAAATCTGATCCAACTAGATTAGGACGAAAATTGCTTTTTATTCTAGCTGTTATCACTTTAATTTGTCCTAGTAAAGTCGGTCGTCTCTGGGACATATAAATCCCGGCAGCAAATTTTATTTTTAACATTTTAGTCACAAACTTGTCCTCGATGCCAAGTTCATGCTACTTTGACTGATATTAAAAAAATATTTTTCGACGAAGGAGGTGATGAACAGGACTCTGATGATGAAATGATTCAAGGTTCAAGTAACGTGACTACACAAAGCCGCGCTGTGAGTTAATGAATAAATTGAGGGGTACATTCACCGAATAGAGAATTCGCTGAAATTTTAAGGTTCGAGAAAGCTTGACAAAAAAAGGGAGGTCTAAAGAAATGAAAGAAAAGATAAATTAAATAAAATTTATGAATTTGGAAAATTTCCATTAAAATTCAGAAAGTTCGATGAAATATTTATTTAGTGAATTGTTTCATTAATTAATTTAATTTCAGCCTACTACTCAAGGAATAATACAAGTAATTGTTAAGGACACCTATCGAGATAGTAAAATGGCTATTCAAATGCAAGTAAGATTATAAATTTTATAAAATATTTCCAAGTAAAAATTTATAAAATTAAGCCAAACGATACTATTTTGGCTTTGAAGAATAAAATTGCTGAACGTAATGGTGTATCAACGGATACACAGCGTTTGGTGAGGGAAACTTCATTTTTTTATTTTTAAAATTAAACATTTTTCAGGTTTTTCGTGGTCAACAACTCGAGAACAATTGTAAATTTATATTCATTTTTGATAGAAATTTTTTCGAAAAGCGGTAATTTGTGTTGAGGATATTTGTTTAGGCGTGAATCGAAATTGTAGATTAACTATACTTTAAATGGATATTAAACCTTACAAAATTCTAGATTTTATGAGGTTTTTGGGTTAATTGTTCGAGCTTAACTCACTGAATTGATCGCCTCTGAATTAATCTTTAAGACTAGTTTTGTAGTAGTAATGTTTAAAAATAATTTTTAGATACACTCAGTCATTATAATATTGTCGACAACACAAGTGTTGATTTGGTTATGCGTTGTCAAGGTGGTGAAATGTAATGGGGAAATAAATAAATGGAAATTGATGTTAATTAATTTTGTTAATTTAAATATGGCACTAAAAATTATTTTTTCTAATAACACAGTTTACAATACTTAATTTTTTGATTTGGAATAAGAATAACAAAATTAAAAAGAAAATAATTTTTAGTCCATTTTTAAATTATTAACTCTATTTTTTTAAAAAATACTCCAACAAAAATCACTTAACCAATTTGTATTCTTAAAGAATTGTTTTTTTTAAATATTCATTTTACTTTTAATAAAAGACATTAAAATATAATTTTCTTTATTTTAAAAAATATTTCAAAAAAATCTCCCACAAGCCTTTGAAAATTTTGGTCTGAATGAGAAAGAGTTTTTATCTCGAATGTAAAAAATTTTAGGAATTGGAAAGCTCTACTTTTATTTTTTTTGTGTGGTCTGATACATTTATGTGTGTGTTTTCTGACCTTCTCCAATTAGAAAAAGGAAGATATGGACTTCCAGTAAAATATCATCTTCCTGTAACTGCCAACCCAAACTTTCACAAACAAACCTCTACAGTATTTTTGTTTTTACTCTTTTTAATCAGCTTATAAATATTTTTTAAAAATTTATTTTAAAATATTTTTAACTGAAATTCAGTCATTCGGATCATTAAATTCTCTTACACACATTTTATAAAATTATTCATAAAGTTTTTGATTTTTGTACAAAAATAAAAATTTGTGAATAATTCTGCAATATTTTTTGATAAAAAATGAATGATTTCCTTCTCTCTCTTTTAGTTTATTTATTTAATGATACATTTTCCTTTATATTTTTCTAAATATATTGGAATTCCTTATAGTTTTATTTTAATTTAAATTATTTTACAAAAAATGAAAAATGTTACACCCGCACGATACTGGACCACTGGCCTAAAATGAAGAACCGAGTACTTAAAAAATGCGATTGGGTGCATAAAATGGGATTGGACGCGTAAACATTTCAATGAATCACAAATGTGCCATTGGACGCGTAATCTGGACTAGAGCCAAAATTTTTTAGGGAAAACTTAAGAATTCCTAATTTTTTGTTTTGCAAAATGTCAAATTCTTTTCTTCATTTTCAAAATACTTCCTGTTTAATTTACTAACAAAAACAAATATACACGTTGATTCAAAACATTAAGTACATCAAATTCATAAAAGTAAATATTTGAATGTTAAATTTAAGCTATCAAATTTCAAAAATTCAAAAACATTTCAACACTTTTAACAGACTCTAATTTACTCCCCCCCTCCCTCCCTTTTAATTCATCTTTTTTTATTCACATGCCTAGCACTTTTCATTTTCCTCCTTCTTTTTCATTCATTTAACATCCGCATTCTTCTTATCCCCTCTCTTCCATTTTTTGTTTAAATGTATATTAAATTAAGAAATATATGTATTGAGTATTTCTTGAACAGCTGAGCCTCTCATTTCCCTCATTTTTAGGTTATATTTATTCGCAAAATTTTGCTTTCTTTAGCTACCGCTCAGAATTGAACCTGCAACTTTCTTTTTTATCCATTACTTTCTTTTATCCTGATGAGCCTCGTCATAGAAAAAACTCCTTAGTCCACAATGAATCCAATAATTTACCTTCTCGATAGTGCCCTTATCACCAATTAATTCCTTGAGAATAATTACGTTGCCGTGTCTTTTTAAGTATTCTGTTACATCATTAATTCTCTTTTAGAATCCGCGTGAACAAATTAACTCACCCAGAACATACATATGTATGTTATTTGACATTTTTCTGACCGGAACTGACCACTCTATATATTTATGTAAAAGAGAGAGAGAGAGAGGTCATTAACCGTTAGGTCTCAAGAAAATTTATGAACAGGGGTGAACAAAATAAAAATAAAATAAAAGGCGAAAAATAAATTTTTTAGTTAAGAAGTTGAAATAAAGCAAAAAGAAAAAGCGAAATTACAAAAATTATCATGAAAATATTTTTTTAAATTTTTTGGCTTAATTTTTAATTATTAGATGCAAAATTTGTGTGCAAAAATTTATTCTTAAGGAGTGAAAATCAGAGTTTAACCAGAAATACACATAAGTAACTACAAACGGTGTCGATACACAAGGTTGACGCCCCCATGACACTTTTAACTTTTTTCCAAACTTTTACAAAAAATACCTAATCTACACTCAAAAATATAAACTTTTTCCACTTAAATTTAAAAGAAAATTTCCACTCCAAAATTAGTCGCGAATATTTGGGTTAAAGTGTGTCATTTCTTCTAATTTCATTTCATTTCTTTGCCTCATGCGAGACAGCCGCCCTTTAAAATAAGCTTTTTTTCTTTTTTTTTTTGTAAAGGGTAACCAACAACTGTTTGTCTTCTTTAAATAAAAAAGAAAGAATGTTTTTTTAGCTAACAAGGCAAAATGGGAGGGAAGGGGGGGGGGGGGGAAGGAGAGACCTTTCCGGAAGAAAAGACACTTTAATTTTAAATAGAGCTTTTCTCTCTGTTGGCCAAAAGAATTTTTTAAAATTATTTTTGGTCGTTCAAGGTTAAAAAGGAACAAGAAGGAAATTAATCTTTAATTAATTTTTTTTATTTTTCTTACTCTAAAAAATAATCAATTTTAATTTTTAAAATCTTTAATTGATTTTTTTCATTAATTTTTTATTTTGTACTTTAAGGTCGCGATTTTCAATTATTCAATTATTTTCTACCAGTCTTTTTCTGGTCATTTCCTATATTAGGGATGATAACATCTCAGAAATTTCTTCCAAGTAAATTTTTTACCTTTTAACCATCCTGTTGAATGGAAAGATTGTGAAGCAACAACGTATCACCATCTCGACTTTTTAACTTTTAACCTTTCTTTATACATATGTAATTCTTTTATTATTTAAAAGCTCCATTTTTTTTATTTTTTTCATAACAAGTTTGATCTGATCCTCTTGTGGAAAAGTTATATTTATTGTTAGATTATTTCTCCCTTTTTTCTAAATATATTTTTTTTCAATTTATTTTTATTAACTTTCAAATGTAGTTTTTTTTCACAGAAAAATTTATTTTTGTTGTTTAAATTTTTCTGCAAAAAATACCTAATTTTTGGGACCAAATGTCTCATTAAAAATTTTTTTCAGAAAATGTTTTATAAAATAATTATATTATTATCTATATATTAAAATGACTAAATTACGTAAAACAACTTCTTCTTTACACATTAACAACGCAAGAATTGCCGGACTTTATGATTTAGAACACACAATTGGGAAGGGACATTTTGCTGTTGTTAAACTTGCGAGGCATGTATTTACTGGAGAAAAGGTTGCCGCAAAAGTTATTGATAAAACAAGGCTAGATCCCGTTTCTACTTCACATATGATGCAGGAGGTTTTTTTTGGAAATTTTATTGAGTCTCCTCCTTTTTCAAAAATTTTTCTGATAATAAAATCAATTTTAAAAAATTTAAGGTCAGATGTATGAAATTAGTTCAGCACCCTAATGTTGTACGTCTTTATGGTATGTTAGTATAAATATTTAAAAGAAAAGTTCATTAGGTTTTATTTTTATTATTTTTCGTTTGTCTTCAGATAAGGGCATTTTTAAGAAAATTATTTTTAAATAGTTTTTTACAGAAATAATTAAAAAATTACATTTTCTTTCTGGAAAATGTTGAGATTACCTTTCATCTAAACATTTTATTTTTTAAATTAATTTTTTCCTTTTTAGAAGTTATTGACACTCAAACAAAATTATTTTTAATTTTGGAACTTGGCGACTATGATATGTAAATAAATAAATATTTTTAAATTTAAATTAATTTTTTAAAGGTATGAATGGGTAATGAGAAGAGGTTATGATAAAGGGGGATGTAAAGAATCTGATGCTCAACTTTATTTTTCTCAAATAATTCAAGCCATTAATTATTGCCATAAATTACACGTTGTACATAGAGATTTGAAGGTTTTTTTTGGATTTTTTTGTTTGAAAAATTAAGTTTGGAAATTAATTAGATTCAGTAACGACCAGAGAAAGTTTTCCGTGGAGAAGCTGGGGGGGGGGGGGGTATAATTTTGGCGCCATGTGGAAATTTTGGGAGGCCATAGGCTACATGCCCTTGGCTATTTGCCTGATTTGTTTTATTTTGTTTTTTATAGCCTGAGAATGTTGTCTTCTTTGAAAGGCTAGGAATGGTAAAACTAACAGATTTTGGTTTTTCGAATTTGTTTACGCCTGGACAACAATTACAAACATCTTGTGGAAGTTTAGGTTTTTTTAAATAATAATTTTTTGTATTACATATTTCTTTATTTAAGCATATTCTGCCCCTGAAATTTTACTTGGCGATTGTTATGATGCTCCTGCTGTTGGTAACTTTTTTTGGAAAATTTTTTAAAACTTATTAACTTGGTTCACAAAAAAACTAACAGATACCTAAAACCAGTTTTTACGAAAATTTTTTGTTTATAACCCTCCCTTCTCCTGGCTACGGGCCTGGTCGATCCAAACTACATATTGCCCTTTTTAATGACTAAAGGACAATCAGCTTTTAACTTTGAAATTAAAAAGATATTTTTAACTTACCCTTTTTTAGATGTTTGGTCTTTGGGTGTTATTCTATATATGTTGGTTTGTGGCCGACTTCCCTTTCAAGAATCAAATGATTCTGAAACACTTACAAGAATATTAGATTGTAAATTCTCTTTTCCTGAACATGTTAGCGTTGAATGTAAAAAGTTTGTTTTAAAATTTTTTTTATAAAGTTAGCCCAATTTCCTTAACGTTTTCTAACATAAATTGTTAGTATTTATTTTCGAGGATTTATTATTTTCCTTTGGATGCTTTGGGGACTCCGGAGCCTAGCATGTGTTTTACGTTATTATATTTTAGTCTTGTTTCCTCAATGCTCGTTCGTGATCCTTCAAAACGCGCTACACTTTCTGAAATTTGTCAAAATAAATGGGTTCGTGCTGGTGATCGTGGACATGCAGAAGCACTTCCTTTAATTGTAAAGGACAATTTACCTTTATGTGCTCACACGACAATAATTGAACAAATGGTGGCTGGACAAATTGGGACA